CATGCGCACGGATGGAATCATCCAGGAAACCACAGCCACAGATACCCCAGAACAGAACGGCCTCGTGGAGCGGATGAACCAAACACTTTGTACTCTTGCAAACCGCAATGCTCGAAGAGTCGAAACTGCCAAAGTCGTTCTGGGCGGATGCCATGCTCACTGTGGCGTACATCACCACTCGTAGTTCAGCCATGGGTCTGAAGGGCAATAGCCCGTATGGACATCTCTTCCACAGACGTGTAGACCCCATGTTCTTCTGACCTTTTGGATGCCCTGCATATGCGCTCATACCAAAGGACAAGCGCGGAGGGAAGTTCCATCCGAAAGGGAGAAAAGCCATCATGCTCGGATATGCCCACAGAAAGAAAGCATACAAACTCCTAGACCTCAAGAAGTGCACCATATTCTCCAGTCAGCATGTTGTCTTCAATGAAACCGCGCAAGTTCCCCTGGAAGATCATGCACCTTGGAACATCCATCCGCAAGTCCAGCAGTGGGAGGGTATAGTCCTGCATGTCTACAACCATGACTTAGACCATATGGACAACAATCCACCTCCTCCATGACATCGCATAGACCTCCCGCAGGCTCCAGCCATACATCCTCCAGATCTGCCAGATCCACCTGCATCCACACACCATCCGAAGGTCGAACCAGGCACAGTGGGAGCACAGATGGAATCGGATGTCGAAGACATATGCACAAAGCTAGACAACTTGTCGATCAATCCAGATGCACAAGCCTCGGAGGCTATGGGTTCTGCACCACGCATGCGATCACCATCTCCAAACCACGCACGACCCACACAGGTAGTAGCTGGGGTCCGATGCAGCACCTGCACTACATGACCTTGGGATTGAAACCGCAACTACCAACGGACTTTGGATGAAGAAGCCACACACCGCCAAGCACCCGTGGATCTGTCCGCACTGCATGAGGACACAAGCACATTGGATGAACACTTGGATGGCCAACCTGAACTGCCAGATGCAAGTCATGCAACCTTTGACACCATAGATCCAGATGATATATATTTTGCTGGTGCAGCAGCCATGGGCCCATCCCAAGACGATCTCCCCAAGACATTACTGGAAGCTTTTATCTGCCCGGATGGAGGATTATGGAAATCAGCTCTAGAGGAGGAGCTTTCCAGCCTGAATGAAAACCAAGTCTATTGAAACCGTCCCAATCCCTGAAGGTGTCAAGCCGATCACCTCCAAGCCTGTCTTCTGTATCAAGAAAGACCAAAATGGAAATGTTGAACGGTACAAGTTGCGGATAGTCGCCCGCGGATTCTCTCAGAAGGAAGGAGTAGACTACCAGGAAGTTTTCGCACCCGTCACTAACCTCAAGTCCATCCACATCATCCTATCCCTTGCCGCAAAACACGACCTCAAGCTAGACCAAATGGATGTGTCAACTGCATACCTGAATGGTGAACTAGAAGAGGAGTTATACATGCTACCACCCGAAGGAGTACCCATCCAGCTGGGATACTGTTGGAAACTCAAGCGCTCACTCTACGGACTCAAACAAGCGGGCCGGACGTGGAACAAGACTCTAGATCGAAAACTGGGAGATGTCGGATTCACCCGCTTAGATGTGGAAACATGCCTATACGTTTTCCGGGAAAGGGGCAAGTGTGTTTTCTTGTAGTGTATGTCGATGACCTACTACTAGCTGCTACCACCCGACTTTTCATGGATAAGGTGAAACGCATGCTCGCATCACAGTTCAAGATGCGCGACCTCGGAGAAGCAAAATTCATCCTAGGTATTGAGATCCGCCATGATCGCCCAGCGCGGAAGATCGCATTGTCCCAGTGACAATATGTAGACACTGTCCTCAAGCGCACGGGCATGTCGCAGTGCGAACCTGTGTGGACACCTATGGTGCATGGCTCACAGCTCACAGCGGAACAACCAGATAACCATGCGACCTCTCATGAGATGACCATAGACGGCACCTGCATATCCTACCTATCCGTTGTTGGATCACTCATGTATGCTATGCTCGGGACACATCTGGATATTGCATATGCAGTGGGAGTACTCAGCAGGTACAGCACAGCCCCTAAAAACCAACACTGGGAAGCCACAAAGCGCATTCTTCGCTATCTGCAAGCAATGCGAGACATGGAGTTGGTATACGATGGAACTGACATATCCATGGACATGGACTTCCACAGATACACGGATGCGGATTGGTTGGGTGACTCAGATACTTCCTGTTCCACTTCCGGATTCACTTTAATCACAAACCATGGTGCCATTTCATGGGCTAGTAAGCGGCAAAGCATGGTAGTGCTATCCACTACGGAATCGGAATACATTGGCCTCAGCAATGCGGGACAGTGCTTAGCATGGCTCCGCATGTTTTTTGAGGAGATCGGATACAAGCAATGTCATCCAACCCTTCTCCATTTCGACAATCAAGCTGCAATAATCCTCACAAAGGATGTGCAGTTCCGTGCACACACAAAACACATCCAGCGCAAGTACCATTTTGTCCGTGACGACCTGGTCGCAACCGGGGAAGCCATCATCCAATACATATCCACGGATGATATGGTAGCAGACATTCTGACCAAACCGCTCACGCATGAGAAGCACTGGAAGTTTACCAAAGCCATGGGACTACAACTCTGCTTGAGTGGGAGTGACAAAACCAGATAATATCCCACATCCATCCGACCCATCCTAAACCCATCCGTGGGTATCCGTCTCCCATCCGACACTCGCCCATACATGCATGGATGACCCGTCACCCGCATGTGCAGCTGGATGCAAGTGCATGCGCTCGGATATGTAATAAGGTGCATTGGATTGTTTCGGAATGTTTCGGGTGTACATGTAATACTGAGTGCGTTCGATACAAGTCATGGACTCATAGGCGATATGCATGGTCGGTTAGCAAGTGGGTTTTTGCCCATATATCAGAGGTGCTTTGGTACATACTTTCCCTCAGTCGTTTCTATCGCCTCCTTTGGCAGTGGCTGAGGTATGTCTTCACTTACATTCATTTATACCACAGTGTAGCTAATCTAGAGTAGTGCAGATCCTATCCGCTTTACTTAGGTGAATACAGTCATTTCTATCGCCTCCTTTGGCAGTGGCTGAGTGCGGATCCTATCCGCTTTACTTAGGTGTATCCGCAGACCCGATCCACATCGCTTAGGGTACTGATGGATCGCATCCACTTCACTCAAAAGTTTTGTCACCAAGATATACATGTCTGAGCGTTGCTGACTTGTATTCGCAAATGACATGCATGGACATGGAGTCGGCTTTGATCGGTAATGATGCAGAACAAACGGAAATGGTGCGGAAGGATGTTCAGATTCGGCTGGGCGGAGGGGAATAGAAGCCCAGTAGTGGTTGGCGTCCCACAGCACCACATGTTGTATTAGAGAACAGGAAGGGGTAGAGTTGGTCGTACCATGGGAACTCAAGCAATTCTTATTCTTAAAATCAAATAAATCAAATGATGATAAAAAAACAGCAAAAAACTTACTGTGTAGATTAACAGCTACATTTTTGTCACACGGAGTGACACCAGCACCAGTCTTGTTAAACTTGTCAAGCTGCTCCTTGAATGACTTCTTGAGACTTTTATTATGAATTAAATTAGCAGTTAATGAGTGATAGAGATCACTCATGAAATGATGTGGTTGCCCACCACAATGTTGAATTTCTTTGAGTCCTCAGCATATGCACCTGAATATTCTGAGTTGTTCATGAAGATAAGTTTTGCCAAGACTTGATAGATTTCCCCCTTGTCCTTTCCCTTTCCAGAAGGACACTCCTCATTGCTGGAAGTTGCAGATTTTTTACCCTTGTAGAATATTATGCGGGCATCCAAAGGGTGAGTGACAAGATGCTGCACTAGTGTGTCTGTGCCACGGAGATCTGATGGTCTGGTCCAATGGACGATTATCCTAGGTGCAGTGGTCTTAGGGGCCTGGTTATGAGGGGGATTGGACCCACGTCCTTGAGCCTTCCCTCTTCCATGGGATGCAGATGGATGTGAGGGGAGTTCCATTGTCTTTAGGCAACCTTGAGTGTTTGCTTCATCAGTAAATTCACACATTCCTTAATCTCCTTTTTCGTCACTTATTTTCTCACACAAGATCGAAAAGCTTCGTACAAGAACCAGAATGTCTCCTTGTCACAAGCTCCCACAAGTTAAAAAGCAGATCCCCTCCTCTTGTTTTTGGCCTTTTTGCACTTTTTGCACTTGTTTGAGAATGAACTCCATTGAAGTTGGTAATTCCCCCTTATTTTTAGCTTATTCACGCTTGTTAGAAGGAAAAACAACTGCATTTAAGGTGGTTAAGGAGCATGTAGAATGAAAAAGTAAAAAAAAGGAGAGCAAGTAAGAAAGAAGTACTGGTTAAGTAGATTAAAAGCGGTCATAAGGACCTGAAAACAAGACGTGATTGAAAGCACTGGCAGGTGCGGTATGATGACAGTAGTAGCAGGGGGGGGGGTGACGAGATGGCATGTGAACAATGAGGAAATATGAATGTTCATAGTCAGTTGCAAAGCATGTACTGGCAAGTAGATTAAAGACGGTCATAATGAGCTAAAAACAAGACGTAATTGAAAGCAGATGCGGTATGATGACAGTAATAGCAGGGGCAGTGACGTGACGGCATGTGAACAACAAGGAAACATGAACAGTGGTATAGTCTGCCGGTAAAGTTCATAGTCAGTTGCAAGATAAACTACAAAAACGAAAGACAATACCGTCTAACAAATGAGTGCTCGCTCATCCTCAGATTCTTTGTCGACATCCATCCAAGTACCACGCCTCTTCACTGCTAGGGCCTGTGCGAGCTCTGAGTTTTGGAGAATGACCGAGTCTGGAAGGTGATTGATAGATGTCATGTAGGACCTGGTGTGCGCACCCCAATTGACATCTGAAAATGCCAGGGGGACACTACTCTGCTTGCCTGTGGACGGATTGATATCAAGGGGGGTCTTGTTGCCTCAACCATTGCCAGCAGCATCGATGTTGCTAAGGAGTATATGTTCATTGGCGAAAAGCCTGATGGCACGTTCCATCTGAAACACGTGAACATGAGTTAGCAATATGAGGAGAGAGTATAAAACACATGCCGTGGCTGTGGCAAGAGCAAGGGTGCCCTTCGAATGCCCCGACACTGTATGACTCATTCCCAGCAGGCTGACAGCGCCAGAGGTGGCGCACTTGTGCTGAACGAGGACCTGAATAATGAGATCAGACTGGAACGGGTTGGACATCTGTCCATCCTCTGTAATGTTCCCAAACAAGAAGCTGAGCTTTTTGAGCAAGGCCAATGTGAAATCTTTATGGTCCTGATCAGTCTTGAGATCATCCTGCAAAGTCATAAATTTTGTGAGTACGGTGAGGGCCACATTGCTGAGGGTATTGCACCATTCCGACAACTGCTGAAGAGTCTAATAAAAAAGAAAATGATTAGAATTAAATTGTGTTAAAAAAAAACATACCAGGGCGACGACAGCCCCATCAGCTACAACTGTGTGTCGAATCTCATCCCTGTAGACCGACATCAAACGTAAATATAGACATTATCAGACTCACCGTTAAAGCCTTTTCACTTGTCAAATGAGAAAGAGGCTTTGCGAGCAGTTCATCGTCCTCGTCAGACACTTTCAAGCCTTCATCATCAGGAATACTGATAGGTATGGGTGGAGGTGGAACATTGCTGCTGATAGTAGTTCCCCCTGCAAGGACCTTAGAGAAAGTGGAGCTAGTGAACCATGGATGGATGGAAGGCAGGGCAAAAAAAATCACCTTGGAGGCTGGCTTTGAGACAGTCATGGGAACATTCAACACCCATCCTGGGTTATGCCAGCCGCAAGTTCCTTCTCACAAATGTAGGTGAATTAGCTGTTCATTGACCACAAACATATTACAGTTGTTTGCATATCAACTTTCAGTTGCGAAACTGCGCAACACGTGTTTGTATATATTTGTTCACAGTACGAAATTGAAAATATGGCACAGAAACCCTAACCTCACCGCTGAATTATATTGTCACACTGCTGACACACTGAAGCGCTGAAGATTGATAGATGAGTTTTTTTTGCATGGCTCCTACATTAAACTGACTGCATCACCCTGGCCCATCAGTACAGTCTGTCTTGCAATGGTTTAGATTGGAAGCATCCTTTTTCGCTACTCGCAGCAAGTTTGCCCACAAAGGCATAAACTTGCATCGAGGCAACAGAACAAGGTTTCTCGCTGTCAATGGCTTGCCTCATGTTGCATGGGCCAGTGCACTTCAAGGGTTAGTACTTCTCACTTTGCAAAAACATTGCACTAATCCATTTTTACAATTGCAGGGCTGACTGTCTTGAGCCTAGTGGGTGCAAGTTTTCGATGGAATCTTTCCATATTGATGGATCTTGCAATTTGACAGATTATAAAAGGTGACCTGCAGCATTTTTTTTTTCAGCTCCTCTCTCGTTTTCACCATGGCGCAGGTGCCTTCAGAGCCTGCTATGAGCTCACCATCTCGACCCCTCAATAACATTCCCCACAAGAATGACCAAGCTCAACTTCTGAGCACTTTCCCATCTGATGGCTGGCTCCACAACCCTGCGTGGATTGGTGAGCATTATTTAATTAACTGAATTTCTCATTGAACCATATCTTCAAAGATGGGGGTGTCAATCCGCCACATTTCTATGTGTCACATGAACAGATCAAAGAAACTCAACGTGTGGCACTGGCAGCTGGGGCACGACCCATGGTACCCCCAGCATCACTGCCTGCTGTGATAGGTATCCCCCCCATACCACCTGTAGTACAAGCCGAAGTTGTATTGAGTGGTAATAAACATTCAATTTGTCTCAAAACACAGACTAATTCTGCTGCCTAGGACCAAGTGATCATTCTGGTCATCTTGTATCTGCTACCATGTTGTTTTCTGCTCCCAAGAAGGCATCCGGCATCTGTGGGAAGATTGCAATGAAGAAAACTCGTATGATCAAGACTGATCATGTCAGAATTGATACCATCACTCGTGTTGACTTCATTCAAGCATTTTTACGGATTCACGAGCTCTCTGACCAGTACAGTCCAGGTGCTCATACTGGCCCCAAGTTCAAGATTTGGTGGACAGGTTCAAGGTGCGCACACGTACTTTTCATCTCATGCCATCTGACAGGGTTACCAGTGGGGGGAAGACAGGTGCTTCGACAGTCGACAACAACCATGACTTTACCGTGGCACATGACACACTGCTGAAAAAGCGAAAAGCTACCTGTACTGTTAGTGTTGAATTTGATCTTGATGCTATGGAGGGTTTCCGAACACGGAAACGGGTAGGTTCAATTTGATGTGTTTGGTCTTCTACTGACTTTGCTTCCAAGCCTATCTCCCATGTTGATGCTGGGACCAAGAATGAGGAGCTCCTATATGGCACGAAGGTACGAAACTATACTGTTGTTGTTTTGATACTAAAAATTACCTTAGGTCCCACGTGTTGACATATTCTCTGATGAGGTGCAGCTAAATGGAGCCATCATCCTTCAACTGAAGGCAAAGTGGACATACGAAAAGCACAGTGGAGAACATGGCGAGTCAGGACACTGTTATGTCTCTGCGATGGGTGAACATGTTGGCCTGAACCACCGCAAGTTGAAACTTTGGGCTGCTGCCATTGTAGGTACCAATTTTGTGATGTCAAACATTTATTAATATTGATCCCAGGCTGCTGCCGATGCGACCAAGCACAAGCCTCCTAATACAGTTGATTTCAATGGACTATGTGATGGGCGAATCGATGCTATGAAGTCTTGTGGCCATAATGGTCCTCGGTTGTCATCCAGCTCTTCGCCTGATCCTACAACAGCACTCCTTGCTGCTGTGACTTCGCTCATCACAAGTCAATTGGCTTCAAAGGCAACTTTGGAACCCTCAACTCCTACTCATCACTGTCCACGAGCTCAGACACCCTTCTCCCCCATACCTGCAACTGGAACAGAGATTCACTTGTGTCTCTCTGCATTTTTACAGTCATATGATGTCGATCTTATGGGCTCTGAAGATGTTCTCTCCTCACTCGAGTTGACTCCTGATATCATAGGTGACATGCCTGTCACATGCCTATGCAATCTTCCTTGTGTGGTGGAGGGTCGTGCAATGAAGTTTCAAGGCTTTGCACGTGAGTGGAGCAACTGGCTCAAGTACAAGAAACACCAAAGAGAGTAGGCAGTCTCACATTCATTCAGCTTGTTTTCATCACCAACCATTCTTTTAATCACATCTACTACTTCCTGTCACTACATTTATGATACTCTATATCACTGCATGCAATGCTAATGTCAGTCATACCCAGAGTTCAGGATCCACCCCTCTGCATCCTCAGGTGTGATAGACATCGAGGCTTGATGTATCAACCATGGTTGAGCTTCAGGAAGTATAGCTTGTGCTTCATGTCGATGAAGCCAAGCCTTCATAGAATGAAAGGCCTGCTCAATTGGATTGAAGTCAGGCGAATACAGCAGAAGATACACAAGATGAGCACCTGCATTATCCTTAGTAGAGGACAAAGTGAGAACAACTTCAATGCTCACCACACTCTACTTCAACAATCTGTCAAATTTCGTCATCATGATGAATTGATGCATTATCAAGGACAACAACACTTCAGGGCCCAGGATAAGGTGTTAGCTTTGGTGCCTGCAAGATATCACTTAGGACTCGAAGTAGTAACCAACGAGTTGTTCTGTCGTACCACCTGCTCACTTAGAAACATTAGAAACTGTTCCTTGTTGACAGAACCTTCGAAGATATTGAGTGCAATGATACCATCAATGGAAAGGGCAGGGAGGACAGAAAAGTGTTGACCATGGACAAAGGTTGCCCTTCATACACATGCAGTGCCAAGTTGTGACCAGCCTTCACCTCGCTGATTGGTTCGATTGTCTACTCCCGACTCATCAAGCCAAACAAAATACTCCTTTGGAATATCTCCATGTGCTGCTTGCCACATTGCACGCAGTGCCTCGTTCCGTTCCATAGCCATTTTTGAGACTTTTTTGTGTGTAATAGCCATATGATGAAGGGTGTGAGAAAGTGTTGCAATTGACACCTCCACATTGCAAGTAACAAGAAGTTTCTCTTGAAGCTCGTCAAGGTAGACTGAAGGGTTGGCATCGAGAATGGAAGTGATGTACGTGAGGTCTCCTTGATCGAGTGTTCGTGGACACCAGCTGCTCATATGAAATGGGTTGCTAGCTTGGCCAAAGTCGTGATAAAGACAGAGGATGTTATAGACGGTTCATTCAGTACATCCGACAATTTCAGCAATATCTGCTGCAGTTCTATGCTGTTTGTAGCGCAAGACCACAACACGCATTCTGATCTCTTGAGACAGAGCCATTGGCATGGAGGTGTGACACGTCACATCAACATGTAGGTATATCCAACTATCTACAGGTATTTTCTGCCCTACAAATATACACAAATATGTGTTGTGCGGTTTCGCAACTGAAAGTTAATATGCAAATGACTGTAACTCACCTTTACTCTACCGGTCCACAGGCAACTTCACACTATGTCATGAATGCTCTCCAGCGCTTCTTCATCCAAGCAACCAAAAACCGCCCTCAACCTCTTCCAAAAACCAAACTGCACACTTCCAGCAACTCCTTGCACCTCGGTTTCCGTGTGTCTTGCCTTGTTGGGCCTTCCTCGTGTGTAGTAGATCCCAGTCTCTACTATCTGTTGCTGATCGTCTCCAAACCAGACCAAATGCTGTCAACCACATCAGCATCCATCCACATATACGAAGTGCAGGGTCGCATACCATATCCACAAGGCTCATTGATCAGAGTAATAGTAAGTTGTGCTTGGCTAGTAGATGATATCACGCTGAAAATATGAGGTACAGGATGCACAATTATTCGTTGGGCGCACTTTTCTCACACTTTTGGTTGTCATAAACAGTGAGGAGATGGTCACACCTCCTGTGGCATTGTCATTAGACTTAGTAGTTGTAGGATAGGCACTTGTTAGTTGTAAAAATTCCATCACTTAATTCGCTTGTACACAGTTACTTTGGCTTGCCTCCTTTTTACCACTTATTTTGCTTTTCGGCGCTTGTGGGTGCTTGTACAAAAATTTGACAAGTGCATAAGCACAAATAAGCAGTGGCACTTTGACAATTTTCAGGACAAGTAGCAAAAAAGGATGTTAAGGAATGTGCGAATTTACTGATATTGTAGTCTTGCAGAATGGCGGACACATTGGCGAAGAACAGGCCACCTGGATGGCACCATTAATATTACTAATTAGTAATAACATCGGGTATCCCATTTCGTTACTACTTAGTAAGGGCTACCTATCTATCCCCCTACCAGCAAGAAAATCAGTACTTCAGCAGTACCTTGGGTGAATTTGAGCTCGCTGTGTGCTACTATTTCGGGCACCTATTATAATAAGCTTTGTCACCATAAATAGATATGAGCGGATAACTCCGGATGTTGTGGTCATCGCTTCCCCACATCACACGGTACCTCCCACGGTTGTCAGAAGCTCGCACTCGTCGTTGTCGACAGTGAGCTCGTCTTTTCTCTCATTCTGGGTCCATTTCCCCCCCTTTTTTCATAGGACTTTGTTTTTTACATCTAGATGGTGTCCCAAAGCCCTCTAGGCATGGCTTTCCCACACAGTCTTGGTTCAATCAACATCAATAATGTTCCCACGGATAGCCTACCTCTACACCTCCCTACACAATGACCAAGCGCAAACGCACCTTCGCAAGGTCAATGTTCGGCTCTGTTCAGGAGACGGTCATCAGAGACATAGGTACTTCTCAGACACTAAGAGCCAACCTCAGCAAGATCCATTCAGATAGGTTGGCGCTTGAAAGGCAACACTTGGAGAGTCAACAAGGTATGTAGTCTGCGCTGTCTTTCTTTCTTGAACTTCACGGAAAGGCAGGTATCTCTGCTGCTACACGACAGCTTCTTGCAGAGGCTGCTATTCACGCAAACAATTACTCGAATGATGTCAGCAGTTCTTTTCCAGACTTCGGTGCCTTGGACTCAAACATCGAACCAGTCGAAAGCGATGCCTCTGTTAATGAGGGTGCAGACGAGGACTCTGAGATCTATACACCTGTTACTGGTGATGAACGGCATGCAGTTAGTGCAGCGCGAAAACATGTCTTTGCATGGTGAGTTTTCTAATGTTCTTATCTTCAGTGAAACCAAAGCTTTGTAGTATTCAAGGTAGGCATCGACAACGATGTGCCCCACGGACCCGCCTTCTACGTAACTGACAGATGCATGCTGCCTGGTGCAATCAAATGCCAGACCTTGTTAAAGCATTCTTGCAGTGGAAACAAGATCCAGAACATGCTTGCATATGCCCTGACCCCATCGAAGAGAACGATGAATGCGAGACGACGATGGTTTTTCAGATCTCCACCATCGATATTACAAGTAGATCTTTTTTTCTTTCTTTGGGATATTCTCATGCATCTTTGTAGACCATGTACATGTGCGGTCTGTCAATCAATGTGATGATGAACTCGCCAATGTGTCCCTGATAAGGGCGGGTTACCTTGGCGGCTCCCCTGTTCAACCTATGCTGGCCGTCTCTATGGAGTGCCTTGAACTCTATCACCAAATTCACAGAAGAAAACCCTTGTTCAGTGTACAGGCAATGGTCAAGGTGTTATGTGCACTCCACAATGTGAGTCTCGAGTGCCGAACCAAAACTTTGATCCATCCTTACTGACCCTACTATCCCATTAGCGTACTTATTATCAGTCGCTACGGGACCAGTTTGCTGTGGCCTTTGATGCATATCTCGAAATCTTAAGACAGGTGAAAAGTCTTGTTGATCGAGCACTGGGACAAGACACACCACATTGGCGCATGTTGCATGCTTGCCCAGCATGTGACTATAAGGTCAGGCACTCAACATAATTGCCAAGCATACTTACAAAACTGGTGACAGCAACTTGATGAGCTGCCTCTTTACCCTGCGCGACTTGATGCCTTTGATGGCAATAACTCGCTGAAACGTGTTGATGGCTCTGGCCATGCTGACGAGTGCTGCTTCACCTCTTCGTATCACATTAGTACTGACGAGGTAGAACAATTCAAAGATGATGTTCGCTTACGCCCTGGCGCTCGCCCAGCCACTGTGCATGTGGAGCCCGAAACTTCGGTTGTGCAAGAGACTCCCGCTTCACTCGAACCTTCTGCTTCACTCGAACTTTCCACTCCACTCAAACCTTCACCTGCCATTCGGGTTTCAAATGATTCGTTGTGTACAGACAACTGGAAGGCTGCGAATACAATAACTGAAAATACCACCAATGTGTTTGAACAAACAGGTGTCTTCGTTAGCGCATGCCGTCATGGGATTATTCAAACTCTTGTTGAAATGAGGCGAAGTGGTGAACTGTACGTGCAGTTCTTTTTCAAGTTAATTGTTTAATGTACAATATGTATTTATTAAGCGCAAAGTATGCTCTTGCAACAGCGAACAAGTTGATTGATGTCTATGGGCCCAATGGTGTGACTGGTTACGACATTGGTTGCTCATTCTCAAAGACAGCCATGGCCAGCTCAATCGCTGACAAAGTGAAGACCCTAAATCATCGTTTCGTTGTCAACTCTTTTCACAGACATGCCCACAATCGTCGCTGTCAACTACAGTACCATACTCTCTATCAAGAAGGTCTTGGGATCGAGGATCTGGAGACTTGTGAGCATGTTTTTTCAGGTTCTAATGCTGTGGCGCCACTCATACGCCACGCATCATATTTTCATTGGTTGCAATTCATCGACCTGCAATTTGATTAGTGGGATCAAGACCGCTATCAGGAACTTAGTAAGTTTCATGGCTTCTTGCCAACCTATTTTAATATCTCTATATTTAGGTCAATTCCTCTACAACAACTACAAGCAGGCGCTTGACATTATCAATGATGTAACTCCCGCTGTTGAGGAATTGAAAGCGCAGCTCGATCTTACAGACGCTGACTTCCATCGTTGGAACATTGAAGAACTTGAATATCTCGAGAGCCTTGCCAGTGAGGTGGAATATGATCCTCAGAAGACAGCATATGTTGAAGCACTCCAGTCTCTGATGATGGCTGAGTACGTGATTCATCTCTCAATATGCTAGCTTCATTTGTGAAGTGTTTCTAGGGCTGAATATGGTGGTATCACTTCGGTTCAATTTCTCTCGTATGTACCAGCCGATTTCACACAACACTCCGGGCTACGCAAAGGACCCCAAGCAGCCACCAGAGCATGGGAAGTTGAACGTCGAGCCGCGCACAACAAACTCCTTCTTGAAATGAACACCGTGCTTGATTTAGAGAGGAGGATCGGCATTACACAACGCTGGACTCCGGCTGACCTTGAGTATCAAGAAGCACTCAAATACTTGCATAATCAGCAGTTTATTCGTGCCGTTCAGCATCTAGAAGGTCTTGTAGTGCAGAGATTGTTCGAACTTGCCAAAGCAAACTTAGCTGGTACAGGTACATACTTTGTGTTGATGCTTGTGTTCAAACTTCGCTTACACGCTGTCTAGGATATAAAATGCAGCAACAAATCTCGAATGCAATCACTCAATGTTCCACCGCAATCCGGAATGCTTTTGAGCGCTACAATCAACTGGCACCTTTGCAAACACCTCCCCAGGAAGTGTTGAAGTTCAGTGAGGTTGCATCTTACGCATGGTTGGGGAGTTTGAGTTGCTCAAACACTCACGGCAGGAAGTATTGACGAAACCTTGGGTCTCCAAAGCAAACAGGGAGGTTGCAGGGAAGTACTTCAAGATCATTCGCGCTCGTGAAGAGATTAACTGCCTTAACATTGAAATTGCCTGCCTTCAGAAATGGGTCGATGACGAAGATGCTCACCTCTTCACAACTGCGACGTCACTCAGCATGAGTAATCCTGCTCTTGCTAGTGATATCCGCAGACTGCATGACAAACGCCAACGAGTGAACAATGTTCACCCCATGCGCCTTCAAGCAATATATGCACTGCCGGGTTTTAGTGGGGTTTGCTGCAGTATTGAGCTAACTGACTCCGCGGTGATTGACGAGCTGCAGAATGCAACCCCCATTGAAGTTGATGAGGATGACATGTTATGTGATGAAGCTGCTCGTTTGGAATCTTGTATTGCATAGTACTATATCAATTATACAGGCTATGTGTTACTGCTGAATGAATGAATGAACTGCATACAATCAAGACAACGATACAACTAGTAGACTTAAAGAATGAATGAGTCAGTGTGCACGAAGTAACATATCAATTATACAGGCTCTGTGTTACTGCTGAATGAATGAACAAGTTGCATGCAATCAAGACAACGAATGATACAACTTGACTTAAGGAATGAACGAGCCGGTGTGCACGAAGTAACGACATTAATAGTAATTCCCATTGTAAACAACAGGTTTGAACTCGTCAAATGGGCTATATCTGTCTATCTATAATAACTTAACAGTTGCAGCCCGAACACCGACCAAATATCCACCAGCTGAAACCACCGGCCTGAGAGACTCAGCAGGCTAGTAGTATTTAACTGATAGCTTCCAGGATTACCCTAAGAATGTATTAACAGGGGCCCAAGCTCAAGTTTCACGATAGCGGGCATGACCATAATATTGTAAGCACCGTCATTTATTCTCAGCCCACCTTACAACTCACTCTTGAATACCTTCAATCTAAACTCAATCTCAATATCAAGGGAAATGTTTGCGAGCCTCCAATGGCTTGATCTAGCCAGCCATGGCAGCCAAAATGTATGTCCTGCCAGCGTGTACTTTAGCAAACTCTGCTGAACCATTTTAAATTTTCAGAAATCTGTTGTTGTAACACTGGAAGCACAATTTATCTTCCAGAAACATGCAGCGCAGTCTGCGCAAGCTAGAATACTACCAGGAAATGGTCTTGATCAGCCTGCAGTCCTCATCACATCAAGCAAGGTTGCTGCATTGCAAACAGTACAACAACAATTGAATAGCACAGATATCGCTCAAACTGTGGACTTGCTGGAGGAAATTTTTGCCTCTGGGATCGCAGAGAGGGTTTGTACGTCGGTTTTCAATAGTAGCTGGAAACATATACCTACTGTTTCTTGTACTACCTCTGGTATGTTTCTAATACGCATTGCTTGTTGCGCAGGTTGATTCACCTTTTTTTTCAAGGTTTAAGCCAAGAAAATATATTTCAGCAAGGGAGCTGTGCTTTGCTACCATTTCCGCCGCTTCCTGAATCTCTGGCCACTCGTCAGGGTACTACACCTACTCAGAGTCATATCCAAGAAGTTTTGAGCCGTCCTGACTTTGGGACATGGTGGCTCACGCAGCCGATGAACCAGCAGGCCTCTGTTACAAACTTTCGCTCTCGTGGTATCAATACCGTCTCTCGGGGCATCAACACCAGCTCCAGTTCTCGCTGTGGTATCAACACTATCTCTTGCTCTCAGGGCATCAATGCTGGCTCCAGTTCTTGCGCAAGACCTGTAGCGACTGCTCATCAGCAGCCCACGCTCAACACTCATCATCAGCCTACTCTTCGCCATCAGCCCATTCCTCACCAGAGTCAGCCCACTTCTCGTCATCAGCAGCAAGCGGTACCACAGACACAAAGTGCAAGTGTTGTTTATAACACTCGTACTTCTTTGAACCGTCCAAACAATCTCTCTCCCACTTCTGTAGATGATTTGGACTCTGACTCCATGTATCTTTCAGACTCGTCTGACTCTGACATTTATGGCATCGGAGCAGAGGTTACATCCATTCAGGCTCAGGTCAGTATTGTTATCCACTGTGACTTCTTAATTTTTACTGATGAACGGTTTGACTGTGCAGCCTGGTACTACATCCGAGTCTGTCGTGGAACCAGTGGTGGCCTCTGGACGGCGTCTGCAGCACCATGATGTTGGACACACCACCACTCACTTTGATGATGAACGTGGTGAAGTTAATCGGCCCCGACAAACCTTAATTCCTTCTGCATCCGAATCATCCGGTGCTCAAGATTTTATCTTGCCCCCACCACCATACGAGTCTGTTGTAGACACTTGGCCACCAATTGTTTTCATACAGAATGTTCAGTTTCATGTTTCTAACATTTTCATGTGTTGACATTATTATTCTAGGGAATTGTCGTCAGGGTGGGCGCTATCCGAAATCAATATCACACCATAGACCAAGGAGATAGACAGTAGTTAGTAGGGCGTTATTCGGAACCAAAACCAAAAAAAAATAGACAGTAGTTAAATTTGACAACATCATCAATTGGACCATCACAATATTGTATGACATGTGAAACAAACAAGACTAGTAAACCAACCCTGAATTTTAGAGACCAACCGAAGTTCCTTCATACACAAAGCCAAGTCCTGCCTGCGAGTGACCCCAACCTTCACCAATCTGAAACTTCACTTCACATTATGGTTAAATCAACAACCAAAGCAACGCGTGTCCGCGCGAAGCTGACAACGGTCCAAAAAGCTGCGTGCTGTGAAAAATTCACAAACTTGATGAATGCACTCACGACAGCACAAGATGCCTATCAAGAGGAAGCACGCGCCATTGCACAAGAGCACGGTCAGTAAGTCCATTTAATACACCAAAACCAAAGTATGACTTACTCGTCTACAGAAGCTTGAAGTGGACCCGCAAGCAACTTCACGTAGGCAAGGGCATTTTCAACAAATGCCGCGTGAATCCCTGGAATGCATTTGTGAGACAAGAGCTGAACAAGTACAACGAAGGTACTTGTATTTATGACCTGCAAAAAATAATAATATTGACCTACAGTAAAAGGACGTGGAGTGGGAGATCGTTTAAAATTGCCTGTGTTCATTACAGAAAACCGCACACAATTAATGACAAGTTATTGCCGCTTGACAGTGGCCGACAAGAACCATCTTCAAGATAACGTCGAGACGCTTCGTCAGTCCCGCGTAAAAGTCACTCGTGCTAACCCTAAGGCACTACAGAAAGATGTCAATGCTACATTCAATGCAATGCAGACCGAAGTACTTAATTTTTATTCGGTCCATGAAATACGCACTAAATGGTTGAACAGTGGACTGCTATCCAGGCTCGAACAGGTATTGAGGGGATCTACCTTGTTGTCCGTGGCGATGTCGAGCAGTACCACGAGCCGAAGCTCTTTTATACACCTAAGGTTGCTTCATTCATCAAAGACGTGCTTGGCATGGAGCCGAAGTGCTTCGCACTTAAACTCGAGTCTTGGGTTGTTGGAGATTTCGGTAAGTCCAATTGTATCTGATGAAGCATCAAATGTACTCAACTTTAATGTAGATAATACCGCGACAATCAGTCAACGGCTTTCTTTGACAAAACTCATAAGCTTATGTCACCGGAATATCCAAGACGGTCTCGGTAATTTGTCGTGAATGGTTCATTGTGACTCGCTGACATGTCATGCAGATATTATTCTTGGCATGACAAAGCCTTCACGAAAAAAGAGGGTCACAATGAACTACGATAATTACGAGCAGAAAATCGTAGAAACTTATGCTGTTGCTCTCCAAGGCTATCCACTTGGCAACATGCAAAATCCTGGGAAAATAGGCCACCGCGAAGATCTAATGAAGCTGCTTGATAGCCTCATGAGCACAACTTGTTCGTGGGTGCAACTCACTGAAGATGAGGTGGCGGAGCACAAGAATAAAAACCAGGAGCGTGAGGCTCGTGGCGAGCAAGTCTACAAGCCCCGGAAACGGCGCACAAAGGCTCCGAAAGCACCAAATTGGAACGCAAAGAGCACTGAGTTCGTGGAGGACGAAGAGGACGAAGAGGACGAAGCAGACGAAGGGGATGAAGAGGAGATAGGTGGAGATGCAGGTGATGTTGTGAGTGATGAGGCCAGTGGGGAGCTTGGTGGTCTGGTGACCACTGACTAGTCTATGCTGGTCAGCATATCAAGGGCGGGTTTGGGACACATACCATCGTGTAGCGCATGTAATGACGAGCATGTGGTAGCCATGGGATTATTATTGTTGTTGATTGAACCAAGACTTTGAGGGAAAGCTATGCCTAGAGGGCTTTGGTATGCTATCTAGCGCATGTAAAAAACAAAGTCCTGTGAAAAAAAAGGGGGGAAATGGGCCCAGAATGAGAGAAAAGACGAGCTCACCGTCAATGACGATGAGCGCAAGCTGCTGACAACCGTGGGAGGTACCGTGTGACGTGGGGAAGCGATGACCACGACATCCGGAGTTATCCGCTCGTATCTATTTATGGTGGCAAAGCTTATTATAATAGGTGCCCGAAATAGCAGCACACAGCAAGCTCAAATTCACCCAAGGTACTGCTGAAGTACTGATTTTCTTGCTGGTAGGGGGATAGATAGGTAGCCCTTACTAAGTAGTAACGAAATGGGATACCCGATGTTATTACTAATTAGTAATATTAATGGTGCCACCCAGGTGGAACAGGCATCAATATTCAAGCTCCGATACCTAATGCCGGCCGACTCCATCGTTGAAAACACTTAGCTGATTTTTTACCGAACGCTTTAGTGAGTTTAGAACTTTACTTTGAGTCCCACTATTAAATGTGGGAAACATAGGTGGCGCCATGCATGCTCAAAAAAATTGATGTTTTCACGGACTTATGCAAAGGGCTGTAATTTTGACAGGCTAGGGAAAATTCGTTTAAGTTTACGTGGGAGGGTTTTCCTGATGTTCGCTGCTTGCTCTTCAGATAAGTGATAACGGAATGGAGGTCCAGGCTGATAAAGAGCATCTAATCTATGGAGGGCTCTTGAATGCGTCAAATCATTGTGCACTCATGATCATCGCCTCGCAGCCAGGGAGAACAATGATCTATGCCGGTCCGTCTAGGGAAATTCTGCGGCGACTCTCGTGGTCAGCATCCCCACTAGTACTTGCACCCTGTGTCCCATGATAGGAAAGCTCGAGACTTGACTCTGTGAAATTGCGAAGCCGTGTTGTGCTTACAATAAACTGATATGTCTCAGTAAGCGATCGTGAACACTGTAGAAGATCATTTGCATACCTGATTCAGGCAGTCCCAGTACCTTCTTCATCTTCAAGCAACTTGAAATTCATGTCAGGCAGAAACTGAGACACAATGAAGTCCAAGGAATTCCTCCTGTGCTTTACAAACCATGCAAGAACACCAACAATGACCATCTGCTCGATCCGTTTTGAGATGGTCATGCATCCAGTGTCCTCTCCCAGCGACAGCTCGGATCCCATGAGCTTTATGAACTCCTTCATAGTCAAAAAAAGCAAGTCTGAATGAGCCTTTGGCATTTTGACGACGAGCCGCGCATTGCGCAGTTGCAAAGAGTACGGTTCTGGCGGAGACCTCATCACTGTGTCAAGACATTGGATTATGCAAGCCATTAACCTGTAGTAGCTCTGACTGATGGAGTTGGTGGTTGGCCCAGCCATCCCGCATATTCGTTGTAGCGCACATGCTATGTGATAATCGGAAGAGAATCCTGGTGGTGAGGCCTTGCACATGAACTCTGTGAAGTTCGTGAATACATCTGCTAGGGTGCCTTTCTTGAATAGTCTTGGCAAGATCTCGGGGGCCTCCGGGCTGCTACACGAGAGTGTATGCCACACTCCAGGGCTCCTTGACGCACGTGCAAGAAAGCTCACTATGGCGACTTCATTTTGGAGCTCTTCCAAAATCCCCTCACCTCCAAACATCTCCGCGCCCAGTGTGCTCATGTACGGTATCATGAATTGGAAGAGTTGAGAAGACGACTCGGTGGGAATCGAGGATATTAGAGGAGCGAAATTGACGCCCTCAGCGAAAGAGATCTCATCCTCCGAATCTCCCTTGCAAGCATTGAAAGCCTTGTCGACTTCTCGGCTGATTTCGTCTGCAAATGAGTTGGGCTTTGCTTTCTCCATGATTTTCAGCACTAGATGTGCCCTATTGTATACAGAGTGGAACTGCCTGCATCCCGTGCTTATCTGCATGAGAAGCACATAGAGCACTACATCAACAAGTGAAAGTGCATCGGAATCCTTGTTGGGGACAGCAACTGGTGAGTGAAATAGTGGGTGAAGGGCTGACACATCTGCCCTCATACTGGTGGTCAGACGCGCAATGAGCGGAACGACCAAGTCACTCTCTGGGAAGTTACTTGGTAAACTCCGGAATGCACGGGCAGTGCAAAGCATACTCTCCCTTGACAGGAAAGTCAAAGAGTCTGTTTGCTTCATGTTGGTTAATACAACGGAATTCAGCTCCAATGTTTGAGGTCGGGACAGCTTTGTGATTTTGAATACAAACCCGTTGTTTCCTCCTTCATCAGACAACCTGTAGCATTCAAGTGACCTGGCAGATTGGAAATCTGCGTGGCTTATTATGCCATCTTTCCCACTGGCGTAAGTTGGTGGTGCTGGATTCGTATTAAGCAAGGAATTCTTGAGTGAACCTGCCGGTATGTATCATCTCATTTCTGGACGCAGCAACCCACAGCGCAGGACGATAGCAATGCGAGGGCTGACCACGAATATGCGGTGCAGACCAGGGTAGCCACCTGCCAAACCTTCCCACAAACTGAAAGAATTATGCATAAGGATGAACTCTTCCCCTTCTGCGGCTTCCCAGATACTAAAGAAGTAACTGTTCGCCTGACCGTGATAAGCGACAGCTTGATAGTGTTCGAGATCAGGTGGGATATGCAATTCAGCGATCATTTTTACAAGACCGACTTCACCATACTTCTCTATGAGTTCTGCAGCATCTCGCACGATGTCTGTGTTACGGTTATCCTTTTTCCCCTAAACCTTGTCACAATGTCACATACTGTCACACCTTTCACACTGTCACATTTCACATCTTCACATATCACACTTCTATTACATGTACTTCTAGAACATTCAATCATATGATTCTCTTTTCCTTTTTCTCATTGGCTCATTACTATTGAAGCTCCGCTTCTATTATTCATTCGCCTCTTCAATACTCTTATATATACCTCTTACTTACCTCCTGTACTCTTTAACTTGACCTACGCAGACCAGGGCCTGCAATCTACTCTTTTACTTGCACGACTCTAACACTAGGGTGTTAGCTAGAACTTTTGACTACTTTTGATTACTGCTAAGACGTCTGACGACGCTGAGCATAACAGTCTGAATGAGACGTATCGAGGTAATATCTGAGGACATGTAGCCACATCTCGACAGCGGATTGGAGGCCCTTTGCCTTCATGAAAGACTCAATCCACTGACGGGCCCCTACGTTGTCCAGGTGATCTGCTTGGAAGTATTGGCTGGAGCATGATACATTGCGATAATGCATGATAAATAGGAATTTCCGCAAGAGCTCTAAAGATCTGTGCTTCAGAGTGAAAGTACCCTGAGGAAGTGCTCTATGCAAGTCCTCGATGATGGAGGCTGCCTGATGTTCGAGGTCAGCCAGTTTTGTCTCTAGTTCGTTGACATCTTCAGTGTTGCGGACATCCTGGTATAAATTCGATATGCCATAAACCTTTCCAATAGGACGAATGTCAAGGCTGCCTGTAGCAATGTCATAGTAGTGGACGTATTCAGGGTCAACACCAGTGAGTTGAAACTCTTTTTGTCGTTCTGCTTTGGACCTGCCACAGAGAATATGATTACTGTCCGTCTACATGAAGAGTGCTCCAAAAACGCACTTCACAGGTCCAACTTGGAATCTTCATAATATGAACCGTGGAATAAAATGTTGATATTGATGCGTAGGCGCCTGCGGAGAGGCATTTATCTTCTGAGCTTCTCCTGTGAGCTCGGCTTTCGCTTGCTGTTTGGGGGTTCGAGTATTCCCATGACGTCTTGGCATTCTGTAGTGTTGGAACGTATGGGACGTATGGACGAGAGGGGCTGAGCGCTGAGCTGTGGCTTGCCTTGCCTTGCGGCTAGGGCAGTGTAATGCCAGGAAAGGCACCATGAGGTGATCTGCACCTGTCCATCTATGGAAGTCCCGGAGATCACGGTAATGAGACCGCCCGTCAAGCAAAAACAAACACCTTCATCCAACCTTCATCCGCATGACTCAGACAAAATATGTACCCCCTGTGCAATCCTTGTGAAAGGACCGTGACAGAAGTCTTGTAAGTAGCATGTTCTTCCCAGAAATGAAATTCAACCTGCCCGAACACACATTCCTTTGAAAGCCCCGTCTATTGAGTATCTATCTAACTTGAACCATTCAGCCTGAGAGAAAATGCGTCGTGAGTAATGCATGAATGCATGATGCCTGGTAGTACAGTGTATCGTCAACTTGATGCTCGCTGTTGGACTGATGTCACATGAATGTCAATCAAGACTCATTGAGTCATGAAGAAAACACCAACAAGCCTCAATCGTGCACATGCTGCACGTTCAAGTGGACATTGTCGACTTGAGGTGTTGCGACTGCTCAGAGAATGTGAGGTGTTAGTACGCGAGGAAAGAGCTTGAATGAGTTGTGTGCCATCATCTACGTAAGTTACTTACTTACAGTAACCACGACGTGGGTGCCTACTATGGTCAGGCTTTTGATGCATCAAAGTCGTGAACTGTAAGGATTACCAATCGTCTATCGCCGGAAACGGCCGAATCAACACTTACCGCTACCACAACCATCCTCACCGGTGCTGTCAACCTGCAAGCCCCGTCTCAACTCTACCGCCAATTCCTCGCCACTACTCGACCCTCTTTTCATCACCGTCGCCCTAATCGCAACCCAACCGTCCAGAATCTATCAACAAACCCTTAGCGACTCGTTATTTTGTCAAATACCATACCCAACCATGCCGCCACTTACCCAAACTCTCGTACTTTCCTTCTCGCCAGTTTACTCTACCCTGTCAAGCGCGACGCCACTCCCTTCAGCGTCCGTCGTCACCTAATCGATCCGTTATAGCCGTAGCCGAGGACCCTTAGCACTCGAGGTATAAAAGTAGCACATGTACACTCACTACACCAGGCAATAATAACCAGTATCAACTTTCCCTTTCGCACTCGTCATCTAACAGTCTCATTATATCTATCATTGAACATCTCGAAAACTCGTCACACTCCTTATCGCATAACTATTAGTAACGCTAATCTAACTCTGCAGTGCACCCCCAACTACTCGCGGTCTCCACGTCCCTTCGAACTCGCTAGAACCGTTTAGGTTCTTACAGAACTCCTACGAATAGGAATGCATTTGAAACTTGGAGCTCCATACTGGCGAGCTGAGAGATGTGAGGAATGAGGTTCACTGACTGGTTACTTTGATATGTAGTAGGAGCTACTAGGTGGTGCGCATTTGGGGTAGTGACCGTCATACTTGCGAAGAGCAAGCCGCAATGAAGGTGAGTGGTGACAGCGGGTGCAACTTATCATCTACTACTTACAATAGATTGTATCTAAGGCTATTTTTAAACAGGGTCGTTCCGTCTGGGGCACCATCCCATCTAAAAATGACGATCGACCCTAATACTTATAATATGCACTGGCAGGGCCACATATCAGATGAGCATACTCAGCTGACGAAGAATGCCCCGAGATCTCAGATCTGATGTACAGAAGTACATGAGAACATCGAGATGGCACGCCGTTCTCCTTGAATGTTTGAGCTCATTCACCTTTCACTGTTCGTCGACAATTCGAAGAAACTTTTGCTATCATGTCCACACCAAAGAAAGTGCCGTACGGTGAGTATGGCTACGTTTTATAGGATGCTACTCATTCCAACCATGGCTCAGTCAGGCTGGGTAATTCTGGCTTAAAGGTGTCCAGAATCATACTTGGCATCATGCAATACGGCAACAAGGGATGGCAAGATTGGGTTCTCGGAGAGGATGAAGCAGTCGAACACATCAAAACAGCGTAAGTTCAGTCTCAATAAAATATCCATAAATCCTCTGATCACTGGGAGCAGTTATGAAGCAGGAATTCAGACATTTGATACCGCTGATGTGAGTTACCCAATATCACGATTCAGTGTCAATTCTTGCTAAATCAAGGATATTGCGTATTATATATTTCTTAGACGTATTCCAATGGTTACTCAGAAGTAATTCTTGGACGAGCCATCAAGAGATTGAAGTTACCTCGCGACGAAATTGTTGTCATGACCAAGGTACGTGTCGTCAGTGGTCTCGAGTTCTCTCATCAGCTCTCCCTCAAACAGGTGTACCATGTGGTCGGACGTGAATATAGTGCCAACCGGTTCTTTCCCGGACGTGATGACCCAGATCAAAATGGTTTTGTGAACCAGCATGGCCTCAGCCGCAAGGCATGTTTTCATTCAAGATTTTGAGGTCTCTTGACGTTTTCAAATTACGAACAGCACATCTTCGCAAGCGTGAAACAGAGCTTGGAGCGGCTTCAGCTGGATTATATTGACCTTCTACAATGCATGTCCATCCATCAATGTGCTAACCGCTTTCTCATACTGCTTATTCACTTGCAGGTCACAGATTCGACAAGGAAACACCGATTGAAGAGACGGTAGTGCCTATTTTATTCTTGCTTTCCTATGCTAATTGTTGAGAAGATGCAAGCATTGCACGACGTAGTCAAAGCCGGCTATGTCCGCTACATCGGAATGAGCTCGTGCTGGGCATACCAGTGTAGGTATTCATTCTCCTTTGCAGCGTCAGTCTAATGTCAGTTTGCTGCCCAGTCCAAGCGATGCAAAGTTGGTTCTCAATCGAGTGTACATGCCTTCCTCTGACCCTAGATTAATGCAGACTATGCGATCACAAACAAGCTCACCCCTTTCATCTCCGTGCAGAACCACTACAGTCTACTCTATCGCGAGGAGGAACGCGAAATGTTTCCTACTCTCAAGGTTCTTACATAGTACTGAGGATATTAGCGTTATGACTCACAAGAATGAAGATGTTCGGTGTCGGCTCAACCCCATGGTCTCCGCTGGCTCGCGGTGCCCTCACACGCCCCCTTGGACGGCAGACCAATAGAGGTCAATCTGATTCGCAAGTTTTCCGACATCTTATTCGGAGTGATCGTCTGATTCATGCTTTTTCACAGGATGATTGGGAATTATGTCCATGTATCGGCGTACGAAACTACCATTAACCGGTATGCTGATTCCGTCATAAGAAAAGCAGTGAACTGACAGGCTGATCAGTGTCGAGGAAATTTCCAAGAAGAAAGGCGTAACCATGGCCCAAGTAGCAATAGCATGGATCTTGACAAAGGATGGTGGGTGATTTCATTCACATTCACGTGGGTACTCAATCCATATAATTGTTCCTCCAGGAGTGTCGGCTCCAATTGTTGGAACTACAAGTCTTGAAAAACTGAAAGACATCATTGGTCAGTAGCGATCGTCTATATAAAGAATTTCCCATTGACGTCGAACCCAAGCCGGACTCGATGTGAAGCTTACGGCAGAGGAGATCAGATACCTTGAGGAAGAGTACAAACCTACCGCTGTGATTGGTCACTCCTGAGTAGTGTAAGGCCGACTTATAGTTCGATGGGGAATTGGAACGAGAAGACGAGAAATGCGAGACGTGTCGTTTTACGACACGAAAGCGAGAACAACGAGAGAATCTGTAAGGCTGGTGCTGTGAGGATCTTTTCGTGCTTGGAGCGGGGAATCAGAGTCTTGGATTCTGCTATAGGTATGAGTGTACATGGGCGGTTTATATACGTTTTTCGAGTACTTGGCTAGACCTGAATGAGAATACGAAGCATATGGAGAGGTGAAAATACTTCGGTGAAGCAAGGAGATCGTGGAGCGTGAGCACAAAGTGAGATAACGAAAGAAAGTGAAAAGGAGATGTAAAGGAATGTATCCGCGTGACTCGGATGCGAAGAGTGACGCTCTTCGCATCAGTGTGTCACATGGACGAGTTCGAACGCGTGGCGATTCGATCGTCTTCATTTTGAAGCGCGGTCGGGGCATAAAGGATATTGAATCCTTACAGTAGTCGAAGATACAGCTCTGATAATGTTTATTGGTCTTGATCTACTGCTTGCTTCAGAAAAGTGATCAACGGATGATAAAATGGAGATTGCAGCTGCTGAACGACAACGCTGACCTACTGCGTGCATACTGACGAAGAGCCTCTAACGTTTGGAGGGCTCTTGAATGCATAAAATCTAGTCTACTTATACTCACCAAAGGCCACATCGTGCGCGCCTCGCGACCAGGGTAATGTTTTGCTATCACGATGATCTGCACCTGTCCGTCTATGGAAACCCCTAATCCGTCACGGCGATGACTTTGGTAGTCAGTTTCCCCGCTCATACCCTGTGACACATGACAGGAAAGATCGAGACTCGACTTTGATATCTTCTATACATGTACGACTGATGTATCTCAGTAAGTGATTCTTGAACGCTATAAAAATCATTTCGCAGGTGATTCAGGTACTCACAGCAGCAGCTTCTTCATCTTCAAACAGCTTGTAATTCATATTCGGCGAAAACACATCCAGAACAAAGTTCAAGAAATTCCTCCTGTGACGATGGCCATCTCACCTACCCGTTTTTGGAGTCTCCTCTGGATTGCCCTATCCCGGCGAGGGCTCGTACTCCGGGAGCGCTGCCCGCAGGATCTTCTTCATAATTTACATGAGCAGGTGCGAATGCGCCTCTGGCATGCTGTGAACGAGCCGGGCCTTGGGCCTCTCGCGCGGCTGCGAGGAGTACGATTTTGGCGGGGACCATAGCATTGGGTGACCAAGACCTTTCATTATGGGAGCAATTAACTCGTAGTAGCTTTGAATAATGGGGCTGGTGGTCAGCCCAGCCATAACATATATTCATCGTAGAACGTACCCTGTCATAACAGGAAGGGGCTCCTCATGATGAAATTTTCGCAATAGATCTATCCGCTTGGATGCCTATCTTCGACAGTCTTGACAAGATCTTGGGGGTCTCTGTATCGCTACACAAGAGCGTGTGCCACACTCCAGGGCTGCGTGACGCACGTTCGAGAAAGCTCACCACGGCAACTTCATCCCGGAGCTTGTCCAAAATCTCTTCGCCTCTAGACATCACTGCGCCCAGTGTGCTCATGTACGGTATCATCAATTGGAAGAGTCAAGAAGACGACTCATTATGAATCGAGGAGAGCAAGGGGGCAAAACTGGAGCCCTCAGCGAAAGACATCCCGTCCTCCAACCTCCCTGGCAGGCCTTGAAAGACTTATCCACTGCCCGGCTGATTTTGCGTGCGAATGAGGTGGGCTTTGCTTTCTCCATGATTTTCAGCACTAGATGTGCCCTGTCGTATGCAGAAGGGAGCTGGCATCCTGAATATCCGCATGAGAAGCTCATAAAGCAGTGAAAGTGGGTCGGAATCCTGGGATGGGATGGCCGCTGGTGACTGTAATGGTGGGCGAAGGGCTGGCACGGATCTGGCAGTCAAACGCACGATGAGCGGAACGACCAGATCGCTGATCCTGGGCCAACTCCAGAATGAAAGCGCGGTGCGGAGCATTCTCTTCCATGTCAGGAAGGTCAAAGAGCCTTTGGAGTGGCGCTAACTTCGTGATTTTGAACGCGAAACTGCTATCTCTCCCTTCCTCGGAGAACATGTAGTGTCATGCAATGAACTTGAAATTTCCGTGGTCGCTGTGTATGCCTTCTTCAGTGGCGTAACTCCAAGTTTGTGGGGCTAGATTCGCATTGAGCAAACAGCTCTTGAGTGAACCCGGCCTTTTGTATCCTTGTATTTTTGAATACACCAGCACATTGTACAGGGAGATAGCAATGCGAGGGCTGAGCACGAATATGCGGTGCAGATCAGGGCAATTATCTGCCGAACCTTCTGACAGCCAAGTGCATTGCTGAGGATAAATTCTTCCCCTTCCGCAGCTTCCCAAATACTGAGGAAGTAGTCGTCCACGTAAGTTTGATAAGTGATAACTAGGTGATGCATGTCTTCAAGAAAACATTCACCGCACTTCTTTACGAGATTCGCAGCACCTCGCATGATGTCTGAATGAGATGTGTCTAGGTAGTATCTAAGGAAGTATAGCCACATCTCGACAGCGGATTGAATGACATTCATTTGCATGAAGCACTCAATCCATTGACGGGCCTTTGCATTTTCTGGGCGATCCACTTGAAAGGATTGGACTGCGCGCGATTCATGGCGATAATGCATGAGAAACAGGAACTTCTGCAGGAGCTCTAGAGAGCCGCGCTTCAGAGCGAGAGTACCCTTAGGAAGTGCTTTATGCAAGTTCGTGATGAAGGCCGCCTGACTTTCGAGATCCGCTAGTTTTTTCTCCAACTCGTTGATATTGTCGGGGTTGCGGAGATCCTGGTAGATACCCGGTACGCCATAAACCTTTCGGATAGGGCGGATGTCAAGGCTGCCTGTAGCAACGTTATAGTAGTGAACGCATTCAGGTGCAATGCTGGTGAGTAGAAACCCAGTTGGTTGTTCTGCGTTGAACCTGGAAATAAAATTATTCAGTGTTCGTCTACACGAAGAGTACTCGACTCTAAAAACCCACTTTGGAAGTCCGACTTTGAATTTTTGTAATATTAACATGTTGATACTGATACGTAGGCGCACGCAGCTGAGAGCCATCTGTTTTCTGACCTTCTCCTGCGACCTCCGTTTTGTCGTGCTGTTTGGGGGTTTGAGTATTATCGCGCCGTCGTAGCACCCTGTAGTGATGGAAGGTAAAAACGAGGGAGTGACGGCAAGCCTTGGACACATTCTTTCAGTTGAATCGTGCCTGTTGCGGCGGAAGAACGAATAAAAGCACGAACCAGTGCTTGTTTGCGACAAGCTATGATATCGTCGTGGCTATGTTTGGTAAGTCCATATAAAGAATAGACCTTGATGTGCATATGTACAACACCCTTCAACCAACAACCTACACCGTCAGCCCTACTACAGAATTCAGAATCAGTGCTCGCTTAAATATCCTCCTTAACTTACATACTCTGACCAACTTGTCAATAATAATCCTATCATGTCCACGACACACGCAGCGCCCCCACCCCTTGATCTTATGTTCTCTCAAGACCTCATTTCACTAGAGGTTTCAGCACAACTTCCCTCCGACCTTCAGGTAAGTTGTTCATCGGCTCCCTCACATTATTTTTGCATTAAAGAGACATAGATACGCCCACTTGCGTCAACAGACTACAAACGCGGTCACCTCGATGTTCTTTCCGTCCTTTCCGTCGTCAACGACCTCGGTGAGGCAGCATGGATTGACCAGTTCCACGCCATGCGTTCAACCCCGCACACATACTACTCCATCGTCATCCTGGACAAGGCGAGCGACAAGATTGTCGGAGTAGGCACCGTTGTCATTGAGCGCAAGTTCCTTCGTGGTCTTGGCAGCGTCGGTCACATCGAGGATATCGCCGTTGATAAAAGTCAGCAGGGCAAGAAACTTGGTCTACGTATCATCCAGGCTCTCACGCACATCAGTGAGGACAACGGCTGCTACAAGACCATCTTGAACTGCAGCGACGCCAACATTCGTGAGCTACTTCCCTCCATTGACCTTTGCTTATGCTGAATGCTCTTCCACACAGCCTTCTACCAAAAATGTGGCTATGTCAAGAAGGAGAATGAGATGGTAATTCTAGGCACTTTACTTCCTCATGACGTTTGCTAACTGACGTGCGCAGGCCAAGTACGCCTCAGAACGTGCCCATACACCAAAACTTTGATTTCTCCTCTTATTCATTGGACTCTACACCCGTATATACCATCGTCGCCAAGTGTAGTACATATTATAGATTGGAGTGCGGCCTCGGACATTCTGCACACATACCTGTATCATGCAATTTTATTGCCAACACATTTCCTATGGCTAACAGCCAAGTAAGCATCGACATGAGGCTTAAGTAACACGGCGTCCCCAGAACCACAGGTGCATGTTTTAGGTAAATCCCGAACACCAACAAGGGCTATCCTAAACGCAAGGTCTATCGGAAACTATACAATACACTCGTTTCAGACGCTCGACTGACGAAAGGTAACTCAGTCATGTTAGGTTTCTGTTTCTTCTTTTCCGCGAGTGACAGGTGAGATGAACGAAAGCGGAAGCATGCAACATAGATTTTGCGCATGTGAAGTCATGTCGAAAAGGGCGTGCGATACATAGGTCTGTGCCAGCAACGGAAAAACTGCTCATCGTCCACCCTTGCCACCCTTCATCTGCTGCTTCGACACCCTAGGTCCACTTGCAACAGGCGCACGTGCAGGCTACACCGGCGTAAGTTGCACGTACCTCATTAATTATCGAAAACATACCTTGGCCTTTTTCGACTCCTTCTCTTTCTTCTCAGTCTTGGCCTTTGCGATGGCCGTAATTCTCTGCTGGTTGCGGATAGCAGCGGTCTGGTTGCGCTTGGCGGCGATGGTAGCAAGGTCAGCACCAACGATGCCACGTTGGTGTTTCACGGTCCTGCGCGAACGCTTCTTGGCGACTTCCTCAGTGATACCCTTCTTGTGCATGCGACGGTAGACCTGTGTCCAGGCGATCTTACGGGGGTTCTTGCGCTGGAGGAACAGGGAGGCATTCTTGGAGCTGGCGAATCGGAAAACCTAAATTGCAATGGGTGCTCAGGGGGATATATTGAAATTGGGGGAGATGAGCTGACTTTGGAGTCTCCACGGACAAAGAGTTTGCCCTTGGAGGGGTACACGCGGAAACCGGAGAATGCGTCGATTTCGACCTTCTACTCAAACACATCGAACTGTGTCAGATTTCAGTGATGCATAGATATACAGCGAAGACGCACCATCTATAGGAACCAGACGCACGACAAATATAAGTCAGCTAACATCCTTTCCAGAGCTCACATGAATATGCGACAAGCCAGAAACGCCATCCGTTATCAGCTTGGTTCATCCACCGCCCCTACACCCCAGTTTTCGCTCAAATTCGTCCCAGCTTTCGCGAGTGAACAGAACGGATGCATTCCTGGCGTTTGGTGACAATAAATGGCATAGATTCTTGCTTACCTTGACGGATTTGCCGGGGCTTGTTGATTTGGTGGTGCCTTTGAGGACGGGATAGATGCGGTGGGGAGCGGGGATTCAACTTCGGCTTGTGCCGGCATCAAGTTTGGCAATTCCGAAAATCCGATGCACACACGTAGCGGCTTGCCAAGCTCGTCTTCGTAAACTACGCAAAGTCGACGGCGTGGCTTTCCTAAACCGACCTTCGTTAACGGAGAGGGCTCTTTGTGACAGAGGCGCCAACCCGCCCACACTCCAACGCGAAACGTCACGTTTCTGGGGTTTTGTTTTGTTATTATCATGAATGGCAGTCCTATCACAACTAATTCTGCAGCACTGCACACAGCAAACTACGTAGTTCGCCGACAAAAATTCTGTGCAAACAGCCGTAGAACCCCCACAATTTTACCCTAGTTACTGGTTGCCTTTGAAATAATCACTATTACTTCTGCCGAAGTTCTGCGTTGTACAACTATGAACGCGACACGCGAAGTGGGGGGATTGACAAAGGGCAAGCTTGAAGAGATTATCCTTGCAACGTGGCCGATTGGCGCAGCGCAGCGCCAGCAATGTAGTGTGCACTGCAATTTCAGATAACCAGAGGGGCAAACCTAAAACAAGGAAGTGTCACAAGGACTTAGTCACACGTCACTCTGGTGCGTGCGAATACGCCGCTTCCTCAGTACCCTCAGCAACGTCTCTACGCAGTCGCTGCCCAAGTTGCTCCACCTTTCAAATCTCGCTTCCAACGGTATGTCTCCCTAACTGATATCATACATCTGCTACTGATTCCACTACTGAACTTCACCTTCAGAGCCCTTTTAACGTCGTCTTACCGTCATGTTCGTTCGTTCTCCCATATGACGCAGACGCCGTAGTTCATTTGCATTTTCCTACCATAGGTCCGAACCTTACGACCCTTACCTCCCCCGTAATGGCTCCTCATCCAATCCCGCTGGCGGGTCAAGTCAGGGTGGAAACCCGAAAACCGCAGCTATTCAACAACAAATCGACGACACCGTTGGTATCATGAGGGAGAACATCACAAAGGTCGCAGAGCGTGGAGAGAGGTTAGACTCATTACAAGATAAGACAGGTGCTTCATTTTGTGCTCTGGCGTATTAAAGTGTAGTTTGACGCAATTTCCAGATAACCTTGCTGTTTCAGCACAGGGCTTCCGTCGGGGTGCCAACCGAGTACGGAAGGTGAGTTGGACTTGAATTCTTCATTCATATTGGGATGATACTTAGGCATCTTCAACAGAATATGTGGTGAGTGCAATTTTTTTTTTCAATTGCGATCAAGTTTCATGGAACTCGTCACGTTTCAGGTGGAAAGACATGAAGGTACGTTGGACTCGCCGCTCAACATCACATACGAAACTGACCCCTTTCTCAGATGCGCATGATCATTGGTGTTGCGATCGCAATTATCATAATCATCATCGTAGTCAGCATTGTGAAGGCAACACATCACTAGGCAGTACGTGTACAGACTGCTTATCCGCCTACCACTGGCTTGTTGAATGTTGTATCTATGCACCGTATCGTTAATTCTTCTCCTTTTTTCCTGTTTTACATTTTGTTGGCTGCCTTCTTTCGTAGGGCCCTAGTAGCGGATGGTGGACCCTGGTACATATAGTTGTCGCTTCGTTGAATGGTCACATGTTGTGCTTATGGATGATCCACATACTACTCGCTCTAGGCTAGGTTGTCAGCATCAACCAAGCTCTACGGTCTAAAATTCCTGCTAGGGTCTTTCAAAATGAAGTTTTGACTTGAGCTGTTAACAATGACCTAATCAAGATTCAGCACGTGCGCAGTACTATCAGCTGTAGAGTCTTCAACTGTCGTGTCTTCAAGTTGGTCGTGTCAGCTGTTCTGTTACCTTCTCCCTTTGACGGGCGTCAGAAGTGTTAGAATAGTACTAGATAAACCTGGCTTTTGACAGAAGGACGTCACGGTACTGTGCCAGGGGTGGTCACGAGGCTATGTGTTTACGCCATTTTCCTCTCTCCTCCCAACCAATTCTGTGAGTACTTACTGCATTTGCTGCTAAGTGTTATTTTTATAATGCCTCAATCGCCCTAGACTTGGGGGCCGCATTCGTGGCAAAGTCTAACATTCATTTGCAGATTGTCGTGATCGATCATGGAACATACTGAGGAGCGGTAACTAAAGCCAAACAATCGCCGCGAGCACTCCTCCGGCGGAGTGTAAACCCAGCGGCCTGTGTAAGTACTATACACGCACTGCCAAATCACTGGATATCTGCCCACAGGATAACGAATACAGGAAAATGGGCAGTGCTAGAAGCATATAAGTTAGGTCAATCTTACGATTCCCTGAGCCCCCACATTTCCCACTCTTTCCTCGACACTCCCAAAAGGAAAAGAAAAAAGCAGAAACATGAAGGTGTGTGTTCTATTCGTCCGCCTGGATATCACGCTTAATAACGTTACCATCGAAGCATCGTAGATAGCAAATACCAACGGCCTTGCGATTGATTGGATGAGACCGCAGGCCACACCAAGATAACATCGGGGAAATGACTGTAACAGTTAGAATGGCCTTCGGTGCCTCTTAATATTCGTAGGCGGAGGTTCTGGTGAAATGTAAATTGTGCCTTTTTCGGCAGCCCTCGTGTTGGAGGTCCTTGAAGGGGCTGTACCCGAATTGAACGGATGGTGTTCAACCTGGAATCGGCCGAGTTACTGCGTTTCGGGATGATTGCGAATACAGATCTTAGCCCCCGTGTATCGCTGGTCGACTCTTGATCACAGGTAAGGTTCATCTACCCTGATATTTCACTGCGCTGACATATCCACTCCACTCCTTTCCGAATCAGGTATGCCTCCGAGATGATTGAGGCCACCGCCCGCGGGCCATTGGGCGACCACACGGCCAAGACGGACCTTTCTCTGTAGCAGACCAAACGTCCGTGATCCAGCTTGCCAATATCGTGGGAGTGCTGGCTTTTTGCCTGCCGAGGTCATGGCTTGAACCAAACTCACTCGGTGGTCAGCGTCTTTATACATGAAGTTTTGGATTTCAGTGCAAAACATTCTGCATCATTGCGTGCACATTTTGAGATCATCTATAGTTTTCGCTGATGAAAACTTCCTACAAGCTTCACTCGTGAAGAGTTTCCGAGATACAACATGGTCCAACCTTGGATACTTCACCATGACTCCGACGAAATGAATCTGGTCCCGTTGATCCGCCTGGTTGAATGCCGATCTCTGGCCTTGGCCTTTGGCCATTCACCTTTTCGTTTAGTTGGTGGCTGTTGTCCCGATCTACTGTGCCACCGGTTGTTGGCCTGCGAGAAACCCTTGGTTGTTGGCCTTCATGGCTGCTCCTCGTGCTATCCTTTTTTCTCGGTATAATAGCCTTCCAGAAAATCTGGTCCACGAGTTCTTCCTCCCCAGCTGATTGCGGAATGGTTTACAACTCCTGGTGCGTCCGCACTACTACGCTTCTTCTTGGTGCTGATCCCCTGCGCAGGCTGGATTCAGAGTTGTACAAACAGGTCGAGGCAGAGCAGCTACTAGGAACTACCAATGGTGTAGGTTTCATCTGTGCTTGTAGACGTAGACAGTAGTGTGCTAACATTTCGCTATAGGGTCAGTCGACTTCTCCGCCTCAGCAAAACTACCTGCATTCGGCACCAGTATACTCGTACGAGACTCCCGCACCTACTACTACCCAGCATACTATGTATGGCGAAGCCCCCATGAGCAACGACCAAGCCCTGGATCCTGCTGAGCTATATGATGCGGATACATTTCAAAGTTACATCCCGGACTCCCTGCCCTCATTTCTCAATCAAGATATCGATCAGCGCGACATTCATAGGTACGAGTTCCTCCAATTGTGTCATTGTCCATGTTCTTAGAATCTCCTTCAATAGTGCTGCCGGACAGCGTTCGCGCAACGGTTCTTTCAGCTATTTCCGCCATGCTTTCCCCTACTATCCGTCTGCCAACAATCTGGGCTTTTCTGGCTCAGACCTCTCCGAATCATGCCCCATTACGCCCGCCCAGGCGATCCGGCATCAAGAAGAGGTTCACCCTCACCCTGGCCATCCGGTCAATGACGATGGATCAGAACAGCCGCACGCGAGCGAACAATCCCCCGCTGCACTCTTGCATCCCTTCAGGGTGTCACAGCCCGATATTCTACGAGCAGATCACCAGCGCCGGGAGGGCATGTTCCATTATCAGGAACTTTCACATAACGATGATGTATCACAATCACAAACCCGATGCCTGTGGATTACCGGTAAAGGCCAGTGCGCTTTTACTGCAGGTACAGTCAGGAGCGTGATGAGGCATATATTGTCATGTCATCTCCGTGAGCATCAGCAGCCTGCCAGCCGGGTGCAGTGTCGATGTGGGGGCTGCTCACTCCCAAGTACCATAAGGCGAGACAGTATTCGCCGACACATCCGCGAAATGCACTACGGGGACAAATATCGCCGCAAGTACTAACTTTGATCGCACAAGGAGCTAGTCTCAATCAATTTCCCGTTACTATACTTTCCGCTTTTTTTTTTTGTTTGTTTTCAATTTATGTTTTGTGAGAGTAGTACTCTGTGTAAGATAATACATTCTAGTCTAGGGACCCTGTGTCCCGCTGCGCCTCTAGATCTATGAATGTCCTGATGTAAGGCGTGCCCCACCAGTCCGCAGTTCCCGCGGGCCGCCTGCCGTTTTAGACATGCAATCTATTGGAGAGGCGACTTTATAGGTACGCGTGTGATGATATCTGAGCCAAATGGGATCGTCTGAACGCGTACTCGGTCGCACAAGTGCGATTTGAGATAGGAATCCATGTGGATGCAGTAGGTAAAGTGGACATATGCTGCGATTAGCGCTGAGCGTGGTGTCCGGTACTGGCTGACTGAGACCAGGTGGGGTGATGAGATTCCGAATGGGCGAGTAGGGTGGTGAATTATGAACTTGAAGGAAGGGCATGATGATTAAGCTTGAGGGAATGTAGGGGCGGTGAATCTGAATTAAGGGGAGGGTGTAAGGTAGGACGCGAGGTGTGAGGGTGCTTACGGGATTGCGGGCAGTGATCTACGAGGCAACAATACTTTCCGCTTGATGCCTGTTGTCCTACTCTCGTTTCATTGCGCCTTCTGCTGATATACCCTTGCTGCTACCGCTCTTTTCATAGCTAGTGTTTGCAACTTGGTAGGATTTATTTAGTGTCCTGCTTGTTCTCTAAAGTTGTACATTCTATTGCATGTCACTCACGGCCATGAAAGATAAGTCATGTAGTTGTTAGTGTCTTCAGTTTTTGTCTCGCCACACAATAAATTCTGCATCTGTAGTGCAAACAAAGCCAGTCACTCATCCGCTCAAAACTCAATGGATGTTCAAGAGACTGATATGTGCAACAAAATTACCATATACCTGCGTTGCAATTGAGTAGCGTCGGAGTCGGGGACTGCTGTTAATAATCTGATCAAGGTTCAATCACTGCGGAAACGACTTTTTAGTCGGACACTAAACGGAGGAAGAAACCAGGTCTAAACAGACTCAAAACGTACTTAGACACTAACCGAACGCAAAGCAGACGTGTCGATGGTTTTGGTGAAGCGACAAATGTAAATAGAGTCTTTTCAGACTTCGCGAACACATCTTTCCCGACCGTCGTTTATTCTCTTCAAACACTCCTTATCCCACCACTAACCAGATCCGTAAATCCATCCTTTCGACCTCTTTTTACGGTAGACTTGGGGGAAGGTGAGTATTTTTGAAAATTCCTCTAAGTCCTCGTTTCATGCTATCATGATGGCAGAATGCAACATGATCAAGCTCAAGCTACATCAGGAAAAATACACTTGACTACAGGGTGCTATATAGTCAAGGTAGTACCTGCAGCACAATGTGTCAAGTGCCTACTATAGGCGGCTATATAGCCACACAGCTGACTATATAGTGCTACGGCAACTCCTGTAGCTCGTTGTAGCAACTGACTACAGGTGCTACAGGTGCTACAAGTTACTACAAGTTGCTACAGGGTGCAATAGAAATAGTGCTAGCATTTGCTCGTTCGAGCTACAGGTAGCTACACACTGCTACTAGTACTGTAGCTCCCGCAATACCAATCGCGCCGCTAACCGGTTATCAACAAAATCGAATCAATTAAGGTGCTATAGTGCGTGAGCATGCATACAATCCTCGAGATACAGCCGCCTCAATCACCACCCCCTTTGTGCTTCTCGAGCCTCGTCTTCGTACTCTCGAAAGCCGCCTCAATCCGAGTCACCACCCCCTTCTTGTGCTTCTCGAGCCTCGTCTTCGTACTCTCGAATCGCATCATCGAAAACATCATCGGTAAAGCTATCAATAGTCACTGCTGCCATAAGTGGATCCACACCAGCGTGCATCCTTTTTATGAAAGTCAGTTTGGATGATGAACGACATAAGTAATCAGAAACATACCGAGCGATGTCGAGAAGATCGACACCAATTTTACCGAGCAGTTTGTAAGCAGCAGTCCGCTCCTCGAACCGCCGCAGGGATTTGAGATGGATAAGGTAGACCGGGGAGTAAGCCACCGACGAAAATTTGATGTCCTCCTTTACACCAGTCATCCACTCATCGATGCAGCATTCAATCTGTCAGACCTCAGTTGCAGTATGAACATCAGAATCACTGAATACACTCACCGCTGTGAGTATAAGTGCAATGGTTTGAACGGGTAAAGGATCAAAGTATTTAGCATATACTATACCCTCGTCGCTTCGGTTTGTAAACCACATATTGTTGACCGCCGACTGGATTAATTCAGTCTTGTATATGCCACATTTCATTTCCCAGTCCTTTTACTCCGCCAGTCAGATGTTGACTAAAAATCGTGAAATTGAATTTAAACACGCACCTTGAAAACAAAATGTGATCCTTCCTTGAGAGACTCGGCCAGGTCACGGTTTGCCTTGATGGCGAGTATAGATCTGCTTGCACGGAACCCAAAGAACGAGGCCGTCAGTACGCGCATCTTTGTTTTAAGCTCCCCGCGCACATGTGATGTGCGCCTCGTCATCTATATGGCAACATTAAATCAAGTAGGGCAAGGACGTGGACATGAGACGTACCATTTTGACGAGAGAAGGGGTAAGTTGGATGGTAAGCTCTGCCATGTTAGACGCCTCACGCCAGGCATCCTTTGCTAACTTCGTCTCAACGATCAGTGTCTCTGGAAAAGGTGCGCGAGTCACAACTAGACAGCGGTAGATAGACATGGCAGTAGTGAGCAAATCCTTAGTGATGTCGTCGAAATCGCTAGCCTTTAACCGTTGGCGTGTTCCATTTGGACCTTTCTTGAACTTCGGGTCAGTATTGAGGACCTCCGAGTCCTCCAGTTGGCGCTTGGTGCCGACAACCGGTGTTGAAGAAGCTTTGGCCACTTCATCATGATCATTGGCAGTGTTATCCGCGCCATAATCAGACCCGTTCTCAGTCTCATCCATGCGATCGACAAACTTGTTCGAATCATGGCTGTCGCTGCTGCCCTCACCGTCACTGTCGTCATCCGAAGTCACAACAGGTGAGGGCGCTGAAAAAGTGTGTTAGTCCAAGATACACACTGGCAGAGACATTGTACCTTTCTGTGGCTTCGTACAGATCTTACTCGTGGGTTTTCGGGCCAAGACAGTTGGAGGGGTCTTGCTCATACTGAATGTGAGTGCCTGTTGATTGGATAGTCTTGTAGGTACACAGTGGTCCGAAAACTATTATGTACTTGTGAGTAACATGGAGTGCATGGACAAATAAGACACTGACCATGCTGTCTTCGTCCCTGTCAACATCGCTAAGAAGCCCAGCAGGCTCGCTATCAAATTCCTCGGGATGTGTCTGGTATGTAGTGCGCAGTGCCTTTAAGTCGCACTTCTGCATCTTCGTTTGTAAGGCTTTTTGGCGGTCTGCTCCTCGACAAGCTTTTGTAACTGTTAAGCAGAAACATTTTAATGAGCACGAGCATTCATGTTGGGCTTGATATAACTTACTTCGATATGTCTCTTTCTCGGTTGGCCAACGTTGACGACCACTTGCAGTGCGTCCCGCGGTCAACACCATCTCTGCACATACTTCCTCCTGGGCCTTCAAAAGTGCCGTTTTAGTTCCCTTTTTGGAGGGGGCTTTTGCGGCCATGATAGATGGTAGTCAGTAGAAATAACGACAACAGAAGGAGGGGGTATGCATGCCTTTAAAAACCCTACAGTGGCGTCGGATCAACAAACAAATTTTGAGTTTTGTTGATCGAGTTTTGTTGATCGAGTTTTGTTGATCACGAAGTTAAAGTTTTCAACTGACGAAGCAGTGTCAATATAATGGCATAAATAAGAGGGACGGGGATGACTTTCCTTTCCAACATACAATTGATACTACAGCGAGATCAATACTACAGCCAAGATGAATAAATAGTAAGTGGCTGGCTTGTCAAATGCTCACCTCATACTTACCAATGTTGTAGCCCAGCGCTCATGCCATCGAATGAATCAGACGATGTGAAGCCGAACATCCTGTTACCTCCTCCAAGTCGTCCCTTTCATGTTGTCCATGCTCCGGGACGGGAGGTACCTCATACTCCAAGGGAGGTACCGCCTGCTCTTGAGATTCAGTTTCCATTGGCGCCATATCGCCAAACCCCAGGGCCCATTAAAACATCGCAGACCTACCTGCGAACACTTGTATTAGAGCGCTGGGATGCAGAGATTAGGCTTTGCAAAGAGACATGCAAAGCGCAGCTCTCAGAGCACATGAAAGGTCCTGTTGCTCACCAAAATTTGGTGCGGGAGATGATAACTGTGCGTTGGAATGCAGAGAAAAAGTGGTGCGAAGAGTCACGCAAGGTTCAACTTTTGGAGCTCTTACTGGCGGCTCATGGCATTACTACCCTAGCTTAGTAGTCTTAGTAGTCAGTTAGTTTTAGTCAAGTGTCATTTGGAATAATGGTGCACCATGTGGATCGCCTTTTTCATGCTGTGAATGGCAAAACCACCCATGTGGATCGCCTTTTTCCTGGATGTTCAGGTCAAACTCCATATTATGTGGTGTAAGGAATGGTGGCGTTCGAGTATGAACTGCGTCTGTGACAGTAGTTGGTCACGAGGGCGGAATTGGACTCGGTCGGGGCTGAATTGGACTCACTTGCAAGGGTCAGATTGCTGCAATAGTCACAATTAGGGCCGGTGTGAGGACTCACTTGAGGGTCAAGTGTTTTTTTTTCCATTTTGTGTGCCGTCAAGACACTTAGGGCCGGTACAATACGACTTGACACTCGCACCAGACAAGCCATGCCCCACTGTGTATTCTGTGGGAAGGTAACAACTACACACGAGGGTCTCAAGAGACACGTTGCAGGACGTCCTGAATGTCGACGGCAGTGGGCATCAATGATCGAAGATGTAGAGGCAGAGAACTTAGACGATGCACCAGATGTTGACTTCCCCCATCAAGATGCAGCACCGGTGGGTCATGTACACCCGTGCCCGTCTCCAGATACCGACAATAACCCAGTGCTCCGCAAAACTCGACGGACTACAGTTGAGGAAGTCGAGGATGAGGATGGGATGTTGTTCCCCAATAACGGGCGATATTTCGAACCTCAGTCGGATGCTGGCTGGGCACTGCGTGAGGGGGAGACGAATTTTGAAAGATATAGAACATACCAAGAGGAAGAGGGTGAGGATCCATGGTCGCCTTTCGAGGATGCATAAGTGCTCGAATGCGCTGGCATAGCATCTACTAATATCACTCACCAGGGAAGAATGGGATCTGGCCTAGTGGCTCGTCAAGAACCTCGGTCAGACGCGAACCGACGAATTCCTAAAACTGCCCATTGTAAGTTTGAAAGTGTTAATCAAAATTTGAACTTACAATATTGATACCCTAACCAGACACAAAACTGCACGAAACTTTCGTTTCATAACAACCGCTCATTCTTGCAGCGCGTGGACGAACTTCCACACGGGCCAGGATGGAGTTGTAAGAAGGTGACTGTGCGTGGTAACTGCGAGGATGAGAACGGCAAGATGTTGCAAGAGGAGGTTGAGTTGTGGTGCCGCGATCCTGTAGAGTGCATGAAAGAGCTCATTGGCAACCCTTCCTTCAAAGAAGATATGGCCTACTCACCTGCCAAAGCATATGCAGACCGTGCAGGGCAAGATAGGGTGATTGACGAGATGTGGACAGCAGACTGGTGGGGCGATAAACAGGTAAGACTATTTGAGAGGGAGCAACAAAGTAACGGACTGACCTCGCACACAGAAAGCCTTGCCAGAAGGTGCCACGATAGCACCAATCATTCTATCTTCAGACAAAATGTCCTTGTCGCAGTTCCGAGGGGATAAATTGGCGTGGCCGGTGTATATGTCCATTGGAAACATCGCTAAAGCAAAACGGCGCCAAGCATCAGCACGAGCGACAGTCCTGATTGGTTACTTACCAGCAGGCAAACTGGACTGTTTCACCCCCGATGCACGCTCCTTGGCTGGATACAGGCTGTTCCACCATTGCATGGCTCTACTGCTTGAACCTCTCATCGGTGCTGGAAACGACGGTGTTGAAATGGTGTGTGCGGACTCGTGGGTTTGTCGTGTCTACCCAATTCTTGCAGCATACATTGCCGATTTCCCGGAACAGTGCTTGGTCAGTTGTTGCAAAGAGAACCAATGTCCGAAGTGCCTTGTAGCAGCAAATGAGTGAGGGGATGCACTCAACTCGGCAATGTGTGATCCAGAGTCAACAAAAGATATTTTGCACAGGTGCAAGATTGGTCAGCATCCTCCGGAATTCGAGGCCAATGGTTTACGTGCCGTTTACAAACCATTTTGGGCTGATCTCCCTCACGCGGAGATTTTTCTAGCGTTCACGCCCGACCTTTTGCATCAACTTCACAAGGGTGTGTTCAAAGACCACCTTGTGAAGTGGTGCATCGATATCATTGGGGAGGACAAAATGGACTCACGTTTCAAGGCGATCCTGAATTATCCCGGCCTTCGACACTTCAAGAAAGGGATATCGAGTGTGAAGCAGTGGACGGGACGTGAACACAAAGAGATGCAGCAAGTATTTGTTGGCTTATTGAGCGGAGCAGTACCTAGGTGAGTGTTTAACGAGTCGTTAAGATGATGTTTTGATGTCATGCCTTGCAGTTGTGTTTTGGTAGTTGCACGATCTATTCTCGACTTCTCATATTTTGCCCAGCTTCAAGTTCAGATGACTGAGTCCCTCGAAGCCCTACAAACCGCCCTGACTGTATTTCACACTAACAAAGACATCCTCAAGGAGCTCGCTGTTCGAGAGCATTTCAACATTCCAAAACTACACCAGCTCTCTCATTACGTCCAGTCGATCACGTTGTTTGGCGCAGCTGACGGCTTTAATACTGAACTTCCAGAGCGCTTACACATTGATTTCGCAAAAGATTCATACCGTGCTAGCAACAAACGGGACTACGAAGAACAAATGGCTTTGTGGCTCCAACGCCAAGAAGCCGTATTTTTACGTAGCGCATACCTGGATTGGTTGTCCCAACAGCCTCGCTCCAAGTCACCTGTGGGTCTCACCGGATGTCATTCAAACCCATACAACTTCGACGCAGATTCGGACACAGACTCGGAGTCGGAAACACCAAATCTTCCCGCCACTGAACCACTTCAAGCAACACATGTCCTTGCGAAAGCCCCCGCACATCCTCACCAATCCGTTGGAACCATCATAACAGCACACGGTGCTACCGAGTTCCTCCCTGCTCTCCGATCCTTCTTGCTCAAGAATCTCCCGCGCAACACCATAGTCCCTGGACTTCAAGACCGATTCGATCTTTATCGTCAAGTGGTGATTGTGACGCCACCTGATTTACGAGTTAGCGACGTGCCACAGCGAAGGCAGATCAGGGCAACACCAGAAACGTTGCCGTCAGGCCGGAAGCCTGGTATCCCAGCCCGGTTTGACATGGCCTTGATAGCAGACAGGCCTCGCTCTTCTAACTTCCATACTCTTGAAGGTATTTTTTCCGGGTTTCTCAGCGGTCAATTTTGATAATCGTCTTGTTGCAGGTGTACGTGTAGCCCAAGTTCGCGCTATTTTCACCCTACCTCGCCAGTTCGGCGCATATTCCAGAGCCCTCGCCTACATCGAGTGGTTCACTCCTTTCAAACCACCAGACCCTGTTTCTCGAATGCGACAGGTCTCGCGCTCAACACGACAACTTCGCCGCAACGCCACTGTAATCCACGTTGACGAAATCGTGCGGCCGTGCCACCTTATACCGAAGATGGGACCAACAGTAGATCTGAGGTTGAGAAGCGGAAATGCATATGAGGTGGCGAACGATTTTTATTTCAACGAGTTCATTGATGGCGAAATGTTTTGCGCATGTGTTATAAGTAATTAGATACAACGACGTGTAGCTCCTGTAGCTACTTGTAGCTACCTGTAGCACAGATGGTAACTATATAGCCGCATATAGCTTGCCTTTAGACTATATAACACTATATAGGACAATGTAGTGTAAGGTGTGACTACATAGTGCTACTGTGCCTACATAGTGCTATATAGCTGTCACTCGGGCTACGGCATTTAGGGTTTTTTACTGATGTACCTGCGCAACTGAAAACTTTCAAATTCACTTTTGAGTGCAGAAGACCAGGACCCGTAGTAAGTTATTTGTACAACTAGACTACTCCCAACTAATTTCTATCTAGACTGTTGAAATTTCAATGCGCAAGCCTCTCAAGCGATCGAGGTCACAGCCTAGTAGTTCAGAGGACTTGTGCAACTGTGGAATGTAGATTCGCGGATGGATCAGGTGAGGGTTGATTCATGTAAGAACCTCCAGCAACGCTAAACAAAGGCTGATAATCAGGTGTTGGACCCCTTTGATGAGGCTGGGGTGCGAGTGAGGGTGATTCGCTGTATGGAAACATGTGAGTCCCACTGTTGTACGGTGTCCCTTGTGCTGATGATGTCCCTTGATATGGTGTTCCTTGGCCAGATGATGACGACGCTGACCCACATGTGCCTGACGCCTGAACAAATACAGGCCGTTGTTGTTCTATCTAGGTGAGTATTTGGTGTTTCCTACTAGAGCATCCAAATGGACTTACCATGACTTGTGGTTCACAACTTGCACCCTGTTGTCCCGCACTAAAGAACGGATCCATCTGCGGCAGCCCACCACTATTTTCGAGAGGGGAGAGCTGGGGTTGCATACTGGGTGGTAGTACAAGTGGCCCCATAAATGGTTCGTGTTGTTGCTGCTGCCTTTGAGTTTTCTGACCTAACTGGCTGCCAGGATCGCTGGGCCTTCTCTGCACATTCTGGGGCACACCACATATCGCTATGGGAGGGGACGAGAGCAGGCAGAAGAGCGAGAAGGAGGACCTAGCATGTGGGGGATGTATGGCGGATCCATAGAAGCATGTAATCCTAACCTAAACAGAGGGGGTTTTCACTATTTTCGATATTCTAAACGGACATGATAACATATCTAATCAGCTTCAAACCCGACTAAGTAATAGCATGTCTGTAGCCTAATCACACTCCGTATCACGCTGAAATCCGTATGCTCGTTTGGTGCGGATTGGGAGACCTTTCTATACTTTGTCTGATACATTTTGAGTCTATTTCTAGAGTACACTTTGTGTCTGTGTACATGCCCTAATCCTACTCTTTCATATACGACTAAAAAGTCATTTCCCCAGTGAATGTTCAGTAATGCCTTGTGCACATGGAAGATCGGACGCGTGACATTGGATGACTTTCCATAGGCTGGAAAATTCTGATTAGAATATCATATCACAAATATACCCATATTGGGCATGTGTGCCGCGATGCCGCTGTTCATTTCCAGTCAATTTGCAAACATGTGTCACCTACCCCCCTCTAATCTATTGGGGTATCCCATAGACTTTGCAGACGACTTCCTTCCATTTTAGGCCACTAACGCCAGTGATATCCGCTGACATAATCAGCCTTGCTCGAGACAAAGCCCTTCCGAGTCTCCCGTGATGTGCCACAACAAGTGCGCTACAGTGCTCGAAATCTAGAACTCCTGGCCATTGAATTTTGGCATCTGTGGAGTGTGGAGGGTGCGTAGGAGAAGCTCAAGACCGAAATTAAGGTATCGAGTGACAGTACTGGGGATTATGGTGAAGATCTGCTGTAGGCTGATAGCGCGCATAGTGGAGCTAAGATAGTGTAACACAAGCCCAAGTACCCCTGCAGCACCAAGGGAGCACTGATTTATTCGTGGATTTCCATGTGCAGAGACATCATCACGAGGAATCAGTGTCTCATACCAGGCTTGTGCAAAGCCTGCAGTAAGTAGTGAAGAGAAGGTGGACACATCAACACCCATTCACTGCGGAAACGAGATTTTAGCCAGACCCTAATCAGAGGGAGACAACATATGTAACACGACTCTAAATGTACCTAGCTTGTAATTAGATGTAAATCCAACATGTTGCAAATTTTGCTCACTTGGTCCGGAGCAACACATCTAAACAGACACTTTTCCAACTTTGTCCACACGTCTATTCGGACCCCCATTTATTCTCTTCAAATACTTGCTATTCCACCACTAATCAGCATTGCAAATTCAACATTTCGACGTCTGTTTAGGTTGTGCTTAGAGCAAAGTAAGTTTTTCAAAATTTTCTCTAAGTCCCGCATTACAGCTTGTACTTACCACTCATGCTATGGCAGCCCGCGATGCAATCAAGCTTGAGCTGCCCGAAACTGATTATAGTCATGGTCGTGTCCACCACTTGGCACTAAGGACTGTGAGCATGAGCGTGGCTTGCTGCTTGACGAGAAAGGTGTTTGTGAGTTTCCGTGACCCAGGTATGGTGTACTGGCAGATTGTGGGGTTCCCATCACATGCTCAGGCACTGGTCCACTGAAGAAGTCATCATGCTGGGGCAAGCTGTTGTTTGGCACGTTTGGCAGTGGGGACGGATGGGGCTGGTTGTGGCCGAATTGGTATGGACCATGACCCATCATCTGAGATTGACGGTCTTGACTGACACCATGTTGATTAGGATACATGGGAACACCAGTAGGGTGTCGCTGTGGGCCTTGGGACCCATACATCATGGATGTGGGGTGTAGGGAACGAAGAGAAGAGTGAACGAGAAGCTATGGGCAAGCGGATGGCGAATCCTAGGAAGCATATGGACCTCGTGTATATTCTTTGCAGAGTCTAATTAGATCCATTTCTTATGTGTATGCAGACATAATTCGGATGTGCGAATCAAATGTTCAGATCTGATCCCACGGTTGGATTAACTGCTAGTACTACAATTCTACATCTGCACAACTCATCTATGCGGTGTCTGTTTAGACTTAGAAACAAGAACCACTCTCTAGTCTAACACTCGGGAATACATATGATATGCGACATCTGTTTATATCCCGCATATGGATTCTGTCCCTACACTAATCCGACCTGACTATTTTCTTGTTTCCACAGTGATTGTAGTGATAAAGGCTCGATCATTCTGGGCCAACTCAGATCTGGTATATGACAAGTGCAGTAACAAACGACGCTGTGTTTGAAGGGGATTGATGATCGACGGAAGCAAAATGAAGATCTTGGCATAGAGATCTAGATGTGGTCGGGGATAGATCTGATTTGGGGGATCAACAGGGAATCAATCAAAAAGTTTGAGTTGAGCTGAGATTTCAGTAGCTCAGGAAGATGTACTTATATAATAGAAGAGATAAAACTCAGTGACATGTGCCACATGTGTACTGGTGAGGAAGGTCAAGGTGCTAGGATGGTTCTCAAAGGACTGTGGTCAAGCTTCAAGAGAAGCATCTAAGCACAAGTAGGCATGAGTGCCAAAACATTGAATGATGTCTATACGAGAGAAATCTGATGCAGAATGTCATGATGCATTTTTATTATTGCGTATGTTTGCATGTCCACAGCTCATCTGCATACCCTCTGTTGACTATGACATGTCTTCGTGGAGGTGGAGATATGGGAAAGACGACCGAGACCTCATGATGCATGACATCTCTACCTGAGGTACTGAGGAAAGAGAGTGGACATGTACATCCACAACGAGGACCGGATAAACCGTGATGAGTCGAGGGCCACCCCAAATGGTTCTAGAGAACATAGAACAACATCAGCAAAACACTTTGTTTCCCACCACCAAAAAATGGCTGGCCACAGCTTGGTCCCTTCTGTACAGGGCTGTACAGAGCCCACAGAGGCAAAGTGATTTGCTGATTTGAATACTCGTGTGTGCATGTGTGAAAGGGGGTAGGGGAACGTACGCCGAAACAAGTTAGGCTGTGACAACGTCCAAAAGGAATTAGGGAGAGGACCGCAGAGATGATTCTGGTTCACAAAGTTCTCCTACATACACTATGAGGATCGGACGTACGTGAAGGCGGGCGGCCTGGAAATGAATGGCATGTACTAGTAGGATCAGCGTCGCTCAGCCTCTGAAAGTTGACAAAAGGCCATATGAAGGCGAAAGCCCAGTAAAACCGATCGTGGCTTATCATTACGTGCGCTTGCATGTCTACTGCTCATCTGCATGCTCTCTGTTGACTCGGGGCGACATGTCTTCGTGAAGGAGGAGATACGGGAAAGACAACCGAGACTTCATGATGCATGACGTCTCTACGGGTACTGAAGAAAGAGAGTAGATATAGTACATCCTCAACGAGGACCGGATGAACCGTGAAGTCGAGGGCCACCCCAAATGGTTCTAGAGTACACAATGATAGAAGTGTGCGTGTATGAGAGGGGGTAGGGGTGGTACGTACGCCGAAACAAGTTAGGATCGCAGAATCCTGGTTCGGAAAGTTCTACTGTGAGAAACGGCCCGGAAATGAATGGCATGTACTTAGGATCAGCGCTCAGCTGACAGTTGACGAAAAGGCATATGAAGGCGAAGGCCCAGTGAAACCGATCGCGGCAGGAAGGCATTTTTTTTCAGGACGGCCAACAGTCGCAGACTCAACACAAGCAAGCCTAAGCAAGCGCGACGGTTTTCAGAGCAGGGGGCCTTCTTACACGTCCGCTAATGGCCAGAAGTCTATTATGCCCCTTGTGTGCCCTAGCAAGGCTCTTGAAGTTCAACCTAGTTCAACCAATCCGCTCCTTTGCTTGGGGCATTTTGCTTGGTTGCACTTCAAGTTGAAGGGGCATTCGTTGATTGTTCCCACGACTCCTGGGAGCCGCCAACCTGCCGCGCTGGTAGTCTCCTAGCCAGCCCTATATAGACGAAGGAAGATAGTCGTTCCTACCGCGCTGCCAGGCTTGGGCAGGAATTTATCCACTTTACCCTATACTCCCAGAATCCCCAGTACATCTTGCCGCGTTAGCATCTATATGTGAGAAGATTCCCCCTTGTTAGCATAGTTTTCGTTGACGCGTTGAAATTTCGTAGACGCCGAACTAATTCTCACAGGAAACCCTCATCGATTGCCTTCGATGCCAGCGCTTCAGAAGCTTCAGCGCCCAGCATTGGCTTATTTAGCATGTCAGGTCTTATACAATAGTGGCAGTAAATTTTGCCTGGTTCCACGGGCACTCACCTATCCTCATACATTCCCTTCTGGGTATCAAGCTAACCCAAATGGCCTGAAGCCACCCCACGCTGCGCGCCATCGGCGAGTCCATGGCCGAGATGGATCAGAATATTCCTTCGTTGTAGTTGATCAAAAGTTGTTCAGAATGTTCATGATCACAGTTTGCCCTTGCCGCGTGGGAGTGCAAGGGTGTCGGTTCGACAGCTCCTCAACGGTTACTAACGTTCTTATAAATGAAGCTTCGGCATACAATGCAAAAACTCTCGGCCTGCGACATTCGGTGCACGTTTTGAGACCGTCTACAGGAACATGTCGATGAGAGCTCGCTCCAGGCCACTCATGTGATTCGATCTCAGATCAACCAGTATACCGTCGAGAACAAGGATCTCCTCAGACGGGTATCGCTTGGCTGACTTCAAAGGTTATCAAATATGACTTCAAGGGTATCACTATCTCTTTGCCCTAACTGGTCATACGTACCAATGGCTCTTGGCCCGCGGACAATCTTGAATCATTAGCCTTCATGTTTTCTTCTGGAACCATACTACCTATATATTCTTAGTTCTGGGCTCATCAGCACGATCAGTGTCCAATCCCGTTGTCCCCAGCGCATTTCAATATGTCTTACAATTACTGGTACGTCTGTTTGGCACTACTAGACTTCCTTGTGATTATCATCTGTGCAGGGAGCAAGATTCTGAACTATACAAACAAATCGCAGCATCACTAGCAGAGCAATCAGAAGCAACCACCGATGATGTGCATTTGGTATACTCGTGCGGAAAGATAGTGAAGCGCTGACATTTTGTTATAGGGACGTTCTTCTGCGCCAGAAAATCAGCCAGAATCACACTTGCCCGACTTTCTCTCTGTTTGCGGATGGAGTGATGATCACGGGTCATGCAACAACACTGTTAACGTGACCAGGATCGGAGAGCACATGTTATCATGCCATTTCAAGTCCCCTTTGCGCGCCGACAGCCGTTTGGAATGTCGGTGGAAGGGCTGCCAACTCCGAAAGCCTATACGGCGAGATACAATGGTTCGCCACATCGTCGAGAAGCACCTCGGAGTTAAGTATCGATCCAAGCACCAAGCGGCTTCTTGTGCTACGATGTATCGGTCCCCGTCGATCTCGTAAAATGCGCATCCGCATTAATGATGATCGTGGGTCTCCGTCGATCCTGTAAAATGCACGCCCGCATTAATGATGACCGTGCCGGAGCCGGCCTTCTGAATTGTACCCGTTTCGAACTCTAGTTCTGATTATACTTTTTACTGATTTTTTTGCTGTGTCGCAAGTCGGATTTCTTCATAGCCTACTATAGGTTATATACAGACTGGTATGATCTATGTTATGTCCTGCCTTTTCTATATGTTTTCAAGTTGTTTGCACACAGATTATATTTCTATATGGACGTTCGTCATAATTCATTAGACAATTGCGCATTATGTTACGTTCATGCCCTAGCTAGTCATATAGTTGACGCCTTCCAAGAGATACAGCTGAGAAGGACACGATGTTCGTCATCTGCATCTTCTTGTAGCCGCAAAGGTTCGGAAAATCTGGTGAAAACGGCGTTTCACGGACACTGCGGGACCCTGTCCACTTTATGGAGAGTGCTGATCGTACGACATAGTATACATTATGACAAATGCTTATTAGGTTCGAATAGACCACCAATTGATAACCGGACGTTATGCAGTGCTATGAGTTTGTTGTGCGATAAGGTTGAAACACCCCTTCCTTACATAAATATTCTCCTGTGGCAGATGAGCGGCGTGTCAACTCCAGTAGCGTGTCACCACAATACTTACACGCTATAGACTGCAGGGCGGATGAAGAAATATTCCGGACGGTTACCCCTTTACCGTGTGTTGACTGTCCCTGGTTCTGGAATTGGTATACCGTTCAAGTCAAACGGACGATACAGCCTAAACAATTTGCAAGACCTGTTTAGTAGATTTAAATGTATTCAGGGGCAATGGACTGAACTCATGTCCGTCATACAGCGGAGTCAGGGATCAGTGCGCCGCACACCAGCAAGGCGAAATATGACGTGATCTGCCGCGCCTGTGACTCTACACGGTTTATGCTGATAGATGAATCTTGCTTGAAATATCTGATCATTGTCCCCAAGCTTACAGCGGCGCGGGAGGGGACCAGAGCCGCTTTCGAAATACAGACGAAGATATCTAGCAAGTGGATCTGGCCGTCTCAATCAATTGGTCCAGAGCTGACGAGGATGAAATATGGTGCGAAGAAAAGGTCTGACAGAGTGACAGCTCGGACTTGGGGGAGGCACAATCACAAACTGCTTGTGGTGGTTTGCTGCACCTTTTTTGAAGAGCAGTTGGTAGCGATGACGTCCATCAGCCCGTGTCGCTGAGTTTTCTCATTTCATTCTCGCGCCGCGGCCGATCATGGACGTGAAGTGAGACAATATTTCCAAGTCAAATTCGCAAGTAATCAAGTTAAATGTTCTACTTACCTTGAAGCTTGAGGCAGTGTGACAACCGGAAGCAGAGGTACTTGAGTGTTTCCTTGTAAATGATGGGCGATTACTTTCAAATCACGTACCAAGTGAATACAAACAATAAATAATGAGAGCTATTTTATTCGGACTAGCACAAGGACACCCACCGTGTTCCTGCAGCTGGTTCCAATATCTAGTAACCTTAGACGGGCTGGCCTAGGTCGTGAGCTAGCCAATGATACCGTGGCTGGAGAGAGAACCAAATTAGGCATGTGCTGTAGAAAGCCATGCATGATTCAGAAAGCACTCGCTTGCACTCAGCCTGACTCTGAACGCCGAGCTCGGCGCTCCCAGCCAGGTCATTATTCATCCCAGCGCCATTTATCCTGTAATCCATCCCTCCGTTTTAGTCCTTCGTCTCTTTCTTTCTTTCCATCTCGTCCGATATCGCAAGAGTTAGTTTCAACCGTGTAGACAATGAACTTCTTCAAGACCAAACCGCGAACACCTCCTGATATCGTCCGTGGCTTGCGAGATGCGATACCCAAACTCGAATATGGGCCTCCAGGCAGTGAGACGAGGAGAAAGGTGAGCTCGATGAGTGAACCCATGATCTCAAATGGTGAACGGGATCGTGGCTACCAGGCAGGTGAAGAAGTATCCAGAAACCTCCAGGCAATTAAGGGCATTCTGTACGGTGATGGAGGTGTGCTTATCATCTGTTTTTCATGCCATACCCGATCTAACAGATCCACAGAGCCTTTGCCAGAACTTATCGCACAACTCGCACAAGAAACGTATTCCACAGACCTCCTCCTCCTACTCGTACAGAATATCGCAAAATTCGACTTCGAGGCTCGAAAGGACGTGGTCCAGATATTCAACAATCTTCTCCGGCGTCAAATCGGGGCCCGCCTGCCAACGGTGGAATATATATGCGCTAGGCACGAAGACGTTATCTTTGCGGCTCTGGAAGGATACAGTAACGAAGAGGTTGCGTTGAATACGGGGATGGTTCTAAGGGAGATGTTGCGACACGAACAGTTAGCCAAGATCTTGCTCTATTCTGAACAGTGAGTGCTCTATCATGCATCTTAGACTTGCCGTCAAATGCCACACAGGTTCTACATGTTTCCCCATCATATAGAGACAACGTCATTTGGAGTTTCATGCGATGCATTTGCAAATCTCAAAGAGACATTAACACGACACAAACCCATGGTTGCCGAATACCTGGACAAGAACTACGATCGTGTAGGTATCACGTCCCCGTGGTCATCTTCATCATTTAACGAGTATCCTGTATAGTTTTTCGCATCTTTCACAACACTCCTACTGTCCACCAATTATGTTACCAAGCGCCAGTCCCTCAAGCTCCTCGGCGAAATCCTCCTTGACCGTGCCAATTTCAGCGTCATGACCAGATATATCGCTCAAGAATCCAACCTGAAGATGATGATGAACATGCTTCGGGACAAGAGCAAGAATATCCAGTTCGAAGCTTTCCACGTTTTTAAAGTGGGTTTCTATGAACGGTTTGTTCCCACTCACGTTTACTGAGTATCTTTTATCGGAAGGTATTCGTTGCCAATCCAAAAAAGCCACCTCAGATTGAAATGATACTAAGGCGCAACAAGGAGAAATTATTGACTTTCCTGAGGAGCTTTCATAATGATAAGGAAGACGAGCAGTTCAGCGTGAGTAGCCATCGACCGCCCAAACTACCTTCACTTCCCACTAACATTTCCTGACTTACCAGGACGAGAAGCAATTCCTCATCGTGCAGATACAGAACCTGTGACGCTGGACGTCCTTACACGCTCCCCTTTCCCTTCTTTGGCAGAACATCTTTCTTGCGATACATGTACCGTGGGTCCCTGTTGTTTCCAGTTGAACACTTGTAGCACCCGCAACTTTCAGTCCCTACCAGTCATCCCTTGAGTGATATTGGCATCTCGTGAACGCTCATGATCTCTGCCGCCGACTGCTGTATCATACCGCATATATCGCTGTCCTATGTACATAACTGATTTGACGTCAGTTGTACTTATACCATCAATGTTGTCCAAACACCGGTTGTTGTTCGAGGTGCTTATAACCAAGTAATGGGACGATCACTGTGCGCCCCAGACCGGGTGAATTGTACCCGTCACACCACCCGTTCACAGAACTAGTTTGTTTCACCAGCTGGTGAAGTGCGAATCACCCAGTGGTATGGTACCAGTCACCAATGTAAGTACTTAGGTCAACTAGAACAGGTTACAATCACCCAAACTATTGCCGCCTCCTGACAAGGCTCGTACAAAGCATTCCGCACTGTGTTAGCTGGTAAAGTTTGCATAGGTGATCAAATTAGATCAAAACCACGATGTTGGCGGTCTGCAGCCGTCAATTAACGCACGTGGGGTTAGGCTCGTGACCAGCCTGGTTAGAAGTACTGGTTACGAGTCTAGCGTGGGGTATAGTTTAAATGAAAACCCCACGTTAGCTCCATTCTCTGTGCTCACTCGCCTTCGTCACTCCCACCCTCCAGGGCCTCCACGTGGCACACGGTGTTCTGAATTCTTCTTCATCTTCACCCTCTTCATTATCACCGGACTGATGCGGTTACGGCGCTTTTGTGCACGACCACCATCATGATCGGATTCGGATGATGGACCTTTCGTTTGCGCTGCGCTGCCTTCCGCTTTAAATCAATCGTCAAGTATGGCATGACTAATTCCTAGTTCTGACAGGGCCCTTCTACTATAGCCCACAAGTATGAGATACAACGCGCCATCTGACCATAACATTGATGCGTATTTGACCGGAAGAAAACGCAGCGACGTCGACTTTGCAAAAGGAGGCTGATTTTGCAAAACACGTGACGTACGCGTCGCGATAAGGTTAGAACTTTGTTTATGGAGTTGGCAAACACGCACAAACTTATCTCCTGAGAATATATATAGCACAGTGCATCACTCGTCGTTGCAACGTATCCCGGAAATATCTTGCCAGTAAAATTTTCTACCTGACAATAACACCATCATGATATCTTCAATGCTTTCCTTTACCGCGACTCGCGTTGCCGTTACAGGCTACATTTCTGTTTCGTTATTCAAAAGAACTGTCGTGCGCCATACGGTTCAGCGCCTTTCCAAAGCGGAGACGATCCAAGCTTACCTCCGAGTCGCATCAACGACCTGCTCATTAACGGTCGCTCTCGTTCTGGCCTGCCACGAAGCCACTCAAGAGATTCTCGACAGCTTGAATGACTCGAATACTTCCGCTGGCAATTTAGATTCAGACACCGCTACCGCCGATATCCACACGACGCCCGACACCATAGATTGCCTAGCATCTTGCTCGCATCAAGAACCATTGCACGAAGACTCGAAAGAAGATCCAATGGAACCACTAGATCTAGCCTCGCCATTGCAGCAGTATTATGTACCAATATTCCAGCCTACCGACTCATCGCCTGTAATCAAATCGCGCGAACCAACTTTCGACACGCCCATCACATCTTCTACCCCTTCTACCCATCTCGATTTGTTCAAATTCGACTCAAAACGCTTGTCCATCAACTCGGATACTATTCTTGTAGCTCACAACGACGACTCAATCCACTCGCAGCACATCTTCCACGACGCCTCAGATTTCAAAGACCTCAAGCCGCCTGCTGACGACGGCACTTTGTACGAAGTACGGAACTTCTTCGTGATAACCTAGCTCACTTTGACTAACGTTCGGGTCCCTGCAGCACGCCCCAAGGAACAGGAGCCAGTACGCACTAATACCGCACACGATAAACACGAATACACCGTCGACATCCTACTCCCGAGCACGAAAACGTCCAGTCCCGACGATCATCGTCCTTCTCGTTCGTCGAAGCTTCGACCACTCGTTTTAGTTGACAAGTACCGGACGACTCGGACGTCTACAAGTTCCAGCCTTTTTCTTCATGTATCTGCCCATGCCATGGACGTGAAGATGGAGACACTCTCTCCGCAGTAACCAATCCCCTACCTCCCAGCTGAAGCCTTGGATACCGGTTGCGAAGCACGCCGCCAGTACCACTCTTCGAAGTCAGAGGTCCGGCACAAAGCAAAAGGTGCGGGATCATCACTAGCCTAATATGCCATTCATTGTTGTTTATTAGTTCAAAGCTAGAGCTTCTCGATTGATCACTGCCTGCAACAGCATCACGCGTCCGCGCTTCGGGCAACACACCAACAGAACCGGTCGGTCATTTCTCGTGACGTCAGACTCGCTTATTGATTTCAGCAGTAGGTCACCTTGAAGAAGTATACGAATAGCTTTTCGTCGACCAAGCAGCCCTCGTCGACGGTTGGATTACTGGTATGATGGACGTGGGCCTTCAGTCGACGCTGACCAGAACCCATCCACAGTCGCCAGGGTCACTAGCATCGCACCCTCCCGGCGTTGATGCAGTACCAGATCCACCGGGTTCATGAATTAAGGCACGCCTCGCACGCCTTTGCCAACAGCCCGCGTTGTCGCAGCCTCACTTCTAGCCACAACGATAACCTCTTCCGCACCCTGCAGCGCACGTCCTGCACTGTCTTGTCACTGATCTCACCCGCTTCCTTTTGGCGCTGCCTGTCACAGGTGTGAGAGCAATGTGTTAGGATCGTCCAGGTCACGAGAGATCAACGAAGACACCACAACCACTCATCAAAATCGCGTCATGACACCATAGAAGACTAAGATATCATCTGAAGACGTTTGACAACACTCAACCTCAAGATCATGGATCGCGGACCGACATTCGCCCTAGAAGACTTCAACGAGACGACTTTCGGCCTTCACTTCAATGTGCTACGATCGACGACGGGGGACATCCTTGCTCGCTGGAGTCGGTGTGCAGAGAGCCGAGTGACCTTGTCGAGTGAGTGGTTCTACCTATCTACCTGACTTGTGCCGCCTGCTCTGTACATTTTTACGTTGAAATTGTCCGTTGAATGACAATTCGGTTTATTGACAAAGTTCGTTGGTTGCTCGCGTGTCTCTGTATTAAATATCATGATAGTCTGCCTATGCAGACATCCGTACGAGCTCAAACACGAAAAAAAGGAAAGATACAGTACGTAGAAGTTGGGGTATCATATAATGATATGGAGGGTACGACATATTACGACTCGTTGATGGCGATGGCAAACCATGATGACATATGTGGAAGAAAAAAGGACGAAGAAGCGCACGAGAGCAGGTCCATGAGAGCATCCAAGACAGAAAACCAGCAGCTAGCTTATATACGAGAACAGCATTTACCAATGTGCGCCAAAGAAAAAAAATCCAGGAATTATTCCTCTTCCTCGTCTTCTTCTTGTATCGCATGTTTGAAAGCAGGTCCTGAGCGGCTTGTGGGGAGTTGACGACGCCCTCCTCTTATCTCTGAACCCTCGAACACATTCTCCGTCTGAACGGGCGACGACCTAGCAGGCGAGTTGCCTTGTTTCGCCCTGCTATTGTTATTCGGCAGCGCCAGCGAAGTAGCACGAGCCTTCCCCGTGCGTGAACCGTGATTTCGCAGAGGAGGCGACATAGGGATCGGCGACTCGATGGGAAGATACGACGAGCTCGTACTCGTAGAGCTCGGCATCTGACCCAACCCACCCGCAAACTCAGGTATGTCATCATCCTCATCCACCCAATCGCTCTCATCGCCCAAATTGAGACTCTGCCTCCCAGTAAACACATCCCGAATGCTCACAGGCCCTTCTGGTCCAGGGGATATCGAAAGCACCTCGACAGGTAGATGCGTAGAGCGGAACTGCCAGCCAGGAGGCTCGTGACCCCAGGATTTCTTCCAGCTCGTTCGTCCGATGGTTCCGGAAGGACTCATGAAAGGCGTAAGCCGTTTATGTGCCACGAATGTCGCACTGCCTGTCGCACCACGCCGTGGCGTCTCGTCAAGTGAGCGGCGGGACGGGTAGCTCTTGTACGGAGAGCCCGTGCGGGTGCATTCTCCTTCAGAGGCTTCATAAAACGAAGTGGGCCGGGAAGAGGCTAGTGAATGGACGGATGATGTAGCTGAACTGGTCCTATTGTGTACTGGTCGAGGACCTGGGACCGTCTGTATCTGACGTATAACGCGAGTTGATGAAGAAGACCCGGCTCGCCTGTGGTGATATTTATGCATAGGCGAACTAGTGCGGTAATGTGCTGAACCATTAGACCCTGTGGATGGCGATTTACGATGTTTGCCAAGTGAAAAGCTATGGATGGAGGATGGACGCGATGAGTGTTCTCCGCGGTCAGAGCTTGGCGTGTGAGCACCGTATGATTTCCCGCTAGGGATTTGCTCTAGTATGTGAGGTGGCTCTAGAACCAACAACTGCCCAGAGTTTCCTGACGACCGACGGGAGTTCACGCTGCTCGAACGGCGTGACGACGTCGAGTGGCGTTTGACACGTCGTCCGCGCCCAATTCCACTCCCCCTTCTCTTGACATTTCCGTGACCACCAGGCGACATAGAAGTAGAAGGGGGAACGGCGAGAGAACGGCTGTACGAAAGTCCTCGTCCACTAGCTTGCGTTTGTGCAACCTCCTTCCGCTTCCCTTTCTTATCTTCCTGAAACCACAACCTGAACGCAGACAACAAACTGGCACGATTCCGATTGGGTGGCGCAACCTTTCCCTCATCTGAGAAATTCGGAAGGCTCGTAAGCGTATCACCCGGCGAGTTTGCAGGCGTCGGCGCTTGGGATTGTGGAGGGGACGTCTGGCCAGCAGTGACCACCCACGGCGAACCAGGCAAAGGGGGTAGAGCACTCGACTCTGCAGCAGATGGCGTAGAAGGGAGAATTAGTTGTTCCTTTGATTTCACAGGCGGCGACTTGGTCAGCTTGCCAGAGTTCCCAGAATTTCGGGGCTCGTCGCTTCCACTCCGCTTCTCTAGTTCTCGGGATCTCTCCCGTTCGCGATCCTTGTCCTCCCCTTTTACCTGCTTCGCTTGATTTCTTCCGCACGAGACCTGCGATTTCGAGGGCATTGGTGGCGCGTTGCATGATGCTCACGCTGCCGGAGCGTGCCTTGCTATCCCTCCTCCCTTTGCTGTCCTTATCCTTGAAGCTTCCGTTAGGCGTTGACGGATTGGACCTTCCGGAGAACTCGAGGGTAGTAGGCGACGGCGACAAATACGGGGACTTCGCACGTGGGGGTGTCGTGGGCCGTGCTGATGATGGCACGGTAGGTGTCGGAGGTAGCACGGCAAATTCAGGAGCGGAATGTATAAGACCCAGCGATGAAGTAATTGTAACATCGTCTGTCTGCACACCGATGCCACGCTTCGTCCGCCTCCGAGAACTGGGATGGTCCTCTTTCTCCCCCTCTTTCTCTCGTTGCTTACTATTGGCGCGCTCGGAAAACTCAACAGGTAATGGTATCTCTCCTGGCAAAACGCGTTTTTCCCGCTTGCGCTTTAGCATCCACCAAATGGCACCTGCTGCGTCGCATGCATCACTGAGAACAGAATGCACGATCTGACCGGTGTCAAATCCGAGTAGACTGAGGTTGTTGAGAAGGTCACGTTCCGCAGGCGTGGAGAAAATGATAGGCGCTGGGGTGCCGAGCAACGATGCAAAATCTTGGGGTGGGAGGGGGGCTAATGGCTTGTCCAGCGTTGGTGAACCGGAGTCGGAAAGGGTAGAAGACACAGAACGGCGCTTTGTACGTGCAGGTGTGCGCGTTGGATACGGGGGTGCCTTGGGGGTCTGATCGAGGTTCGTAGTTGACCCTGTAGCCGATGGTGCAACGTTCTCTGCCCCAGGTTCCTCTTCGATGACGGTTTCAGGCTGCCGAATCATACTATCTTTGCTGAGATGCGTTGAGCGCCGATCAGCCTTCGTAATCGTAGTTTGGCTCCCATTGCCCTGAGTTGTATCAAAAGGGTCCTTCGGAGTGTCATCAGGAGTTGTAGGGGTCGATGGAGATAGATGAGATGATGCAGAAACAAAGGATTCAGATGTAGTCGATGTCGCCGGAGAAATAGAAATTTCGTTCACCTGTGTTTGAGTGTTCGCGACGGGTTTCACAGGGAGAATAAAGGTATCGCGGGCGGGCGACGGGGATGAAGGAATATCGTTGAGCACGTGGTCGGGGATAGGGGCGAGAGGAGTGGATGTAAACCATGGAGAGGCCAGAATTTGTGGGATCGTCAGACGTTTGGCAGGGTCAACCTCAAGGATGTTGCGAATAAGATCACGGGCGTCTATGTCAACCTCTAGTAAATCACATCCGAAGAGCGGAAAATTAATAGATACCTGTAGAGAGCCATTCAGGGTCTTCATATTTGCCTTTAATAACCTTTTCTTTCATGACCGCTTCATCATCATCATCAAATGGAAGAGTACCAGTTAGAAGACAGTAGAGAATCACACCCATGGACCAAACGTCAACCTCTAAGACGTCATCTAAATTAAAAAGTTCCAATAAAAGAAATAAGGTAGGTTAGCTCACCTGGGCCAAGGTAACGCTTGCCTTGGAGCATCTCAGGGGCCGCGTATCCGGTAGTACCACAAAAAGTCTCCATGTAGACGCCTCGGTCATACTCGCGAGTAAAGCCAAAGTCGCCAAGTTTGACGCGACAGCGCTCATCAAGCAAGACATTTTCAAGCTTGAGATCTCGGTGGACGATGCCCTTCTCGTGTAGATAGGCAACTGCAAGCGCGAGCTGGCCGAAGATGATGCTGGATTCGCGTTCTGATAAGCGACCTTTCTCGGCAAGATAATCAAACAGTTCGCCACCACAACAGAGCTCTGTGACGATCCAGATGTGAGATTCGGTGGCTATGACTTCATACATCTGAGTAACATGGGGATGGTGGAGCTGGCGGTGGTGGTGTATTTCGCGAGTAAGGGAAGCTGACATTGCCTTTGGAATTTGCTTTATAGCAACTCTAGTACAGGTGAGACGGTTAGTGCCCAAGCGAACCTTCCCGTACGCGCCTAATGTGTGTCAGGGAAACGAAAGTTAAGAATAAGATAATAGGAAGACATACCTTCACCGATGACCTTTCCAAGGGTATAGTTTCCGACAACCCTGATCTTGCTCGAGGAGAGCTCCTTCCCGAGTTCGTTATAGGCATTAGCAAGTTGTGCTTTGTGGTTCTGGGTCACGGAACCCGTATGTTTGTGGCCGTGTGCAGACATATACAAGTTGAAATTTAACGTAAAACAGAAATGAGGGGCGCGGGCACAAGGGCCACAGAAGTAGTTCACAGATTCAAGAAATTTCAGTTAAAGCAGAAGCTTCTTGGCAGAAGCCAGGCGTTTGGCACTTAGAACGAGTTTTTCGATCCAAACTGCTTTCCACCCACAATAAACTAAGACACAGCCAATATTTCCCACGCCCTTCAGACCAGCTGAGCAAAGAGCTAGTACGACGTACGTACTTAGTACTTATTTTGAACAGCAACTACCGGACAACCCAAGGGCCCAACAGTGTATTGAGTACTCCATGGAGACAAAATGCTCTTTCGAGCCATGGCTCAACCTCCTCCGTCAGTACTCAGAGGTCATACGAGTAACGAGATGCTGCAGAATTTCGCAAAGTACGGCGAAGAAGCTCTTCAAAAATGATTAATGATCGCCGAATCGCATATCCCGCCTGATATCTCGAGTCACAATCAGGCGAAGAACGACTCCTTAGGAAGCAGCAGAAGGGAAGAATTCATCCTCCACGTTTGGGCTAACATGTGCCAGTGACAGGCCGCGGTCCGACAAGAGCATCGCGGAAAAATAACATACATAGACCACAAGGTGCCTCGTTTATCTCAATGGCACGAGGCGGTCGAGGCTAACTTACACTGACAGTGGTAAATCATGACACAGGGACCAGGGACTCAGTGAGCCGAATCATCAAACTGTACACGTCAGTTTGTGCGATTACCCACTAGATAAGACGAGTGGTTGAGTTCGATACCTAGGTATCAGTGCAAACAACACACGCTAGAAATAATGATAGGTGCACCTTTTGCCAGTGGGCGTCGAGAAGGGCTTCCTGATTACTTATAGCCTCCTCCGAGTCAGCCATCATATATTGTTATACAACCCAACCATATGACAATGCGTCTGTCAAAAACAACAAGAACAAGAACGAGTGCGGGAGTAGTAGGCCAATAATACGCCCCTGCGACAAGAAGTGACACCACCTGGATGAGGCCCGTGGGAATGTTAGTGAAAACAGAAGGCCGTGCCTTAACCTGCCCAAGGAAAAAGAAAAGAAGACCATGTAGAATACTTAGTGGCATGAGGTGTGAATGCTGTGATAGGTTGGTGATAGGGGTCGCCAGCGTCCTGTGAGATTCTCAGAAGGATACGTGTATGGAGAACCGGTACCAAGTAGTACCCGTTGCGAAACATGCGATAAGGCAAGCGATTGGAAGTACGATGTTCCAGCCACAGGGAGCTGGTTCAGCCAAGGGCTCATGAGCTCGGCAGCTACCTCCTCCACTCTGCTGGCGCTCAGAGGAGTCAAGAGTCTCGTTGACGGGGGACTACGCTCAGCCGCGACAATGATCGTGCGTCGTGGGCCTATAGTATATACTGTGATGTGATGTTATATTTGGCCATCTACGCTACGTATGAAGATACCTCGATGGCTCAAGAATGAAGGAAGTGAACTGTAGGCAAAGCAACTCCAAGAAGTCAACAACATGATTAGGCAGTGGCGGTAAATATGTGATAGATGTAGTACGAGGCAAGTTGAATCAATATACTAAGTAATAGCTGTCTTAGTCACGTGCATTGTCTTTCTGCACTTCTTCCTTAAGTAGCATCATCTTGCTCCACAATCTCCCCTTTTTGCAGTCCAATGCTCAAGCTATAGCTAAGCTTCATGCACTCTGACGCTGCCTCACTAGTTCGACAAGCGCAAGTACTGGAAATATGTTCCTTCCCAATGATATTAATGCAGCCCTTTCTTCACAGAACCCTTAGCGTTCATGGTGACTTGTGAAGAGCCTTACGCACCACGAGGTCGCCTCCAAATATTCAATGGCCGCAAACCCTCGTTCATCTTCACCGCTCTCATCCGCAAGGCCTTTACCCCTTTCACTAGGTCTTAATTGTTGACATCGAGGACGCCCCCGCCGGCCTTCCTCGTTCTGTCATAGCAAAACCCCATTATCCTCGTTTCGACTACCGGCGGACGAAGCCATTTCCAATACGCCGATTCCCAACGTTCCCATGGTCCGCTACCAATGAGAAAGCTGCCACCGACCGCCGTACTGCTATCGCAGGGGCAAGCAGGAAAATGACTATGATTTAGACCAGAGAAACCTTACGTGATGAGAAGAATACTTTTACCGCGAGTATGAAGAATCGTTCAGAGACGAAGTTAATGTGTACACCGCCCTTCCGGGTTCCACCATCCCCCTGCTCTACGCTTCGGGTCGAGTTGTTTCTAGCCACGGTCAAGGTCGCGCCATATCTCCCGGGGTGCTTCTCATGGAGTACATTCCAATCGAGATATTTGAAAACCTTCCGGATCCTCATTCCGTTCCTCATTTTGCGTACTACGAGCTAGTCGAGGCCGTAAGCTCCCTCGGGTCATATCGCGTTAGCCAAAATGCGACCAGACAACTTCCTCGTTCCTCTTCCAACAACGGTCCTAGACGTGTGCTCCTCATCGACTTCGGACTATGTATCCTTCCCTTCCCTGATGAGCCTGACGACAAGTGGCAAGAGGTCGTCATGTGCGAAAATGATGAGTTGGAACTTCAGCGCTATATGCTCAAGCTAGGCATTGAGCGCGATGAGTGGCGCCCGGACGCAGTCGATGTTCTCTATGGGCCCGAAATGCATAAGCTCAGGAGAAAGTGACACCGAATATTTTGTTGTCAATGGTATTTGCGTTTACTATTCTGTATGCTTGTGACTGACGCCAACGAAATAGAAGCAGCGTGCAATATCTTCAGAGCCTGTCAGTTCGCCAAGACGGCGTATACATGGATATAAACATGGCGCTTCGGCTGAGTAGAATTTAGGATGTGTCACCGTTTATTTCCCTTATATTTCGTTAGAATCACAGTCCCCTCACAAGGGGTGATCAGCCCAGCTGTTGATTTCGCACAGGCGCCGCTATCAGATTACCATAGATGTTGAGGACTGGCGAGCCGTTATGATTTACTCACAGCCGAGCAAAGTAGTTTCCCCTAGACAGATCATAGACGAATAAAAACTGACTGACATCTACCACGGCATTCGTAGCCTATGGCGCTTTTGTGAGGACCAGATTTGTGATGTACAACACGGTAGGCGCCGATAAGCAGTCCTGCAAATTTTACAGCGTGAGTCGAAATTTCCTTGGGGTACACCAATTTGAAGGCTGACATCGAACTTATACCAGCTGTGGTACTCACTTGGCCATTTACTTGCCGGTTACTGGCGTTACTTCTATGGTGCTTGAGTATTCGGAGCTGAGCTTACCGGGCAACAGAATTTGGTTAACATAATGCGTATGGTCTTGGTTTCTAGTCTGCAGTCTTGAGATTCTACAATGCTGATGTTGCATCGAATCGGCGTGTACTTGCAGCTTGCCATGCACGGGAAGTAATACTGTCCCCGCTAACGTGGGAGCCTGGTCATTATCGGATAGATACGTCTAACTTTTCTCTGCAACCTTACTCCCTTCTGCTGTACAGTTCTCGGAGACACATAGTTCGACTCCGCAGTCTTGAATCACATGAACTTCGACCTAGCCATGTCGGCTGGTCGAGGAACGAAGCCAGACCGACATGCTCCCCGCTTCGCGTCAATGTCGAGGCTAACATCTGACATCCACTGGCACAGTAGTAAATCACGAAACAGGGACTCACAGCAGGTCGAATGAATTTTTGCGCACTGGCATGAATGTGAAGCGCTACACTTGTCAGTTTTCGCGAATACCCACTAGATAAGACGAGTGGTTGAGTTTGATACCTACATGTCAGTGCACCCATCACAATCGCTATTGGAATAATGATGGAGTCGTCTGAGCCTTTTGCGGCGTCGAGAAAGGCTTCCTAACAAAGCTTATAGCTTCCTCCGAGTCAGCCGTCATATATTGTTATACAACTCAATCGCATATGACAATGCGAGTGTAGTACATAATTGCCTATTAGCCTATGATCATTATGTCTGTGAAAAGTAACAAGAACAAGAACGAGCATACGAGTGCAGAAGTAGCAGGCCAAGTACGCCCCCGTGATAAGAAGCCACACCGCCTGGACGGGGCCCGTGGGGAGTGTCAATGAAAATAGAAGGCCGTGCCCTAAGAACCCAAGGAAAAAGAAAAGTAGAGTAGTGGCATGAGGGCATAAGTGCAATCGTCAAGTATCATCATAAATGCGCGGGAAAAGTGTGTCGTGATAGGAGTCGCCAGCGTCCCGCGGGATTCGGAGAAGGATGCATGTATGGAGAACCGATACCCGATAGGAAATATGCGGTAAGGCAAGCGATTAGAAGTACGACGTTCCAGCCACAAGGAGGGGCACGTTCTGGTTCAGCCAAGGGCTCATGAGCTCGGCAGCCACCTCTTTCACTCTACTGGCGCTCAGAGGAGTCGAGGGTCTCGTTGACAGGGGACTGGGCACTGCAGCAGCAGTTGTGTGTGCTCTCGTTCGGATAAACGACCTGCAAATAAGGATATAGTTGGGCATAGGACGAGCCACGAATGAGACAACACTCACGTTCCAGTCTTGATCAGTTCGCTCAAACGTGCATGTTTCTTTGCCTCCGCCATGTACATGGTGGTGTGCAGGATCCCATCTGCGCCTTCTGCATACAATGCGATTTGTTCGAGAGCTGAGTTTCGGGAGATGGTGAGGAACAATTCATTCCAAATTGCCGGCAGTTGGGCCTTGAGAAGGCGTAGCTTTGGGGCGTGGCTCAGAGCCTCAGCCAAAGGCCGGGTGGCCGGTGCTGAACCGATTTTGAATGCGAAGTGAAAGGACTCCTGAGGATTACAGGTCAGTAAGTACCAATGCGGGAAATGAAGGAACGTACAAGGTCGGGCCAACAGGGTACGGCTTTTGCAATGCGCTGAAGTAAATATTTCGGGCGCGTAAGTGTGAGGTAAGCATCCGAGGCTCTGCGAATAGTAAGATGCTTCAGGTCAATTCGCTCGAGTGCATCACACAGAGCTTCGGCATCCTCATCTCTTGCCGCACCGCCCTGAGCATCGCCTTCAATTCCAACATCCATACAGACATCCACATCTTCGATCCTATCACACGCCTGGAGTACACGTGCGCTCTCCAGCGACACGCAACCCAGCACAACACGACGCACGGCACCGGCAAGGACCGGCTGGGCGGCGAGTGTCTCGAGTACGCGGGTAGCATGAGAAGCCGTTGGAAGGTGGAGAGTCTGATAATATATGGGAGTACCGATGCGAAGAAACTGTCGCGAGACAAGCAAGGGCGCCAAACGGGCACGTGTGCTGGTGGGCGGTGGTGGGCGAACTAAGTGCGAGGGGCATGGTTGGGTATGCCAGGTTGGACGAACGGGAAGCACTTGGGGAGGAGTCACGCAGTCCGCAAGTATACGAGCAAGAAGCTCTTCTGGGAAGGAAGACAATGAAGTAGGAACGGACATTCTTGCTAAAGAGTCGAATTGTATGAAAGTAAACGGCGAAGAAAAACGACCTGTTCGTTAGCTTTTTCTTAAGTAGCAGACCGCGAAGTTGATGGTCGTCGTCAGCGTGCAGATGGGATTGCAAAACAGACTGCAACCAGCTGCAGCCTGTAAGCTTTACTAGGCGCTTGATCGCGGAATTAAAGGTGACGAGAAAAGTGGCTTTGTTAGGAACAATTGCGAGGAGGATCGACCCTGTAGTTACGTCTAGGCTGTAGACTAATATCGATATGTTAACCACCGTCTCCCCTAGTACAAAGGTAAGCTACAAGCTGACGGAGCAAGTAAGTTCTGTAATGGGATAAATCACTTGTTTATCTTGCAAGCGTGTTCTATGTAATACGCAAGATGATGATCCACTCGCCTCGAGGCAGCGGCTACCATCGCGTCAGCTGGACCTGAGGCCTCGTGTTCGGACGGCCAACTTGAACATCATCGCAAGTTTCTGTACTTTGGAAATACCAGCGGTCGAAAGTTCGTCCAATATTGTCACTTCATTGATTCCGGTATTCAATGTAACCTTTGCAGAGGCAGGATGATTCGCGCACAACACGATGGTGAGCAGGTGCTGTACTAGTGTGATGATGAAAATTGAATCCCCAACGCGTTGGATTAGCAACCGAGCTGTGGCGGCATGGTCGAATTCATCACTGGAATAACCCCTTTCTTGTCAACTTGTCACGAAAATGTTCCGCAGTTAATGCATATGGGTGATCGCTTTTGTCTAGCACTCTATTGTATCATGGGTAACGCGCGGCACGAATCACCGAAAGACTGGAGGGGATGTCAAACTCAGTTTGTGGACACCTAGGTGTTGCCCAGGAGGTTTGCTGACGATGTTCTAGACCAAGGACTCAGATGTTTTCTTACCAGGACACCTTATCGTCCAGCCAAAAACGTCACAAAATTCCTGTATACTTCACGACCGTGGGCTAATCGTACAAACATTCTGACAGATATTCAAAACAACAGCAACCAGGTCTCCTTGCATTCGAAACAGCTTATTCCGCCTTCACGAACCTCCAGCAGCGATTGATGAAGTCCGGAGTGGTCGGGTCAATACTTGGCGCAACAATAATCTGGAGCAACGTCGTCGTTCATCAAGCCGAAAAAGGTCACCGATGAACACAAACCTGTATCGGATCCCTTTGCCTATCGGTGGCCCATTCCTGTTTCATACCCTTCACAAAGACACTGTCGGCAAAGGAGATAAATGAGTTCTCGATACCAGTGACGACGGTAGAACCAAAACCATCACTACTCACATGTACGAATCGTCGGGGATATCTGTCTCCCCCCACACTGCGAACTCCTGGGTATCAGCTCGGCCTACGAGCTCACCGTTCTATCACCTCACGCTGTTAGCAATCATGCATCTGCTAACACCAAATAGACTAACCTCATTGACCACAATAAAAAATCCTTTCGATACATGCCTAATCAACACAAGACATTCCATCGGGTTCACCATAATAACCTCGAACTATGGCATTGGTGAGCATAGGATGCACGTTAATGATGCACGCGTACGATGTCACCGTCCGTAGATCCCACGACCTGGAGGTCATCTGTCATCTGGAGGAACAGCTTGGAGTACATGACATTCTGGATCCTATATTTGCCCTCGGGCTGCATCGTGCTAGTCCTCATACTGGATTGTGCTGGGTAGTTAACTGAGTGAGAGAGGATTGTTGATATAAATTTATCGCAGGGATATGCTGCGACCTTTATACCTGCCTGAAGCTCAATTACTAATCCAGATGCCGAAGTCAGCATCACCACCCTTCGTTTGAGTCTTTTGGCTTCAGGCATATCATATGCCGGATTCCATTGGAGCCTTCCTCATTGGAGTTTGGGCCTGATGGCAAGAGTTCATCACATGCTTCCATATTGTGTTGATTAAGCGAACACTGCACCAGCTTACGCCGCACTAGCCGCCCTAGCCTGGGGCATGTTCGTTATTGACCTAATGATTTCTCGGGTCCATAGTTCTTGTACGTTCGAAGATCTCGACAACCCCTTCTTACCCCGTCATCCCCATTTCGAACAAAGGCACCAGTCGAACGGTCGCGGAAGCAGCACCAGGGGTAATGACACCTTCCATGCATGCTGTTAATATCATTGAACAAGGACCCGATTGCGCCACAATAGTTTGAGATGAAAAGGGGTCTTCATCAGCAAAAGCGGCTGAAATTTCGGGCAGTTTAAGTGTTAGAAATCAATTCAGTTCACCTGAGACTATACCAAACAGGGAATGTCAGGGATCGTAAAACGATAGTTTTTCGACGGGTCCGAACATTGATGTTGTCTGCCAATGATCAACCTCACCATCCACGTGTTTTGTGTCACATCAGACAGGGTCGCAATCGTATCCCCATCCAAGTCATTGCGCCGCAGCGCGAGACAACTTGATCACGTTGGTTCGAATAATCTATCCATCGTGGGCCTTAGGTCAATGACAGTCTACATGGAAGTTGCCAGCAACTTACGAGACCATGATCCAACTGGCAAACTTATCAGAATGTTGAAATGGAGATGGCGGGGAAGAAGGGCGTGTTCCACATACAGAAGTGGTACATACATAGCATGTTGCTATATTCGAACCAGCTTAGAGGCTTGTGGAGGTCGAGATATTTTCACGTACAAGAATCATCGATTGAATGCGAACATAGTAATGAGGAACGCAGCACGGGGAGTACAACAGACGGCATTGTAGTGTGGACACCCGACCTATTTAGTTTATATGACCTTGATATAACCTGTTGGTATCCATCCGTTTGCATCCGTGTAGAGCTCTGGGAGCTCTGCTGATCCCAGCGACAACGAGCTTCCGACCTGTATGCAAATGGTATCAGGGCTTGTTGTGGTACATCAATGTACACAAGTTCGGAATCGCGGTGGCAACTTGGGTGCTGAAGTTGTTTGGCAAAAATCTTGTATGCAACTATGATACTTAGATCGAGTTATACTGAGAAATTTAGTCGAATGAACTGATTTCACCGTGTGCAATCAATGTTGTGTTATCTGGAATTTTGCTCGTGCTTCCAACGGTGACCCACACAATATTCACGTCCTCGATCCTCTCAGACGCCTGAAGTACACATGTACTCCAAGACGGACTGGCGCAGCGGCAAACTGGCTGAGCGGCGAGCGTCTCAAGTACACAGGGCAGGGTGGGCAACTTGACTCGAACCATCGGAAGATAGAGGGTTTGATAATATATGGGAGTACCGATGCGAAGGAACTGTCGTAACACAAGCAAGGGGGACAAATTGGTGTGTTACTGGTGGGGGGATGGTCGTCGTGGAGGGTGGGTGGTCGTGTATGCCAGGGCGGACGAACAGGAAGAGAATTTAAAAAGCATTACATAAAACCATTGCGACCAAGGACTGTGGTAACGGCGCTCTGCTGAGCAGTGTTGTTATTAACCCAGGTTATAACCAAATAGTAATTATAACTGGCGCATCCTAACCTGAAATTAACCGCGAAATAACTGGGGTTAGTGGGTAGTTAATTGACTGAGTAGCTGCTGGTAGCTAGTTGTTGGTAACAACAATTGGCACATTCGAGCCAAGTTCGAACTCGACGGACATGCTCGCGTGGTCCCTGCATTAAGCTCAAGTGCGACACACATCGTGGCTCTTACTTACTGACTTTTTGTTCGTTGGGCTTTGGCCCAATATACAAGTTTAAGGTGCCAGCGGGGAGGTGCTCTGGAATACAAACTGGTTTCTGACCAGTGACAAGGTCTCGGAGTCTCGGATGTTTTATGACCCCAGGATTCTCCGATTCAGACGACACAAAACATTTCTTCCATTCATCACCACCGTGGGCTAAACGTACAATCATTCTCCGACAGACAAGTTAAAGCAACAACAACTAGGTCTCCTTGCATTCCGAAACTTCTTCAAGCTCACTGCTCCACGAACTTCCAGTACTTCTTCAGGAAGTCCGCAGTGCCCGGAGGAGGAGCTGGAGCAGTAGTGATCTAGAGCAACGTCATCGGTCTAAGGCCGAAAAAGGTCACCGATGAAAAACGAACCTGGGTCCAGTCGGCGGGTTCGTTGAGGATCCACACACTGTTGACGTTGTACCGATGGATCCTGCAGACAAAGGAGACGAATCAAATTCCAATTCTCGATATCATGAACCCATCGCCACTCACACGTAATCGCTGCCGCCCTCAGTGGACAACTGAAGCTCCTGGGACTGATGGTTGCCTTCGACCTTGTTGGTCTGTCATTTCACGTTGTCAGCGAGCGATCTGCATTTGTCAAGACCAGATGGACCGACCCTCTCGTTGATGGTAACATAAGTCCCGCTGGTCTCATTCTTGATTGTCACAAGGCCCAGAACCGGGTTCACGACCTCGACGAAGAACTATGGCATCGATGAGTATAGGATGCATGTCAATGATGCACGCGTACTGTGCGGTGTTTTTGCCCGGCTGTGGTGCCATCTTCCTCGTGACCCATGACCTCGGTGCCATCCGCTGGGTCACCATTTGCCAAGTCAGCGAACTGGGTGTTGAACATGACGTTCTGGATCTTGTAATTGCCAGTTTGAATCATCGTGCGAGTGCTGAAACTAAATTTTACTGAGTAGCTGAGCGAGAGGGGATCGTTGATAGAGAAGCGTAACAGGACGTGCTGCGACCTTTATACCTGGCTGAAGGTCCATAAGGACCCAGATGCTGAGGTCAGGCCGCATTAGCTTTCGTTTGAGTCCTGGGTGACTTGGGTTGGGGTATATTTGATTTTATTGGAGTTCACTTCATTTGATTTTGGGCCTGCCAGGGGTTCGTGTGCTGCCAGCATGTCACTGGCACATGCTTCTTCTTGCCCCGCATTGGCATTACTGGAACACAAACCAGTCACCAGCCTAAGCAGCATTTGGGACATGTTCGTCGTTGACATAATCATGTCCGGGGTCCTTCTGATTCGTAGTCCCTTGAATTCCAAGGTCGACATCCATGCTACCAGATTGGCTCGAATATGCGGTACGTGACGTGAAGAATATCCCCTTGTTGCCCCACCATGCCCACTTCTGATAAGAGTGCTATTGAGTGTGTCACGTCAGTAGCATCCATGATTAGGGGTGCGTCGACTCATCTTCCATGCAGACTGCCATCAACCTAAACCTAATCATGACTCGGGTCGCATCCGAGCGACATCAAGAATTTACGAACAACGCACGGGGATCACACAAAGCATTCAGGAAGGTTAATTATTGAATTTCAATTTGAACGGGTACCTAACAGTAGATACTAGTAGTCCTGCGAGGTCGCTGTTCGCGTTTCGACTCTAGCATGCGCATTTCTGCACGAAATCCTTGTGTGTTGTGTACATTCCCCCAACGTAGTGCACAGCACTGTATAATTTTTTGAATAAAATACAATTGAAGTGGTTCTCGTGACACTGTTGAATGGTGAAATGCTCCAGGTTGTCAGAACATTGTCCGGAGAGATAGCTGGCTTACCAGTGGCCTCCTTCGCTGAGTCGCTTCACATTCTAGTGTCCATGGGGACTCTGAGTCTACTGAGTAGACTCGTTGTTGGTCACCATCGAGGCGGATTGGGTTTGCTTGAGCCTGCAAAGCACAAACTTTTTGTGTGTAGTAGCCCCTGACCATTTTTGGCATAGATTTAGTCCTGTACTATGGGACTGTGGTCCGAGCAATACACGCTGCAACTAATGACTCACAAGTTACACGGATTACTCAGTGACTCTATAGATATATGGACTGTCTTCAACCTTGTGGAGTCCAGATAGAGGCACTACAATCGCAGCGACATAGCAAGGAAATGACCTTGTTGTGGTCAACCGTGGTTACACTGATATTACTACTAGGTAAGTTACTACATCTGGATTCTGGTTGTTTGGATCCAAGGGTTTTACCAAACAATCACATTGTTACCGCAAAGTGCAACTTGTATTTCTATGCCTCTATGTGCTCTGCATCTTGCATCCTCGTTGGAAGTTCGTTATTGGTGGGATTCGACGGAATAACTCCGCGGCTTGACTGCGCAATTACTGAAACTCACTTAAATTTGTGGATACAACGGATACTTATCACAGGCCTACGACAGATTGATATCGGGTAAACTTTATAAACAGGTGAGGTGTTCAGGCTACAATGCCGTTGAGCTCCTCGTATTTGAGAAGCAGGCTAGAGCTGTAAAAATCCCCATTACTGTAGTTGCGTCCGATCCATGGTTCAAATTGTATGTTACAGCATGCGCGTAAAGAACGCCCCTCTTGCCCCGCCGACCCCATTTTCTCATTTCAGAGTGGTCCTGTGAGTAGCCTGTCTACTGCTAGGTACCCGTTCAAATTGAAATTCAATAATTAACCTTCCTGAATGCTTTGTGTGATCCCCGTGCATTGTTCGTAAATTCTTGATGTCGCTCGGATGCGACCCGAGTCATGATTACGTTTAGGTCGATGACAGTCTACATGGAAGATGAGTCGATGCACCCCTAGTCATTGACGCTACTTACGTGGCACATTCAATAGCACTCTCATCATAAGTGGGCATGGTGGGGCAATAAGGGATATTCTTCACGTCATGTGCCGCATATTCGAGTTAATCTGTTAGCATGGATGTCGACCTTGGAATTCAAGGGACTACGAATCAGAAAGACCCCGGACATGATTAGGTCAACGACGAACATGTCCCAAATGCTGCTTAGGCTGGTGACTGGTTTGTGTTCCAGTAATGCCAATGCGGGGCAAGAAGAAGCATGTGCCAGTGACATGCTGGCAGCACACGAACCCCTGGCAGGCCCAAAATCAAATGAAGTGAACTCCAATAAAATCAAATATACCCCAACCCAAGTCACCCAGGACTCAAACGAAAGCTAATGCGGCCTGACCTCAGCATCTGGGTCCTTATGGACCTTCAGCCAGGTATAAAGGTCGCAGCACGTCCTGTTACGCTTCTCTATCAACGATCCCCTCTCGCTCAGCTACTCAGTAAAATTTAGTTTCAGCACTCGCACGATGATTCAAACTGGCAATTACAAGATCCAGAACGTCATGTTCAACACCCAGTTCGCTGACTTGGCAAATGGTGACCCAGCGGATGGCACCGAGGTCATGGGTCACGAGGAAGATGGCACCACAGCCGGGCAAAAACACCGCACAGTACGCGTGCATCATTGACATGCATCCTATACTCATCGATGCCATAGTTCTTCGTCGAGGTCGTGAACCCGGTTCTGGGCCTTGTGACAATCAAGAATGAGACCAGCGGGACTTATGTTACCATCAACGAGAGGGTCGGTCCATCTGGTCTTGACAAATGCAGATCGCTCGCTGACAACGTGAAATGACAGACCAACAAGGTCGAAGGCAACCATCAGTCCCAGGAGCTTCAGTTGTCCACTGAGGGCGGCAGCGATTACGTGTGAGTGGCGATGGGTTCATGATATCGAGAATTGGAATTTGATTCGTCTCCTTTGTCTGCAGGATCCATCGGTACAACGTCAACAGTGTGTGGATCCTCAACGAACCCGCCGACTGGACCCAGGTTCGTTTTTCATCGGTGACCTTTTTCGGCCTTAGACCGATGACGTTGCTCTAGATCACTACTGCTCCAGCTCCTCCTCCGGGCACTGCGGACTTCCTGAAGAAGTACTGGAAGTTCGTGGAGCAGTGAGCTTGAAGAAGTTTCGGAATGCAAGGAGACCTAGTTGTTGTTGCTTTAACTTGTCTGTCGGAGAATGATTGTACGTTTAGCCCACGGTGGTGATGAATGGAAGAAATGTTTTGTGTCGTCTGAATCGGAGAATCCTGGGGTCATAAAACATCCGAGACTCCGAGACCTTGTCACTGGTCAGAAACCAGTTTGTATTCCAGAGCACCTCCCCGCTGGCGCCTCAAGCTTGCATATCGGGCCAAACTACTCAGTCAATATGTAACCCCACTGAACCCAGTTATTTCCCGGTTAATTCCAGGCAGGACGCGCCAGTTATAACCTATTTGGTTATAACCCGGGTTAATAACAACACTGCTCAGCCGCGAGCGCCGTTAGCAGATGGTCGCAGTGGTTTTATGTAATATTCTCTCCCTGTTCGTCCGCCCTGGTACACGACCAGCCCACCCTCCACGGGCACCATCCCCCCACCAGCAATGCACCAATTTGTCCCCCTTGCTTGCGTCACGACCGGTTCCTTCGCATCGTTACTCCCATACATTATCAAACCCTCTACCTTCCGACGGTTCGAGTCAAGTTGCCCACCATGCGTACTCGAGACGCTCGCCGCTCAGCCAGTCTGCGCCGGTCCGTCTTGGAGTGCATGTGTACTTCAGGCGTCTGAGAGGATCGAGGATGTGAATATTGTGTGGGTCACCGTTGGAAGTGCTAATCAAGGGCGATGCGCGAGCAAAATTCCAGGCAAAACAACATTGATTGCACACGGTGAGATCATTTCATTCGACTAAATTTCTCAGTATAACTTGATCTAAGTATTATAGTTGCATACAAGGTTTTTGCCAATCAACATCAGCTCCTAAGTTGCCACCGCGATTCCGCACTTGTGTACATTGATGTACTACAACAAGCCCTGATATCATTTGCATACAGGTCGGAAGCATCAGGAAAAAAAACACATGACTACAGCTGACTACAGGCACTATATAGCACTATATAGTGCTACATAGCCCGCTGGAGTGCCTGTAGTCATGTGATTTTTTCCTGATGAGCTCGTTGTCGCTGGGATCAGTAGAGCTCCCAGAGCTCCACACGGATGCAAATGGATGGATATCAACAGGTCATATCAAGGTCATATAAACTAAATAGGTCGGGTGTCCACACTACAATGCCGTCTGTTGTACTCCTCGTGCTGCGTTCCTCATTGCTATGTTCGCATCCAATCGATCATTCTTGTACGTGAAAATATCTCGACCTCCACAAGCCTCTAAGCTTGATCGAATATAGCAACATGCTATGTACGTACCACTTCTGTGCGTAGAACACGCCCTTCTTCTCCGCCATCTCTATTTCAACATTCTGATAAGTTTGCCCGTTGGATCATGGTCCCGTAAGTTGCTGGCATCTTCCATGTAGACTGTCATTGACCTAAGGCCCACGATGGATAGATCATTCGAATCAACGTGATCAAGTTGCCTCGCCCAATGACTCGGATGGGGATACGATTGCAACCCTGTCTGATGTGACACAAAACACGTGGATGGTGAGGCTGATCATTGGCAAACAAGACCCCTTTTCATCTCAAACTATTGTGGCGCAATCGGGTCCTTGGTCAATGATATTAACAGCTTGTATGGAAGGTGTCGTTACCCCTGGTGCTGCTTCCGCGACCGTTCGACTGGTGCCTTTGTTCGAAATGGGGATGACGTGGTAAGAAGGGGTTGTTCTCTATGTTATGTGGCGGTCACGCTCGAGCCGCCTTATAGCATGGATGTCGAGATCTTCGAACGTGCAAGAACTATGGACCCGAGAAATCATTAGGTCAATAACGAACATGCTCTGGGCTAGGGCGGCTAGTGCGGCGTAAGCTGGTGCAGTGTTCGCTTCATCAACACAATATGGAAGCATGTGATGAACTCCTGCCATCAGGCTCCAATGGAATCCGGCATATGATATGCCCGAAGCCAAAAGACTCAAACGAAGGGTGGTGATGCTGACTTCGGCATCCGGATTAGTCATGGAGTTTCAGGCAGGTATAAAGGTCGCAGCATATCCTGCGATAAATTCATATCAACAATCCTCTCTCACTCAATTACCCAGCCAGAAACCAGTATGAGGACTAGCGCGATGCAGCCCCAGGGCAAATATAGGATCCAGAATGTCATGTACTCCGAGCTGTTCCTCCACATGACAGATGACTGCCGGGTCGTGGGATCTGAGACTGCGGGTGGTGACATCGTACGCGTGCATCATTAACGTGCATCCTATGCTCATCAATGCCATAGTTCGAGGTTATTATGGTGAACCCGATGGAATGTCTTGTGTTGATTAGGCACGTGTCGAGAGGATTTTTTATTGTGGTCAATGAGGTTAGTCTATTTGGTGTTCGCAGATGCATGATTGCTAACAGCGTGGGGTGATAGAACGGTGAGCTCGTAGGCCGAACTGATACCCAGGAGTTTGCAGTGTGGGGGGAGACAGATATCCCCGACGATTCGTACATGTGAGTAATGATGGTTTTGGTTCTACCGTCGTTACTGGTATTGAGAACTCATTTATCTCCTTTGCCGGCAGCGTCTTTGTGAAGGGTATGAAACAGGAATGGGTCCCCGATAGGCAAAGGTATCCGATCCAGGTTTGTGTTCATCGGTGACCTTTTTTCGGCTTGATGAACGACGACGTTGCTCCAGATCATTGTTGCGCCAAGTATTGACCCGACCACTCCGGACTTCATCAGTCGCTGCTGGAGGTTCGTGAAGGCGGAATAAGCTGTTTCGAATGCAAGGAGACCTGGTTGCTGTTGTTTTGAATATCTGTCAGAATGTTTGTACGATTAGCCCACGGTCGTGAAGTATACAGGAATTTTGTGACGTTTTTGGCTGGATGATAAGGTGTCCGGGTAAGAAAACATCTGCGCAAGGAGACCTAGTCGTTGTTGCTTTAACTTATCTGTCGAAGAATGGTTGTACGTTTAGCCCTAGGTGGTGATGAATGCAAGAAATGTCTGTGATGTCCTTGGCTGTGGACCTAAGTACCCGGGCTGCAGATGATGAACAAATACCTCCGAGGCCGCTATGGTGAGAGGAGCGCTGATAACAGGCCATGGCGTTGTCACATTCTTGACGGTATTATTTTTGGACTTTGCGATCGGGTAGACAGACCCACCGTTCACAGTTGGAATAGCCTATTTTCTCGTCGAGCTGCCAGGAAAATCCCCCGTAGCTGGTATATGGATGATAGCAAATTCAGTGATCTGAGCCACACCGGACGACCCCCTGGAAGTGGGAGGGTCGGATCCCCAGTTGTCGGCAGGCTACAAGCCTCTACAATCACCTGAGGTTCTATCTGTCAATCTGGCATTTTTCCTGCATCTTTCTAGGTCAAATTGAGCAGTACTACCAGTAAAGAAAGAACAGATTCGTCCCCCGCTGAGGTTGTTTACCAGCAACTTGACCAGTAAGTCGAGTATCAGCGGTTGATGTTAGACGAACTGGCAGTGGTGACGTTTCCAAGCACAGAAATTTGTGATGGCAGTCCGAACACGAGGCCATCAGCTCATGCGATTGCACTGCGAGACCTAACAACGTCCAAAACTCATCGATCAGATGCGACCAGAGTAACTTATGAGAAAATTTCCAGCTCCAGCTTCTGGAGTGTAAGGAGGACAGCAGACGGCACTGCAGCCTACATGAACACCTGTCCGAATCATTTAGTTTGTGCGACATCACGTGTTATAACTCGATACAAATTACGTGGGTGCATGCATAGTGAAATGGGACGGTGATGGTGATTGTGCAGTCAAGCCACCGAACTCTGCTGCCCCCAGTCGAGTTTGAGTCCACGGTCAACGAACTTCCGGCGTGAATGCAAGACGCAGAGCGCTTACTAGAGCCATGGAAAAACGTAATATGTGGTAGCATTGCGCAATGGCACAATTTTCGAAGCGTGTAACGTAGACTGTAGCAAGCAGCTGTGAAGTTAATTTGGCAACAGCGTTGGACACAAGGTTCAAATGGCAACCTCGATGTACTAGTATTTCACAACTGCTTAACAACCTCATCACTGTTCTCCAGTGGCGTGGCTCATAAGTAAGCATACAAACACGCCGGAGTGTGAGAACCTCAACTGTGCAAAACCTCAGACACCATCTGAATGAAAAACGGAGAGTACCTATATCGGACACGCACTTGCACAGTCGAGAGAGGGCCGCTTTTATCGCAACCTAAGGGCAATTCTGGTTGCTTCTGAATCTATAGGTGTATTCACAGGAGGAGCTTAATTGCATATAGCAAGGAAGAGTAAGGAAGGTGCCACTGGCCCACGGGTAAGCATCGTGATCATCTGAAACCACGTGATCGTCACGATGCTGGTCGCGCTTTACTATTCGAAGTTCAAGAATAAATCCATGGCCTACGTACAACGCGCGACAATACACCATAACTTAATCTAGAGGCTCTTTTTGTTCACGTGCAGCACGTGTCGTCCACACCGTCCAAAACACGAACGTGCACACCGAGCCCGCCAGCTACGCTAAATGCACTTTGTGTTACGGCCGTCGCTGAGCCGAATACCATGCATGCAAAAGCGATAACAAAGAACACCATACTGGAAGTAATCAGTCAGTTTCACCTGGAGTCAAAAATTAACCATAGCTGACCTCCACATGAGAAGTGCGTAGGGAAGACTGTATATGATAGCCAGCGCTTCTGTTCCAAACACCGGATGCGACGTTCTCGTCAGGAGCACGTTCTGAGAGAGATCATTAAGATGACATGGGGAGGAAGACAAGAGCTGGACCATCATACCGCCTGCTCAGCTGAATTCTGATCCTTTCTCTGGTTCTGGCGGACCAGTATGAGTCCGAGGATCACCACCCCGACGCTGGTCATCGTTGAGATATAACTGAACGTTCTTGCCAGTGTAATATTAACAAGCGCAAGAAAAGCAACATTTGCATTGAGCACCACGGTTGCCTGATCGGATCTTAGACAATGGCACCGAAGATAAAACAAATGAACGCACAGTTAATGCCAGACTGGACCAATCATTATTCAACTTAACTATGAACTGCTTCCAGAGGACGCGGTTGATCACTTTATCCACCCAGATGCCATCCAGCTCTTTCGCGTAGTCGCACGGAGCGCAGAAGAGACAGATGGATAATATCTGGATGAAGAGCGAATGTCGAGGCTTCTGCTTACGAAAGATCGACTGGTCAGAGTTCAGACGTGCACCAGGCTGCCCACAAAAATTGAAGAATTTGGCCAATGCTGCAAGTTTATCTGAGATAAAGCGAGGAAACTATAGCGCATGGAGCGCACCAAAGTTCTCCATGAACCGTGCTGCAGTCTGATATGAGTGACCGTGGAGTGAAACGAAGTAAAGTTCACTTACCTACGATGCACTTGCCATGTGGGAAGGACTCGTTTATTGCACCTGATTGCGCTGTTAGGGTCACCTGCAGGCTAATATGGGGTAACGCGAGCTGCTGACCTTTCAGGCGATCTGTGAGCTCCAGCATCTTTGCAAGTTCTTCCTGATCGAACGGAATGACTGACGTAGTCGAAGTGATGCTATCTGCACCAAAGTTACGAGATTTACTAACAGCAAAGTACAATCGCAACCCACCAGCTACGGCGTGGAGGATCATCTGTTCGAGCTCTGCCAAGACACCAGTCGTTAAGGACCAATTGTTGGGGAAATGCATGCAGTGCGTCCTAAGTTGAATTAATGGTAAGGAGGGGCAAACACTGTATATAGAGGACATCAGACAGTGCAGCAAAAAAGGTGTAACGATATACCTCTGTACATCAAGATCAGCTCACCAGTATTCAGCCTCCATGGTATATTCTATAAAGCAATCAGAACAATCGCTGATGAATCAAAATTACCTCCTACTGATGTGAGTAAGTGACTGCACTCTCTCTAGATTTCTTATTATTTGCTCGCCCGGGACAGCTGTCAACCAAAGGACGCAGCGTTTCCCCGGTTCTACAAAATAGTACCCGCAACCATGTTTGCCAATCCTCTCGAGCACGAGCTCACAAGTGTTACACGGAAATGCGGTCTTCTCCCGTGCTTGTCGAAGTAATTTTTCTGCATAGTGATTTATAATTTCGAGTTCGCCATGCATCGAAAGATCAGCATCCGTGTATATGCGCTGTCATATCGCTCAGTCCCATTCGCGTTGCAAAAAAAATATCTCCACGAACACGTTTCGAATCGAAGAAGTATAACGCGCCATCCGGATGAACCTGTGGCACCCAATCGCCGTATCCCTGTGAACTACAGGGAGGTGAGCAGTGGACATGTGCAGTGGACATTTCACGCACTTATCAAAATCAGTCTGTCCAGGCTCTACGCACAATCCCTTCTTTGATCCACCCATGGGTTTAGGTCTGCATCAACTCGAGCTCACAAAGGGCCAATTCTAAATTGAAGCAGTGACAACGTACATGATCCTCCCCCTATCGTTCCTCTTAACCCCCGAGGCTGCGATGGTGATTTCAGGAGGATATTGAGCATTTTCTTTCAAACTCGCGCGAGATAGATTTGGAGTCGAAGAAGAACTAGATGACCCATTTGCAAGCGTTGTCCCTTCCGGAGAAGGCGCTCGATGGGAGGCACTCAAGCTCGGGCAAGATTGACTCAAAGTCAATGATGGAGTTGGCATCGGCCATTCAGACAAAGCTGCATGATGCAATACTGGATATGGCGACGTAACGCTACAGACGTCCGACTTCTCGTCGGGACCTTGTACAATGATGTGAATTGGTTGTTTTCTGTATACACAAGACACCAGCGCTCAGCACGCCCTCAACTTTATTTCTGGGGGACTCACAGAGACTCAGACATCGGATTGTTCATGAGCTGTTAGGAGACATTAACACGAGGAAGGAAGAAGGAGTTGTGCCGAGTGTGCGACAGCGTTACACATGTCAATGCTTCGAATGCCTGGCATGGGCGCAACTGGGCTGTGGGCTTTCATATTAGGTACTTCCGCGTTATGAGCCGTGGCTTACCAATTCTTGGGCGCCTTTCTTTTGTGTTGACGCTGCCGGCCGTGCGCGTGAAAGACACTTCCAGCCTTGCAGAAGTGGGGTTGTCCACGGATCCATCACGATGCATCGATGTGGTTCACCAGATAGAATGAACATCCCCGATTCAAATTATGGAATTCCTCAGCGTTCAACTCTCTCGTCCGTTCGTCCTACCTTTGCGGGAAACATAAATGAAACATGCAGAATGTTGAATTCATTGTCCTCCATTTTCAGCGGACATGAAGACATGGCTTGGCGGATGTGAGCCGTGTGGCAGTCACTAGAACATGGAACCCGCCTGCCATCAAACTACAACATTGTGTGCCGTCCATGTATTGTCGACACAATTGAACTTCGAATTCCAGATCTATAAGGCATGATACAAGACCTAAGACTTAAGTAATATGGACGTGTAGACCAAACATAGACTAAAGGAAGACACTGCCAGCACAAGAAAACTGAATCGATATTATGCATGTGTTAGGGTGAGTAATCGACACGCAGAACCAGAATGGCAAGGAAAACCTATGATAGTATTGTGAAGTTATGGACACCCCTGAAGGCTCTTCGGCATTCGAGTGTGGATACTATTCATCATAATAACCTCTTCGTGCCGTGACTGCATGTAATGTTGACCCTCCAGCAGTACATGAAGATGACAGTCGTTGCAAACGAGATCCACGAAAATGAACCCGCCTGTGTGGACATGACATGCAACGGAACCTGCTTGCGAAGTGACTCTGTGAACACGAATCACCTGTGACGAGCTATCCCTTTGCGTTGCGTTGGTCAGTGGAGCACTGCTCGTCGCAACGGGGTGTTTGGTCTTGTGCTTGCACGTCTTCGCGACAATTCTCTTGCGTGTTCATGTCTGACGAGGAAGAATAGCATTCACAGAGTTGAGCTTGGAGCTCACCTGGAAACGACAGTGTTTCGTGCTGTAAGAATTATTTTTCAGTGTCGAACTCGACAGGTAAAATGGTATCGAGGGCTGATTTGGCCGCAGGCGGCTCCTTCTTTTGCTCGCCTTTGTCAGTCCTTTGTTGGGGGGCCGAGCGGGGCATTTGCAGGGTGCTGGCAAGTGCAACTCATTAATACGATGGTCGGATATGATGAAAAAGTACCTCCCAAAGATCAGGTTTCTTCCTCCGTACCATCCTCGGTGTTTGCTGTATCCATACCACCTTGCGAATCAAACTTCTGCTGAACAGGTTCCGTGGTAGCAGAAATGAGTGGGTCGTTACTCAATAGTAGTGGTGTTGATAAAGCCGATGTGCCTAGACACTTTGAGTCCATCGTGTGTGCTTTTCTGAACACAAGCGAGCGCGGCATCAGCAGAGGTGCGAGAAATGATGGTTTGCGCGACGTGATACCTAAAAAGATCATCGTTGCTTCGCTAGCATGATGATGAGAAAACTTGATCAATCACCAACCTAGCGTTTCAAGTTGGTGGGAGAATACAACATAGGCAAGCGTGCTCAGACTCGGAATCATTCTCACCGGAAGCTTGCCTGCGAGGGTCACCGGTCACATGCCAAGCTGACTCCAAGCCGAGATAAACAACGCCGAGTGAATGTCACTGGATGGAACTTGAAGCTTGAAGCTCCAGATGAAAGAAAAAATACATCTCAAGGAAATGTCTAAAGTGCTGAGTTGTTAACAGCCCTGCCCAAAGTGAATCGAATACATACTTGCAGAGTCCAGACGTTCGACCACTCAGCCTCATGACCAGAAGTGTGAGGGCGGTGCAGTCTTGAACATATCCTCCGTAAACAGGTCGTCCAGTTGGAAGCTGCAAGTGTTTTGAATGCGCAATAGCACAGACAACAACTCCAAGAGCGCTTGCCAAGCAGACCTTGGTTGAAAGGTACCCACGCCCGAGTAACGATTGAAATCCAGAGGAAAAGCTCTAATGAGCATATGTACGAAGCTTGGAATCGCCAGAACATTGAATGCGTTTGATCCCGAACACACAAGTACGAGTTCAGATCAACTTGAAGTTCAGACCAGGATAGGCAGTTTTCGTGCAGTCCCAACTGGAGTCGCCCCGCAATGTGCAATACCTGCATAAAGTAGATATCACATACAGACAAAACCAAACCTAGAGTAACCAACGTACACATACATAAAATGGTAACGGAATTCAACTAAACAAAACAGGTGCTAGCACCGTTGACGCATAGCGTTTCCATCCGACAAGAGACTGTACGGCCATGGCTATTTAGAAGGTTGAATAATGAAAGTCGTTGAAAGAGGTTGAAAGGGTGAAGGACAGCAACGAGATTACGGACAACACGGTAAGGAGACACGATCGGTATTCGGGGTGGAAGACTGGGATACAAATGGGTGATAGCAGATAATGATAGGAAGAAGATACATTTGTCTGCGGCGGATATAGAGGGACACATCCATCATCGTGGATGGGTGATTACAGAGAGTGATCAAACCTAGAATCATACTTTGAACATTCTGGACACCAACGAGAAAAAAAACGCACGGCAATTTCAGCAGCTGGGACTTCGGCAGCGGCAGCTTCTTCTTCTGGCTCTTCTGCGATGGTCTCTTCTACGGGGCCTGGAGCTTCGTTCTCATTTGTCGGGGCTTCAGCCTGGTAATCAATATTAGCCTGATTTTAATTGAACACGAGAGGTGTCTCACCTTAGATGTAGGCTTCTTGGAACTTGCCCTTGAAGCAGGTTTCTTGGCGGTGGTTGAGACTGGTTTGGCGGACGCTCGAGACGCAGGTTTCGTGGCCTTGGAGGCTGGTTTTGTGGGGGCTGCCTGGGAGGCTGGCTTGGAAGCGGCCTTGGAAGCTGGCTTCGACGCAGCCTTGGATTCGGGTTTGGCCTGACGACTGGTTCAGTATACTGAAATGTGTAGTAAAAATATGGAGTCAAAGCGACCTTCTTGGCGGCGGGGGCCTCTTCGCCCTCTGGTTCAGCGCCCTCTTCTGCAGCTTTCTCAGCAGCAGTACGCTTCTTTCCCCTGCTAGACTTGGGTTTAGCTTCAGCTTCACCGTCTTGGTCGTCGTCGTCTGCAGTAGCTTTAGGTTTCCTCCCCCGCGGCTTCGCGGGAGCCTTCTTAGGCACTTGGGGCTTATCCCGACTAGCAAGGCGAGATGAACGACGTGCAGGATGAGCGTCACCGTCAGCAACAGCTGTGGTGGCGCCGGAATCGTCTGCAGGCGCGGCGGGTACGGCGGCTTTGCGGGGCATCGCGATGGATGGGTTGAGTGAGTGAAGAAAAGTGAGGGTGGACGCGCTTCGACACCCTATTACTTTCGAACTTTATCTGGATATCAACAAACAAGACTCGATCACCTGACCAAAAGCGCGTATACAAATACAAATAGCCACCCACATCTGATCTGCGCACGGTCCCGAACCTCGCCGACATAGCTTATGACCTCAGGTCAAATATTAAAGAGTACTCGGCTCCCTCTGAACTACTTAGTAGTTATTGGGACATTCTTATTTGATTGAAAAAATCCTCTTCAGCAGGCAGGTAAACATATTTCACTTCGAAGTTTGCCGTTCTATTGATTTGTTCATTTCTACACAATGCCAAGGAGGACCTAGTGGTTGACCGCTCGGTCAATATCACAGTCAGATAGCCTCATAAACACCCGCGTTAAATACGGTACATTCAATCACAGCTTGGCCAATACGGCGTCAGCACCAGAAACAGTTACTCCTGGGCCAGGTTCGACCTACGTAGACCAGTCATCAGGATCCTTACTCGGTGTTGTGTTCATATAGAATACACGAACCTCGACGTATTTGACAACCAAGTCGTCTATGATCATGGCGTATCTTGCAGTGCGGAAACCAAACCCGCGCTCGGAGAGGTCAACACGTAATCCAAGGCTGCCCGACCACGCAGCATTGGTATCAGAGAGGGTGATTATCTGCGTACGGAAACTCTTCTATTTGTTCCTGGAGTTACCTAATAATATAGTTGACGTACCTTGTCTGTCAGTCCCTCAACGCGTCCCCATCCGCTCATGACGAATGGATCATTGGCGGCAATGACAGCAATGATATCGACACCCTTAGTCTTGAATTCATCGTACTTGGCAAGGTAGGGTGGGAGGTGGTTGACGTGACAAGTTGGCTGACAGGATGGGGTAAGTTCAATGATCGGAATGCCCTTGAAAATACGTACGGTGAAAGCACCAGGCACTGAGAAGAGAACAACCTTCTTGCCCTTCCAACTGTCGGTAGAGAGGGTAGTTGCTTGTGGTCATTCTTATAAGTTTTATTCTACAGGCACTGGCAAGAACTTCCAAACGCACGAATACCACACGCCGACTGTGTGACCAGGCATATTGGCAACGATATCAGGATTCGAAGTGACATGACTCACATGATCAGCCAACTCTTCAGAGTAAGGGACGGTACCGAAGGTGCCCTTGGGAATAGTGTTACCGACAGCGATGTTGAGGGATGCCATGAGCGATCGAGCTGTGTGTACGTCAAGCAGTAGACAGGTAAAGGTCGGAACCGGGGATAATCGCGATCTTATCTAGTGTGCGATTTCGCGGAGTTTAGATCATGATACTGTATACACACATCACTACAGAGTACAGCTGGCAAGAAGTTTACAATATTCAGTTGCGCAATGATGGGCATGCAGCCAGGAAGTTCATTATGATTACAGACCCGGCGTCTGAGACGCTGTTTTTTTTGTCAATGTTCATGCGCTTCCACGGTCAATCAGTCTAAAATACTTATGCGACTATGTTTTCACGACACTCGTGTCATAAATCATCTCCATTATTATGACCACTGATCGATTACAAAGTCGGGACGACGTCCTATGCTATGGACACCAGCGACCGGTATTTTCCCTGACACAGACTTGTGAATTTGACGTCGGTTTGATTTTACTATTGGAGAAATAACACAAACGGATAACCCCTAGAGCCAATGCCTACATCAACTCTGTCATACTAGTACCAACGCACACGGCGAAGCCTTCTTAATATCAACATCGATTTCCCCGTCTCTTGCAGGTAGATCATTGAACAGAGGTGAGTAGATGGGTCTTTATTATGATTTTAAGTGATCTCAAAATGGCACAGCCTGCAAACTGGGTGCCGAATAGCGCCTGTCCTCGGAACTTCTCGACCGACCACCATGTTTAGAAGCGCATCTGTGAAAATAGCCCATAGCTCATCAATCCCAGTTCCTGCGCTGATAGGAAACGAAGAGCTTAGGCCTCTACAAGATTTGATTGCAGCAGAGAAAACAGTGTTGACTTCGTGAGTCCACCTCGCATTTGAGCCAGAGCTATCAATAAAACACCGTCTTAGACTGCAAAGGCTGAGCTCTGACTTTTCGAAAGCTGCTGATGCCATGAGGACCTGGGCAGTTTCTGAAGGAGACGATCTTTCCGTGAGTCTGGTCTGGTCTCGAGATAAACTCATCATCCACCGTGACCTCAGGATATATTGAGTTCATCCAGAACACTCCTGGCACACTTTGCAGGGGCGCTCACCCACTACAGCTCTATTCAAAACGTCGTTCGAGACAATATGAAGGCTGTACGCACGCGTGAAGAATCCCTTGATGACCTCCACCGGCGCCGCCGGCGTACTGCAGCGTCCGTAGAGAGCATCAAGAAAAAGCTCACCCGCATGAATAAGGAGACCAAGGCGTTCGGTGCACAGATGGACGCACTACACATCGCACGCGAGGACATGCGAGATTTAGATGCAAAAATCGCGCAAGAAGAGTCGACGATCGGGTCTTTCAAACGAAAATGTACACAAAACTGGCTGACACTGAAGTTTGGAGGTCTTGCAGAGTGCTGTGAGAAGGGCATGGTATATTCTGCGCACCACCTAGGTCACGTCTTCCTGACATGTATCCCAACAGATTGTAGCGGAGATAGGGAAGCGAATGGTAGTCGTGGGTAATGCTCTCTTACTTACCAGTGCTCAATTCTCTAATAGGATCCATGACATCAGGAGCTTTCGGAGTCTCCCAGAACGCCGTATTCAGGACACAAGCGAATGACCTCGTTGCTCTCTGAAGCGCAGCATCGCATTGTGCAAGTCGTGTTTTCTGGAGTGCCATCCGGCTATGATATGCACGAAGCTCCGCAAACACCGATTTCCCAAAGTCATCCGAATTGCTTCAAAGATCTTCCAGAGATTCGTGATGAATCTTTTGCTGACGCGATATCCATCGAAAATTCTATCCGCATCCCATCGTCGACTGATCCGAGATCAGCTCCTGTCGAGCATATCGTATGTTCTCATGATCAATATATTAGGCGCTCACGATAACTCCGAGAATAGCTTTCGGGGATCGGTCCGTCGACGACTTCCATACCAGACTATGGCTATCAGGCAGAGTTATCTCCGTCATACTGTGAGCTATCTTCAGCTCTGCCTAATCGTAGAAGGACAACGGGGAGTTCTGCCGATAGAAGCTACTCCACCTTGATGCGAAGTAGATCTGCTCCTGGGTTCAGACTTGATAGCATCGCGGAAGGTGACGAGCCATCGCCTTCGCCATCTATATCCAGTGACATCGGAGACACACGGTTTTGCCCAACCCCGATCGGCGCGCCTACACCTAGCTTAGAAACCACTTCATCATCCAGCAGTGCTAACCACGAAGAAAATTTTCATGGGCAGTGCTCACCCAGTAGAAGTCCGTCTGTTTGAGGTACGTCGCACGCGACCTCATCCTTTGAGTGAAACGTTGAATGTTTTCGTAGTTATATGCTCGCATTCGTAATACGTATTATGATGTGGTCATGTCATTTCTATCGGTTGCACAACTTGCACGTCAGAATTGACATTTTCCCTTGTCTCAATTTATATGTGATTGCTCAACTCTCGCCAGGCAAGGGTTGGAAATTGGAACTAAGACAGTCGAGCTTCAAGGATATTCGCGTCAGTCATAGCGCGTTAGCGATGGCTGGCGCCCCTAGTCATGCAACTTCTCACAGATCCTTGAGCAGTTCTTTGTCGGCGGAAGAAAAACGGTCTTTGGCAGGTTCGCAATGATGCATGACCGGGGACTCTATGTTGTCGCTCGTGCAGAAGTCATTAGAAAGCTAATGCGGTGGCTTCTTTGTGGTTTCTAGCGCCTCCAGAGTAATGAGCGAGTGGTTTGGTATCTGACGGCGGCCCTCAGTCGGTGGGTTGTATCAGGAGTTCGAGAAGTAGTCGACTTATTATGGAACCACATAGAAGTGACACCAACCACAAGCATCACTGGCACCTTGTGACAGGGGACTGGCAATTGATGTGCGTTTTCAAACATTGGTACCCGGCCTGCGAACTTCGCGTTACTACCATTCTCGTGCAAATCGAAAGAGGCTAGCGCAATCATGTCTGGTGACCAGGATCTCATGACCCCGCACCTGGCGGAGCATCGGAGGGGAACGGTGTCTGACAATCTATGGCACTAGGCCTTGCCGATCTAGGTACCTTTATGTTTGAGTTGAGTTTCCACGTTCTTTTGATTTACACGAAATCATGCACAGATCCCCTTACATCATTTCACTTTCATTCTGATCAGGCAAATGACCGATGCTTAACTTGGCAAGTACATGGAGGCTTGAACAGGGCCAAGACATCGGAATTGTACATTACCCTGCCGGTTTGGCGCCCCGTCATCAGCGCTATCCAAACTGCAAGCTCAAGCTGTGTTGCAGGAGCGCTACTCAGAGCTTTGATGTTATCGTGGAAATCGCTGTTGAGAGGTGATCCGTCAGAGCACCGAGCCGGTTCCAGATAAATATATCTAACTGTTCCAGTTCTATGTACCTTAGCTGCCAGTGTCACTGGACGTCATCCACCCTAGTTACTGACCATTTTCTCTTTTCTATTTAAGGATGGCTAGACGCTATACTCGCACCTCAGTCTTTCTACCATTGACTGAGGTGCGCATACCATTCATATTATACTATACATGATACTTACTAGCGGTCCTACAGACTCACGCTACCTTAGGTTAGTTTACACGAATAGAGTCTTTCTACCATTGACTGAGACTCACGCTACCTTAGTGCCTGGGGACCAGTCAACATCACTTCCTCTACCGGTGACCACTATTTTGTGGTATTCACTGATGACTACACGAGGTACTCAGTGGTCTATCTAATGCGTGCCAAATCCGAAGTCTTTGATCGTTTCCGGCACTTTATGCCCTGGATAGAGACGCAATCTGGGGGGCGTGTCAGGCGGCTTCGCAGTGACAACGGAGGCGAGTACATGTCGAGGGAATTTCTGACCTATCTTGGGGAACATGGTATTGAGCACGAAACCACCATGCCCTGGACTCCCCAGCAAAATGGTGTCGCGGAACGCGGGCACCAAACCATTGTCACTCGTGCACTCAGTTCACACCACCTGAGTGGCTTCCCGCGTTTGTTCTGGGGCTGGGCAATTCTGAACTCAGCCCACATCAAGAACATGCTCCCTTCCTCATCTCTCGCTGGTCGCACACCATTTGAGGTGTTCTATGGTCGCAAGCCGGACGTCGGCTACCTTCGCCCATTCGGTTGCCTTGCCTATGCGCACATACCAGAGGACACCCGCCGCAAGTACGACTTCGTCTCTCGTCGCTGCTTCCTACTTGGCCATGTACGGAATGCAGGCTACACTCTCTGGGATCCCTCTACCAAACGCGTCGTGCGTTCCCGTCATGTCCACTTCGACGAACACGTGTTCTATGGGGATCCTGCTTCCTCACCCCTCGCTCCTCTCCTTCGTGACTCGACGGATCTCCCTGCTGTCACTTCATCGGTGGGAGGTGTCTCTCAATCAGTGGGAGAGCATGACGACCCACCTGACCAGAACGATCTGCCAGTAACACCTGACCCAACTGAACAGGTAACACCGCCTATCCCACAGCAACCTCCAGTACCTCCTCCCCCTGCACCTCCATTGGATATTCCGCCTCGTCGCAGCACTCGTTCACGCCAACCGGTACAAGCAGGCCATATCGCACCCTCTGGCACCAGCGCAACGGCCATACCAACACGACGAGTTCCTGTTGCCGAACGCTGGACATATGTACCAGAGTCCTCAGCCAGTCAGCACGACAACGACAGTACCGAATCCGCAATGCACACAGCTACCGAACCTCCCAGACCTACCGAACCTCCCAAACGCTCAAACATAGTCATACCCGAAACCATCAACAAAGCTCGGTCATTACCAGAGTGGCCTCAATGGTCAGATGCCTGCAAATCCGAGCTACAGTCAATGCAGGACCTCAAAACACACAAACTCATGCCACTCCCAGAAGGACGCAAAGCGATTGGTTCGAGATGGGTGTTCACGGTAAAGACTGATGAAGAAGGCAACATCACCCGTCACAAGGCACGCTTCGTCGCGCAGGGATACACGCAAGTTGAGGGGATCGACTATACAGAAACGTTCGCGGCCGTCGCCAAGTACGACACAGTTCGTATTCTCCTCGCCCTCGCGGCGAAATTCGACCTTGAACTGGACCAGATGGACGTACGTACCGCCTTCCTCAACGCTGACCTCAAGGAGGACATCTACCTCAAGCAACCGGCTGGTTTCGAAGACCCTGAACATCCGGACTGGGTGTGGAAGCTGGAGAAAGCGATTTATGGGTTGAAGCAGGCGGGGTATGAGTGGAACCAGACACTGGATGAGTACCTGCGGAAAGAGGGGTTCAGATTCGTAAGGAGCGAAGCTGATCACAGTCTGTATGTCCTCCACGAGGGAGACAAAGTCATATGGCTAGTCGTCTATGTCGACGACATGCTCGCAGCGTCGAACTCTCGCGATTACCTGGACAAGTTCAAGACACAGCTAAAACAACGCTTCGACTTATCGGATCTCGGTCCCGCTCGCCACTTCCTTGGCATGCACATTATGCGCGACCGTGAGAAGAGGCTCCTCACCATTAGCCAGAAGGCTTACCTTGAGAAGATTCTCGAGAACGCCGGCATGACACTGTGCAATCCTGTCAGTACACCTATGACACCTGGAGTAACCTTGCAGAAGGCTACACGTCCCCCAACGAGTGAAGAAGCGGACGCCATTGCGTCGATCCCATATCACCGAACTATCGGTGAACTCAACTATGCTATGCGAACCACTCGCCCCGACATCGCTTACCCAGTTTCATGCCTCTCCCGATACATGGAGAACCCCAGTATCGACCATCATCGTCAACTCAAACATCTTCTCCGGTACATTCGTGGAACTACGGATTTAGTACTCATCTTCGGCTCGTCGAACGAGGGACTCGTTGGACACTCGGATTCGGACTATGCTGCAGATCGAGACGATAGCAAGTCCACCAGCGCTTATGTCTATCAACTGTTCGGAGGGCCCATTAGTTGGAAGTCTCAGAAGCAATCTGTGGTCGCTACCTCGACCACGGAGGCCGAATATATAGGTCTATCGAACGCTTCACGCGAAGCATTATATCTAATCCAGCTTCTACACGACTTCCGCCTTGACCCCGAACTCTACGATCCCGCACTCCTATATGGAGACAACCAGTCCAGTATTGCGCTCTCGAAGAATCCAAGATTCCACGAAAGAGCCAAACATATTCGCGTCCACTACCATCTCATCCGCAACCTCGTCGACACGAACAAGATCGAACTCCAGTACAAATCCACCTCGGAGATGATTGCTGATAGTCTAACGAAGGCATTACCTCGCCCAGCTGGGATCCAGCATCGGGAAAACATGGGACTACGTCGTCAAGACCTGCCAGGCGCTCTGACGAGTGGGAGTGTTGAGAGGTGATCCGTCAGAGCACCGAGCCGGTTCCAGATAAATATATCTAACTGTTCCAGTTCTATGTACCTTAGCTGCCAGTGTCACTGGACGTCATCCACCCTAGTTACTGACCATTTTCTCTTTTCTATTTAAGGATGGCTAGACGCTATACTCGCACCTCAGTCTTTCTACCATTGACTGAGGTGCGCATACCATTCATATTATACTATACATGATACTTACTAGCGGTCCTACAGACTCACGCTACCTTAGGTTAGTTTACACGAATAGAGTCTTTCTACCATTGACTGAGACTCACGCTACCTTAGTTCTCGCTCTTTAACAATCGCGGCTGTAATTAAGTCAGGCAAACGCGCGCTGGAGGTAATTCAAGTTGAGTGTACATATCATTACTGACCCATGGAATGGTTCAATCTTCTCGAGCGCCTGCTCGATTGATGGCCTCCCACAGGACACCTCCGTTAGTCCCTTGTATCCGCGGCCTCCGACTGGACTGTTCTACACAGTGATGTGCCGACAAGTGCTTCAAGCTCCTTAAAGAGGTGCTAAATAATCATTTTTCGCATTCCTGGATAGTGAGTGCACTGGCGCTATCACCGATTGACTAACATCGATGCAGCATAGCGTTTGACCCGCAGTTCCACATTAATGCTATGACGCTCGCACCGTCAACTTTCGCTGGTGCGCCGTGCTACCGTATAAGGCTCTTTCGGATCCTTGTCGATCGAGTTTCACTGCAGCTTGCAGGTACGTTCCCCGGCTATGACGGTCCAGGGATACTCCGGAGCTTTTTCTCGCAGACACAGGAATGCACGGGATTTGCCTTACGTGGAAAACTCTTCCAAGTCAGGTAGTAATCACCCTATCTTCTCGCTGCTTAGAGAATACTAAAATACATATAGGGGATTTTGAACAGTTGATCCTAGGACAGTCGGCTATGTCATGAGACCAGTGCCGTGATCGGTCCATCTAATTCTTCATGGATGGCCTGACAGAGAGATGACCCAGAGATCACTGACGCCTATGAATAATTAGGCTTCGGTATCAAAAAACCTCCATCCCAACTGCATACACCGGGCTCTGAGTATTCCACGTTACTCTTGGTATCACGTTCTTACGTTACTTTTGGAAGCACAATTCGTTTTTTTGCCTTCGAGTTCCTTGCATGCTCTCGGCAACCTTTGTCATACGGACCGGAACGTGATGCACGTTTCCGAACTTATTGGACTTGTTTCACAGAACCGCGCAATTTCAGCGCATATTTAGAATATAAAGGCTTCGACCCAGCGTACAACTTGACTATCCAGAATACTCAGTATGCTCTCTCAAGCCCTAGTTCGCGCTGATAGCATCGCTCGTCATCTCGAGACGGTTTTCCTCTTTACGAAAGCTGATGTCAGAACCACTCTGATACCTGTCGTATGTGATAACCTTTGCATGCCCCGCCCCATTGTTCAATTAGCCGTTTCAGACCATATTCGCATTATCCGCAGCTCCCATGCATCACCCCACCCGCGCTTTGCATGCCGCTTTGTGGATATGGTTCCATCTATTGCAGTTCAACATTTCAAACCAGATCCAGGATCCAGAGGAGGACCGCAAGAATAAACCCTCCCGTCCGATACCTGCTCATCGGATTTCCGTGGACAGCGCAGCTGATATGCGCTGGGTGATGGTCCCAGTCTGCTTGATGCTATCGTTGTGGTACGGAACTCAGGCTCTCCTATCCAGCACCGTTTTTGCAGTGTTGACGATCTGGTACAACGAACTGCACGGTGATAAAATGGGATTATCAAAGAATGTACTCACGGCCATCCTCTATGGGTGCTTAGAGGTCGGAGGAACAGTTGCTGCGGGTAAACATATTCTTCAGTTTACAAAGAAATCATAGTGCTCATAAAGCACACAGGCTACCGCAACTCACATATCGATAAAGCTGGTGCTTTGGCAGTCGTACTTAGCTCGACAGTTTTTGCGACTACGCTTCATGCGCAAGACTTTAAGGATGAAGTGGGCGATCGCCTTACTGGCAGACGTACGCTACCCACAATCTTCCCCAAAGCCGCGCGCTTTTCAATGATGCTCGGCATTCCCCTATGGTCGTTTGCCTTGAGCTGTATCTGGCAGATAGATACACTCTCTACCGCTGCATTTGTAACCTATGGCGCTTTTGTGGGGAGCAGGTTTGTGATGTACAACACGGTGGGCGCCGATAAACAGTCCTGCAAATTTTACAGCGTGAGTCGAAATTTACTTGGGAGTACGCCGAGGTGAAGCTGACAACGGATTTGTGTCAGTTGTGGTACTCACTTGGCCATCTACTTCCTGGTTACTGGCGTTACTTCTATGGTGTTTGAGTATTAGGACTCGGAGATGAGATTACCGGGAAACGGAGAGTTAGTGAACATAATGCGTATGGTCTTGGTTTCTGGTTTGCAGTTTTGATATTCTACAATAAGTAGTCATAAGTAATCCCATACACTGCGTCTCGCACAGGAAGTGATACAGGCCGGGTCACGTGACATTACGTGTCTCGAGCGATCTCAAACAACCTCAGAGCGCTGGTCGCCACCAGTGACTCATTAGGTCCAACGTGGCGGTCAATCCAGACTCCAGAACATAATGATTTACTGCCTGCAGTGTTTACTGGGCGGAGTCGCGGCTAAGAAACTACTGATTATCTCCACGCGGAATGTGAATTGCAATCACCTCCCAGACTTGTGCCCGACCGTCCCGATTTGTAGTCTTTCGTCGATAGAAACATACATTCATCTCTTCTCGTTTGGTTTCGTTATTTCTACCGGGATGCGGCTTCTCAATCAAGGTATGTGGTCTTGCGTCGTGCATCAGACTAAAGGTTTAAATGATTTTATGTCCAAATAGATAAGTGCATCGGATGATCAGTCCGTTCGTCAGCATTTCACACAACAACGCTGTCCTGCATAATTGAGATAGCGCCTAGGGTCATCACATGTTTGATTATGATACGGACAGTCGGCACAAATCCGGTAAGTGCTTGTTTGTGGGATCACTTGCAGTCTTCTGTTGGTCTTCTGTGTCACTCGAATGAAACCAGATGGTATCTATAAAGAGCCGAACATTAATTTAAACCATAACCTGAAATCCCCCGTTGGATCCCCTTGTTGGATGTCCTCGGAACGGTGGTAGACAACTTCTTCATCATGACACGAAATTTCTGACCAACCATACTGTTTTTATATTATCCGTTCTATTCGACTGGTTTTGATTCACCAATTCTGAGATAACATCGTGGACTGTACCGAATTCGGACATTTGGTTCTCTCCAGCCTTCCGCTCATTCACCGGTAGATCTTCACAGTGCTCGAGTGCACTACAAGACCCACATGATTCTTACCAAGTTGCACACAGGCTCTTAGCCTACAATTCTTACGTGCCTTTCAGTACGCATGTCATTGCCATTGTTTTTCTAACTCAATTATTGTCCTGTTAGGGTAGTATCCCATGTAGGACATTTATGCCTAGGAAAGGGGGAACACCTGTCCTCCCACCGCTTCTCCGACTTTGCAAATGCCCCGGTATGAGGTATGCCCGTTTTGCCGACTCTTCTACACACACAAGCCCTTACCATCAGTGATGATGTGACAACACGTGAGTTTGTGTCCGCCGATATGTGTTGTGGTTGATGCATGTAGAGTCGGTGCCTGGGGATATACCTTTAAGCGAAATCCTTTGGTAACGTAATGCGAGGGAGGGGCTACACTTTCTACTCCCGTCGTGAAAACCTTATCTCCTGTGAATCACTCCTTTGTTCACTCTTTGTGCACCTTAGAGTGGTTAAGAACTCACTTACACTAGGATCGGATCGCAGCCTACGGTAAACTGCATTGCAATTTTTGATGTTCATTGGAGTTCCAAAAAATGGTCAGTCAGATAGATTAGGCGCCTGGCGCCCGATTACCGTCCCTGGAAATATCAATGCTGCATGCTCCGAGATGCTCGGCCAACGTTATTCTTGCTCTCGTTTCGATCTGATCTCCCCAATCTCCCCCCTGGCAGCTCATCTGGGCCGGGTCAGGGAACGTTCCATTTAACTTCTATCAGCTGAAGAACGTGGTACATACTTATCTTCCGATGATGTTCCACTCGTCATAGCACATAGCACTTGTACAAACTGCAGTGCAAGGAACCATCTCGGAAAGTGAGGTTACCTTTAACCGAGTCGAGGAAAATACCTTGCTTGCTTATTTGGGCAAAGTTACCGACACCATAGACACTTCAATGGATTTTCATGCAAATGTACAGAGTTCCTTTGGTGCATGTCTGGACAGCCATTTGGCAACTATAAGGCAGTGGATCTCAGGTTATTTAACTGCGGGCTACTGGCTCAAAATGAGAAAGCAATCAGACCATGTTGTCGCAAGCCTTAGATAGCGGTCGCCGAATCAGCGGGCATATCATGACATTATTCCTGTTCACGAAGTCCGACATCTTGACCACCTTGTTGCCTATCGTGAGTGCCCCCTGTAAAAGTCGGTTGTCTGTTCTTTGACCCCATCTTGTGCATTAGACTTTGTTTGCCTTGGCAGCCGCTCCCCATCTTCATGCAACCCGCATTCCAGACACCATAATTTGGATATGGATGCACCTCCTGAAATTTGACATATCCAATCAGATTCAAGATCCAGACGAGGACAAGAGAAACAAACCTGATCGCCCTCTCCCTGCTGGTCGTATAACTCCCCAGAATGCGGCGGATTTGCGCTGGCTGCTAGTTCCTGTCTGTCTATTTTTTTCTGCGACATCGTATGGCAGACAGACTCTCGCTGCTAGTGTTTGTTTCGAGGCCTTCAGTATCTGGTATAACGAGTTTGGAGGCAATAAGACTGGACTTTCGAAGAATCTATTGACAGCCATCGGGTATACGTGCTTGGAAGTAGGCGCAACGATAGTTGCAGGTACGTGGGATGTTCCAGCGGCCACATAGCAAACATTATCGTTGACCGAGATCCATATCTCGATAACCAGGGTCTAGCCCACGCATCGATAGTATCAGTGCGCGCGCAATGGTTTTTAGCTGTGCAGTATTCGCAACGACGCTTCATGCACAAGATTTCAAAGATGAGGAGGGGGATCGCTTTACAGGAAGACGCACTCTCGTCACTCTATTCCCAACCTTTGCACGCATGTCAATGATGATTGGCGTTCCCCCTTTGGTCATTCTGCCTCAGCAGGCTCTGGAATGTGGACTTTCATCTGTTCTGTTGCTTTCATAGCGTACGGAATGGTTGTCGGGGGGAGATTCGTGATTTATAGGACCACGAAGTGCTGATAAACAATCGTGCAAATTGTACAGTGTCAGTGATCTCAAAAGTTAAAAGTTTGATTCTCCATACTGATTCATTGTTTTAGCTTTGGTTTACCCTTGCACACTTGCTCCCTGGCTATTGGCGATTTTTCTACAGTACTTGAAGCTTGAAGCTTGAACTACTTATTTAACTTACCTCGGTCGGAGGTTCCGGCTCTCCGAAGTTAGATGAATTATGGAATGGGAATTATTTAATATTGTAGGAATTTGTGTGATATTACGTAATGACTGCTCGTGCTTCATTTGCAGTGTGTGGTCAACTCGTTCGTCATCAAACAACGCTCGTCAATAATTTGCTGCATGCTGCAGGTAATATGGGAATTCTCCCAGACTTGACCCATGGGCGTGGCGCGGGCTCTGGCTTGCCACTTCCTGTTCTCCTCCTTGCTGGAGTATCGACCTTAGTAGCAGTGACTGTGAGTGGGTTGTCGATATGGCTGCAGCTAAGAAACTATAGGAAGCCCCTCCTGCAAAGGTAATTCCATTTTGAGGTTTTAATCGCTAAAGAATATATGCTGAGCCATGATGTGTGTAGGATGGTCATCCGGATCATGCTCATGGTCCCCATTTACGCCTTGTCATCCCTCATTTCCCTGTTCTCATTGGACGCAGCATTCTTCATTGATGTAGTACGAGATATATATGAGGTGCGTTACTGTCTATGCAGCGGAGGTCTTCTCTGTAAACTTTGAACATCTATTTTCATGATTTAGGCTTTCGTCATTTACTGCTTCTTCGTTCTTCTGCTTGATTATCTGGGCGGCGAGCGCTCGCTTCTTATTCGACTCCATGGACGACCGCCTATCCCAGCCATATTTCCTGTCAGTCTTTGGCGACGCGAGGTAGGATGTCAGCGATCCATACACATTTCTCTTCATTAAGCGAGGAATTCTGCGTCAGTAGCCGCCGTCCGAAGTTTATAGTGGTCATTGCTGACAGGTTTCCACTGATAGAGTATGTGCAAGTCAAACCTGCGTTGGCAATCGCCAGCCTCATCATGAAAGCAACTGGAACATATCACGAGGGTGATTTCCGGGCACGATCCGGGTATCTATATGTTTCAATCGTGTACAACGTGTCCATTTGCCTTGCATTATATTGCCTTGCAGTTTTCTGGATGTGTGTAAGCGATGATTTGAAGCCATTTCGGTGAGTCGCCAGACGTTTTCTTGGCTATCTCAAATTCATCTGCCGGCTTTTCAGTCCAGTACCAAAATTCCTTTGTGTTAAGGGAATTCTCTTCTTTTCATTCTGGCAATCCATTGCTGTCTCAACTCTAGTTGCGGTCGGCGTCATAACCAAACTTGGACCATACACGGACAGCGAACACATATCTCTTGGACTCACCGACACTTTAATTTGTGTCGAGATGCCGTTCTTCGCTATCGCGCATATGTACGCATTTTCCTATAGAGACTTTGTCAAGTCATCCCTATCTGCTAAAGTCTATGTTGCACGGATGCGCATGGGGTATGCCCTTCGGGATGCATTTGGCCTGAAGGACCTTGCTGAAGACACTAAAGCAACTTTGCGCGGTGAAGGCATCAATTATCGTGCGTTCGAGCCAAGCGAGGGCGGAATGCACGTCGGGGCAGCGAGGGAACGAAGGATACGAGCCGGCTTGCGTTATTCCGCAGGCGGAAAGCGGAAATATTGGCTCCCGGAGGTGACAGGTCTAGGAAATGATGGAGACGTCGTCGCTCCACTGCTCGCGGAAGATGCAGAGGATGTTGTTCACATTGCACCTGACATGCAATATCAGGAACAACGGCAAACTATACGAATGCCCGGTGATGACATGGACGTGGAGGACGACGAGTATGCGCTGCACTTCAATGAGGCACTGGCCACCGTGGATGACTTACTCTATGACCACGCGAAGAAGTACGTCTTTGGCGACTACGCGTACCCTGTTGTGGATGTCAGCTCTGAAGAAGCGCGTTCTGCGATGTGGGCCGAGGAAGAGAGAATTGTTAGAGAAGGAGTGCACATTGGTGTCCACGGAAATTCCATTGGTGCAAGCGGCAGCAGAGGCTACGGTGCAACAGACACCCGGGTTGGTCAAATACGAGAGTGCGATGACGGCAAGGACGAAATGTTTGCTTCGGAAGGTGTAGGTGATTTTGAAGAAGGCGGTCGGAGGGCAGAAGTTGATGCATCGAGGAAGTTGAGGTGGTTGAATACCAGGAGTAATGGAACCCCATCACCATCAATATCTGGCTCGTTAAGTTCATCTGCAAGTGGATTGGGTTCAGGAAAACATCTACGCTCCTCAGGGCCACCATCCCGACATGACTCACAGACATCTCGTGCATCGGGCCCGAGATTGCTTTCTGGAAGCAATATCAACGTCCGCGCATCGTCCCCATACCTTCATTCTTCGCCTTCGCATTCTCGATCGAACATTGGTACTTCATCACCCCGCTTACTGTCTTCGGGACCACATCCACAAGCACCCCGTTCTCCTCATCCTCCACTCGCGGAGCCAGACGCCGTAGACCTTGTGGTGTCTACTAATACGCTCCTGGTGCCTTCAAGCTCGCATGCTCCTCATACTTCACCACGCGCTACAGGCTTAAAACGTGTTTGGGATCAGGAAGGAGATATCCGCGTTGATCCTTCGACTGGGTCAGAAGTAAACGACAGGTGGTCTAATGACCATCGCGCCGTCCTCAGTGTTGCTTGAAGTTGACGACACACAGGATATACGGAAGGAGGAGCGTAATGTTCCAGAGGTGCATGAGCCAGAGGAAGTAGTGCGTGCTGAGACGCCACCCCCATATGCTCGGGCTTGGACCTATGGGATGCAAGAGTCCAGGAGAGGACGAAGATAATCCGTGGACGTGAAATCACGACCGCTCGTTAAGGTCTCAGACGCTCGACAGGCATGCCGAGATACCCACTCATAACTTATGCACGTTGTATAACATTCATGTAGCACTTTTGATTATCAAAGGCTGTCTTTCGAAAGTGAGTTACCGGTATGAAATAGCTTGGTGCGATCATACTTAGGTTCTCGTCAAGTCTTCCCTGATGTGCATGGCGACATGCTACTTCTTAGCTACTTCTGTAGTTCAAATTCTCTTCCCCGTGTCAAGCTTTCGCATAATAGCCTCCTGACAAAATATGTCTCTGTGGTCACTTGCCGGATAGGCATATTGCACGTATGACGTCATTCGCTTGCTTTTTTCCATCCTACTCTACGCGCGTCGCGAACGTCTCTCTTCCCCTTCAAACTAGTCTCGAGTCCACCGCTGCACACTAGTACTTCGCAGCTAAGTATAGAACAACTGTGGCTGTGGTGGCGTCACGCATGACAATTGCTCCCTTCTCTTCTGCGCAGCCAGTCAAGCGACTCAAGCCAGTCAAGGGTTTACCTACAACAACTAGTTGACCTACCCAACATTAATATTATTGCTGCGACGAAGAATGTTCAAGACAGCAGCAACAAAAATTGCCCATAATTCCACTATCCCCGCTCTTGCCGGCAACAGTGACCTGAGACAGTTTCAAGATCTCATTAATGCGGAGAAGGTCGTCCTGGTCTCGTGCGTTTACCTCATATATCGTATTTATGCGCTGTTAATATCCTTGTCGCTTGGTTGTACAGGATTCAGAGGTTGGGCGTTGATTTGACCAGGGCTGCGGAGTCGCTCAGGGCGTGGGGAGTCGGTGAGGGTGATGACCTCGCAGTGAGTGATGATTTTGTCTGGGTGTACGTGGTGCAGTTGTCCTTCATTCTATAACGTTCATGCAAAGCTTCATGGGATGACTCGCATGCCCTGTGACACTTACAGACGCGTAGACGAGCTCCACATCTTGTGATGCGGAGCCGAATACAGTGTACATTTCATCCAATACCAATGACTCTATGTACACCCACCATTTCTAATTATCAGCCCTCTGACCAATAAATTATAGGACATACTCAGTGCATCCACGACCCTACTTGTTAACTTTTCTGCTGCGCTGAGTGCGTACGCCAGTACGCATCATGGAATCCGCGATACCATGAAGTCTGTACGGACGCGCGAGGAAGCACTTGATGATGTACGTCGACGACGACGGCGCGTTGGAGCCTCTGCAGACAGTGCAGAGAAGAAGCTCAACAAGATGAGCCCTGAACACAAGAATCTCCCAGCACAGACTGATGCACTTAATCGATTGCGTGACGAGATGCGCGCAATGGACGGCGAGATTTTTCGCGAGGAGGCTGAGTTGGGCGATTTTAAGAGACGATGTGCGAAAAGCTGGATGCAGGCCAAGTTCGGAGGTCTTGCAGAGTGCTGTGAGAAGGGTGTGGTGAGTCATTCTGTTCTTTCGCTGGCTCTCCTCCTCACTTTCTTTTTACGCAGATCGTTGCTAACATAGGCAAAGCCATCATTGCAGTATGTCTGATGTATGCTCGCGAGTCTCATCATGACCATGTTTTACAGGAAATTCCCGAAGACGTGACGCAACCAGGACTTCCTCGAGCGTATTATAGCGCTCAACCACGTGTCAGTGCCCTTGTCTCTGAGGCACAGCGCGGTGTTGCGCAAGTAGCCTTTACGACTGCCCCATCTGCCCGCGTTGGCCAAGGAGAGTATGAGCAAACATCATCCACCCAGACCTCGCCAAAGATGCAAGCACAACAGTCCTTGTTGTCGGGTTCTCCCTATTTACCTGCTCCGCGGGTAGGTAGCGGGCTCAACATGGGCGGCTTTGGGGACGAATCCTTGGTGGGATTAAACAAGTCCAACTTGCGCTAAAATATCTAATCATTTTGACATTGACAGTCTCCTCCGAACCAAAACCAGCGCACAGAATCTGCGGACGAACTGGGCGTCTCCACACCGACCTCAACACACATAAACCACTTTGCCTCTGTCCCTGCGAGGGGCTCAAGCTTAGGCGTTTTGTTACACGACGGAGCGACTCCCTCGACCCCTCCTCTCTCGTTCTCGCGGCAACCAGATGCGGCGCCCTCTAGTCCCTCAGCCCTTCCCATGCACGATATATCGAGCTCTTTGACCAATTCCATCGCCGATGCCCTAGCTCGCAGTGATTCCAACTCGTTCAGCCCGAATCGGCCCTCGGTCGATGATCCCGCCCCACAGTACGAGCCGTTCGTTCCTGGCTCAGGTGCTCCATACACTGGCGTTGGAGACACGCGTAGAAGCAAGAGTCCAAGTTTACCGCCAGGAGCGGCTCCTGCTGCAATTCAGGCATGGGACGGCGGTTTGGGCGCTGGAATTGAGGAACAGCGTGCTATGAGTGAAAACAACGACCACGCGACCAGTATTACGAGTGTTAGTGGAAACGAACGGACAATGAGCATCACTGGGCTGAGCGACAGGCGGACATCACAGGAGTCGGTGGGTGGCATGCCATATGACCGCGATGAGGACGCCGAAGATTCTCAACAAAGTGAAATTGCGCTGCAAAGGGGAGACCGACGATTGAAGGTCGGAACTGAGGAGGATGAAGCGGATGGAGAAAGTAGCAGACCTTCGCCTGGGAGGACAGAAAGTCGGAAACGTATCCCGCGTGTGCCTCCGCCCCCCGTAGACACTGAGCTACCAACACCGCCAGAGCGTACCAGGATCGCATCTCCGCTTTTACAGCAGCCTACTTCAGAAGATGACGGAGACGATGAGCATGCACGCAATGCAGCAGCTGCGCGCGAGGTCTCTCGTGAACTAGATGCACTATCATTTAGCGCGCCTGCACCAGTGACGTACTCTACCCATCCCACTCAATCCCGAGCCCCACCACAAGGTTCTTACATGTCAGGGCAGGCTCACCCACCTCAATCACATCAACAACTACAAGTCCACGCTCCTCAACAAGTGCCTAATCAAGTCTCTCGGCCGCCTTCGCCCCTTGCACCACCTAATGCACCATTCGCTCACCGTTCTGTTTCGCCTCATACCCAGATCAGCGTTGATCCAGGTGAATCACGTCCTCTACCACACATAATTGCTTCGAGGAGCTGCTCGCCTCGTGCCACATCACCCCGACTCCCACCATCTTCTTTGTCATCTGTGCAATCGCCTGCTTCCATCTCCTATAGGCCACAACCTGAGTACCCTCGACCGCAGCCGCCGTTCTCGTCTCCGCTCATGGCGAAGTCTACGTCATCACTGACCTCGGGTGCTCCCGGTGGTCCGCCGCGAATGATCTCGGCTGCTGCGTTCCGCAGGCCCGGTCGCACCGGAAGCGAGTCTGGGTCAACATTAACTCCAACAGGATACGGGCCAGCAGATACTTCACCTCTATCCCTCCACCGCCCATCTGCATCGCCTGCATCTTCTATGTCACGGAAATCTGGGGCAATGCGGAGGTTGTCTGTAGTCAACCCAGACCCAGTCCAACACGATGAAGAGGAGTTCGATTACATATCGGCATATACGGGAGGAGACGAGTCAGGAGGGGCGCAGGCGCAGCAGAGTGGGGGATATGGACAGGGGAGGTATGTTAGTGACCTTGAAGCTCGATGATCTGGACGAAGATGTGTCTATGTTTGCACTTGGGACTGTATTGCTCTGGATGGAAAGGAATTATTGATACTGTTGTATGTATGTGCTTTTTCATTGGTGTTTGTTCTGATGTTATGTTAATTCTTCTGTATTTTTTATTCACAATGCAATCTGTTATGATGACCTTTTTAGCTGAAGGCGGGCGGCTATCAAGCGCGCTGATGCTGAGTAACCGGAAGTCAGGGTCAGTGAAGGACCAGGGTGCTGTAACATCAAGGAACCGCTGATGCGGTGCAGACTCTGTATTGCCCTTATCTCAACCTTATCTTTCTCTATTCGACAACCCCCGCACAGAGGTAGCCAACCATCGGTCCACCAATGATGGACAACTTGGTCGATCGTTCTTCAGAGTAGGCTTTCTTGTCCATTTCTCGCCTCCAAGCATATATTGATTTTGCTTCACGATGCAGGCGAACAACCTTCCAACGAGCATGGGAGGAATACGTCACACAGTTGGCTCCTAAGAAAAAGCAACGGCGATTCCTGATGAATTGTGCCCGTGTTGTTGAAGAGCGTTCAGGCGGCTCTCCAGCTTCAGTTATTAACGATGCTATCAGCGCGGCAGAGAAGAAGCATTCCATGCAAACCTCGCGGCGCATAATTCGCAAATACATCGATCCCGTTGTGAACGTCCTCAGCGACTTCGATGCCATCATTAGCACATTGAGTGGGTTCAGATACAAAGTTTGATTCGCGGTCTACCTTTAATCTGACATCTCTTGTAAGTTTCTGTGGACCCTATGCCAACTGCAATCATTTGGGGTGCCTTGAAAGTTATCATTGATGTAAGTATGTTTCTCCTCATGAATCAGGGCAACTGTGTCTGAGCATAAAGTATCAGGGTCTTTCCAGATTTTCGAACCTCTTTGAGACGATCAAGAACGAACTTCGGTCCCTGAGAGACCAATTGGAAAATATCACAGACCACGAGAATCTTTATGGCAAGGATGAGAGGATGCAAAGGCTCCTCTGCCAGTCCTACTTCAACATCATCCGCTTTTGGCACAGAGTTGATAAGGAGTGTGATAATTGTGGTTAGTCGAGGGTTTACTCGGATGATATTGCGTTCATGCTAATACACTTTGAAAGGCTTTGCTCTGCTGAAGACGGTCACCCCTTTTAGCACGAAGAAACTGAATTCTATCATCGGAGATATGCGGGGTGACTCTCAAGAGATAAGCAAGCGTGCTAGCATGCTTAAGGCAATGGGGTCAAGGGGGGAGCAGAGAGAAAAGGCAACCGAGCGTCAGGAAGCTGCAGATGAGCGTCGGGCACAGCACGAATACCGAGAGGAAAAGAAACGCGAGGCACCCAGTTCGTACATGACGGCCAATGACTATGTTCATTGTATCTGACAAGATTTCGATAGGAGAGCGCTTTAACAACCTCTGTTCTTTGCTATCCTCTCTTGACACGAATGCGCCGAACTTCCTCAGGCGGGACAAGCATTTACAAAGCCACCTCTCTGGGACCTGCGAATGGCTACTTGACCATCCTGATTTCGTCGCATGGTCGGGTGACACCTCTCCATCTCCAATTTTGTGGATCCATGGCCCGCCCGGATCCGGAAAATCTACCCTTTGCTCAATCATCAGTCATACGCTGAGCTCGAGATTGGAAACGGTGGCGTTTCATTTCTGCGACTTTGCCCAGCACTATAAACCTTTTGAGACATTGCGGATGTTGGCGCTTCAACTGTTATATAAATACTGGACGGACGTACACGATATTTCGCAAGAGCTATATGACGTATCCCAGTCAAGTCCATCTGTCTTCGAAAACGTCCAGAATATGATCAAGGTCCTCGTCAAAAACCAATCGAAGGTGTATTTTCTTCTCGACGGCCTAGACGAAGAAACAACAGGAGAGAGATGGAAAGATACAGTGGATGTACTTCAGTTTCTTATCCAGCTCACAAAGGACTACCCTACCAAGGTTCGCCTCTGGTGCAGCAGCCAACCCCGCCCGGTGATCAAGAAGGAACTCGAGGGTTATTCACACATCGACATCAGCGTCCACGCCCACAAGGATATAGCTTTTTACCTGTCGAAATCTATACCCGAAGCCGAGGAGCTGGGGACACTAGATCAGGAAAAAATCTTGCAAGACTTGCATGGACGGGCTGAATGCAGCTTCCTCTGGGCCAACCTCATGATCAGCGAACTTCAAGGGTCAGCTACGAGCCTCAGAGAGATGAAGCAGTCCGTCGAAAGAGGGTTCCCGTCCACCTTGCTAGATTATTATAGCTTATTCTTCAGGCGGTTCAAGAAGTCGTTGCGACCACTTGCATGGTACGTGCTCACACGATTCTCAAGAGAAAGGCTAAGCTCTTCAACAGCAAATTGTTTGCCTTGATCGTTTTTGCTCGTCGGCCATTGAGGCTTTCTGAACTGCAAGAAGCTATATGGTGCTTGAACAGCAAGTCTCCTGGATCCCTTAATCCAGAAGATAAGCCGTTTCTGAAGCAACTACATGAGGTATCTCAGCCCCTCATCGAGATGACCAGGGTGACTGGGCCCCAAGCCGCTGATAGCCAAGAGGATTATACCTGTCGTCTTTTTCATTCGACTCTACGAGATTTCCTCGTGGAACACCCAAATATCCTCTCTGAGGCAGACGACCCAATGGCAGATCTACAGATAAGCGCCGATGTAGCTGTCGATGCATGCTTGCTTTACCTGTGTCAGACCAGATATGCTGAGTCACTGATCAGGCGGGAAGGTCGCTGGGTCGACGCAAGAGGAGACCCAGTAGACAACCAACATTTCCTAGTTTATGCGGCAAAATACTGGGACAAACATCTTGACGACGCTGCTGAACAGCACAGAAAAGAGCTTCTTAGACGCCTCGAGACTTTCATCACTTCATCCAACTTTCAGACATGTATTCAGGTCCAGAGCTTATGGGTCGAGTTACAATTCTGCGTCTTTAGGACTATCGATAGCGATGAACGGTGTCGTTTCCTCCGACGAGTTTTTCCCTCGTGGTTCTCACAGGAGACGGACATTGGGATGAAGCTCTGGCAGGATTATCGACATTTCTTGCACGAGTGGAAATACTTCCTTTCTTGCGGAAACTGTCATATGGCAAATCCCAAGTGTGGAGTCTTGCCGTACTTGGGACAGTTGGACCGTATTTGGTTCGGTGCACTCGGACCATCGAATTTTCTATCGCGACTCAAGAGTCGGTGCAAAAGCTTTGTTTTCCAACTGGAAGACGAAGAGTCCGGAGTTGGGCGCTTCTTTGACGTCGTCGGAGATGACGGTGACACACTCATGATGTTGCGGATACAGTCAGTAACAAACCTCCTGCATGAGCACATAAATTCCTTACTAAAACGATGGCCGCTGTTCCTAGGTCATCTGAAGGGACTATCCTTCAATTTGCATGCGAAACCTGGTCTTTAGCTGGACAGCACTTGCCAGTGAAGGAAAAATGCCAGATCATTCAAGAGTCCCCCGCACTTTGCAACTGGCCTTTGTATGTCGGCAACGCTGTTCACTTGCCATTGCAGATAGGCAAGGCATCCCCAGCTGCTTTTAGCACTGACTGCCAAACCCTTCGGATTGGCACCAAACTATTCGCGAAAGATGCTGCGGGAAATTTTGAGGCTATCCCTCAGCTCCCACTACATCGCCATCAATCCCCTGTGTATGTGGAGGAATTTTGTCGTCGTGATCGCTTCGTTGTGTTAGCCTGCAGAACCAAGTTCTCCGCAAGAGATGTCTTGGCTGGAGATTCTTTGGACACAACCGAATTAAAGTGTTCTCCGAGTCCTGGCACGACATCGACAAGACATCAGGATGATAGCTCGGATGACGAGTCGACCGCAAACTCATCGACGGAATCCGAAATCGAAACGGACTCAGAGGATGATGGGTACGAAAGCTGGAGTGAAAGCAGCACCATGTTTTCCGAGGATTATATCTTCGATGATGACATGATTACCCCTTGGGCGGATCACTTCCGCGACGAAGATAAACATTCTAAAGCTAGCGATACAGAAGTCGACTCGGATTTCGATGAGGCTCTAATTGAATCTGACTCTGGTGACGACGAAGACCCTGTCTCGCCGTCTGCTTTCGGTTACGGAAAAAAACGTAGAGAAGACGAGTATGATTGGGATGAAGATCATTCATCGGACGAAGATGGCTATAGGAACTTTGCAGGTGGGCGGATTGGTAGGCATGGATCTCACAAAGCAGCGCAGGCAACAATCACTATTTTCGACACTCAGACATCTCCTGAGCCCGTGCAACTTTTCCATCTCACTCGGCCCCTTCAGTCTAAAGTCTATGGCTCGCCGCCTATCATTCATCCGACCGAGCCACTGGTTGTTTGGCCACTTGGTGGTGGAGACGTGCTCTTCGCCGATTTCATAGATAAATCATACTTCGTGCGTAGACTGAGGCCGTCCACCTTACATAGTAAGTTGCACCAACCTCCATTCAATTCATGATGCTAATTTATCAACACAAGCACGACACATTTTCATGAAATGTCAATTTTCTGCATGTGGTCGCTTTTTGCATATTGCTGCCCTCGAAGGCCAACAACCCATTGAGACGAAAGATTTGGTCAAGCAGCGCGCGATCAACATTGCGGTTCTGGTCTCAACCTATCGTCTTTCCCGCAGGAAAACAAGTCGTTCACCCCCTACCCTCATTCACCGCATCCGGGTCAAGTTAGGCTCCAAGGAATCTTTGTCCGTCACAAAACTGCCATACACTGTGACTTGGACTCCGGAAGATATCTACATCACCTGCAGTGATACAGCGCTCCGAGTTTACCGCATCCCACTATTTAAGCCAGCGAAAGAGGCTCAGGAGGAAGAGGATGTCATCCTGATGCCACGGAAGCCTGTCTTTCTGCCAGAGAGCTCATTGCATCGCCAGGTGCATTATTTTCCGAGCAAGAGTAACAAAGAAGGCTGCGGAGAATCAACTGCACGCATCATTATTGGCAGCGAAACCAGAAAGCAAGCAGAACAAGTACTCGAACATGGTGTAGAGTTCTCTACTATTGGACGTACCTTCGTCACGGGACAACGAGGAGAAATTTCTCCGCCAATTGGCTGCTATATAAACGAGGAAGTTGACCTCGGCGGATGGGGCAGATCTTATGATATCACAGAGATTCCTGTGCAGCTAGGCATTGGTTGCTTGGACCGTCGTTTAGAGAGATTCGACCCTGATGATGATTGCGATTGTAAGTGTCAAATCTTTCGACCGATTGCTGGCTTGTTCAATTTCTCTCCAGTGGAGCCTTATATCTATTAAAGAGGCAGTAAGAAACGGAGATCTGTACCAGGTATAATGTAATGTGGATGTAGATTACGAGGTCAAGTACCTTGGCCGGACATCGATACTCACCAATTGACAATTCATGCGGCTGTCCCCACACGAACTACCGCTCTAAAATCCAAGTTGGTGGGAAAACGCTCCAGAAGTGCTTAAGCCCAAGTGGTATTGAAGCCTCCTTCACCGGTTAAAATCACAACGCTATCCTACCTAGCCCATCGTGGCCCTGCCCGTATTGTAGTAATTGCCATTGGAGCAGGGGCTGGCGGCCTAAGCCTAGCAATGGCAAAGTAGCTCAGATGATGATGATTATGATGAGGATGGCTACACGACGAACATGCTGGAATCTGAGTCTAGGTGCTGACTAAGCTATGGAAGGGGCCGGGAGACCCCAAACACCTAGTCCCCAACTGTGGAACCCTCAGTCCACCGTGACACCCAAGCATAGGACACTAAATCAACGTTGTAATCTGATTTTCCAAACTCTGTTCCCCCCTCGCCTTGCTCCAGTCTCTCGCAACCTCAAGCACAGTGCGAATGTGCTCTGCAGAGAGTGGCGAATTCTGATCAAACGAGATTGATTGTGCGGTGCTGATGGTGTTTTTAATCTTTCATATTCATTCAGGTTGCATTAGCTGTGCGTAAGGATCAACTGCGATGCAACATACCTGACGTCCGTTCATACTTTCCTTGGCTAATGCATCAATCTCATCGTCAGTTATGCTACCAGCGCCCGCAGTTTTCGCGATAAATGTTTTCCAGATTTGCCTGCGCGAGGATTCGTTCAACTGAGGAAAGTGCACCGTGAAATGTATACGACCTAGCAGCACATGTGAGTAGATACCATAATAGACTGCATAGCTGGCACATACTCTCGAAGGCCAAATCACACTGCGCAATCATGTTTGTGGTCAAGAACAAAATGCCTTGATAGTATTCCAGCTGCCTCAGGAAAATGGACACGAGCGCGTTTCTTATGACGTCGTTGCTGCTTCTCTGGTAAAGGAATACGTCCGCTTCGTCAAGTAAAAGTACAGCCTTCCACTTCTGCGCAAGCTCAAGTATTTGAATGAGCGCTTTGTCGACGGCCTTGGCATCTGTGCCCAGTTCGCCTGCGGAGACGTAGTACAACGGACGTCTTGTAACCTTGTTAAAAGAAATAAGCGCCATCCGAATGTAAAACATGACTTGTAGTACCTCGGCGACGGCCTCTGCAGTAAGCGTCTTACCGCATCCAGGAGGGCCCGCAAGAAGACCGACGAGGCCCTTTCCTTTCCCTTGAACGATGTCGTCAAATTGTGACGTCTGACTTTCATGTTGTTTGACGAGCGCATGTATCAGCGACTTTTGTTTGGGACCAAGAACAAGAGAGTCGAAGGATTCTTGAGACCACGCAATATCTTGAAGACGGTCTAAAGCGAAGCCGCCTGGGAAATGTAATTCAGTTAACACTGGAAACATGTCATCAAACAACATCGATCCCTTACCCCACTCCTTGACTCCGAAACAGAATCCGAGTACGACAGGGGTGCAGATCATGTGTTGCTCATCAGTGAGCTCGTCACGATTGAGTCGTCGGTATACTGTGAGATTGAAGGAACAGTTGGGCTGAAAAACACGGAATCCAGCAGGATCAATCATGACTCGTCCATAGGTCTGTCAAGTTCAGTTACTTGGGGATCTCAGTGAAAGAAGTCGAATGTCTTACATTGAACTTGCGAAATTGGATTTTGTCTTGCGCAGTGACGACCTCGCGCAAAGCAGGTCCGGATATTTCACCATAAGCGTGAGCCACGAGCCCCGCGAATTTCCGACCTCTTTGAATGGCGTGTTCGCATAGCGCACCCTGATCGTGATAAAACCGAAGCGGGAACACCGGCAACTCGTAAATCTTGCGGGTCCCTTTGAATGCGTCGATCTCGATTGGTTCTTGCGCGATTCCAAAAATATTTCCATCATTGACAACGATGTCGCAAGTAATCTCTGCGTACACGGAACGATCTTTTCTTTCGCGAATCAGGAACCTTTGAGCTTTGAGAATGCGTCGTTGTTCTGTGTATTGGTGGTGATTAAAGACCAAGGTATTTGCAGGAAACAGCGCCCAAAGAAGATCAAATGTGATGGATTGATCAGCTATTAGACTTTGAAGATCTGCGAAGTTGCCTGCGTGATCTTCTTGAATGTATTGAATGGCGACGTTGATGTCTGCGATCAGAGCTTCGTCGCGGGGATCCTTTGACATCTCTTTCTCTAGTCTGTCTTTCAGACCATCGTAAGAGAAGAAGAGCAGTTCGGGTTCGCACTAGGACACAAATGAAATGATGAGGTAGAAGCTTTAGGAAATGACTTACGACCGGTGCACTTCGCATGAGTTCTAGCCCGTCAACATCCTTGTGGATCGCGGTCAACACTTCACATAATGCTAAGCTCCTGATGTCAATTTCCGTTTGTACATGTCGTCCCTTGTGATCGATTATTCGCCGAACAATGAGGACTGGCTTCTTGTGGTTAAGTTTCTTGGTTGGTTTACTTGTCTTTCGATAGACAGTGGCGAAAGTTCGTCTTGGCGTCCGTCAGTGTGAGGGCACACATCGAGCGATGATGGGATTAACTTACTGATCAAAACTTCCGAATCAACATATCAGTATCATGATCTAGCAAGCCTGAGAACAGAAGTTGTTTACTTACTACTCATCATAGCGAGCTATGCGTGAGCGAGGTAATGCCGCCTCTGCAACTTCGCAGCCTTGTTGACTTTTCTGCTCGTCAGTAGCCATGATAACGAGGTGGGTGTTCTCAACGACAAGCGGTTAAGTTACATAAAGCTCAGGCCGGGCAATTCCAACAGGTGGTCTTTATAGGCAGGAGTACGTTGTGTTTCGCCGGTAATCACTAAATGTGCAGGCTTGGCCACTAGTATTGCCTCGTCGCCAAGTTCCGATCTCCATCAGGGATTGTCGGTGCTCTGCCATGCTGCCGCCTCTGCAACTTGTTTGTGATGTGACAAGTCAACTGGGCAGTGTTCCACATGTTGGGCCCCATGACATGTTCAGCGCTCAGCCGTCAAGATCGCTTGAGCGAAGCTCAGGGCCTGGCATAGGAATGATTAGGTAAGAAATCTTCTCACCTTGTCATCCTGGCACCTACAGAGTTAGATGCCGAATACAGTAACAAAGGATACAAAGAGATTTGATACGCCAACCTGATCGCTAGAGCAGAGAAAAAAGAAATTACAGCAGTAATAAGAGCATAGGAAATGAGGCTTGCAGAAGAAACACGAAAGCGTGTACACTGTACACGTACAACGCAAGTTTAATTATATCTCCTGTGCTTATCACAACTCTATGTATGTATATTTTTAATTGGATAAGCGCACGTACTTACCTTTGGGACAACATGAAACTCAGAGTTGCACATCCCCAACCCATACTTCCCCACTGCGCTCGTTCGAACTAAGCAGACCACCCGAGAGAACTACTCGAGTATTACCTTCAGGAGCCGTATAAGACGTTGAAGGGATCCAGCCACGGCCCTCCGGAGTTGAACCACCTGTGACATGAGATTAGCCGACGGATATTAGATGGCTTTGGCCTAGGCGCGAAGTGGAGTCGCGGACTAAGATTATTTCACCTTCCAAAATCAACTTCCTCCACCCTAACGCACCCTCGCGCCATACCAGCGCCCATACATCATCTCGGAATTTCCCAGCGCCTGCATGACCTAGGCTGGAGGCGTCATACTCGCCGTGGTATAGCAATGCGACTCCAGTGCCATCAGGTGTGGAAAGAGGAACAAGACCGTGGACGGAGCGTGCTCCAGGATATCCCTGTTGCGGATCGGCAGACGGCACAGTGGTTGTCCAGGAGTTAGTACTCGGTGTGAAAATATCTACGGGTGGTGGGGTTGAGGTAGGAAGTTGGTACCCAGCGAAACCTGAGAAAGTGCGGGGTATTAGTTCAATTCAGTTGATGATTTAGAGATAAGGACGGATGAAATAATGATGACTATCAAAGAAAAAATGTCAGGGAAATTGACTGAAAGAACACAGAAGTCTGGCGCATATAAAGGGTAGAACAAAAAGAACGTGAAGCATCAAACTTCATTTGTTTGATAAGACAACATTGAAAAGCGGCGATCACGAATATCGCAGGTAAAGCGCACATCAGATATAGAAGAGCAACATACCACCGAATCGAATGATCACTTCCTCATCGGTCGCAGACGTTGGAAATTTGACAGAAGCGATAGCAGTGCCGCCACACGCTGGATCGGGAGCGTCTGCGCAGCGAGACCACTGAGAGGACTGGAGATCGTAAGAGTGGAGTGTAGAAAGGCGACCAGAGGCAGGACACCCCGCATGGATATACAACTTTCCCTGAATACAAATTCCGATCAGTCACCGAGAACGATTTCAGGAAAAGAGCGAATTGCGAATTAATCGAACGCTCGTGAAGTAAGGCGCTTTCGCAAGGACTCACATTAGCCATGACAGAAGCATGATAGCTTCTCGTTGCGGGCTCGTCGCCTTTACCCTCCAGCCTCTCCCACACCACCTCATTTTGCAAAATATGTCCCTTCCATACGCCTGATTGCTTGGGGTCTAGAGGTGCCGGATCAACGCCGCCTCTTCCACCCCACATGTACAAGTTCCCGCCATCAAACACTGTTGTCGCGCCCACCCGGGATTCTGGCTTCGATGATGCGGACAAAGTGCGCCACAAACCAGCATTGTCCGCTACGGACTGCTGGGTGGCGCTGTTCAGATCGAATGCGTAAACGTCGCCATCCACAGGCTTGCGTGGCTGGACCTCGCCAGCATAGAGCAATAGGGTGCCGTTATCCGCGATCGAAGCACAGTGAGATGATCGTGCTTTACTTGATAGAGATGTTAGACATGTCCACCGGATCGACATCACGTTAGGTTAGGAACGTGTCGTTACAGAGACTTTATGTAAGTAAGGGGGAAGCGATATATCCTAGACGATTAGCAGGAAGACAAATATGACAATGGTCGCGATGAGGCTACTTGTCTTGACAATCGATAAGCGCCAGCACGCAAGATACAACAACCAGCTGGGGCCCAGGCTGCCCAGCTGACCTTAGACTTTGCAAATGTCATCTTTTGCAAAAGTTTACTTTTGTGCGCTAACAATTCGAATCACAGCTGCGACCACAATTAGCTGACAATAATAGTCTACTCTCCCACAGGACAGGACAAGGATCATGACCTAGGTCAGATCTCCACTATGATACTACTCAAACTCGGCGTCGAAGTTACTTGGACATTCCTCCCCCAGTGAATCTGGCGACATGATGCGAACGGTTTGGGATGAAATGCCTCGGAAGGCGCTCCGGACCTCGTTTACCCGAATGTTCTGCAGGCCAGGGTAGACATGTGGATTCACAGCTTCTGGTAAGTAATACGAGTCCGAGGTGGTTGAACTTCGCTTACTTCCGAATACCCAAGGTCTGGTTGATATCATTACCATAACTGTGAACCTACAATTACAAGTGACGTTGATGCAGCACAAGCGTACACCTCTATCGGGATAAGAAGGGGCAGAAGCTGCTACCGTGCCTTGAGCGCCCATGTCCCAAAATAGGTCTCCCTTTCATCCAATATCGGTCGGGTCCTTATTGTCTACATTCCCGGGCTTGATCAAATGAGCTTCGGTGCTATACCAGAAATACAATAAACGCACTCCCAGATTCGCCATATGGTCCCAATGGATGGGAAAGTAGATACAACATGCAAAGACGGGGATCCCTCGTTCGCATTCAAGGCCCTTTTTGTTTAAGAGCCATATGAATAACCCGGACCCACAGCGACTCCTCCCATCCGCTGGGTCCTGGAGCCCCCTTGCTAAGACACTGGACTTACCTGCACTTTGTACCTATCTTTCTGTAGCGTCTGGCACCTACAACCTCACCCCACACCCGAATATCTGTAGCACATAACACTTTAATACCCAAATCATCAGCAGTTAGCATCCGTTATGGCAACACATACATACCCTCCCCCTGAACCTCATACCATCCCACCACCGACGAACAACACCCTGTCGTCGAAGGAGCGCTCTGCACTAGTGCGCTCGACCAAGAAGCTAGGACGTATGCTCGGTGATATCCCGCGGTTTATCGACGATATCGAGGATCGTGAGTTTATCGTTCCCTCCACTCACCTGTATAGTGCTGATAAGGCGCAGAATTCGTCATGGTCACGCCTCCGCGACCACTCACTCCAGCTGGACCCTCCAAAGAAGAAACATGGAGGAGTCGTAAACCGACTCACCTTCCCCCACTTATGAAGCTCTCTGGTGGCATTGTCACGGACTCCGAATCCTCACCTTTGCCCCTACGCACTGCACCCGCACGGCGTGCTAGCATCGTATCTACTTCCTCTAACATGTCTTCTATTCACGATCAACTTCCCACTCCTTCCAAGGAGGCTGCGCACCGACGCAGCAAAATGGAGCGGTTAAGAAGGAGGCTGGGCGAAGAGGTTCCAATGGAAGCTGTATTCCCAGCCACGCCTGGCCTGAGGACAGCCGTCCCACAAACCGCGAAGCCTGAGCGCTCGCGTCACCATGGCCGCTCGCGGTCTGTGCACCCCTCGCACGACGATACCATCACATTCTCAATAGATCATCATCACACTGTCATCCTAAAAACGTCCACACGAGCTAATCACCCTCACTCACCTCATCGTCCCCACCATTCGCATAAATCCGCACACCGTCCGCCACCATTACCTATGAACGGACTACCACCATTGCCCAAGTCCAAGCATTCCCGCATCTCAGACGAAGCGGGGCTATTGGGCGTGAGGGCAAAGGCAGCCGCAGGCTCTAAAATCGGCGGTGCAGATTTCAAGGCTGCAAGACGCGCCAAACGGGAGGGCTTCGGTGAAGTTGAGATGGTCGGGTTCATGGGTGGTTTTTAAGCCTTAGCCGTGTCGTCATGGTGGATATATGCATGTCTCACAGACATGCAGCGCTCTTGCGTGGAGTTATTCTACGCTCTGGGGATCTTGAGGTTTCGGTATGTTGATCTATGTGGGTCTTGTTATGCTTTTATGCTATCTGTCTATGTTGTCTATGTTGTCTATCACTTTCTCTGTCATGACGCCACGTACCTGCATGCCACTGGGCTGGACCCTGTACCGATCGATGGCTTTGGCGTCGATGATGATCTTTTTTACGTTACGTTAGTAGTTTTAATATTTGCACGCACCGAGTGGGATGTACATGTATATGTACGCTTGGCTATTCGATATTCGAGAGTTTCTTCACTGAACTTGGCAGATTCATCGAGCAATCTCTCCATGTCTTCTCATTTGCACAGTTGCACGCGACCAGGTGCTTGGAGAATCTGAGGATATCCCATCTGAGTGCATCATGATGGCGTCGCCTACATCCGTGCAGTTGCTTGTAGCGTGGAGGGATGTGGATGACGACGACGACGACCTTGTCAAGTCAGGATAGGTGCCACGAGGCTTGTTGTCAACTTGTTGTAAATGACAACTTTGCGATCCTCCGGAGTGAGAAAACCACGGCCACTTCCCTCTCCGTTTTTATTTCGGCCGACATGCATGCACTCTGCTCATGAGATTGACGAATGCATCTGCAGCAATCTCGGATGCCATTTTTCCTCTGGTCGGCGGTTTAGGAAATTTTCCTTGGTCTCCTACTCGTTCATCCGCAAGAATGAGCTTGCCACCATGTGCTTTCAGGTGTTCATCATTATCCCTCCACGTCATGACACTGCCCAACAGGTCTAGCTGGGTTAATTTTGGCACTACTTGGGCAAGGCGTCGGGATCGAGGTTGTTCTGTCCCGATAGAATGGGGAGAAAGGACCCACACGATTTGATAACCAGGAGCTCTATGCCAGTGTGCAGTATTCGAACAGAAGGTTGGCGCTTCGCCGGTAAGCCTCGGTCGTATGAGGTCAACCACATTGAGTGTCGAGGTTGTCACCTCGTTCCCGTTCTGTGTGACAAGTTTCTGCGTGCATAACCAGAGATCTACTTAGTTGGAGGAAGACGCTTTTCAATACTCCTCTTGTTTTTGTCACTGATTCATGTAAGGGTATAGATATTACACAAATTATCCTATATATGTACGAGCGTAATTTAGCCCCATGCTTTTTTTGGAATCAGCATCGCGAAAGATGTCAAGCACGAACAAGGAACTCACGAGCAGCTACAATGGCTTATGCGCTTTCGCTGGCCCACCAAATACCCTTCATTTTCCAAACTAGCCAGAGTGTCAGAAAGCAGCCAACGACATACATAATTATCCGCATCTGCCTGACGCCGCCTGCGCCAGAGAGACCGAATGCTTGCGCAGCTCGTCGGGAGGACTGAGACAAGGACGTTGAAAGGCTAGAGAAAGCGTTTCCCTACGTGCAAATATTAATATTTCAAAGCAAAGAGGGTAATCACTGCGGTACTGTGTCATCAAGAGTCAGATGTTGTCTTTCAGCATCCTCGTATATGTCTGTGGTAACCTGAAAGACCGTTCAGAGGTCTGCAGAAAATGAGGTGGTATGGATCATACTCCGCGAAGTGTGCGTATCTTTGAATGTAATTCATCTAGTCGCTGGTCATTCTGTGCTTCATAGGTGTCTTCTGTGGTTCGTGACGAAGACATGTGGAAGGACTCCGAAGGAGAGGTAGCGTGGGAAAGCAATGTAACGAGTTTCTAATGTCTAATTTCTGCTAAATTATCATATCACCAACATACCATATCTCCAACATACCCCAGAGTCGTATGAACTGACTGGTCCACTCCAGTGACTCCACCTCATTCCAACAAAATGTAGGCTTTCAGGGTCCTACTTTGGAAAGTTGAAGCTGGATTACCTTTACTACGGTCGGCAGTCGGCAGCCTGTACAGTCAGTTCTTTGTGTCCCAGTTTTAGCTGCTTCGGCGCTCGTTCAAAAAACGGAATGGAAGAGTATGTATAACGCTACCCTGTAAGTCCTGGGCGCTGAGTTGCCGCGCCTTGTCACGAGATTGGAGTTAATCAAACCTTTTTGCTGTTAGTCGATGAGAAACATGCGATCCTCCTGGATTTTCTTGGTTAGACTGCGTTGCGCAGGTGATTCACGAAGTCATCTGGTTAGCTCGTCCGTCCATCATCGACCCAACACATACAGATAATTGGAAACCGCCCGTTCAAGTTCAATGTGGTCTGCCGGAAGATATCGTCAGTGTCATAAGCTACAGGCTTGCATCGAAGGAAGCACGATTCATCACTGGCAAGTTCCTTTGCCGCGGTAGATCGCGACATAGCTGACTCCGTTCGATCCCACAGGACAATGCGTAAGAACGACTACACGCGTTGATCGTGGGTCCACAACAGCAACTGGCCCGTTTTCGAAGCAGCAATAACGAAAACCACGAATCTTGCACGATTTGGTCGTAATGGCAGAGGTAATATCCATCAGATAGTTTACGCCACGAGGTATTACAGCGATTTACGGCCGACAGCTTCATCCGTTAGCATCGATCATGTATAATCCTACACCCCGGAAACAGTTTGATAGGCTTTCACTCCGCGTCCCGAAGCACGCTTAACGGAACCGATTACACTACCGCACGAGGTTCCGAACCATCCACACTGCACCAGGGCTACGGTCCACACGAGGGAACGTCGTAATCGTTGTCGTTGTCTTTTATGGCGAGGAATATTCCAAGAGCAAGTTAGTGTGTGAATGTGACGAATTACGACTCCTCCAAGCGATTATGAAAGGGGCCAGGATTCCTCTGGCGTACTATATAATCTGATGGCACCACTGTTGTTAATCTGGCAAGCCCATCATCTTCTACAATATTCATGTCGCCTCAGAAAGGGATCGCGCTTATCACAGGATCTGCTCAAGGCATTGGTCGAGGTATCGCTATCCGGCTTGCGAGGGACGGCTTCGACATCGCCTTGAACGACCTCCCTACGAAACGTGAGCAGCTGGCTGCTGTGGCTATTGAAGTCGAGGAATTAGGACGCAAAGCGTGTATTGTGATTGCAGATGTGACAATCGAAGAGGAAGTCAAGAACATGATCGCTGATACCGTAAAAGGGCTGAGTAGATTGGATGTGGTAGGACCCTGAGCTCTCCCTCTGACAGTCAAAGGTCGCTTATGGTTTCACAGATGGTCGCTAACGCTGGCATTCCAGCAGCCAACACAGTCTTGGCCAGTAAGCTTGCAATTCTTTTTCGAGTATGCGCTGCAAGTTCATGACATGGGGTAGCCACTGTTGAAGACTGGGAGCGCACGTTCGCGGTTAACGCCCGCGGAGTTTTCTTGTGTTATAAACATGCCGCAGGACAGATGATATCTCAGGGCCATGGTGGTAGGATAATCGGCGCAAGTTCCATTGCCGGAAAGATCGGTAACTTACATTCCATATGAAGTTGAGCTCGAGTGGTTAATATGTGCATTATCTGCAGGATTTCCATCAGCTGCCGCATACTGCGCTAGCAAGTTCGCCGTCCGTGGATTGACACAGACGGCTGGTGAGCAGAAATACCTTCAATTGTGAATGATCACTGAATTTAGTCAAGCTCTTGAACTCGGAAAATACAATATCACGGTTAACGCCTATGCGCCGGGTGTGATACAAACCCAGATGCGTACGTTCCGTGTTAACATGTAATAGTTCGAAGCTGATCGCTTTCGTGAACTCAGTCGAGAGCATTTCTGATCAATCAGGAAATGTCAGCTTGACAGACGAGGATTCGACGAATTACCTCGTTCAGGTCCGCTCTTTCCTACATGCGTCTCAGTAAGGTTAGCTCACGTCGCGCAGCTGATGGGGAACCGACCAATCAAACACAATGGCCAACCAGAAGATATTGCGAGCATTGTTAGTTACTTGGCATCAAAAGAGGCACATTTTATTACAGGTGAGCTCTTATTTTCCGTTCGTTCCTGTGTTGTTTGACGCTGGAACAGGACAATGCGTAAGTGCACAGTGCTATCCACCTCAGTAAGTTTCAAGGTATTCACTATCCTGCAGATTTCTGTCGACGGAGGCATCGTTTTATCTTAGACGTCTTTTGAACACATTGTACAAAATGTATCTTCATCCACAATGGTGAAATTGTTTGTTTCATTCATGTTCAGCTGATAAGACTACGTTCGTTATCAGACGATTCTGGTATTGCTTTACAATTGAACTTTGTTGCTCGTGACATCCACCAAGTCGGCGCTTCAAAGCTTGTCAAGATGTCAAGCTTGTAAGCGCGTTCTATTCCCACTGCAGGGCGGCCAGGGCCTATGTCATGTGCTGCCGTCATTGTCATCGTCATGATAAGGAGCACTACAAGCATTAAAAGGCACTAATCTTCATCCATAATCTTGGAACTGCTCGATCGATACTCACGATGTCTCAACCCAAAGGTGTTGCCCTCATAACTGGCTCAGCACAAGGAATTGGCCGTGCAATAGCGATCAGATTGGCGCGGGACGGCTTCGATATAGCTCTTAATGATATACCTGCAAAGACAGCAGTACTAGAAGACCTTGCAGCAGAGCTTCAGCGAGGCGGGGAATCATATGGCACTTACCATCCCAGAACATGCATTGTGGCTTGCGACATCAGTAAAGAAGACGAGGTGAAGCGCATGATTGATACTGCAGTTGACGTTCTAGGGAGCTTGGACGTCGTGAGTAGCGGCGCAGGATGCATCGTCGTTGGACTCACGACATGCTGCCACAGATGGTTGCGAATGCTGGTATTAGTGCCATCACAGATATCTTAAATGGTTGGTAGATCGATCATGAAACAAACCTCGCATACTCACTTTCCCTCAGAAACCTTAGAAAGCTGGGAACGCGTCATGAAAATCAACGCTACCTCTGCATTCTTGTGCTACAAATACGCCGCAGTACAGATGGTGAGGCAGGGGCCTGGCGGACGCATCATTGGTGCCAGCTCCATGGTAGGAATACGGGGTAAGAGGTTATCCCCGATTCAAGTATGGCGCCTGAACTACGTCTATTATGAAGCCGAGCCCAACTTGCTGTCGTACAGTGCAAGCAAATTTGCTGTTAGAGCCTTGACGCAAGCGGCCTGTAAGGTTATCGTCTCATGCTCGTGGATTAGTACTGACGATCGTACCAAGCAATGCAACTCGGTCGATATGGAATCACGGTTAACTCCTATGCTCCGGGCATCATCGAAACACCTATGGGTACGTGCTACAGCATTATGTTTGCGTTCTGTCACTGTATAATTATGGACAGTCGTCGCATCGAGGGATGTGATTGCAAAGCGAGGCGAGGTCGACTACTTTCAACAGGTGTGACCAGGAGATTCATATCCACCATAACACGTCTCAGCTAACTGCATCACAGAAAATTGACCTCTCTGGAGTTGGATACATCGGACAGCCGGAAGATATCGCCAACACTGTTGCATACCTAGCTTCGAAGGAGGCCCATTTCATCACAGGCAAGCTTCCCATCTCGCAAGTGCTGTATGCAAACTCACCTGTAGTTCCGTGTGTATCAGGACAATGCGTAAGTTGCACTGAACTAATGGTATGTTGAGCAACTGAACACTAGGAACCGGTTATGCAGATATCCGTTGACGGCGGTCTGATACTGTCTTGACGATATTAATTGCAGCACCGACAAGCAACGTATAACTGTGCGGTGCCGAAGAAGCCAACACGAGATAGAATATAATTGTATATATGTACTTGTATTCCAGGGAAATGTTTAAATTGTATGGGATGGTTTCAAATTCGATATTCCATGTCGCATCGTGAGCGTACACGTATGATATGGAAGAACCCGTAAGGCACCGAGTTCCAGTGCCGTTGCACCGACACCACATTGCACAGGTTCAACTCACTCGTCTACATCCTTTGGAAGCAACAATGCTCCGAATTAGAGTTGATGAGGGCCTCATTTGGGATGGCACTTTACCAGTACGCCTTCCTCCATGAGGCTCCATCCGCATAACACTGCGCTATGACGAAAACGGTGTGCGGCACGAGCATAAGCACGTGTCGGTTTTCATCGAGCGACCGAGCATAAGAATATGCCCATGGTGAAGACGTTAGCGCCTAGCGATCGGTCCAGGCATTCCAGTGAGTGCTGTCAGGCGGGCTATGAAAGCATTGGTGCAGAAATAGACAGAAAAAGCGGTCAATTATGTTCTAGTACATGTATATAACCTAAAATACTACATATCTACAATTGTATCTAATTAATATTATTGTGGTGTGGTGGTGAGCCAGGGATGGGCTGGGAAGGGGGTGGGAAGAATTGATATGTGGAGAATATCCAAAATGGGCAGTAACGTTTTGGGTGTTGTGGGGAAATTCCCACCCCAGGTGGCCAAAAATGCGGAGGTCCCTCCGCTGATACATCAGTTCTATGGTTACAGGCAACTATAGCTATGCACTATACCATCACACTTCATCTATAATCATAGGTACATGATGTATCATTACAGTATGGCCGTAGCTATGGAGCACAACACTGGCTATGACTCGGATATGTGGGATAAATCACATAGCTACTATTGGCAATTGAACATGCTATAGGACAGTACTTATGTAGTTCTATGGATGACATGTAGGTGCTCTGTTGCGCTATGAAACATACATGGTAGTATATATTCTTGCAGTGTGCAACCGGTGGCCAAGCTTTTTCCTGATGTCGCAAACCTTATCCCGATGATGAACACCTATTTTCTCCACAAATCTCAATATGAATGTTCCTAACAGGCATGTTGGACATCCCGAAGATGTAGCTACTATCGTACACATATCAAAGGAAGCGCAGTTTATTACCGCGGTAAGTTCATAGCTTCATCAAGCATGCATGTTGCTCACGTAGCATGTGATGTCTCCAGGCGTGTAGCTCAAGAATTAACTGGTTTGCTGCACACAACCGATCTGATTTTGCTCCCAGATTTTGGTGGATGGTGGAATCAGCATGATCTGAGAACCTATAAACAATCGTATTCTTGCACCTCGCAGATGCTGCGGTTTTGGCATATATAAACTCGCCAAATGATGCGGGAACCTTGTCCGAGAACGCCGACCTGTGTAAAAATTTAAAGACCATATCAGAGGTCTAGAAGCGCAGTCACGGCTCAGTGCCGAGCACGTTCGAGACTGGCCCATACGCTCTCGAGTATTTACCATTCAAATTCCGTCATTCTTCCATGTCTCAACCCAAAGGTACTGCGATTGTTACAGGAGCCAGCCAGGGAATAGGTCGCGCCATTGCACTTCGCCTTGCTGATGATGGTTTTGATATCGCTTTGAATGACATCACGATCAAGATGGTGCAATTGGATGCTGTAGCCAGGGACATCGTGGCTAAGGGACGAAGAGCGGTCGTTGTTATCGCAGACGTATCGGTGGAAGACGAAGTCAGAGAGATGATTGACACCACTGTTCGGGTTCTAGGGGGCGTCGATGTGGCAAGTCTTGCTTGATATTTTAATTGCATTGGCTGATGATGAGCAGATGATAGCTAACGCCGGGATATTCACTTTTGGTAGTGTCCTGGACGGTAAGCGGCCATTCGGTGGAAGTTCAACTGAGTGTTCACGTCAGTTGTGCCCAGCCGATGTGGAGAAGTTCGATGTCACCTACTCGGTGAACGTTCGGGGGACGTTACTCTGTTATAAGTATGCCGCCCGGAAGATGATTGAGCAAGGAAGGGGTGGAAGGATTATAGGCGCATCATCAGTGGTCGGGAAGAGAGGTCAATTGATTGAATGGCGAGTCAAGAAGATATTTTCTGACTTGCCTCCGGTATGAAGGCGTTAAGGATTATATTGCGTACAGCAGCAGCAAATTTGCTGTCAGAGGGTTGACCCAGGCTGCAGGTGAGATGGTAGTGAGCATAGAGCGAATAATGGATAACTGACACCCTTGATCCCCCGCAGCTTTAGAGCTTGGTCATCACGGTATCACCGTGAACTGCTATGCTCCAGGGCCGATCCAGACAGAAATGCGTGCGCAGTGATTTGTTTTTACGCTTTCAATAATGTTCGAACACCTTCAGTGCGGTCCTTGAAAGAACAAAGGGAACGATGGACAGTTGAGAGGGGTTATGACCCGAGCTCAATTCAACAAGTAAGACGTGAATTGACAGTGCGGAGTTATACATTCTGATTGCTTCTCGCATCAGGTGCATAATGCAGTTGGGTACGAGGGTACTCCGGACGATATCGCAAGTATCGTCTCCTACCTCGCGTCAAAGGAGGCGCACTTTATCACTGGTGAGTTTCCAAATCCCAGCCGCGTGGATGTTAATACGTATTGAATGTTCGATTGCTAGGGCAGAGCGTAAGTGCACCAGCACGAAATCCGCCCAGAATTGTTGATTCATCATATCGACACAGATTTCCGCGGATGGAGGAATTTGCCTCACTTAGGCTGAAGGAGTCATGGTTTGAGGCAATTAGGGGATAAACAACTATTGTGCTTATTGAATCATGATCAGGCGTGTGCAGACAATTGATTGCGATCTGATCCTTGGCCAGATGAGTCGTACGATCGAGTCGACGTACCCAAATGACCCACGTTTGAAATATTTTAGTGTGCTCGTATGATTTCGCTGTATGATCGGCTTTAGCGTCGGACTCTCGATAAAGATTAGATATGGACTAGCTCTGATCTTGAAGCTCACACTTGCCAACGCCATTGTTCTCTTCTACTCGACACTAGTACTGTCTTTAAATCCAGGTCTTTCCTCTACTACCACATACCTAGACTTCCAATCGATATGCCTCGCCAGTTCTTCGTCGGCGGAAATTTCAAGATGAACCCCATCTCGCGGGATCAGAAGCAAACTATTATCGGCGTCCTCAACTCTGCTGATCTGGACACCGCGACTGGTACATATTTCTCCTGTATTGGCGAGACTTTAGCTCAGAGATTACCGCAGAGATCGTGGTTGCGCCCCCGTCGCTTTATCTCATCCCACTCAGAGACACGGTACGAACGGAACTACAGGTCTCCGCTCAAAACTGCTACTACAAAGACTCAGGAGCCTTTACTGGTGAAATCAGGCGAGTCGACAAAACGTTTTTGAGTTTGCTTGACCTTGAACTTTCAACATTAGTCCTGCGCAACTCGTTGATGCCAAGATCCCCTATGTGATTCTAGGTGAGTGGTTAATCAACTTGATAGATGTCGGTTGAAATCTTTCAGGCCACTCTGAACGCCGTTCCATTTTCAACGAAACGTCTGAGCTCGTCGCTCAGAAGACTAAGGCTGCTTTGAATGCGACACTGAAAGTCATCCTTTGCGTTGGCGAAACCCTTCAAGAACGTGAATTAGGGCAGACTGCCGCAGTCGTTGAGAAGCAGTTGCAGGCCGTCGTCAACGTTCTGCAGGAGAGCGACTGGAGGTGCGATGTACAGTCACACTGTGCTGTCCTGCTTGACAATGTTCCAGCGGTGTCGTGATCGCATACGAACCTGTGTGGGCGATTGGCACAGGCAAAGTTGCCACATCCGCTCAAGCCCAGGAGGCTCATGCGGATATCCGCCAGTTCCTCTCTAAGGCAGTGTCCCCTGCTGTGTCAGAGAATACCAGAATTATTTATGGAGGCAGTGTTACCGCTGCAAACTGCAAAGAGCTTTGTAAGTCCACAACGTAACACACCAAGGAGAAACTGACTCTCCCTTTTAGCTACTCAATCCGATGTAGATGGTTTCCTTGTCGGAGGAGCTTCATTGAAGCCAGAGTTTGTTGATATCATCAACGCGAAGAGGAATTAGCGGGTGTGATGGCATAGTGCACTGTATATCTTGTTTGATTCAGGCAGTCAGATAAACTCGTCAATGATGCTACTTGAATTTGTGGAATCAGTATGTTGTGCATGAGTACCAGTATCTTTTGTCAGCCTAGACTCGGATAGAAGTGGTTGGAACTAAATGATGTAAATTCATTTTCCCAGCAAACTCGGCTAACTTGCATGTACGTACGTGCTTACCCCAGAATTCAGCACATTCCCGTCGTTCTTCTCTACATAGGTGGTGTTCTACTGATCGGGACTTGAAGCTTGAACACAGTTCCTGTCGGGATGTTTCGTTCGCTTCTTCAAGTTGCATCATGGCAAAGTCATGAAGAGCTAGAACCCACTCCACCTGGAACTAATGTTACTAGCAGCGCGATGACAAGAGGTTTCGATGCCCCAGACTCTGGCAATGGTGGCCAAAATGTGGCACAACAGTCCATGCAGGATATGGTAGAGGAGCTAAAAACAACAGAGACAGTAATCGCGAAGACGCTTGTGAGCCTTGTGTTATTATGTTGTGGGATACCCATAATGACATCTTGTAGCTCCTGCAACGGATTGCTGACCTCGTTCGTGAAGTACCTGAAACAAAAGATACGTTTCGCGGTTCAGACGGATTTCTCTTACTGGTTCATGTGCTCTCCACACTGTCAACGACGATCGGACGACCAGGATCCCAACAGACGCGTGATGTGGTAGCTTGTATCAAGTTGGTTTTCACGTTGGCCTCCGAGACTTTGAAGAGACACGCGGCGAATCTCGAGTTCTTTGAGGTGCGTTTCTTCGCACCTGATGTTGGTGATGCTATTGTGACCTGGATTGAAATCCAAGGAATTTATTGGCTATTCTTCCCTTTCTGATGCTGTGGGCCCGCTCGTCCGTAACCCAGGGATTTCGGATGTGATGCTCGGGTGCATGCTAGCTCTTTCATTTGGCGATTTCTTCCTTGTGGAATTTTTCAGCTCATTACGAACAAAATTGCCTGACACCGAGGCGATGAATATCCACTTCCTAGAATTTGCACCTGGTCTGACCAGTATTAGCCTCCCCGGAACATTTGGGGTTCTTTGGAGCTTTATTCTGCGAACCATCAACACAGATCGTGCCCTAAGGCTCATCGTTTACCGCCTCCTAGAACACATGACGCATAACACGCATAGAAACCTCGCCGTCTTATGCATGCAAAATGTCTTGCCACATCTTTTCACATTGTTGAAGTCCACGATTAGCTCCGGAGACGATAGGGAGCACCGTGTCCTAGCAAAGATTCTTCGCCGTCTTTTCGAAATGGGTGCCAGCACCCAGGACTCGAGGGGACTGTTACAGTGCATTGCAAAGCAAGATGGCTCTGTCGATATAGATATGTTTGAACTTCTGCGCTCGAGTGCGAAGTCGAGGTGGCCACAACACTTCTCACTCAATGGTTGTTCTGCACTCGCGATGTCGTCTACAGAAATGAAGGCCCTCCCCGCCCATGGGTTCACATTCATGGTAGGCTATTTTTCCGACAACATCTTGATCGTATCTAAATTGTAGGCAGGCCTGGATTTGGCTCGAAAGGATGCCCTCGGAGCCACACAAGTTATTCAGCATATCTTTTGGGTCCAGCGACGTCGTGGCTCTCTCCGTCGGTAACAATGGGGTATTAGCCTTGCAAACACGTGCCGTTCAGAAAGTTCAAGTGCTGCCAAAGTCGAAAGTGACGACTTCTCGATGGACTCACGTCGCCCTCGTGCACCATACACATAGATCATCGCATCCTTCGTTCTGTACGTGGTTCGGATATGCTCATGCAATCTTTTGACTGGCTGTGGTTTAGGCGTGTTTATTGATGGCGTTCTAAGTGATTCATTGCAACGGGCATATCCAAAGTTAGATGAAGCTTCGCCTGCGACTTTCATTGTAGGAGATGACGTTGCCGCAGTTGACTCTAGCTGGTGTGTCGCTTCTGCCTACCTGCTTTCGGTCGCGCTCGGTAAGCATTTTCCATCAGAAAATGGCTCTCATTTGTTCAATACATGTAGATGATGACTTTCCGAGGTTTATACACCACCTGGGTCCCCGATATTCCGAGTCATTCCAAGACCAGACTCTCATCAGGTTTCTGACGTACGAAGCATCGACTTCGCTCAATATGCATATTTCAGCTCAAGGTGCAGCGCTCCCTGAGAATTCGCAACTCAAGAAGGCCATTCGCGGAGACTCGGTTATCAATGAATCATCGATTATATTTCGTGTCGCGCCTCAGCTGCATGATCAAAGGGACAACATTGTTACTCGAGGTGATGTACTTACAGTACGCTGCCAACCGCTGGATCTTGCCGTATGGAGGATTGGCGGGGCGGCTCTCTTGCTGCGCTTAGTAGCTCTTGCTCAAACACCGCATGAACTTTCTAGAGCATTGAGCGTCTTTTCTGACTGTCTTCGCAACTGTTGGCAAAATTCTGATGACATAGAAAGGTTACGTGAGTACGGGATATGCGAGACCTTGGCTGTAGTTGATTTTCGTATAGATGGTTATGATATTCTTGCAAGCACGCTGAAATCTCGAGGTCATCTCATAAATATGACCAGCTTTGAAACGTTGTTTGAATTCCTCGGTCTAAATTTCCGCTCCCCAGAGTATGTTTGCCTTCTGTCATAACATGCCAGGCACTGACACTTCATCAGTTTATCCACTGTTGTCAACACCATTGCATACAGAGCCATCGCACTCGACTTTGAATTGTGGTCAAAAACCAGTGCCGATATTCAACGGGCTCATCTCGAACATTTCGCCTTCCTGTTACGTGCTAGCCGATATAGAAATTTCAACATCAAGATGCGATTGTCGAAGCTAGGGATCGTGCGCAAGTTGTTAGTCGCCATTCAGTCAGCCTGGTACCCGAAAGAATCTATATCGCTTGTTGTCAACGTGCTGGTGCTTGTTGCGCAATCATCGTCTACAGCAGAGGAAGCGATCAAACCAATCATTTCTTACGTAGTTGCCAGCCTTGCTGAAGGTGATTTATCTTACTTTTCTCCAAACGCTCTTCGTCTGATTAGATGTTTTTCAGAGGACCGATCATCGTCAGCATCGTCACCTAGATCGTCAACTTCCCGTGGAGACTTGCTACGATCTAGTGCCAGAGATAAAACTGAACAAGTCCTTGAAGCCCTTGTTTCCATGATGCGCCTCCCTTCACTTCACTCTAAGCTTGCTGCTACGCTTCCGATGCCCCGGATTTGTTTACTGTTGCTTGGGACCCACCCTTCCGCGCATACTGCCTGCCAGGCGCTTGCTATGCTTGGCATCAGCCTGAAGACATCTTTGTCATCTGGCAAAACCTTTGAGTTGGCTAGTGGTTGGAGCATTCTGAAGACTGTGTTGCCTCGAGTCTGGGATCGCAGTGTGCATGATGCTGCTTTAGACCTTCTACCTGGGCGCCCAGGGGGCAGATCTAGCGATGACTCAGGATCACCTCAGATGTTATCCGTGTTTCTTTTGCATTGTATCAAGGACTGTCAGCTGGGAACAATGATGCTGAACCAGGTGAAGGTGGGCCATCTGTCTACTGCGTTGATATTCCATTTTCACCCTTCTTGCAGCTCCCTCAAAGGATGCGATCGTCTGGATCCTTGATGACTTAGCAAAGCTGCACGAGTCAAGTTCATCGTTTCGCCGCGTCTTCAGGTCTCAGAGCACTGCCCAGCTGCTTCTTGATGCTCTCAATATCTTCTTTCTGATAGGGCAGGCTCCTGGGGGCCTGGACGCCAAGATATCTACCAAGCTAACCCACTTCGGATTACTTGTAGCGACGGGCAAGCACATCTCTGCGTCTCAAAAAAAACAGGTATTCTACACTTTTGCCATATACCAGCGCCTCTCAGAGTATATGCATAGATTCTTGACATCGTTCGCCCTGACGCTCAGCCAAAAAGACAAGCCAATGCCGTAGACACTTCTGGGTCACGACTTGGTCTTGTTCAAGCAGACACGGTTCTCAAAGCATCAATACGTATGGAAGAATGGCGAAAGGTTATTCTTGCTTCGGAGCGCAAACGCTTCAGGCAGAATCTATCAGACTTGTGCCTAAATATCCATGCTACAGCGACCTTGAGATGCACTGACTGTTGATACAGGCAGGAAAAGCGACGTAGAATCGCATCCTTTGAAGAAAGTGTTTCTGCATCAACGACCGAACGTGATATTTGGCCCCATAAAGCTCGGAAATGCATGTGGAAATTAGACGAGACGGAAGGACCACACAGAGTCAGGTCAGTGAACTTTTTGTTGTCTGAGGCAAAAGAATGACATCGTTCAGGAAAAAAATGGAGAACCGTCTGGAGTTGCTTGTGCATGACTCTGGCCACGAGGAAGCTTCATCCTTTTTGATTCAGATGCATTGTCACCGTCCCAGTCAGAGCTTGCTTCTCCGAATACCCTGGTTGTTCCATCCTGGACAGACGAAGATGGTTCTTTGTTACTTCAATCGATGTTTTACCAATATTGACTAAGAACAATTCCAGGCGATCATCAGCTCACTGAAGATATTACTGAGGACAAACTCAGGAGAGTGAGGCATCAACTCGAGCCTGGAGATGTCATTGAGGCTGTTAGCACTGTCTGCCGAATAGTCGGCGTCGATTCTTTTCGTAAGCGGTCAAACTGCTGCCATACTTACTGGCTGTCTCATTCGTCGATTCCAAGCTGGCTTGCTGATCTTTGGGCGTACCCACGTGTACATTTTTGAGGGCCTCGTAGAGAACGGTGAAGGTGAAGTTATTGACGCAGGTAGTGCGCCGGAAGGAATGTTCCTTATATCCGGAAGTGCCGTGGACCTTCGTAGCTCGCAGCGTGCCCAACGATGGTAGAACCTTTTTCTGTTCTAACTTTCACGGCCCTGAATATCTTCTGTAATAGGTCACTAGAGCAAGTATCAGGGTTCTCTGACAGAATGTTCCTTTTCCAGGACGTAGGGTGAGCTCCGTTGCTCACCGCATGTCACTTTACTAACCCGGTCAGGTTCGAGATCTTCTTCAAAGATAGTCGCACACTGCTGGTTATCTTCCTTGATAGATCACGCCGCCAAGGGGCTTCCCAGATGCTCTCCTCGATAGTCTTGAAAATGAAGATATCAGAGCCTAGTCCAATACCTGGATCTATTATACACACATCGCTTTTGAGAAGTAGATCATCCGCTAGTGCAGTGGAGAAAGAACTCCAATTAGCGCAACGGCAGTGGCAGAATAGAGAGCTAAGCAATGTATGTGATGTTCTCATTTCTTATGCCAACGCTCACTTTGCGCTAGTTTGGTTATTTGAGTGTTCTCAATCAACTGTCGGGACGTACCCCAAACGATGCAACTCAATACCCCGTTTTCCGTCAGTGATTGTTAACTCTTTTTTCACAAGGAAGCTCACGGTGACTTTTAGCTTGGGTTTTCAAGGATTATGTTTCAGAGATGCTGGATCTTTCATCTCCCGATGTGTTTAGAAAGTGCGTTCGCATAATTCCTGAGTTTGTAGACTTCAAGTTAATACCATCATTCAGCCTCACGAAGCCTATGGGAGCTTTGACAGCCGAGCGTCGCGAGGCTGCAGAAACTCGCTATGATAACCTGGGGAGTGTTGGAGAAAAGCCATTCCACTACGGAACGCACTTCAGCTCGTAAGTCATTTTCATTTGCCCATATCCTTTTTCTTGACACGAGCACAGGTCGATGATTGTTTGCCACTTCAATATTCGCATGCAGCCGTTTACCAATATGTTCAAGACGCTGCAGGTATGTTCCATTTTAGTAGGGAAAGAGCACTCATTTTATCCCCGTAGGGAGGGGACTGGGATTTACCCGATAGGCTTTTTACGTCAGTCTTTAATTTCAACCAGGGTGTGGGGCAACATGTAATGAATGACTCAGCGATATCGGGAGAACGTATTCGTCGGCATCGCAGGACATCAGAGGGGATGTGCGTGAATTGATACCCGAGTTCTTTACTTGCCCAGAGTAAGTTTTTTGACTGCTTGATCCCTTCTAATCTGACAATGGCTACCGTGCTCAGGTTCCTCGAGAACTCATCCAATCTTGACTTCGGTATCTCAACTACCGGAGAACGGATTCACGATGTTAAACTACCTGCGTGGGCGAAAGGAGACCCGCTACTCTTCATCGTAATACATCGCCGTGTAAGTTCTACACTGGAATATTACCATCTGATTCAACGATCTTGTTTTGGCGCCTAAACAGATCCTTGAGAGCCACTACGTCAGCGAGAATCTTCCTGCTTGGATAGACCTTATCTGGGGATGCAAGCAACGAGACGTGGATTCTGTGAACGTTTTTCACCCTCTCAGCTATGAAGGCGCAATTGGTAATGTTTCTCTGTCGGAATCTGCTCTTCATTAATGGGCATGTACAGATCTGGACAAGATTACCAACGATCTTGAGCGACAAGCTACTGTTGGAATCATCCACAACTGTGCGTTGACAGCTGTCGCAGTCCCCTTAAACAGAGTCACATAGTAGCATTGCAGTCGGGCAGACCCCTAAGAAGCTCTTCACCTCGCCCCATCCACCACGGAATCTTCAGGGGCTCCTGAGTCTCCCTGTCACGACAGCCCGTGGTATCCCTGAGGACGCACTCGCGTTAGCAAGAGATCCGAAGCCATTGAAGGGCAAGTATCCCAGTTTTCTTCTTCCGACTTCGATCAATTCTTAACTGTTTGGCGCAGTCGTGCTAGATAGTGCTGTGTCGAATATTTCCATCGACGTGTCGGATGGAAAAGATGGTGGCGTGCTTCCATTGCCTTGTGGAGTGGTCGACCTCCTGTCGTCCGGTCAGGAGCAAGTCGAATGGAACCAGGATGTGAGCGATGGCTCACTGCGGTTGGTAACCCACGGAAAAGTACTCGATGCTTTTATTGACGAAGATAGTCAAAAACTAATGCAGTCCTCACAGGTTACACAAACCATTGAGCATGTAGCACCCTCGTGCGCTGCCTTGGCGGACCAGGACACTCTAGTAACGGGTTCTGGTGATAATATTGTGCGTGTTTGGCGCGTCAATCACAGTCAAGTGGCGCCCTCAGGTTTTGTTGGAACTTCGGGGCGGTATCGCAGGCATGCATCTTCAACGCTGTCGATGATGCACCTCCTCAGAGGACACAGTCAACGTGTAGCGTGTATTGCAACATCACGTACATGGTCAGTTATTGTTAGCGGCAGCGAGGATGGGAGTGCTATCGTTTGGGACCTGAACAGAGGGTGTTACCGGCATTCAATTTGGCACAGTGATGAGAACCTAAGAGCTGAAGTGTGTCTATCTGCCATCAACGAGTCTACGGTACGTGTTCTCTGCAGGAACCTGACCCAACTGACAAAAGTGAATTGTTGTTGATAGGGATATATCGCTACTTGTTCCGCTTCCCATTTAATGCTGCACACAATCAATGCGAGGCCAATTGCGAGACTCGATACTGTGCACGCGCCGATCACGTCTCTTGCATTCCATGAACGTGAATACTCACATTTGGATATCCTTGCTACGGGTCACAATGATGGTTCCATCACACTATGGACATGGAATGCAGACGGAACACCAGCCGGAATGCAAGCGCAATGGGAGTTTGTTGAAGTTCGTCGGATGAATCTGGGGGAGGAAGCTTCTGACGTTGCTTTGGGATCTGTTACTGCGCTTAAGTTCATTGGGTATGTGGACAGTTGACACTTATGAGAGCTTACTGATGCAAGTTTTCCTAGTGAACGCCTTTGCGCTGGTTATGCTTCTGGGTTGACTTATATGTGGACAATTCCCAGCTAAACTATTTATAATCGTTTTCTAGACCTCCAAAGGCAACAATATTAATGACACTGAGCATTCGATTCTAGAACTTGTTCTTAGTACTTACCGGCGACCACACTGAATCATTCCATACCTGCGATTTGTGCCCTAACACGGCCAAAGCACAAAAAGGATGTGATCACTCACCGATTAAATGCGCAAACTGTGGAGAAGCGCACACGGCAGACTCAACCAAATGCCCCATTCATATACTAACCAAAGGATCTGCAAGAGACCCACGACCAAATATCCAAGGGGGACGGCGCGCACGTCGACCTCAAACTGCTAACGATCCAATAGCACCTCCAGAGACCCGGACTCCAACCCCACCATCAACATCCCAGAACCATATCGTAACGCCACAACCAATGAACGACAACAATATGGATGGATGGCAATGATAGTCCATACTAAACCCATAAAAATGATTCAACTCAACACTAACCGTTCAAATATAGTCTGCCACATATTACTCAACAACGCCGTCCGTGATTATGACATCCTGCTCATAACGGAACCATGGTATGGTGACATCGGAAATAACACAAAGGGCCCAGCGTCGTTAACCGGATGGCAACCAATCCTACCATTACCGTCTGTTCCCCCGAATGTCATTCCTCGAGTCATGGCATACATCAAAAACAGACCTGACTTCATGGTTACCCTTCATTCTGATCTCGCAATGGATGCTGACATACAAATTTTACAGATCAACCAAGGAACACATCCGCCTACAATACTTGTAAATATGTACAACCAGAAAGCAGGCGAGGATCCATTGAACTGGTCAGCAGACCGTCTTTTCAACATCGAACTACCAAACGGAATACCGGTCATCATCTCGGGAGATATGAACCTACACCACCCAATGTGGTCAAACACAGCTGAGAACCCCAATCCTCGTGCAGAAGCTTTCGTTGACTGGCTAACTGACCAGGGATTCATCATGCTAAACGAACGTGGGGCAACAACATACTTCGCACACGACGGTGAATCCTCGTCGGTCTTGGACCTAACATTCATCAACGACAGAGCATACGAACTTGACACGATCAAGGACTGGTCAATCGACTACGGTAAAGCCTACGGATCAGACCACGCAGCGCTCACATGGACACTAGACCATGAACGTGTCCCCATCGAGAATATCACGGCTCAACGATTCAATTGGAAAGATATCGATGAAGACACGATCAAAGCATGGAAAGGAGCGTTCATGAGAGAATTGACGGATAGAGAAGACGCATGGATACCGCTACGTGTTTCAACTCTTCCTAATATTGATGATATTGAAAGAGCTACCACAGCGCTACAAGATGCACTGGTGCAAGCAACAGAAAGCTCGGTCCCCATCCGCAAATCTAGTGCACATGCGAAACCATGGTGGACTCCCGACCTCACGCAATCACTCAACCGCATTGCAGAAACTCGTGAAAGGGCTAGACAACATCTCATCGATACAGGTTTTGCTGACCACGACCTTATCCAACAGATCCGCCAACTACGCAATCAGTTCAAACGGAAGACACGCCTTGCTAAACGACAGTGGGCAAACGAGACTCTGGGAAAAGCCACTCCCGATGACGTCTGGAATTTCACTCGATGGCCCAAAGGGATAAGAAACTACCCCACGCCACCACTCAGACGAAACAACGGTCAAAACATGGCAATAACACATGAGGAAAAGTGTGCTACACTACGAGGTGAACTGTTCCAACCGCCCCCGAATCTAGACTTAGCTGCACCAGATTTAGAACAGGACCTCCCGGATGACATCCCATGGGAACCCATAACATATGCCGAAGTGAAGAATGGTATATACCGACCAAATCGCAAAAAAGCTCCTGGACCCAGCCAAATCAACTACATGGCTCTCCGATGGGCCTGGGAGGTTGCATCAGAATATATCTACTTACTAATCTCACGCTGCGCAAATGTAGGCTACCATCCCATCGCCTGGCGACGCACAATCGCAGTAGCCCTGCGCAAGCCCCGAAAACCAGACTACTCGAACCCGAGAGCCTATAGACTAATCCAGCTAGAGGAATGTCTTGGAAAAGTCCTCGAAAGCGTACAGGCAAGTAGATTAGCATATCTCACAGCAAAATATCTGCTGGTACCTTCTTCACAGTTCGGAGGTCGCCCAGGAAGCTCCACAGTCGACGCAGCCCTATCATTCGTTCATGATATCGAAGCAGCCCGTAATCACGGACTTGTCACGTCGTGCATCACATTCGACATCAAAGGATACTTCGACTTCGTCAATCATACACGGCTACTCCGAATACTTCGGGACAAGCACCTACCGCTCCCTATGGTAAAGTGGGTGAAATCCTTCCTCAGCGAACGACAAGCAGCAATCTGCCTGGACGGAGTACTGTCACCATCGGAACCAGTCGAAAACGGTATACCTCAAGGATCCCCAATATCACCGGCCCTTTCGATTATCTGCACAAGCCCACTAAACGAAGCCTACAATGCGAAAACTCGAACTCGTGAATTACGCCCGGACAAAGCCACACCGACCACATTAGCATGCTACATCGATGATGGAAACTTATATGTCTCCTCTCCATCCTTGGAGAACAATGTCGCAATACTCCGGGAGGAGTTCATTTTTGTGAACAATTGGCTTCGCGAAGCTGGACTGATGGCGGAAATTGACAAATCTGAGCTCATCCATTTCACATGGCGTCGCGCACCGGATCGACCACCTATCCTGCTGCCTAGTGACGAAGGACAGGTGACAATTAACCCCCGTGACTGTATCAAATGGCTTGGTATATATTTCGACTCTAAACTCTCTTTTCGCAGGAATGTATGTGAACTGGCAGGCAAAGCGGAAAATATCGCCCAAGGACTACAAATGCTTGCAAATACGGTAAGAGGTCTCTCGCAATCACTATTGAGAACTGTATACTCGGCTTGTGTCCGCAGTGTAATGACATACGCAAGCCCCGTTTGGTGGACGGGCGTGAAAACCCATGCAAACATGCTTACCCGCGTCCAAAACAAATCCCTTAGACATATCTGTGCCGCTTTCCGAACCACCCCAATAAAGGCCCTAGAAATAGAGACATCAATCCCCCCCATCAACCTCTTCCTCGAACACGCAAACGATAACGCCGCCACTCGACTACTCAAACTCCCCTCGTTCAACCCAATCCTACAGAGACTTGATCAACCCTGGCGACAATTTAACCTCGCTGACCCCCCACCCGCTCTTCCCACCGACAAATACCGTCCTCGCAGCCGCAAACCACCAAAATCGACCAGACTCACCCGTCTGTCAAAACGAGCATCCCCGAACGCGGAACGCATCAACATATTTGCGCTGCCACCTTGGGCAAACACGAAGGAAACGTACCGCGGCCGCCTAACGATCTCGGACAAGCAAAGAGGAGGCAAGAAAGAAGCCGCCAAAGCGCACATACAAACCGCTTGTAATCTACGAACGGAGGACACGCACCTTCTCGTTTACTCAGACGGATCGAAACAATCAGTCAGAGAGGAGGAAAGAGCTGGAGCAGGATGGGCCGGCTATCACAGAGGAAGAGAAGTCTTCTGGGGTCAGGAAGGAATGGGTCCCAAAGCAGAGGTGTATGATGCAGAGATGGTAGCGCTCCTTCGAGCAATATCGCGAGCTATCAGCTTCGCGCAAAATTCCCAGGTGACCCATTTACATTTCTACGTCGATAACAACTCTGTGGTGCAGGCTGCATATGCAGCTGCACCCGGACCCTCACAATACATTGCATTACAGATCAGACGCTCAATCGAAGACTACCTAACCACATCCCCCCTCCATCATGTCCAAATTGCATGGATCCCAGGACATCACAACATCATCGGCAACGAACGTGCCGACGAGCTTGCAAAAGAAGCCACCGGACATAACGACTCGTACCACTCGACCTATGCAAATGCGCGCCGAAGAAACAAGGAAGGGATCTTGCAGAAATGGACAGAGAGTTGGAATAGAGACGTGGCAGCACAGACTGGACGCTTCGCTCTCGCAAATCGACTCCCACCAACGCTCAAACCCCGCCAACATTTCACTCACACTCCTCGAGAAGTATACGGCCGTCTTATACAATGCCGCACAGGACACGGATTCATGGGAGAATACTACGCTGCATTCGTTCCAACCGAACCCACCCTCTGCCCATGTGGAGAACCACGTCAAACACGAGAACATATCATACGTGACTGCCCACTATTTGCGCGACAACGCATCCATCTGCGTGAGGTATCACACAACATCATACTCAACGAAATTTTGGGTACGGAGAAGGGCATAAAGGCACTAGCGAAGTTTATTCAAGAATCCAGCGCATTAAAGAAGGTCGCACTGGAACGAGAAGGAAACTGGGAAGAAAGGAGAGGGACAGAAGCCTGAGTAAGGGCAAAGAAGGAAGTGACGAGGGAAGGAGGAGACGAGAAGAGATCAGAAGGAGGAGGAAGGAGAGAAAGTGTATCATATTATACTAAGCCTGGACACCAAACGAGCCCACACGCACACCAAAACTCATCAAACGCGGACCGCTTGGCTATTCGTACTATACCTACATCCCTCACCCTGTTACAACACTCCCCAGCACAGCCCTAACAGGGCACCGCGTCTTAACAGCTCACTTTGTTTGTTGCGGTATATAAATATAGAATTTCTCTCTCTCTCTCTCTCTCTTAGTACTTACCGTGGTTCTGCTTATGTAATCGCCAATTGCTTTCAAGTTTACCCCCTTCCACAATCTTGGATGGTTTTGCACCTTGCTTGAATTATGTCCACTGACGGGGAATCCCCCACGGGAGAATTCGAGACGCAATTTGAGCCTCGGTCTAGCGATGAAGATGTGTTATGGGAAGTACTAGAGATCGTTGCTGAGCGGGGTAAGAAGTATCGGGTTAGGTGGGCAGGTAACGATCCCAAGACCGGGAAACCGTGGCCGTTAGATTGGGTACCTAAGCATGACTGCACGGATCACCTCGTGGAAGAATGGAAGAGGAAAAAGGCAGAGAAGAGTCGTCGATCCAGGAAGACTGGTGAGTGTTATTCGTAGCAGCAATTCTGACACATATCATTCCTTCTGCTAGGTGGCCAGAAAACCGCCTCACGCGCCTCGACGAGTTCAAAGGTTTCTACGATTTCAACCTCCCGGAAATCGCGCTCTATGGTAGATGAAAGTGTCTCTACTATAACAGACGGCGACGAACCCCCCCGTGCTCGGCCTTCAACCTCAAAAGCACAGTCCTCGAAGCGTAAACGCGTAGATATGGATAAGAACTTATCAGATCCAAGTGACTCAGCGGAGCCTCCAGAGGAACCTTCAAGGAAGAAGAAGAAACTCGCCACTGGGGAAGTGTCTACGAAGTTGAAGCGCAAGGCTGCGCCTCGCACCTCAGCTAGCCGCAATCGATTTATCGAGTCGGATGCTGATGCTGATGGTGTTGCATCAGGCGCAGTTGGTGAAGGAATTCCAATTACCAGAGTCGGTCCACCCACCAGGAAAACTCCCATACCCAAGCCCAAGGGCTACGCGCTCTCATCCGCCCGTGATCATCATCGCGCCTCAGGCCTCACTACCGCATCGAAACCTGAACAATCCGGTGGCCAAAGTCGAAATGGGCTGGCTGCTGCTGTTTCGGAGAATCAACGAGATGTTTTGGAAAAGCTATCATCTGCAGAGGAGTCTGACTCAATACCACAATCGAAAAAGCCACCCATATCTCGCTTCACTGACGAGAAGACAAGCTCAACGACTGCACCACGAGAGACCACCGCCAGACATGCTGAGGCTCAATCCTTAGCTAGATTGCGCGTTTCTTCACCCACATTATTGCGTTCCGGGAGTTCATCTGCAGTTTCTCCCCCTCCTTTGCGACGCCAGCCATCATTATCTCCTGGTGCCCGGGCGCGGTTAGAAATATTTGACCATATGGTGGGCATCAGTTCGGATAACGATGATTCTTATATGAATATAGGCGAGAATGCAGACTACGGTGCTGCAGATCCTTATGACCCACCTCTTAGTCCGCCTCCCGAGTTTCCGACACCCCCACTCACAACCGCTACTACGGCAGGTCGCAAGAAGCGTACCGGCGACTCACCGTCCTCTGTGATTGTCCCGGAAACTGAGTCTTCGCAGTCCCAGCCTTCACTTCCCAACCCCATGGCGAATAGGAAGCATACTGATGCGCCGCCGCCACCCAAGCCGCCCTCTCGCCCGAGATCTACTTCAGGGCAGCCTCAGTCTGCATTAGACTTGCCTGCCATCACTGTCATGCGTTCATCCAAGTCACCCCCGCACACTGCTCACGTCGCTTCAAACAGTGAAGTGCCACTTCGACCACGGAAACCACCCACAGGGCCTGTTCCTCGTATCTCTCCACACACTTTCCGCAAGACGCTTGAATCGGTTACTATAGAACTTGATAACGAGCCTCCGATGAGCTCCATCGAAAGCTTCCCATCTCCGCGAAAAGACAAGGGAAAGCAACGACACTCTGAGGCTGACGAACTGCAGAGTTCAAGCGACGAGGAGCTTGTCCCTGGCGTCACAGACGCGAAACTGAGAGCTAGAGGGAAGGTACTTTATGAGGAGGCTCTACGGAAGAAGGAGCTTCTCCAAGTTACCGATAAACCACCCAAGAAGACTCTCGATGACCTTGCACGATCACGAGTGCCTCTGACGATGACAAGTAACAGCAAACGGTCGAAAAAAATCGACACACACCTATTCGCGTCTAGCAAGGGAGCTCGCGAGGGAGAGTTAGAGGTCGTGCAGCAGATGGAAGACGCGTATGTTGACCTCAGCGGGGGAAATAGCACGACTATCGACACTTTCACGCAAAGTGGGCCACAAGACAAAGAAGCTCAACGTATCCTTCTTCGTGAGGAGGACGAGGAATGTACGCAGGAGGCCTTGCTGAGTGGTAATCCGGCGCTTCCGGCGCCTAAGGCAGATGTTGCGGAGAAATGTGAAGCGCGACTACAGGAGCTGGCCATCGACAATGTAGAGATGCAAAACGATAACGATGATGTTCAGGTTTGTCGATAATCTATCTTGTTGGCTCCCATCTCATTTCATTTAGCCTCCCCCTGTACCTGCTGAGCCAAGTGGAACTAACCCCGAATCGAACCAGCCTTCAACACCTATGGATGATTTACAAGTTGCTAGTATGATCGCCAACCCAAGCCAGGGTCAACAGCAAGACAGGGGTGATGAAAAATTTAATTCGTCAATGATTAACAGTTCACCGATACCGCAGCACAACGTGTGTATTGCATTACAGCCCGACTTTATTAGTAGACTAACCAACTTCTTTACCTTTCTGCACAGACGGACGCGACTGTGAGACACCTCAATCATGCTCTCTCCGCTCTGCACAAGAAATCCGATGAGATTCAAGCGTTGCAACGTGCATTGACACTTGAGCGCGAGAAAACTTCACAACTCGAAGACGAGTTCAAGGCAGCTAGGCACCCAAGCATCACTCAGGATAGAATTGCATCAAGCGCCGCAACGCAGACCCATCCAGGGAACCAAGAGCACGAAGCTTGGGAGGCGGAGCGTCATAAATTGCGAGAGGAAATCGCAAGCCTAACCGCAGAACGGGATCGCCTTGAAACCTGTGCGCGCGTGGCTGATGAACTCAGAGCCTCTTGGGATGCGGATCGAGCAGCTTCCCAGCGAGAACGCGAGCGATGGGAGAATGAACGCAAGAGGTTAGGTCTCCAAGTCACCGAAACGCTTGGCGAGCGAAAGATGTGGTCGGAGGAACGTGATCGTCTCATTGCCCAGATCACATCGTTGACGGAAGCTGGCGGAGCCTTCAAAGTGGAGCGAGCTCAATGGGAACAAACACACAAAGCTATCGTGGCAGAGCGTGCTGCGTGGGCGTCAGAACGAGAGAGCTGGGCACAGCACCAAGCAGCAAGTGTCCGAGAACGCGCTTTGTGGGACGTTCATCGCGAAGCTATGGAGCTGCAAAGTACCAAATGGGAAGCCAATCGTGCTGAATTGCTACGTGGCAAAGAACTTTGGGAATCCGAGCAGGAGAAATGGTCTGCGGAGCGCACCACAATGGCCGAGGCGCGCGAGGCTCTTCTTGCGGATGTGACAAAATTAAATTCCTCTATGGACGCCATGGCTCGCTCCAAGAATTTGGCTGAAAAGGACCGTGACTTTTTCCGTGACCAATATGCGCAGGCTTCTGGTTTCGTGAGCGCCACTAGAGCCGAGAATGTTGAGCTGGAGCAGAAAGCTAAGATCGCAGAAGGCCAGGCTCGCGATGGAGTTGCTCTAATCAAGAGCATGTACGAGGTAAAATTTTCCTTGCTGTGATCGGTTAATCTCCTGACACTTCTTTGATCTGTTGTGACACAGAGTCAGATAAAGGCGCTGAAAGAAGACTGTCGATCGATGGAGGGGTGTTTCCACCCTTCTTCAGGAGAAAGATCGGCGAACAGATGACCTTATCAGACGACGTGCTGCCGAGCAACCTGAGCTTGCAGAAAGATGCCGGCAACTGGAGTATCAGGTGGACTCGTTGCATGCTAACCTTGTCAAGCTTGGACGTGCTCATCAAAAGTCTTCTGTGGAGCGCGACAAGCTTCAAGATCTGAAACTCGACGGACTGCGAAAGCAAAATCAGAAGCTGAACCCCCATTCGGTGGCACTATCATATGCCGAGCTCGAACCTGGTGAAATTATAGAGCTAAACTGGTCTGTCGGATTCAGACATCAGCTCCTTGAGCCAGGTGGACGCTTTAGGAGATGTTAGCCCGGAGGAACCCGAGGAGGATGAGTGTGGGCTGTATCCCTGCAAATGGAAAACCGGCACCGATATAATCGATCAATGTCAGCTGTCCTTTGACTGCAGAGAGGTAGGTTCAGCTCTCTAAATCAATTTAGTAGGTGCTCAACGCCTGTAGGATTTGGATAGGCACATGCACGATCATCATTATTGCCGTCAACAGGAAGCAGTGGGTCGTGTTTGAATCATATGTCGGATCTTATACTTTTCGCTATATTGGACCGGATCTGTATTCTGATCTTTACGAAAGGTAGCAACACATGATACTTTTAATATTTCACATGACGTCTCATTGCGCCCATCGTGCAAGAACAGGACCATGGAGTTGTCTGATCCACGTAACTCAGAAGTGTTCTGATTTCTACGAAGCTTTTAAATTTGTTATAACTGTCCTGCACTGTACCCACTACCACTCCACTTTCATCATACTATGGCTTCCAAGTTTCTGCTTTTCGTCTCGCTCTTTCTAACATTTGCGTTCTCGGTCACCGGGTGGTCAGTTGTGATCAACGCTCTAGTGAAGTAAGTGAAGACTGTATCTTCCACAGGCTTGACTGAATTGAAGTGAATTGATGAAGATCCAACCGAGAGAGTTCATATGTCAAGAGCGCAGTCGAGGCTAATGGCGCCATCGTAGATATCAACTATCATGGTAAGGCGCTTGCCATCAGCCACACGAGCTTCTTTGACACTTGTCTCGAGATATCTACTCGGTTTGCTCTGTCATCGCGGCAGCCTGCGCACTTTTGACAGCCCTCTCCCTCTTGTCAGCTTTCTCCCAATTCTTCTCCATTGGGAAGAAACAGCGGCCCCTGCGCCTCCAAGGCTGTCTCATGTTGTTTGGCGCCCTTTGGCTTCTGGCCACTGTTATTGCATGCGACGTTCTCTTCGTCATTCGGTCAACCAAGATCACAGCAACCGTCGGCGGAGTCGCGGTACCTCAAAGTGTCATTCAGCAGATGGTGCAAGACATCGGTGTTTCACCTGAATACAGGAAGAAATGGTACCGTGCGTATAGTCCGGGTTTTGTATCGGGATTTCGTACTAACTAGTGCAAAGTGAGACTTTGTGCGATCCTTCCATGGTTCGCAGTCCTTTTCGCAACCCTCAGCGGACTGTTACTTCACAGTGCCGCTAGGAACACCAAGGGCTATGCAAACACGGAGGGAACAGATTCGGAGAAGATTACGCGAACCTCTGATGTGTAACAGGCTTGAAACTTTGCACATAAATTTTTGTAGTATACCAACGCTTCACGATGGCACGCGAACACGACTTATGCATCCACTACTGACACAGAGAGTTCTGCATCACGATTTTCCTTCCTGTCCGACACCGAGTCCTCGTCTCCGTATTCACCTTTCATGATGGGTGCAAGGTTGGATACAGGTCCTTTGAACCAGTGCGCACCTCCATACACCGGGCAGTAATACCAGAAAACAGCAAGGGACATGTATCCTCCAAGGACCACGACTGTGTAGTTCATCTCTTGTGCATTTGGCTGTGAAGTGGAAGGAAAGAAGAAAACGATGATCATGAAGACCATCCACGACACAGCAATCGCAGCGATAGGAAAGCTCTACACAGGCACGTCAGCTTAGGAATACATCACTATCGACCGACCGACCAGTCTCCCAAGATTAAACGGGCCGGGTTTAAAATCGTTCTTGAACACAAAGCGAGTCGCGATCGGCGTCATGTAAGAGACATATGACGCGGTGACAGCGATTGTGAATACCGCATTGATGGCCTGGGTGCTCGCGAACGCCAGAGATCCGATTGCCAGAACAAGGACTGACGTCAAACCAAACTGTATTGACCGGCGTTCTTGTATAGCCATTGATCCGGTACAAATATTGTGAAAAAGGGAGGGCTCCGTCACGAGCAAATGCAAAGGTCTGGCGAGAGCCGACCAGAAGACAGCTCGATCCCATCATGTACCTGCTCTGTGATTAAGCTATGGATGCGCTGCATGCCGGTAAAACGTACTGCGCTAGAATAACGAGACACCAGACAGCCAAGGCTCCCCTCTGTCCCAGCGAATTGTACAAGATCTGCGCCATGGGTTGGCCTATGGGGCTACTTAAAATGCCGTTGAGGTCAGTGCCCATGCAGAAGGTAAGGGAGATGTTGATTCCTAGATAAGAAAATGAATTCGAGATCAGAGTGATGCTGTGCGTCATTCCACATACCCCAGCCAAGGATGGCTGACATGCTGATGGAACTGATCTAGGCTGGAGTAAGCAAGAATAAATCTCATTTTCTAGTCTTACTTACGATTGCCCATGGTATCGCAGTGGCGGCATTCGTAGGCCTCCTCGCTCATATGCACACTAGAATCAGTAGCCTCCTGGTGGGCTGAGAATGTGAACTGACAATTCAGGAAAAGATAGTCTGACCTATTGTATAAAGAGGAGCCATTAAACTCAAGATGAACGCGAATGCAGATGGCCAGCCATCCACTACTAACTAATCGTGAGCTGTGATTGTAATTGGCAGACAATACATACAGTTTGTAAATTCTCCTAGCGCAAAATTAGCACTGTTTCGGTATTCTGATGGCGTTACGATCGGAAGCACAATGATGACAACGAGGCAGAGGCTATGGAAAGATTTGAAGGAACGATCAGGGAGAAATATTCAGTACCCACCACACATTCAACAAGATGTATAATCTTTGCAGTCTTGCCAAGATTCTGGTACCAAAGCTAACGAGGACGGCATGTGACAACACCAAAGCTGCGTATATACCGCTGGTGATAAAACCTTATGACGAGTGTGGTGTTGAGAAGATGACAGACTCACTAGAGTTGCTCGTTGGTGGTTGCATATGCCTGATCAGAGGCGATACTAACTGCTGCCGTGATTTGAATTGCGCAAGCCCAGTCTACAGAAGCTAGCCCTCACCATCAGAAGCGGACTGTTGAAAGAATGAGAATCAGGTTACCAACTGCTGTGATAGACTGGATGGTATTCGAATCTGCGGATGTCAGCACGAGTTGTATGTCATGACAAACTCAAAGGGGAGACTTACAGCCAACTATCCACGCCAGAAAATTGCGACAGCGTGGAGAAGCAAGTGAGTAAGTCCAATAATATAGCTAGAATTTGTTGAGTTGAGTCTGAGACAGTGACGGCGTCTAGGCCAGGCCATACCTACACCACCAGAAGTAGGCGCTGCTGACGCCAGCTCTGCCATTGCCAACCCAATGCACATGATGAAAACGCTGGCAATAGCCCACTGCGCAGAGAAAGAATGAAGACTTTACAAAACGGCACTCCTCGCATATGAAGGCTTACCCCCCAGACCATCGCGAGAGGCCCACCATTTGGGGCGGCATAAAAGAGCACAGAGCTGAATAGCTTTACCAATCAGTAGACATTCGATGCTTGCGTCTCAGGTGGTAGCTTACGCTATAGAAGGGAGCAGTCCTATATAGCTGAATGCAACTCCAAACACCTGTACAGAGTTGTTTGATTGTGTCATGTACTCGAGCGAGTCGTCAAACCCACCTCTAGTGGAGTGAATGCCCTGCGAAACTCCTGCTTGTATCCTAACTTGGCGAGAATAGCCTCATCTGCGTTTGGTTGCAAGCGCAACCTTGAAGTTGGCACTTGCAGGGGTCCTCGTAGCCATATATCACGGTCGAAGTTGCAAGAAGAACCTTGAAGGAGCCGAAGCGAGAACTGCGGAATTACCTACCAACCTAACTGATATACGTAACATAGGACATGAAACTGGTCATTTAACTGGGCTCGCATCGAGTCGAGTCGTAGTACTTGAGCACAACAGTAAGCAAGCTTGAGTGTCGATGGGGATCAAATTCGCAAAAAAAAGTGTCGAGGCAACTGGACCGGGATGAAAACGCTTCGTGATACGCGTCTTTGTTTGCCGGGGGTGTGGCTGTGTTTTCGCGCTTTAGGGGCTTTGAACCGACCTGGGCGAATCGACGGCAATAGCCACGTCCCACAATTCAGGTAGAATATTTGCCCTGCCGGGGCTAGGTGCCTCATTAGCATACCTAACTAAGATGGCACCATGGGCACCATCTGATCCTTTCGTTTCAGCCAGAGCCCATCGCACCATGTTTCTTCAAGACTTTCTTGTATGCGCCTCACAAGTTGATGTGGTCACGTGTACAAATCTGACGTGTCTAGATCTGTTGCGGCAGTGTTGCCCAATGCACATTCAATTGAGTTGATAGTTTACGGTTTCTCCCACTTGACTGGGTCTCAACAGCCTTTCAACGTTGAACGTTGAACGTCTGAGGTCTCAACCTCGTCGCCGACTCGCCACCTGAGAACACCATGGGTAAGTCTACCTACTTTATCCACGAAACCGTCCTCTCCCCTCATCCTATGCAGCGCCTACAGGTTCTCTCAGTCCAGAACCCCAAAGTCGAACGATGTCAGCCTACGCCTTAGAGTATAGACGGACGCAAACGTGATGCGAAACGTGACAGCGAAGAGGGATCGTCGGCGTCGTCAACGCCAGGTTGCTCGCGACGAGGCTGAAGCTACTGGGAGCTACGAACCACAGTATCACAAGAGGAAAGGGCACACAGCAAGTCAGAACGAAGAGGAGCGTTGGAAGGGTCAAGAGCGACGTCCCAGTGTCGATATGCAACAAGGCGCAAAAAACACGGAAGGTCTCAACCAGGTCTCGGAGAAATTTGATCCTACTCTTGATTTTCTCAAAGGCCTGATTGAGGGCACCATTGTAAACCCACTTCATCAGCAACAGCCGGTGACAAACCTTGGGCAGTCCTCCAGCGCTCTTCGCTCAGACGCGGCAAGTCAGAAATCTCCAGTTAGTCTCACTAAACTGCACCCACCTCTTCCCGCCCGTTCAGCTGTTGCGAAACCACCTCCGCGAACACTTTCAACCTGCAAAAGCATCACCGTTGCCCTGCGAAGCCACAGGTCAATCCCTGATAACGAGTCAATACGCCGACTCACGCGCAATCTCTGGGACACTCGTAGGGAAATGACCGCCTTACAAGCGCGCGAAACCGACCTCATAGCTTCATTACGCGGCCTGCACGCTCCTCAGCATATACTCGAAACTGGACAAGCGACCTCAGGTGAACTACTTCTGGGCTACATTCAGCTTTCCGTTTAATATGACAACACAGAAGCTTGAAGAGCGTCTTGCTCAAGTGGAAAACGAACTGGAGCAAGAAAGTTACAAGCGCCTTCAAGCTGAGAGAGGTCTGAATGAGATTGAGAGAGAGAGCAGGGCTCCGTTTGTCATTCCAGCTTTGTTTCGAGCGTTCCTGAACATTTCTGAGATGGTTGTATAATCTTCCATGTTACCTGTGGACTGCTTACTCAGTACCGCAAACGCTATGTTTGTCTGAAGATTACAGGTTACTGGAGATCAAAGCGGGGCATAACAAAGTCACAACTTTCCGATAATGGTATCAAAGAGGACTAGACTTAAACATCCACAATAATTACATCTGCGCCTCGCCCTTTCTCCATCTTCTCTGACGACGAGTCTTCATCTTGCCCTTTGTTGGTCGATACTATGTTAGATACAGGTCCATTGAACCAGTGTACACCTCCGTATATCGGACAATAATACCAGAAAACAGCGAGGGACATGAAACCACCTAGGACAACCACCGTATAGTTCATCTCTTGTACAGTAGTCTGTGGGGTCGCAGGAAAGAAGAAAATAATATTCATGAAGACCATCCATGACACAGCAATTGCTGCGACGGGAAAGCTCTGCAAGACATAAGCATAAGACCATACCAGGTGCCTTCGGACCCACAAATTTCCCAAGATTAAATGGTCCGGGCTTAAAATCATTCTTGAAAGCGAAACGGGTTACGATCGGTATGATGTAAGAGATGTACGATGAGGTGACTCCAGGAGTGAACACCGCATTGATAGCCTGTGTACTCACGAACGCCAGAAGACCAATTGCAAGAGCGAGCGAGGCATCGAGCCAGACAGTATTGACTGGCGTTCTCGTGTAGCCGTTGATTCGGTAAAAATATCGCGAGAATGGTAGGCCGCCGTCCCGAGCAAATGCGAACGTCTGGCGGGAACCGACAAGCAGACAGCTCGATCCCATCATGTATCTGGTCATCGTTTAGAGCACAGATAGTAGATGAATCTCGGGAAAACCCACTGCGCCACGATAACAAGAGACCAAATGGCTAGCGCTCCTTTCTGCCCAAACGAGTTGTAAAAGATCTGTGCCATAGGTTGACCAATCGGACTGGTCAAGATGCCTTCGATATCAGTGCCCATGCAAAATGCGAGGGAGACGTTGATGCCTGGGAGCTGTTAGTTTTGCAACGAAGTTTTCGACAAGGTGACGCGCACCCCAGCCAAGGGCTGCAGATACTGCAATCGAGCCGACCTGGTTTGCATTAGTCGAGCAGCTACGGATTTTCTAGCAGTACTCACAATTGCCCATGGTATGGCGGTAGTGGCATTGGATGCCTCCTCACTCATGTGTACGCTTGAATCATACCCCCCTATTGGGTTGTCACATAAAATGCGAGCGGTAATGGATAAGCCGAACCTATTGTGTAAAGAGGCGCCAAAAGACTCAATATGAACGCAAGTCCAGATGGCCAGCCGTCCACTGACAACTCTTATTAGATGAAAGCGGCAACGGTGACTAAATGACACATACAGTTAGTGAAGTCCCCAAGTGCGTAGCTAGCGCTATTTCTGTATTCTGATGGCGTTGTAATTGGAAGGGCGATGATGACGACGAAGCAGAGGCTGTCTCAAGTAGTGAAGCAACTATCAAGACGGATATACAATACCTACCACACATTCAGGAGGATGTATAGTCTTTGAAGTCTTGCCAGGACTCGCGTCCCGAGGCTCACAAGGACAGCATGGGACACCACTAAGGCTGCAAATATGCCACTGTGATGGATCAGGGAATCCTACATTCCGACGAAACAAAAACTCACTAGATCTGCCCATTCGTCGTCACGTATACCTGGTTAGATGCGATGCTAACTGCCGCTGTGATTTGTATCGCGCATGCCCAATCCACAGAAGCTAGTTTCGTATAATCAATAAACGATTATTCAATGGTATGATGAGTCCTTCACCAAGGGCTGCGATAGATGTGATCGTATTGGCATCTGCATGATGGCACATGTCAGCGATATGAGTTTGAAATAGACAGATCACACTCACACCCGACTATCCACGACAGTAAATTTCGACAACGAGGGGAGGCAAGTGAATGTGTCCAGTAATATAGCTGAACACTTGTGAGAGGTTCCGTCTGCATCAACGGCAATATTAAAGACATACTCCACCGGAGGTAGGTGCCGCAGATGCAAGCTCCGCCATGGCCAACCCGATACACATGATAAAAGCGCTAGCAGCCAGCCACTGTAACCAGATGAATGATAGGATCCAAGACTCTTGATATGTGAAGACGTACACCCCAAACCATTGCAAGAGGACCACCGTTGGGCAAGGCATTGAAGAGCACCGAGCTGAGTAACCTCGTATCAGTAGATAACTCTTCTCGACGGAATGGTGCAGCGTACGCAATAGAAGGAAGGAGACCCACGATACTGAACGCAACACCAAAGACCTGTGCAGGATCATTGTCGCGTGCGCCTAAATTTCTGGTGAGGACTCACTTCTAAAGGAGTAAATGCCCTTCGAAACTCCTGTTTGTATCCTAACCTGGCAAGAATCGCTTCATCCGTGGTGTGTTCCGAGTGCGAATCCGAACCTGCGGAAGCCATTATAAGAGTGACTTGAAATCTAACTGGCGAGGAGGTTCAAACCAGGGACGGGGTGCAGTCATCAAGCTGAAACGACAATATAAATAACGAGTCTGATACGACTTATCTGGCGCTGATGAGATAAGTGCAAAGGAGAAGCTCCAATTGAAGGGGTACATTACTTATCGCTGAAAGGGTAAGAATAGACCTTATGCAAAGAAGGTACGAGCTCACATGTGAGCAGGTGGTGGCAGATTTTTAAAGCCCAGACTACGACACGTGAGAGAGGCTGAGCATAGGTGAGCATGCAATGACCATTGTTGATCACGATCTCCAACCAATGCAGTTATGTCAGGCAGGAGCCTCAGTTACGTAGGTAGGCTAATTTCCTGGCTTGGCTTGGAGTGAACAATGTTGCAAGCACATCATAGTGATTGTGCGGGAATAGATGAAGACCTTACTAACATGCTCCGTTGAAGCTTTGAGTGTTTAAATTTGACGTACTGCAGTGTGGCTTCTGCCGTTCAAGTCGTGAAGCTGTGTGCCTCAAGTGACCTCAGTAGAAAAGGTCGTCGCAGTGACTGTCGATGGTTCCGTACGCCATGTGAAGTGAAGCGTAAATATGGGCCCAGTTTCTTCATCTCAGACGTGATGTTTGCCGGGTGGACTGCAGTGCATACTAAGCTCAATTATGTTGCGTATCATATCGAAGTGTGATGACCGTCAACTAGCCGTCAACATTTCAACCTGCGCCACAGTCACGGAAGGATCCGTTGGAAACGCTCTCAACCCAGTATACGTAGAGGCTCAGTGATCAAAATTCGACGTTTCAGGCCAGTCGCTTATTAGAAGGAACGACTATCTTCCGTCGTCTATATAGGGTTGGCTAGGGGAGATCACTGGCATCAAAGTAATGCCCAGTCGGGATTTGCCTAAGCCTAACCTCGCCCAACCTCTTCACTGCTTTACTCCCAAGACCCCAGATGAAAACGAACAGAGGAAACATGTACGGGTGTGACGGAAGTTGTAGTATTAGCAGAACGTAGAATATTCTTGTCAGGAAGGGAAAATCCGCTTCCGTGTTGAATTTTTGAATAGACATAGTCTCCATCATTTCTTCGGACAGGGCACTTAAGCAGTGCGATCACATCATCTTGGAAATTCCTCACGCAATGTGATGTACTGCTCCAAAGGCAAGAGCCTCGTGGTAGCTGCGGTCAATCAAAGAGGCTTCTTCTACAGGGACTGCGCAGTGCTTCTGGTACGTAAAAGAGTATTGAGAAATTGAAGGTCTGGAAGGCTTCTCCAACACCCAAGCATTCCAGGATGTATATCGACTTACCACTTAATAAGGCGTCCTTCACCCTTGATATCTCTGGTGTCATGGGGTTCTTCGGCGGGGAAGAAACGCTCTCTGCAATGGCCACTGTCCATCTCTACCGAGGCAGGCGTTGGCTTGGTTGGTACAACTCTCCAGGAAGCTACACAATTGCCAGGAAATTTGGGCAGTTAGCGAAACTCACGATTCTGGGATGGCATCTTTCCCGGACCCAACCTGATGCCTGAAGAATTGTTTCGGGCTGGGTGGGAAGGATGGCCCACGCTTTATCGGAGTGTTCTCGGGCACAGATATGACGACTACAGGTTACCTCGCATACCTCACGGCCCAGAAGGCAAAGGAGGCCAAGAAGACCCAGGAGCAGATCTCCGGAGGAAGAATAGGCTCACCGGGTTCGGTGAGCATAATAGATGTCGACAACGTGAAATTGCAGCAAGGAGACAAGGTACCGACGAAGGAGGTTTATAATGCGCTGTACGCTGCCATACCCATCACCAGCAGTCTCACAGCATGCCTCGCTTGCGCATTCGTTCGTGATTGGCTCGCATTTGGGTTGATCGTGGTCGGCATGGTTTCCAGTGGCCTATCTTGCTTCGTCATTGGTTCGGGGAGGCTGCAATTCAATCTCATCAAGGCTGCGTACCATGCGCCACGGGGAGACGGACTACTATTGACGCGCAACGATGTTGTCATCTTGAAGGGCAAAGAAAAAGATGTCACGTCAATAACGAAGGCCAAATTTGAGCTGAAAATGAATGGCGGCGAAGAGTTCCACACCGTTGGGGTCTGCTCGCTCCTGCTCTTGTCACAGTTCTTTATTCAACTTCTCCTCGTTCCTCGAGCAACCCTGTTCGGTCAAATCATGTTCATGTCGTCACTTGCGGTGTCTTGGGCATACAACTCGTTTTTGTCATCATTGGAGAAAGAGAAGATTCAGACAGACCTGCTGTGGAAATCACTCGATGAACCACCGATTACGAAACTTGTGCTCCCCAATAGAGCGTCACAAGCGGCGTGTACTTGCTTTGTCTTGCATACAGGTGCTAATATGTTCAAGAAATCAGCTGCGAACTTCAAGCCGAAGAAGATCTTGGAGCGCATGATTCCAAATGATACAAGAGTTTGGGAGGCGTGGAGGGAGCATGTAGCAAAGCAGGTATCGAGTAAAGAGAAGTTCAAATCGTTTGAGCCAGAAAAAGAATTCTTAGCGGACTTCGAGGAAGAAGAACTGGAGCTCCTGAGAGAAATGCTGGCGGACGCGAAGCACGGTTGGGAATGTTATCAAAATCAACTGATAGCTTGACACCCTAGAATAGGGAAACGTAGTACGAGAGGGGGTTGGTAGAGGCTGTTGAGAGCAAAGGATCGTTTCTTGCAGTAGCGTCATGTAGATATCATTCGGAGAGTTGTTCTGAGTCATCCCTAAGAGAAGAACATTAATGCAAAACTGTCAGTACTATAGCTCTGTACTATGGCTAAAGGGGGACAAAAAGAATAATATTGTGCGCTCCGATTGCAAATTACAACCGTCATCCAGCCTTTGAAAGGGTTACATGTTGGCGGTTACTGCTGCTGAAGCAGAAACACAGTACAACGAGTAACCTCAAGCACTGTCGGGAGTGCTTGACTCGTCTTTGCGCGAGAACTAAGCAAAATATTGCGGATGCCAGGACTCACTATTCGGCTGCCATCTATGCGGAAACAACGTTGCCCGAGACGCGGATAGAATCGAGTGGATCCTGTCAGGGTAAGATCCACCATCGTTCAGTATGTTCTCCGTAGTGCTCACAATGCTGGCGGAGGACCAGTACTAATGAGCCCATGCTTGCATGAGCACAAGTGGGATGATATATGTAAGCGAGCTGAATTCGCACGCATGGTTTGGTGTATACTGTGGGAGTCGGGGATGTCTTCCGCGTCCACCACGCACGTCGCACGAGCATATGCATCATTGACAAACAAACTTGTTTCCAAGCAGACCGATGCGTGAATCAGCACTACAGCTTTGAGCCCTCCTGCTAAGCAGGCTGCAAAGTGCGTACCACTTACTTAATTCCCTCGCACTCGAACCTCTCCAGCTCCTGTGGCCTGGGAGAAACCTTGCAATGTATGTTTTGCAGGTGGCAGGAGAGTGCATCTTTCTGTGGGAAGATTTCCGGACGGCGGCCGACCAGCTCACGCCTATGCACACTGCACAGCGCCCAGGAGCACCAGTACTTATATCTCCCATGGCCCACATAACCCAATTCCACCCTTACGCACATCATTCACCGGGCCAACAATGACGCACGCGCTCTTCACGCCCATCCAAGTGGGACGCATGAACCTTAATCACCGTATTGTCCTCGCCCCCCTCACCCGTTATCGCGCCTACTCCACCCACGTACCAGGGCCCCACGCAGCCACCTACTATGCCCAACGTGCATCTGTCCCTGGAACCCTCCTTGTCTCCGAGGCTACCTACATCTCTCAGGCTGCTGGCGGAAAGGACTTCGTCCCGGGCATCTATACGCAGGAACAGGTAGAAGGATGGAAAAAGGTCACGGATGCCGTGCATGAGAAGGGTAGCTTTATATTTTGCCAGCTGTGGGCACTCGGGAGGGCAGCATTTCCCGAAGTGCTCTCCAAGGAGAATAACTCCCCGTTTGTATCTGCCTCCCCTATCCCACTCTCCACCAACCCTACAGCTATCCCGCACGCCCTCACAGAGTCGGAGATAAAGACATACATTACTAGTTACGCCACTGCTGCCAGGAACGCCATCGCAGCGGGCTTCGATGGTGTCGAAATTCATGGTGCAAACGGATACCTCATTGACCAGTTCTTGCAAGAGGTGAGTAACACTCGTGAGGACCACTGGGGTGGGAGTATCGAGAAGAGAGCAAAATTTGCAATTGAGGTCGTGGATGCAGTTGTGAAAGAGGTCGGCGCTGAGATGGTCAGCATTAGATTGAGCCCATGGAGTCCATTTCAAGGTCCGTTCTATCTATTTCAAACCGGCTCTCACTCATCACGCTCGTACTCGATTAACGCTCATGCAGACATGGGATCTTCCGATCCCCTACCACAATTCTCCTACCTCGTCCACGAACTCCGGAAACACAACCTCGCTTACCTCCATGTCACTGAGCCACGCGTCGGCGGCAACATCGATGTGGACGCACCGCCGCAGAGTAGCAATGATTTACTGCGTCAACTCTGGTGCGGGGACGAAAAGAACGCTGTGTTTATTAGTGCAGGTGGGTACACACGACAGACGGCGATCGAGACCGTGCAGGACAAGGGTGGCATGGTGGCGTTTGGCAGGTTGTACATTCCGAATGTAAGTCTTGGGATTTTCTGTTGCCTTCTCCGTGCTCTTTCAATTTTTCGTGTTCGTTTTTATAGTTGTCCGTTTTCTTGCTGACATCTTTCTCGTCATGCGGCTTGGACTCCTTCGTATTTGACCCCACTACCTAATTCCGACGCCCTTCCAACAGCCTGACCTCCCCATCCGACTTATGCACGACCTCCCGCTTGCCAAGCCCGACCGCGCAGTATTCTACCTCTCAGGCGATCACACTGAGAAAGGGTATATTGATTTTCCAGTCGCAGATGTAGAGACAGAGAGGAAGTCGTGAAGGGGCTTCGAAGATCGAGCGATACCACAGACTTGACGCCCAGCCCTGGTGCTGCGATGGATCGTGAATAGAATGTAGACTACGACACCATTCCCCGTGCGTAGTTTGGAAGCCATTTTCGTTCCTCGAGGTACGCATGGGGCATGTGTGTTTGTACCAGCGGCCAGAATATTTTAACAGTAAGTATTGTTGATTTGCCTGATCGTTCACTTGATGTATCGTACTTGCTTTGACGACATCATGCATGGCTGCAAGCAATTACCGCTTTCATGAGGTCACTTGGGTGTCCCGGGCTACAGAATTGCAGGTACTTACTCTTAAGTATGCGGAGAGGTTTCTTGTCTCGCAGGCTGTCATTTCCGAATATTTTTCGGCTTGAGAGGGCTGAGTTTGAACGTTCAACATTCAACTTGGTTTTGGCATGTGCTAGTTTATCAATTGTAAGCTGTACTCTTGATCAACTCTTCCGGCACTAATCAATGGAGATTGCAGGACAGGTCACACCGTCAACGTGGTGTCGGTTCTTCCAGTGCGTAAACTCGGACGAATCCATCCCACCCATGCATGAGATTTTGAAATCATCTCATCGTCCCATTGCAAGTCACGTATCAATGTTTTGCAGGTGGCAAGTACATCTTTCTAGATCTATGATAAGGTTTTCCGATGCGGCGGCTGAGCGCTGGACGCCAGCACTTATACACATACTTATACATATATCTCCCATGGCCCAAATCACTACGCACCTCGTTCACTGGGGCCACAATGACGCCTGCGCTCTTCACACCCATCCAAGCAGGGCGCATGAATCTTAGCCACCGTATCGTCCTCGCCCCCCTCACTCGTTTTCGCGCCTACCCCAACCACGTACCAGGGCCCCACGCAGCCACCTACTATGCCCAACGTGCCTCCGCCCCTGGAACCCTTCTCGTCTCCGAGGCCACCTTGATCTCTCAGGCTGCTGGCGGAATGGACTTCGTCCCGGGCATCTATACACAGGAACAGGTGGAAGGATGGAAAAAGGTCACGGATGCCGTGCATGAAAATGGTAGCTTTATCTTTTGCCAGCTGTGGGCACTTGGAAGGGTGGCATTTCCGGATGTCCTCTCCAAGGAGAATCACTCCCCGCTTGTATCTGCCTCCTCTATCCCACTTTCTACCCGCCCTACTCCAGTCCCGCACGCCCTCACAGAGCCAGAGATAAAGACATACATTACTAGTTACGCCACTGCTGCCAGGAACGCCATCGCAGCAGGCTTCGATGGCGTCGAAGTCCATGGTGCAAACGGATACCTCATCGACCAATTCTCCCAAGAGGTAAGTAATACTCGCGAGGACGACTGGGGTGGGAGTATCGAGAAGAGAGCGAGATTCGCGATCGAGGTCGTGGATGCGGTTGTGAAAGAGGTTGGTGCTGAGAGGGTCAGTATCAGGTTGAGCTCATGGAGTCCCTACCAAGGTGCGTTCTATCTCTTTTCTACTAGTGTGCAGTCATCACGGTAGTACTTTACTAACCCTCGTACAGATATGGGATCTTCCGACCCAATTCCACAATTCTCCTACCTCGTCCACCAGCTCCGAAACCACGACCTCACTTACCTCCATGTCACAGAGCCACGCGTCAGCGGCAGCCTCGATGTGGATGCACCGCCGCAGAGTAGCAACGATTTACTGCGTCAAATCTGGTGCGGTTTGGGAAAGAATGCCGTGTTTATCAGTGCAGGTGGGTACACACGACAGACGGCGATCGAGACAGTGCAGGAGAGGGGTGGTATGGTAGCGTTTGGCAGGTTGTATATTCCGAATGTTAGTCTTCTGTTTCCTTCTACGTGCTCTTTCAATGTTCCACATTTGTGCTGATCGCTGTCCGTTTTCTTGCTGACATATTTCTCTTCGCGCCCCTGCGGTCAATCTTTTGGTTCTGTCTTAAACGCAATTCCGCCTTGGTCGCTACCTAACCACTACGCCCTTCCAACAGCCCGACCTCCCCATCCGACTTATGTATGACCTGCCGCTTGCCAAGACCGACCGCACAGGATTCTACCTCCCTGGCGACCACACTGGGAAAGGATACATCGATTTTCCAGCGGCAGATGTAGAGACAGAAAGGAAGTTGTGAAGGGGTTTTAGTATCACAAGATCGGGAGGTGTTTTACAGGGGAGGAAGATCTTTCAAGGAATACCATAGACTCGAAGGTCAGCTGCAGTGCTGCCATGGATCGTGAATAGAACGTGGGCTGCGACAACATTGCCTTGTCTCGCAGGTTGTGGATTCAAATCACACAGAAAGAGGGAAAAGATGATGGTACGCACGGTCGTAAGAGGTGCCCAAGTCCTAACGTATTGCTGCATGGACGCTGTTGCGAGTGGAAGAAATGATAGTCATGCCTAGACTCGTAACCAGTCTGACTATGCGTCACTGTAAGATGGTGAGATTCTTGGCCATACCACTTGACTTGTCCGTGATAGTATACGCCAGGCTGGTCAAGAGCCTAAGCCATGCCAACAATTGACAAGGATGCATTAACACGTTGTCTGTTGTCAGATGATATGGTACAAAGGCCTTGAGGTATTGTTATGCGGGTACCAGTGGCCAGGTATGATTGGAAACGCGTCAGATCTCCCTCTGGATCTGACCAATCGTCCAAGCTCTCTGCATCGTCTGCAAAAACAGGGAGCCCAAGATCATGACGATCCCACGGACGGATGAGTACGAATGTCCGCGGAGCGGGCTGCAGCTTGTCTTCTGTGGTGATAAGTAAGTCATCATATCAGCAAAAGTGCAGGCGCCTGACTGCACCTAGTCAACACCTGGATGTCCTCGCCCTGCCGCACATTAGGCCCACGGGAATGCTACATGGGCGGATATGTGGGTCGATCATCAGTCCCACAATTCAGAGACACAATTATCAACTTCTTCGCAATTATGTCTTGTCCCTACGTTGTGCGATACCAGATCTGTGTTCGAACCAATGATATAATTTTGAACCTCAATCGTACCTACACATTCGGAGCAGTCGCCTTGGGCTCTGAGTCAACACACTGGGAAATGCAATCCAAATAGAAGTCGAGATTTGGCGTAATACATATCTGCGAGTTATATAGTCCTAGAGTCTGAAATATCATTCCTTGGCCACATCCGGTGCGCAGCCATAGTTGGATGCTACATACGAAGTCGTCAGATCGTCTCAAGAAAGTAGGGTAAGGACGTACGAAATTGATCATATGCCAATATGCATGAACACGATGCGCTGGTCCAAGGGCAAGTCTTTCAACGACTGGACTGCTTTGTGCAGCGCTCGCGCGGCTCGTTTTGAATTCATCTTTCCGTCTCTACAAAACTCCTGGTAGAATGCATCGACTAAGCGTCGCACGGTGATGTCATCGATATTCCAAAATGTACCAATGACACTCTTCACCCCAGAAAATTGTAAGCCAGCCGCCAAGTGAATTGCTTCGTCAAGAGTTTCGAAGTTACTGTAAGGATTCCATATTCTCTACACGCCGACCAAGCTTCAAAATGAAGACGAACGAACCACGCGGTCGCAGTCGTCCACGTGACTCATTGATGCGAAGAGCGCAACTCTTCGCATCCGAGTTACGTGGATACATTCCTTTCATCTCCCTTCTCCATTCTCTTTCATTACTATACCTTGTGCTCAGACTTCACGATACCCTTGTCTCACCGAAGTATTTTCACCTCGCCATATGCTCCTTGCTCTCGTTCCGGCCTAGTCAAGTACTCGAAAACGTATATATATCGCCCATGTACACTCATACCTACAGCAAATCCTAGAGTCAGATCCCCGCTCCAAGCACGACCGAAAGCCTCACAGAAAGTCTCCATCTCAATCGTTTTCCAACCCGTCTCGATACTATCAAAACTCATCCCCTGTTTTTGCATCGTTTCGTTCACAATTCCCTGTCGAACTCACACTCAGCCTTACATTACCGACTGCGGTCTGACAAGCAGAAAGAAATGCAAATTCGTGCCGAGATAGATCCGTGTGGCTGATATCTTGAAGTTGAAGTTCTTCGTCGCGCATGAGAAATGCTGACTTGAAGGGTTCCACCAAGTTTTGTGACCCGTGACAGGCAAAATGGACCCAATGGTTATCTTGCAACGTGCACAGGGCAGTTGATTTTGTTGAGTCAGCACTCGTGACTTTGGTAAAGGAAATGGTTGAGGAAGGGGGTAGGAGGCTCTGCACTAAGTCCAGTTCCGACTCGACACATGCCAAAGAATGTTTATGTTCTGGTGGGTGGTTCTGACCGATGGCAGCAAAGGACACGAGCAGAGACTTGTCACGACATTTGCGAGCCTTGATGAGTGCGACAAGCGATGGAGTGTAGGAGGAAATGTATAGCTGCGAAAGGTTTGTTCTCTTGGGCCTGTATTCGCCAGCGGCGTGCAAAGGCAAGAAGCTGAAGAATGAAGTGGGGCACCACCATATTCGCGAGCCTGGCTTTGCGACTCTGGCGAGATTTTTAACCACAGGTTGCACTACGTCGACCCACAACTCCCTCAAAGCTTCCACTAGCTTTGCTTGTGTCTCCACATCAGTAAAAAACCCTAAATGCCGTAGCCCGAGTGACAGCTATATAGCACTATGTAGGCACAGTAGCACTATGTAGTCACACCTTACACTACATTGTCCTATATAGTGTTATATAGTCTAAAGGCAAGCTATATGCGGCTATATAGTTACCACCCGTGCTACAGGTAGCTACAGGTAGCTACAGGAGCTACACGTCGTTGTATCTAATTACTTATAACACATGTGCAAAACATTTCGCCATCGATGAACTCGTTGAAATAAAAATCGTTTGCCACCTCGTATGCATTTCCGCTTCTCAACCTCAGATCTACTGTTGGTCCCATCTTCGGTATAAGGTGGCATGGCCGCACGATTTCGTCAACGTGGATTACAGCGGCGTTGCGGTGAAGTTGTCGTGTTGAGCGCGAGACCTGTCGCATTCGAGAAACAGGGTCTGGTGGTTTGAAAGGAGTGAACCACTCGACGTAGGCGAGGGCTCTGGAATATGCGCCAAACTGGCGAGGTAGGGTGAAAATAGCGCGAACTTGGGCTACACGTACACCTGCAACAAGACGATTATCAAAATTGACCGCTGAGAAACCCGGAAAAAAAATACCTTCAAGAGTATGGAAGTTAGAAGAGCGAGGCCTATCTGCTATCAAGGCCATGTCAAACCGGGCTGGGATACCAGGCTTCCGGCCTGACAGCAACATTTCTGGTGTTGCCCTGATCTGCCTTCGCTGTGGCATGTCGCTAACTCGTAAATCAGGTGGCGTCACGATCACCACTTGACGATAAAGATCGAATCGGTCTTGAAGTCCAGGGACTATGGTGTTGCACGGGAGATTCTTGAGCAAGAAGGATCGGAGAGCAGGGAGGAACTCGGTAGCACCGTGTGCTGTTATGATGGTTCCAACGGATTGGTGAGGATGTGCGGGGGCTTTCGCAAGGACATGTGTTGCTTGAAGTGGTTCAGTGGCGGGAAGATTTGGTGTTTCCGACTCTGAGTCCGTGTCCGAATCTGCATCGAAGTTGTATGGGTTTGAATGACATCCGGTGAGACCCGCAGGTGACTTGGAGCGAGGCTGTTGGGACAACCAATCCAGGTATGCGCTATGTAAAAATACGGCTTCTTGGCATTGGAGCCACAAAGCCATTTGTTCTTCATAGTCCTGTTTGTTGCTAGCACGGTATGAATCTTTTGCGAAATCAATGTGTAAGCGCTCTGGAAGTTCAGTATTAAAGCCGTCAGCTGCGCCAAACAACGTGATCGACTGGACGTAATGAGAGAGCTGGTGTAGTTTCGGAATGTTGAAATGCTCTCGAACAGTGAGCTCCTTGAGGATGTCTTTGTTAGTGTGAAATACAGTCAGGGCGGTTTGTAGGGCTTCGAGGGACTCAGTCGTCTGAACTTGAAGCTGGGCAAAATACGAGAAGTCGAGAATAGATCGTGCAACTACCAAAACACGACTGCAAGGCATGACATCAAAACATCATCTTAACGACTCGTTAAACACTCACCTAGGTACTGCTCTGCTCAATAAGCCAACAAATACTCGCTGCATCTCTTTGTGTTCACGTCCCGTCCACTGCTTCACACTCGATATCCCTTTCTTGAAGTGTCGAAGGCCGGGATAATTCGGGATCGCCTTGAAACGTGAGTCCATTTCATCCTCCCCAATGATATCGATGCACCACTTCACAAGGTGGTCTTTGAACACACCCTTGTGAAGTTGATGCAAAAGGTCGGGGGTGAACGCTAGAAAAATGTCCGCGTGAGGGAGATCAGCCCAAAATGGTTTTTAAACGGCACGTAAACCATTGGCCTCGAATTCCGGAGGATGCTGACCAATCTTGCGCCTGTGCAAAATATCTTTTGTTGACTCTGGATCATGCATTGCCGAGTTGAGTGCATCCCCTCGCTCATTTGCTGCTACAAGGCACTTCGGACATTGGTTCTCTTTGCAACAACTGACCAAGCACTGTTCCGGGAAATCGGCAACGTATGCTGCAAGAATTGGGTAGACACAATGAACCCATGAGTCCGCACACACCATTTCAACACCGTCGTTTCCAGCACCAATGAGAGGTTCAAGCAGTAGAGCCATGCAATGGTGGAACAGCCTGTATCCAGCCAAGGAGCATGCATCGGGGGTGAAACAGTCCAGTTTGCCTGCTGGTAAGTAACCAATCAGGACTGTCGCTCGTGCTGATGCTTGGCACCGTTTTGCTTTAGCGATGTTTCCAATGGACATATACACCGGCCATGCCGATTTATCTCCTCGGAACTGCGACAAGGACATTTTGTCTGAAGATAGAATGATTGGTGCTATCGTGGCACCTTCTGGCAAGGCTTTCTGTGTGCGAGGTCAGTCCGTTACTTTGTTGCTCCCTCTCAAATAGTCTTACCTGTTTATCGCCCCACCAGTCTGCTGTCCACATCTCGTCGATCACCCTATCTTGCCCTGCACGGTCTGCATATGCTTTGGCAGGTGAGTAGGCCATATCTTCTTTGAAGGCAGGGTTGCCAATGAGCTCTTTCACGCACTCTACAGGATTGCGGCACCACAACTCAACCTCCTCTTGCAACATCTCGCCGTTCTCATCCTCGCAGTTACCACGCACAGTCACCTTCTTACAACTCCATCCTGGCCCGTGTGGAAGTTCGTCCACGCACTGCAAGAATGAGCAGTTGTTATGAAACAAAAGTTTCGTGCGGTTTTGTGTCTGGTTAGGGTATCAATATTGTAAGTTCAAATTTTGATTAACACTTTCAAACTTACAATGGGCAGTTTTAGGAATTCGTTGGTTCGCGTCTGACCGAGGTTCTTGACGAGCCACTGGGCCAGATCCCATTCTTCCCTGGTGAGTGATATTAGTAGATGCTATGCCAGCGCATTCGAGCACTTACGCATCCTCGAAAGGCGACCATGGATCCTCACCCTCTTCCTCTTGGTACGTTCTATATCTTTCAAAATTTGTCTCCCCCTCACGCAGTGCCCAGCCAGCATCCGACTGAGGTTCGAAATATCGCCCATTATTGGGGAACAACATCCCATCCTCATCCTCGACTTCCTCAACTGTAGTCCGTCGAGTTTTGCGGAGCGCTGGGTTATTGTCGGTATCTGGAGACGGGCGCGGGTGTACATGACCCGCCGGTGCTGCATCTTGATGGGGGAAGTCAACATCTGGTGCATCGTCTAAGTTCTCTGCCTCTACATCTTCGATCATTGATGCCCACTGCCGTCGACATTCAGGACGTCCTGCAACGTGTCTCTTGAGACCCTCGTGTGTAGTTGTTACCTTCCCACAGAATACACAGTGGGGCATGGCTTGTCTGGTGCGAGTGTCAAGTCGTATTGTACCGGCCCTAAGTGTCTTGACGGCACACAAAATGGAAAAAAACACTTGACCCTCAAGTGAGTCCAATTCAGCCCCGACCGAGTCCAATTCCACCCTCGTGACCAACTACTGTCAGGGACGCAGTTCATACTCAAACGCCACCATTCCTTACACCACATAATATGGAGTTTGACCCGAACATCCAGGAAAAAGGCGATCCACATGGTGCGCCGTTATTCCGAATGACACTTGACTAAAACTAACTGACTACTAAGACTACTAAGCTAGGGTAGTAATCCCATGAGCCGCCAGTAAGAGCTCCAAAAGTTGAACCTTGCGTGACTCTTCGCACCGCTTTTTCTCTGCATTCCAACGCACAGTTATCATCTCCCGCACCAAATTTTGGTGAGCAACAGGACCTTTCATGTGCTCTGAGAGCTGCGCTTTGCATGTCTCTTCGCAAAGCCTAATCTCTGCATCCCAGCGCTCTAATACAAGTGTTCGCAGGTAGGTCTGTGATGTTTTAATGGGCCCTGGGGTTTGGCGATATGGCGCCAATGGAAACTGAATCTCAAGAGCAGGCGGTACCTCCCTTGGAGTATGAGGTACCTCCCGTCCCGGAGCATGGACAACATGAAAGGGACGACTTGGAGGAGGTAACAGGATGTTCGGCTTCACATCGTCTGATTCGTTCGATGGCATGAGCGCTGGGCTACAACATCAGTAAGTGTGAGGCGAGCATTCGACAAGCCAGCCACTTACTATTTATTCATCTTGGCTGTAGTATCAATCTCGCTGTAGTATCGATTGTATGTTGGAAAGGAAAGTCATCCCCGTCCCTCTTATTTATGCCATTATATTGACACCGCTTCATCAGTTGAAAACTTTAACTTCGTGATCAACAAAACTCGATCAACAAAACTCAAAATTTGTTTGTTGATCCGACGCCACTGTAGGGTTTTTAAAGGCATGCATACCCCCTCCTTCTGTTGTCATTATTTCTACTGACTACCGTCTATCATGGCCGCAAAAGCCCCCTCCAAAAAGGGAACTAAAACGGCACTTTTGAAGGCCCAGGAGGAAGTATGTGCAGAGATGGTGTCGACCGCGGGACGCACTGCAAGTGGTCATCAATGTCGGCCAACCGAGAAAGAGACATATCGAAGTAAGTTATATCAAGCCCGACATGAATGCTCGCGCTCATTAAAATGTTTCTGCTTAACAGTTACAAAAGCTCGTCGAGGAGCAGACCGCCAAAAAGCCTTACAAACGAAGATGCAGAAGCGCGACTTAAAGGCACTGCGCACTACATACCAGACACATCCCGAGGAATTTGATAGTGAGCCTGCTGGGCTTCTTAGCGATGTTGACAGGGACGAAGACAGCATGGTCAGTGTCTTATTTGTCCATGTGCTCCATGTTACTCACAAGTACATAATAGTTTTCGGACTGCTGTGTACCTACAAGACTATCCAATCAACAGGCACTCACATTCAGTATGAGCAAGACCCCTCCAACTGTCTTGGCCCGAAAACCCACGAGTAAGATCCGTATGAAGCCACAGAAAGGTACAATGTCTCTGCTAGTGTGTATCTTGGACTAACACACTTTTTCAGCGCCCTCACCTGTTGTGACTTCGGATGACGACAGTGACGGTGAGGGCAGCAGCGACAGCCATGATTCGAACAAGTTTGTCGATCGCATGGACGAGACTGAGAACGGGTCTGATTATGGCGCGGACAACACTGCCAATGATCATGATGAAGTGGCCAAAGCTTCTTCAACACCAGTTGTCGGCACCAAGCGCCAACTGGAGGACTCGGAGGTCCTCAATACTGACCCGAAGTTCAAGAAAGGTCCAAATGGAACACGCCAACGGTTAAAGGCTAGCGATTTCGATGACATCACTAAGGATTTGCTCACTACTGCCACGTCTATCTACCGCTGTCTAGTTGTGACTCGCGCACCTTTTCCAGAGACACTGATCGTTGAGACGAAGTTAGCAAAGGATGCCTGGTGTGAGGCGTCTAACATGGCAGAGCTTACCATCCAACTTACCCCTTCTCTCGTCAAAATGGTACGTCTCATGTCCACGTCCTTGCCCTACTTGATTTAATGTTGCCATATAGATGACAAGGCGCACATCACATGTGCGCGGGGAGCTTAAAACAAAGATGCGCGTACTGACAGCCTCGTTCTTTGGGTTCCGTGCAAGCAGATCTATACTCACCATCAAGGCAAACCGTGACCCGGCCGAGTCTCTCAAGGAAGGATCACGTTTTGTTTTCAAGGTGCGTGTTTAAATTCAATTTCACGATTTTTAGTCAACATCTGACTGGCAGAGTAAAAGGACTGGGAAATGAAATGTGGCATATACAAGACCGAATTAATCCAGTCGGCGGTCAACGATATGTGGTTTACAAACCGAAGCGACGAGGGTATAGTATATGCTAAATACTTTGATCCTTTACCCGTTCAAACCATTGCACTTATACTCACAGCGGTGAGTGTATTCAGTGATTCTGATGTTCATACTGCAACTGAGGTCTGACAGATTGAATGCTGCATCGATGAGTGGATGACTGGTGTAAAGGAGGACATCAAATTTTCGTCGGTGGCTTACTCCCCGGTCTACCTTATCCATCTCAAATCCCTGCGGCGGTTCGAGGAGCGGACTGCTGCTTACAAACTGCTCGGTAAAATTGGTGTCGATCTTCTCGACATCACTCGGTATGTTTCTGATTACTTATGTCGTTCATCATCCAAACTGACTTTCATAAAAAGGATGCACGCTGGTGTGGATCCACTTATGGCAGCAGTGACTATTGATAGCTTTACCGATGATGTTTTCGATGATGCGATTCGAGAGTACGAAGACGAGGCTCGAGAAGCACAAGAAGGGGATGGTGACTCGGATTGAGGCGGCTTTCGAGAGTACGAAGACGAGGCTCGAGAAGCACAAAGGGGGTGGTGATTGATGCGGCTGTATCTCGAGGATTGTATGCATGCTCACGCACTATAGCACCTTAATTGATTCGATTTTGTTGATAACCGGTTAGCGGCGCGATTGGTATTGCGGGAGCTACAGTACTAGTAGCAGTGTGTAGCTACCTGTAGCTCGAACGAGCAAATGCTAGCACTATTTCTATTGCACCCTGTAGCAACTTGTAGTAACTTGTAGCACCTGTAGCACCTGTAGTCAGTTGCTACAACGAGCTACAGGAGTTGCCGTAGCACTATATAGTCAGCTGTGTGGCTATATAGCCGCCTATAGTAGGCACTTGACACATTGTGCTACAGGTACTACCTTGACTATATAGCACCCTGTAGTCAAGTGTATTTTTCCTGATGCAGGTCCTGAGGACTGGTGTCTTTTTCCACCGTCCGCTGCAGTGTGTTCACCAATTGCACAAGCTTTTCTACAGTGATAGTGAGTTCTACACTGACTGGAGATTCCTTGTGTGGGACGATGATTGCATTGCAAGACGACTTGCTTGCGATGAGAATGATGATAGGGCCATTGCGAGCGGCACCTTGAAGTTCAGAGAACAAGGGGGCGAGTAGGAAGCAGTCGAAGCCCTTGATCTTACGTATATCATCCAGAGCTGTATTCCAGTTCTTCACGAGACATCTGTACCTCGTAACTTCTGCTTCTATGTCAACTCTTGACATCCCTTCTGAATGATTCGGAGGTCGATCAAGAATGGAGCTGAGGTCTCGGAATTTCTTCATCAACGCCTCTGCATGAGCACCATGGTCCTGGAGGTTGTCAAGAGGCGTGCGGAATCGCGCCATCTGGGTCCATATGAGAGTTCTGCCTTGTTCCAGCAGCTCTACAGCACGGCACACATCGCCACGACGAAGAGCGCATGATGCAGCATCAACTGCAAGTGTGCTTGGGAAGTTCTTCATGGTATGATGACGTGATGACACCGAAGCTGTGGCAGACATGTAAGCGTCCAGAAGTTGCATGGAAGTTGCATAAGCCTCGAGGTCGGTGCCATGTGCATATTTATCAGCATGGCGGACCCAGTCTAGACTTGCACGCAGGCGGCCTAGGAAACCTCCAGAGACAAGATTTGCTGCCGCCTTGAAGTGATGCATGACAGCATTCATACTGTCAGAACTGTCGCCAGCGGCGTGGAGTTCTGATCGATGGAACAACAGATAGACGACAGCTAGCGACTGATGGACCATTGATTGATGAGGATCATGTTGCGTTAACAGAGTTAATGCACAGCAGAGATTCTCTAGTGACTCATTGAGGTCTTGGGCGGTACCTCGGTACTGGAAGCGGGCGGAGAGGTGACTTGCGAGGTTATACAATGACGAGGACCGATCTGTGTGACCGACCGGGCGCAAAGCCAGCGCTTCCCTGCTCAGCACGATAGCCTCATCCAAGTCTTGGACATTGCCTTGGTGCTCGAAGCGGATGGACAGTTGATTTGCAAGGTTATTCAACGACGAGGACCGATCTGTGTGACCGACCGAGTGCAAAGCCAGCGCTTCCCTGCTCAGCACAATAGCCTCATCCAAGTCTTGGTCATTGCCTCGGTGCTCGAAGCGGATGGAGAGTTGATTTCCAAGGTTATTCAATGACGAGGACCGATCTGTGTGACCAATCGGGTGCAAATACAGTGCTTCCCTCTCAAACGCAATGGCCTCGTCAAGGTCTTGACTATTGCCTCGACGCTCGAAGCGGGTGGCTAGCATTACACCGAGATTACATAGCAATTGACCTCGTTGATCATTCGCTGTGCTGTAGTATCCTAGCGCATCATAATGAAGGGATATCACTTCATCCACGGCATGGGGGTCATCTGTGTGAAAACAAAACTCTACTCGACGAGCAAGTTCATTCGGGGACCACGGAAGCATGGATGCAATGGGCCCCTCCGCCCCAAGTGTATTTGCATCAGTGCTTCTGACCAAAGCAGAGGTTTTGATTGCAAGCAGAGCTACTCTGGATAGGTGGCTATCGGCAAGGGAGACATTGCGAACTTCATTCAGTAACTCTTTAGCTGCATCAGCATCCGCTTGATATCCCCGTTTCGCGAAACGAGACAGCAGAGCGATGGCAAGATGGAGTTGGGTGAGAGGTCGGTCTGGATGACCTGTGGGACGCATATCAAGTGCATCTTGAAAGAGAGAGATGGGGATGTCAAGGTCGAGGTCGAGGTAGGTTCCATTAACTTGGCAACTGACGAACTTCGCGGTAGCTAGGTTGGACAGTGTCGCAGGGCGGTAGGGATGATCAACGGGGCAGAGATCAGAGGCACGTTCGAAGTGCTTTATAGCTTGATCGAGATCCCTACGGTCTTGCGTCCTTTTGTAGCGCGCAAGAATACAATGTCCCGCATCCGTCATGAGTCTCAATGCGTGTGTGTCACATGATGTCGACTGCATACTATGAGTTCTCAGGATATGCAGAATGCTGTGATCTACTCACAGGAGCAATCGGGGAAAAAGCCGGGGCATCATCTTCATAAGAAACTCGCTGCTCCACAGTAACAAAGAGCGAAGTACATGAGGATACAACATCGCCCGCCTTGGGCTGAAAGTCGAAAGCTGGGTTGTTCTGTCAACATCCGACAAGCACGATTCACGACAGAAGTTACGGACGACGTGAATTTTCACTGCGTTCTACTAATTCCCCTACGGAGACCTCGAATCCGCGGAGGACGTTCTCCATGACCGAGCATGGGACTCAATTCAAATGAGGCATACACAATAACCCGAACTTTAGAAGACGGCTCGGATGGTCTAGAATATTTTAAATGCCCGCAGGAAAGACAGGAAGAAGGACAACTTACAGAAGCATGTTTTCGTTCCATTCGACCACGACCTGGTCTACATGTACAGGTTTGTTACTTGTCTGCCACTTAGTACCATCAGCCTCTACTGTCACGTAGAAGCCAGCGGGAATTCGTCGAAGACCAAGAGTGAGATCAGCCGCGAGAATGCCTTGGGAAAGATCGTCAATATGTGCTGAATGGAGATACATAGCACATACTAGTAATGACAACTTGTTGTATTCCACTGACGTGGGTATCTTCCGGGTCCTGGGGGTGTTGTGGGTGGCTTAGCTCCCTCTCCCAAGGGCGGAAGGCATTCATGGAGAGGATCAGGCACGAAACCTGACATTCGGCTGATAAACTAACGCTTGAGAGTAAGATATGTTAGAGGTATGAAATCACTGAGTGCCTGTAAAGTGCTGATGGATAATAAAGGGGGGAACCACAGCATGCACGTGGCACCCAGCGATGTGCAGCACTCGGATGTATTGGAATATTCGAGAGCTGGAATCAACGGACAAAAGCGGCTCATAGTATATCCAGCTGCCCATAAGTAGATTCTTTCATGGGCATCAGATTTGAACGGCATTGGCCCATTGTAGGGCGCGACTCATTCTACGCTTTCGAACATTTCGAGGCACCGCATGAATGCCACTGCCCTCAGGTCTCAACCCCATTCCATTGCTGTCGGACGTAAGTTACTAAGTATGTCATGCAAGAACTCGCAGAAAAGAACTCACTATTTGCCATCACAACATTAGCAAACGTGCAGGCACCTGGCTGCACCTGGTCAACACCTGGATGTCCTGGTGGCAACCTGGATATCCTGGCGATCTGGTAGGTGTTTGCTTCTCACGATGACAAACCGAAGTTAGTAGAGCAAGATGTTTAGTATTGAGATCTACTCCCTACCGTGATTTACCTGTACATAGTGCTACTTCGTCATCCGACAATCTACTTTTACATTATGTCACTTCAATCCGAGTCTCACCCACGACACCCAAGACCTTTGGAGTTAAACGGTGAGCAAAGGCAAAAATTTCATTCTATACGGAAAAAACGTTGCCCGAGATGCGGATAGAATAGTGGATCCTGTCAGGATAAGATCCACCATTGTTCAGTAAGTTCTCCGTAGTGCTCACAGTGCTGGCGGAGGACCAGTACTAGTGAGCCCATGCTTGCATGAGCACAAGTGGGATGATATATGTAAGCGACTCCGGAATTCGCACGCATGGTTTGGTGCATAATGTGGGAGTCGGGGATGCCTTCCGCGTCCACCACGCACGTCGCACGAGTGTATGCATCATTGACAAACAACTTTTTTTCCAAGCAGACCGTGCGTGAATCAGCACTGCAGCTTTGAGCCCTCCTGCCAAGCAGCTAGAGCAGGCTAAGCGGGCTGCAAAGTGGGTACTACTTATTTAAATTCCCTCGCAGACCGCCCTCGAACCTCTCCAGCTCCTGTGGCCTGGGAGAAACCTTGCAATGTATGTTTTGCAGGTGGCAGGAGAGTACATCTTTCTGTGGGAAGGTTCCCGGACGGCGGCCGACCAGCTCACGCCTATGCACACTGCACAGCGCCCAGGAGCACCAGTACTTATATCTCCCATGGCCCACATAACCCAATTCCACCCTTACGCACCTCATTCACCTGGCCAACAATGACGCACGCGCTCTTCACGCCCATCCAAGTGGGACGCATGAACCTCAATCACCGTATTGTCCTCGCCCCCCTCACCCGTTTTCGCGCCTACTCCACCCACGTACCAGGGCCCCACGCAGCCACCTACTATGCCCAACGTGCATCTGTCCCTGGAACCCTCCTTGTCTCCGAGGCTACCTACATCTCTCAGGCTGCTGGCGGGATGGACTTCGTCCCAGGCATCTATACACAGGAACAGGTAGAAGGATGGAAAAAGGTCACTGATGCCGTGCATGAGAAGGGTAGCTTTATATTTTGCCAGCTGTGGGCACTCGGGAGGGCAGCATTTCCCGAAGTGCTCTCCAAGGAGAATAACTCCCCGTTTGTATCTGCCTCCCCTATCCCACTCTCCACCAACCCTACAGCTGTCCCGCACGCCCTCACAGAGTCGGAGATAAAGACATACATCGAAAATTATGTTACCGCCGCCAGGAACGCCATCGCAGCAGGCTTCGATGGTGTTGAAGTTCATGGTGCAAACGGATACCTCATTGACCAGTTCTTGCAAGAGGTGAGTAACACTCGTGAGGACCATTGGGGTGGGAGTATCGAGAAGAGAGCAAAATTTGCAATTGAGGTCGTGGATGCAGTTGTGAAAGAGGTCGGCGCTGAGAGGGTCAGCATTAGATTGAGCCCATGGAGTCCCTTTCAAGGTTCGTTCTATCTATTTCAAACCGGCTCTCGCTCATCACGCTCGTACTCGATTAACGTTCATGCAGACATGGGATCTTCCGATCCCCTACCACAATTCTCCTACCTCGTCCACGAACTCCGAAAACACAACCTCGCTTACCTCCATGTCACTGAGCCACGCGTCGGCGGCAACATCGATGTGGACGCACCGCCGCAGAGTAGCAATGATTTACTCCGTCAAATTTGGTGCCGGGATGAAAAGAACACCGTGTTTATCAGTGCAGGTGGATACACACGACAGACAGCGATCGAGACCGTGCAGGACAAGGGTGGCATGGTGGCGTTTGGCAGGTTGTACATTCCGAATGTAAGTCATTTGGGATTTTCTGTTGCCTTCTCCGTGCTCTTTCAATTTTTCGTGTTCGTTTTTATAGTTGTCCGTTTTCTTGCTGACATCTTTCTCGTCATGCGGCTTGGACTCCTTCGTATTTGACCCCACTACCTAATTCCGACGCCCTTCCAACAGCCTGACCTCCCCATCCGACTTATGCACGACCTCCCGCTTGCCAAGCCCGACCGCGCAGTATTCTACCTTCCCGGCGACCACACTGGGAAAGGATACATCGATTTTCCAGCGGCAGATGTAGAGACAGAAAGTAAGTTGTGAAGGGGTTTTAGTATCACAAGATCGGGAGGTGTTTTACAGGGGAGGAAGATCTTTCAAGGAATACCATAGACTCGACGGCCAGCCGCAGTGCTGTCACGGATCGTGAATAAAACGTGGGCTGCGACAATGCCTTGTCTCGCAGGTTGTGGGTTCAAATAACACAGAAAGAGGGAAAAGATGATGGTATGCACGGTCGTAAGAGGTGCCCAAGTCCTAACGTATTGCTGCATGGACGCTGTTGCGAGTGGAAGAAATGATAGCCATGCCTAGACTCGTAACCGGTCTGGCTATGCGTCACTGTAAGATGGTGAGATTCTTGGCCACACCACTTGACTTGTCCGTGGTAGTATACGCCAGGCTGGTCAAGAGCCTAAGCCATGCCAACAATTGACAAGGATGCATTAACACGTTGTCTGTTGTCAGATGATATGGTACAAAGGCCTTGAGGTATTGTTATGCGGGTACTGGCCAGGTATGATTGGAAACGCGTCAGATCTCCGTCCTTCAAAATGCGTATGACTATAATATCTCTAGTGTTCTGACATCCATCATGTCACCAATAGAAGTAATGTCTTGTACCCTTGCAATGATGTCGTTGTCCGAAGCAATCCTCTTGTACTCCCCACCCTGCTGCTGCACTAGCAAAAGTGCGCCGAAGGGCTGTCCAAGGCGAACGAGCAACCTCAATGCTCGCTCGCTCGTCTCTGAATCAACCGGATCATCCTCTCCAGGATTTCCGCCAAGCGATTCCTCTGATGGAGACTCGGGCTCTGGATCTGACCAATCATCCAAGCTCTCTGCATCGTCTGCAAAGACAGGGAGCCCGAGATCATGACGATCCCACGGACGAATGAGTCCGAATGTCCGCGGACCGGGCCGCAGCTTGTCTTCTGTAGTGATAACCAGATCGTCAAGTCCAACCGCCTTGACGTCATAAGTAAAACATGTGTCCCGGTCTTGACCGCGCCTCCGTCTGAGTGCTGTAACGGGGAATACGATGCAAGGCAGTTGCAGCCTGCGGTTCGCAAAACGAGGAGGGTTCAGCTTATCGAGCTGGGCATACAATGTCAAAGCATCAGCGGCATTTAGCGGCGCCGAGACCGGCATTTGCGTCTGATCTTCTGGCAGAGATGGCGACATGCATGGCGGAGGTTTGTACGACGCAATCTCGGCTGGCAGACAGCTATTGAACTGGGATGGTTTGCCGACCCAGTCCAGGGCAGTGATATCGCCCGACTGAGCAATGATCTCCTGCAAGAGTCGTCCAAGCGCATTCTGTTTTTTCTCCCCATAGATTACAGGCAGGTGGACGCCGAAGATGCCAAACAATGAATATGCAACATCTTCCTGCAATGTGGTGACACGGTTCGACGCCCATCGAATTTTCTCTCGGGCGCCTGTCATGTCCGGACGAAAGGCGACGAGTGCCTGTGCATCTATACCTGTCGAATCCTGCAACTCCTGCAGGATAGCAGCAGACTCCTTGTAGTTGGAAGAGCAGTCGTTGAGATATAGAGTCCAATCTACTTGGTAGAAAAGAACAATATCAGGGGCCAGGAACTCCTGGACAGTCCATCCTCGCGTATTCCAAACACTCTTTGCGAGTGCGCCAGACGTCGATGAAGGCGGAACATCCGATAGGTAAACAATCGTGAGTGCTGAGTGGTGATACCAAACAAACATGGAGTTGACTGATTCTTGGAGTTCGACATTGTTTTTCTGGTCGATGCAGCATGTGTCGCTCCACGCCCAGCGATACCCTGCATCACGAGCAATTTTGCAGAACATCTGCAATTTCACCGTGGTTTCAGCTGCATCCAAATCGTACATGCCCTTGTCCTGGATGTCGTGCAGCAGCAGCTCGTTGCTTTGCCATCTATGTGATAGCATAGCCCAACTGAAGTACTTCGCGACGGCTTCTTTGATGTGCTCCGTTCGGAGAGGCGTATGCGTCATCAACAAAAGCTCTTTGTACTCTGTGCTTTCCATGAAGGCGTTTATCTGCGCCTCTCGAGTGCATAAACGTCCAGTCCAGGTATTAAGTAGACGAAGCGGGGCATTTTCCAGTTTAGTATCAATGGCTTGTCGAATAATGCCTTCGACTTCAGAATGACTGACAGGTTGCTCATGCAACTCTGGAGAATGAATTAATTATCTTCACGTTGACGCATGAGTAATTCGGAGGTTACTTTGTATCAGCGCGTTCAGCACCTTGTTTTGGCCATCTCCAGGAGTCCAGTCGGGACCCGATGACGGGGGCGCTGCAGCAGGGGACAGAGATAGCACAGCAGAGACTGGACGTGATGGAGGTAGAGAAACGGCCACAGGTGCATGAGCAGCAGTTGGAGGGCCCCGTTGTGGTGATTGTGGTGGTGGCGGTGGAGCAGCCCAGGTGGGACCCGATGGCGGGGGCGCTGCAGCAGGGGGTAGAGGCGGCGCAACAGAGGTTGGACGCGACGGAGGTGGAGGAGCACGGGAAGCAGGCGCATAATCGCCATTAACTGATGATGCAACACTACCCTGCTGCGTGTGCCCCCTATTTCTAGACGCAAGTAGGGGCGGCGGCCGTTTGATAGCAGGTGGGGCTGCACTTTGCGCATCACGGACAAAGCCTTTAATATAATCCATATTCGACTCGATGACCTCGCGACTAATGCCTGAACCCTCCAGCTCGGACAGAAAGGCAGTCCATGATGGATCAACGTTGGTAAATGTAAAACCCTTGTCAGCGTCATAGCCCATGTGTGCAACATGCACGAAGGAACAAGCGGTTGGACCTGGAATCATCGATTTAGATCTATCTATTCTACCGCCCTTGGCAGTTTTCTTCTTCTCTGAGGAGGAAGTTTTGACTGAGGCATGGAGGTCAGAAGAAGGAGTCAACCAGAGCTTCTGTACCGCCATACCTTTATCAACTTTCCGGTTCATAACTTTCTTGAAGAAGACTTTCGCATCTTTCTCATCAGCAAAGACAAAGCCAATCATGCATTTCTTGGGTGAAATTCAGTAACTTCCTTTGAAATACAAATGCACACTTACATCACCCGCGAATGAATGAAAGAACGGCCTGTCCTGGTTATACTCGAACGCTTCATATAGTTCGTGTTCCCATATAACGCCTCTTGTCCCTGTTAAATCAACCAGCCTCAGTATGAAGGCTCCTTTGGAATCATCTCGTATGAAAGCGAGTGCGCCTTGCAAACCGCCATAAGACCAGCGGTTTGGCTGCGGATGTCCGAAGTAGATACGGGCAGCAGTAGCGGTGAATATCCTTTGCGAGGAATTGTCTAAAGTAGATTTTACTTTAGACTTCTCGTCTGCTGAAAGTGCTGATTGAGAAGGCATATAACTAAGGCAGCAAGGAAATAGCAGGCCTTAGATCTAGCGCCAAGACCTGACTACAGTGTGCGAAGCACAAACACAGCGCCTCTGTACAGCATCAGAAATACATTACTGCAACTCCGTAGACAATTTTAGGAAGGAACATGCCTAAAATACACTGTTTTTACCAATTTCAGGTTTTTTGGGGGATGTTTCAAATTTTTACACAAAAATCAAACTTATATATCGTAGTTTGCCTGGCCATCCCAACCTTCTGTAGACATGCCTCGACCAAGCAAAAAAACAAGCCAGGCAAAAGCTCAGCGTCACAGCAGCACTCACTTTGTGCAGCAGTGTACCTTTACTCTGCAGTTCTTCCTCCTCACATGCAATCCAAAGGGGCTCCAACTCGAAAGGTGAGTTATAAAGGTGAGTTCAGGTGCACTACTGCTTTCTCGTCAAATAACATATTTGTTGAACTCTTAAATTAGAAAAGGACTTGATGCTCGACAAGCTGCATTTTCTGTGAGGAAGTATAAGTCTCATCGACGCATTGGTATGACGGCTGAAGTCCTCGCATGTGTTAGCAATGCTGCAGGGGCACAGAAAAACCTCCCGTAGCTCTGTAGTATCATTTCTAGTCACCAGGTATGCCTCCTAGGCCTACAAACACTGATTTTCTTACCATGTTTCAAATTCTTGTGATGAAAATTTTGAATTTTGGTTTTTTGAATTTCTGACCAGCAAGCATCAAAGTACACATGAAATGGAGTAGATCTACGCTACTTTCAACAAAAGTAAGTGAGTTTTCGTGGTGCAGTAGTAGTTGCACGTCGGCGTTACCCGAGGTGTCGAAAACCTTCTTCGCACACTGTAGTATACATAATACAAGCTACAGTTTGCTTCAGCGTGGGAATGTATCCTCAACGCTGTACAACCAAGTACTCTGCTCATCGTAATGGGGCTGGCTATCTGCCTAAGAAATACTACATAATTGTCGACCTGCCTGGGGGCCGGCGACCATCCTTCTAGTATGATCAACTGCTTGCTCCATACACCGAATCTTATGAAGGTCAATACTCGCCGAATGAGTACTCTGCTTCGGCTTCCAGCACCAGCGCCCATGGAATTTGCGGTTTCATCAACCCCTCGTCTGAAACGTTAGTCCCAACTCCACCCCACAAGCACCGTGTTTCCATCCCACAAACACCGTGTTTCCATCCCACAAGCACCGTGTTTCCATCCCCCTCCTAACCCTGCCATCAACTTTACATCATCTCAAAGTCCCTCAAAGCCCAAGAACAATCCTCCATTCGCATCTGTGCACGTGCGCACCCCGAGCTCTGTTTCCGTATTCACTTTCACTTCCAATTCAGCATCAGCATTTTGAAACGGTGAGACGCCTACACCATCTAGGCATGTATTGATGGGAATTAATGCGACCATACTCCCGTCTCGGGCCGTGCCTGGGTCGAATGACACGTCTCTCAAGTCCCACTCACCACTCCCTCCAAGCCTTCTACACGCGCCCTCAAAACAACAAACCGCGACACCCTCCAAGTATTCCCCTACCGCTCGTACACTTTAGTGATGGTCGTCGGAGTATCGTTGGGGGTTCAAGACGCAGGAATGCGCGCGTCGTAATGGTGTTTTTGAATGATGATGCATGTCCGGAGGATCATGGGATGGCGGGTGTGAGATGAAGAGCTGAGTTCTTTTGTTCTTGGTACGTCGTTCGTTCGTTCGTTCTTCCTTTGTTGTCTATGGGCTTTTGCAAATCTCAGATCTGTCACAGTTGTCGTATGCAGTGGCACGCAATCGTGTATTCTGCGTCACCACATAGACTCGTAGCCAGTATGCCTACGTGCGCCTTTTGATGTTGAGGATTTTTGCTGTTAGTATACGCAAGGCTGGTCACGAGCCTAGTCACCACATCCTTCTGACGCGCCACATATTTCCTCCCTACGCGTATGACCGCATCCCTTGTGCATACATCCTGCTTTCATTCTTTCATTCTTTCACCACCTTCCTCCAACCTTATCCCTAACCCAACTAACCCACCCCCAGCTCCATCGAGCCCTCTCCCACATCCACACCCTCCGCACTTCCAAACCCCTTGCCTAAAAACGCCTCCTCGAACGCGCGCATGCAAACAGCGCAACTCAAGTCCATCACCTCCAAGCCCACTTAGTCTTGGGTGTCTTTGCAACCGGATGGGGGTGAGTATTGTGCATGTGTTGGGGGGAAGAGGTGTGGATATCGCGAGGTGAGTGTCGCGACTGCTTCGACGGGCTCCGTTTGCACGGGCAGGTGCGCCACCGATGCATGGGTAGTGATACATGGTATCTGCTGAATTTCTGACCGAACAGCTGGGCTGTAGTTCTGTCATGCACGACTAATCCAGCTCGAACTTCAAGCTTCAAGTTCCGAATCATGTATTAAACTTTGAATGATCCATCATACATGTCATGGCTGACGCGCAGGGAGCATATCGCCTCAGCCTCGTTCCTCGGCTAGCCGACATACTCCCCGTCACTAAGTAAGGTAACTAAGTAGGTTGAAGTACGAACATTTATTGCCTCGCTCGAAAAGCACGCGAACCAGCGCATGATGGGAATGTCAAGCACAGCTTTGCACACATTTCCGGAGATGGGAGGCTTTTCGTGTTCGACAGAGCCCTCCCCTAACTAAGGTTAGGTATGGGGGACGCGTCATTATCACTGCGTAGATACAATAAAGGTTTATTCCACTGTAACGCAAGGGTGAAACAAAAAGCGACACCAGCAGGATTTGAACCTGCGCACGGGAACCGTAAGAGATATCTGAAGTTCGAATCTCTCGCCTTAACCACTCGGCCATAGTGCCATGACGGAGGTTGTGCCTTGTTTATGTCATCATGAGGGAAGGGCGTGAGAAGAACGCGAGTATTACTTTGTGGTTGCTTTACACAGGGAGGAGCCACTGAAAACTGATACCCAGGATACCCAGAATGCCCGCGCCGTCAGAGACGTCGACGCGTTCTCGTTTATCGTTGTCGCGCACGACGTCCTCGACTACTACTCGCACTTCCCTGAAAACGCGTGCGCTGTCAATTACAAGCGATGCCAGCGGGTGCACGACTATCAAGCCCAGTAAATCTATATCGAATTCGAATTCTACTTCAAATATGCTCTCCACCTCATCAATATCGAGTTCACGCTCGCCCAATGCTACGCCCGTTCCAAATACGCCATTGAAGCGTTCCAGTATTTCCATGGGTCCGCCTAGTGCTTTCCCCCGTTCCTTGTCTGCCTCTACTTCTACCAGTACCGGAAGCACTACTACAGGCAAAAACAGCGCGAATGGAAATCGGAATGCGGTTTCCATTGACCCCGTCTCGTGCACGCGTCGCGTCTGAAACGTCGGTCCCAACTTCATCACATAAGCACCGTGCTTCCATCACCCTTGCCTCACCCAATCCCGCCATTAATTTCACATCTCCAAGTCCCTCGAAACACAAGAACAATCCTTCATCTGCGTCTGTGCGCGTGCGAACAGCTAGCTCTGCGTCTACGCTCACTTCCACTTCCAATTCGGCATCAGTTTTTGGGAGCTGGTGAAACGCCCTCACCATCCCGGCACGTATCGATGGGGAGTATTCCGACCATACCCCAGCCTTCTGTTCCTAGTGTACCTCCCAAACCCCAGTTAAACATCACACCCTCAAAGCCTTCTACAAACACCCCCTCTAAACCGCCAACCACAACACCCTCCAAATCCTCCCCTCTCGCTCGTACACAGCTACAGCGTACACCATCCGGAACATCCAACTATGACACGATCCCCTGGACAAAAACAAATATTAACTTGCACTCCCCAAGTCCAAAAGTTCGTCCCTCCGGCTCAAACTCGATTTTGGGCAAGGAGCCAGTCGCGTTGCTTTCTGAATCCCTCGCCTCGAAAAATGGTATGGCTGCAAGCCCCATGAGGACGAGAATGGGGAGCGTCTTTAGTGATGGCACTGGCAGTATCGTTGTGGGTCCGGGACGCAGCAATGGACGCGTCGTGAACGGTTCTGTAGTCAATTTGGGTGATGATGCGGGCTCTGGAGGATGTGTGGGATATGGAGGATGATGGGATGACCTTCGATATGGTTACGGATGTAGATGGGGAGGGTGATGAAGAGGTGAGTTGGTTTGCTCTTGGTGCTTCGTCCTTTCTTTCTTGTCTCTGCTTTCGCGAGTCTCAGACCGTGCACGGTATTTATGTTATCGTGTGCAGCGATTCCCGTTCTGCGTCACTATATACTTCTGACGCGCCCTGCCGTTTGTTCACGCACACATCTCTTCCTGCGCACGCGTTATATGCATCCTTGTGTGCATACATCGTACTTTCCTGTGCATACATTCACCCCCACCCCCACCCTCACCCTATCGAAAACCCAACTAACCCAACCCCACAGCTCGATCAAGCCCTCTCCAATATCCGCACCCTACACACCTCCAAACTCCTCGCCTACAAACGCCTCCTCGAACGCGCTCACGCAAGCAGCGCAGCCCAAGTCTATCACCTCCAAGCCCAACTCGCACAGCTGCGCTCCCAGCCTCAGTCTCAGGTGGCTTTGAACCAGGCTGATGGGGAGTACTGTGTTTGTGGGGGGAGGAAACGGGGTGGGTATTGGGCGGGGGTGAGTGGTTGGGGTGATGATGGGGATGACGGGGATGCGGCGGCTGGAGGAGGAAATTTGGTGGATGCGATGAAGAAGCTTGATGAGAAGGGTATTAGGAGGGCCATGAGGGGGTTGGGGAGGGAAGGACGGGGGAGGGTGTGAGTCGTTTTGTCTGTTCTGCTTCTTTTGCTTCTGGTCGTTGATGGAAGGAAGAGGTTGGTTTTGCTCGTGAATGCCTCCCCTCGTTTCTCTCCTTTACTTTACCTCTATGTATTGTGACAACGCTAACTCTTCCATTTGACCGCATATAGTATCCAGATCATACTTGAATGTACGTCCCACCCATTTCTTCATAGAGGAAAGGCGAGCTAATCGATCCCGTTTCCCCTCTTACTGCTCACCGCCTCACCTCCATCTCCACCACCACACACAGCCGCCCTCCCAGGCGACATCCCCCTCCAAATCCTCCTCCTACAAAAATACCTCAAAAGTTCATTCGACATCATCGGTTCCCTCGCACCTAATATTGCCCTCCGAATCTTGAGGGAGTTGAGTGTGAAAGAAGTCGTGAGGGCTGGGTTGGTGAGTTGTCATTTTGTTGTGGGGTTGTGCGTCGCGTTGGTTCTGCTTGGTGCTGTGGCGTGTTGGAGCCTTTGTATCTTGAGATTTAGACATCGAGTAGGGAAATGGATATGAAAGGCTGATGACGTGCATGACAGGTCTCGAAAAAGTGGTACGCTGCGACTCGTCATCCTGCATTGTGGAGGTGGCATTGCCTTGCGCTTGACTGCCAATGATCCGGTCCGTATAAGAGCCCCGGCGGATCCGCAGGGGTGGTGAGTTCCCGTTCTTTATTCTCGTCCCAATTCCTGTGTACTTGTCCCATTACCCCTCTCATTATTTCTTCTGTCGCTTGTTATTGATGATAGTGGTGATGATCATTTACTGATTTACACAATGCATCGCGCACCAGGTACCTCATCTACCGCTCCCTCCACCACCGCGAGTCCAACTTTGCGCGTGCGCTCCCGCAGAGCATACGGTTCTTGAATGGACATACGAATTTCTGTACGACGTTGTTGTTGAGAGGTGAGTGGATGTTTCTTTGGGCGTCTGCGGTGTTTTTTTCTTTCTCGGTGTTATGGGTAAGGTGGGGAGAACGCAATTCGGGGGCGGGGAGGTTTTTCGTGTGGGCATGGGGTTTCTTTGTGCGGGCGGCGCGGAGGTTCTTCTGTATGATATATCGTGAAGAAGAGACGTAGAATGTGGATCAAGGAGGCTAGGTCTGCGAAGTTGGTTAGCAACTGTCCCTCCCCCAGCCACTCTGATTCATATGGCTACGCTCCATCCATCCTCCGCTCTCTCTCTCACCTTGTTTATCATTTTACATCTACTCCACTGAAGCAAGAACTTATGCTGACTTGTGCGCCTTCCCCGCAGGCAAACGCCTCATCTCAGGCTCCTACGACGAGACCATCCGTTTCTGGGACATTGAGACGGGCGAGATGAAGAAATGCTTGCAGGTGAAGAAACCTGTGAGCTGTGTGGATTTTTTAGCAGAGGAAGGTGTGTTGTCGTTTTTGATTTCATGTATTACTTGTGTTCGGAGAGCTGATGTGCCGAAGAGGTTTTCGTGGTTGGGTTCCATGATGTTGGGTGCGTCCATTTGCGTATCTCATAAATAATTTTACTGATCGTATGCTACAGCCGCGTTCACCTTTTCTCCTCCGTCACATTCACGCCCCTCCAACAACTCGCCGGACACCTCAACGGTATCCGTGCCGTTGCGCTTTCATCCAAGAACCTTGTCAGTGCAGGCGCAGACAAGGCTCTCGTGTGTTGGGATTGGCGCGCGGGGACGAAGATCGTGAGGTTTGGGCAGCAGACGACGATTAACATTGGTGTGCAGATCGTTCAGGGGGGTACGGAGGCGGAGGGTGAGCGGGTGGTGAGCGTGACTATTGATGGGATCGTGAGGGTTTTCTCGATTAGTGAGTGTCCGAGTTTCTTTCGGTGTCAAGAAGTACTGATGGCGCATAGAGAGGAGAGAGATGATCTCGCAGTTCAAACTCAGTGAACTCGGTGGTAGCGACCCTGTGTTGAATTCGAAGTTGTTTAACGTGGGGTCCTGCGCCTAATAATATGTTGCAGTGGTTCGCAGCCAAGGGCTCACAAATGACTGTAAGTCTTGTGCTCCCCTTTGGTCTATATGCCCCTCATTTCCTTCTACTAGTGCGCGACAAAATCCGTCATCTTGCACCTGCAATGGAACGAAGGTGAAGACGAGAAGCCTCCCGCAGAGACGACCACGATGAGCCCTACGTTCACTGGAAGGACTCTGACATCTCCTACACCTTCTTCACTCAACCCGCGCTCGCGCGCCGTCTCGTCCCTTATACGGCCTACGCAGACGTCTACTCCCCAGCGCAGACAATCTGCACTCGGGGTAACTACTTCAAGCTTGCCAAAATCGCGACTTTCCCTTGGGACACCTTCCACGCCTCTCTCGGTCAACCTCAGCGCATCGCAGCTCTCAGGTATATCACCATCTCCGCTCTCCCTATTACCGCGATCTGGCACTCCACTATCCCCAATGGGTGCACCGTTGTCCCCGATGGGCGCAGCAGGTGCAGATGGGTTTGCGATTAGGTTTGGGCGGGCTGCGATTTTGACTGCACCCCCGAAGCTTGTTGCGCTCGTGGAGACCCCTGACGTTGCTGTTGGGGCCGTGGACCCCTAGGAAGAGGAGGGTGGTCACTGCTACGAGGTTTAGTTCGCGTGCGGGGGCTGATCGGAGGGTATGTTTGTCTTTTCATCTTCTTAACCGTACCTGGTCCTCACGCGTTCAGTCTCTTTTTCCATCCAGGTTCTGATGTCGACGCATGAAGATAGGGAAAAGGACGATGTCCTTGATGGTCCGGTGGGTGAAGACACAGGCCCTACCATGGACCACGCAAACCCGATGTTCTCGGCTCCGACCCCAAACGTCAACATCGACGCAAATATTATTCCTCTATCAGGTGCATGGGCGGCGCTAGCACACGCCACGTCTGATCGGGGCGTGAAAGGTCTCCTTGGTCCATTGCCGCCCAAGTTCTCCGGCTTGGCGGTGCCAGAGAAGAACCCAATGTCGATGCAGCTCACGCATGAGGAAGGTAGTGGTAGGGTGCGCAGGATGGGACCATTTAGTGGGTGTTTTTTTCGTTGGTTCGTATTTTGGGTGTGCTGATGCGTTGTTGCTAGCGTGATGAATTTCTTGGGGCATGAGTACGTGAAGGAGAGGCCTAGGACGGAGGAAGGGATTATTGAGGAGAATGAGAGCAGCGAGGAGGATGACGCGTCTGTGGATAGGAGTTTGATTCTTGGGGCTTGAAGAGGGCGCATCGACCATCGGCAGCCTAAAAGCCATCCCGCACAAAAGGACGCCTCGGAACAGGCACATGCTACACCACACCACACCACACCGAACACCTAGGAAAGCAATACATATCAACTACTGCACCAGACGGAACGCATGGACTATAGCACACAACAATTTCGATCGCACGTACAAGTGATACCCAGCACGCTCGTTTCATATAATCATAGACTTCCGTTTATTTGGTTTATCGATAATTAGAAGTACTTGGGGACAAATACTCTTTATGTGTAGCTGGTTACCTCTCTTGCATTCGCGTCCTGAGGAAGCAGAAACCTGAAATGGTACCCGAGGTTCATGAACCGCTTCGTTGTTGGCTGGATTGATTTAAGGGGGGCCTTTGGGAGATATTCGGCGTTCGAATTACTTATCTGCTTCATTAGACAAATTATTGGAGACTTACTATGCAATGGATGGATCTGAGTAGCACGCTCGGGACGAGGTTTCGCTAAGCTTAAACTTCAGCACAGCGCCAATTACGATGCCACTGCTTGTGACATATTTATCATCGAGTAAAGTCGTGGGTGGCGTACATTGTGTGCATTGTTGACCATGCTCATCAAAGTCAAGGTAACGATTCGAACATACTCCAGACATACGTTCCGCTACCCTAATTACTGCTAAACACTCACTAACAAGGAGGTGCCCAGTCCAATTCTCGCAATCTGCTCATGACTAACCAAGTGTCATGTATATGCACATATTGAGTTGGACATGGATCTCGAAGACAAGGTACTTACAACCGAGCGTACCGTCACGGTTAAGCTCACGAACCATGGAGGGACAGATAACTCGCATCATAAGGAGAAGGTCACTGAAGAGCAGTCCGGCGTGCTGGTACAACAATCACAACAACAACAGAGGCTGATCTTCGGTGGGAGCCAGATTATCGCCTTCGCTCCCAAAGGATCACGCAAACTCACCGCAGCATTTTTGATTATTATTTAGGCTGGGCGATAAGACCACTAAGGACTCGTCCAGTATTTCCGCAGGGTCGGTTCTCCATCTTGTTCTTGCTCTACGTGGGGGCTTTGAGATTGCGGACGCTTGGTGAGGCGTGTCGGATGCACGGGCAAGGGAGAGATGTATTCGCAAGATGTATTTCGTGCGTTATTAGATGTCATTTGATTAGCCTCCGCCCCAATCTCAAGTTAAAGTCGGGCCACTTTCATATAGATTAACCCCACATCAGACCACACTTTTTTTGCGCAACATCTATACGTACGTAATTCTGGGCCTTTTAATCGGGTAGGATTCGTTCTGCTATAAATCCCAGTGGACTCCTAGAGTTACTTACTCAACCATCCGAACCTTTCTTCCTGCTTCCACTCCTGTTCGAAAATATCTATAGGTACTATGGAAGCTCGTCCAAGGGTGATTTACCTTCCAGACACCATGAACGACTGGCCGTGGCCTCGTGCGATGAATCCTCATTACGAAGCTGTGAAAGCTGAAGTCGATGCTTCGTTCCGTGATTTCAAGGCTCTGAGTGCCAAGTCACAGGAAGCATTCGACAAATGTGATTCTGGTTCGACCTATGTTACTAGCCCTTAATGACGAAGATGATGGACATTTGTTGTTCTTGTAGCCCGCCTAGCAGCATTGGGTTATCCCAATGTACCAAGAGGTTCGTGTTTGAGCTAGCTAGGGCCCTACTAAACCGCATACCCCCGGGCCCCATTCTATTTTTGCAATAGAATGCCTTCGAATCGGCTTGCGAACTCATAAATGTCTTCATCATTGTGGACGAGTACACCGACGTTGAAAACGCAGCAGTTACCGAGGCAATGGTGGGCATCGTCATCGATGCCCTACATCATCCTCATAAGATACGACCAGAAGGCGAGTGCATCCTTGGTGAAATTGTACGACAGTAAGTACTTATCTCCAAATTCTTTGATTATACATCTGAAGTCCAAGGGATTTTTTGCGTAGATTTTGGGCTCGTACAATCCAAACTGCAAGCATGTCTTCTCAGCGTCACTTCCTCGACAGTTATACCGCATACCTTCGTGCAGTAGTCGTCGAAGCTCTCGACCGAGATGAAGCTCATTGCCGCAGTATCGATGACTACATCAAGCTCCGGCGGGATACGGTTGCTGCAAAACCTGCCATTGCAATTCATGAAATGGGAATGGATCTTCCCGATGAAGTGTTTTATCATCCCGCCATTGCTGCACTAGCCGAATGCATTGCAGAGTTGATGCTGATTGACAACGTAAAGTTGTATTGAAGACGTGGTCTGTGGTTACTAACAGCCTTCGCAGGACATGATCTCGTACAATAGAGAGCAAGCGAGGGATGAAAACCACAACCTGATCACTATTGTGATGTTGGAACTTGGCCTCGACAGAAGCGGTGCGATGGCTTGGGCAGCACGCTATCACACCGAAGTGGAGAAAAGGTTTATGGACGGTCTTGCGAAGGTCCCATCATGGGGACCTTCCATCGACGTCCTAGTAAAGGAGTATCTTGACGGCATTGCAACATGGGCTCGGGGAAACCATTCTTGGAGTTACGAGACACAAAGGTCACAAGAATTTCCCACTGGTTGAACCATCACTTACCCTGATTGGAACTGCAGATACTTGGGTACCAGGGGCCCAGAGATACAGCGAACTAGACTTGTCACATTATTGCCAAAGGTCAACTGCAAAGCCGCATCCGCAGCGGCGAAGGTCAATGTTGCTGATTTATCCATCATGGATAACACAGCACACTGTGAGCAACCATCTGGAAGCTCTGGACCAGCCTAAGGTGTGCTCCTCGAGCATTATGCCCTATTTGTCCCAGATGACCAGTGTGATGTGATCCATACCTCATCGTCCAGAAGAACGAGACCAGTCATTCAAGAGCATAAGACAGTAGTACTGTAGTGAATATAAATATATATCTTCAGGTGTGAGGCCTCCTTGAATTACACTCACGGACTTGAAAACTATTGGACTTGTTCTCATGCACACTTTACGACGGCTGTCCTTGGATCCCTCTTGTTCGGTGGCGCTTCTTGCACAGCGGATCAATGCTACTCAAGCATGTCTAGATATAGATCGCGGACTGTGTTATAAAGGGAATTGTTTCACATAGGTACTGTGAAGGTATGAATGAAAACGCGTCAGGGAATCTCCGTCCTTCGACAAGAATGAGTCTACAATATCTCTAGCATCCTGACGTCCATCATGTTACGAACAGAAGTCACGTCCTTGACTTGCGCGATGATATTGCTATCCGAAGCAATCCTCTTGTACTCCCCGACACGCTGCTGCGCTAGGAAAAGTGCGCCAAAAGGCTGTCCCAGACGAACGATCAACCTCAACTCTCGTGAGTGAGACTCCGAATCAGCTGGCTCATTGTCTCCAGGATACCCGTCGAGCGATTCGTCTGATGGAGAGCCAGGCTCGGATTCGTACACGCTCTGCATCTCGTCTGCAAAGTCAGGAAGCTCGAGATCATAACGATCCCATGGACGGACGAGCAAGAATGTCTGCCGAGTAGGCCTTGCTGGCCAGAATTGAGTCAGTTTCTCTTCGGTGGTGATTAGCATGTCGTCAAGCCCGTCAGCCTTGACATCATAAGTAAAAGATGTCTCCCGGTCTTGGCCACGCCTCCGTTTGAGTGCTGTGATGGGGAATGCTATACAAGGCAATTGCAGCCTGCCATTCGCGAAACAAGGAGGGTGCTGGCTGGCAAGCCGAGTATACAGTGTCAAAGCCTGCTCCTCGATGGGGGCATTCCGTAGCAACGAGACCGATGTCAGTATCTGATCTTCAGATAGAGATGGCACTGTGCATGGCGGAGGTTTGTACGAGACAATGTCGGCTGGCAAACAGCTATTGAATGGGGATGATTTTCCGACCCAGTCCAGGGCAGTGATATCGCCCGACTTGGCTATGATCTCCTGAAAGAGCCGGCCGAGCGCATTCTGCCTCGTCTCGCCGTAGATGACAGGTAGGTGGATGCCGAAAATACCAAATAGTGAATATGCGATGTCTTCCGGCACAGTCGTTACACGTTTCGACGCCCATCGAAATTTCTCTCGGGCGTCTCTCATCCCCGGTTCGAAGGCAGCGAGTGCCTGTGCATCTATACCCGTCGAATCCCTCAACTCCTGCATGATAGCGGCAGACTCCTTGTGGTTGGAAGAGTGGTCGTCGAGGTACAGACTCCAATCTGCTCGGTAGAACAAAACAATGCTAGGGGCCAGGAACTCCTGAACAGTCCATCCTCGCGTGTTCCAAACACTGTTTGCAAGCGCGCCTGACTTCGACGAAAGCAGAACATCCGGTAGGTAAACGATCGTGAGTCCTGAGTGGCGATACCAAACAAACATGGAGTTGACAGATGCTTGTAGCTCGACGTTGTTTTTCTGGTCAATGCAACATGTATCGCTCCACGCCCAGCGATGCCCCGCATCACGAGCAATTTTGCAGAATGTCTGCAACTTCACCGTGGTTCCAACCGCATCCAAGTCATACACAACCTTGTCCTGGATGTCATGTAGCAGCAGCTCATTGCTTTGCCACCTATGGGATAGCATGGCCCAACTGAAGTACTTCGCAACCACTGCTCTAATGGGCTCCGTCTGGAGGGGCGCATGCATCATCGAGGAAGAAAAAATCTCTTTGTACTCGGTGCTGTCCATGAAGGCGTTGATCTGCGTGTCTCGATTGCATATACGCCCAGTGGAGGTGTTGATTAGACGCAGCGGAGCATTTTCCAGTTGAATGTCAATGGCGCGTCGAATAATGCCTTCAACATCAGATGGACTGACATACTGCTGATGCAGCTCTGCAGAAAGTGTTTATGATTCTCACGTTGGCACATGAGAGATTGGAGCTTACCTTGTGCCCGTGCGCCAGGCACATCATCTGACTTCAAGAGCATGGTTTTCAAGGCCTCGATCGCTTCATCATAACGTCGGGCCTTGTGAAGGGCTGCATGCTTCAGTTCGTACCCCAGATAAGAAGAAGGATCGAGTTCGATGACCTATGCACAGTATTAGAACAATAGCTAGACAAATGAAAGACATTATCCGCACCTTTTCTGCGTCGAAAAGGGCCTCTACATAGAGGTCCCGTTCTAAGTTTGCCTTGCTGCGGTGCGCAAACAGAGACTCGCACGAGGAGTCAAGCTCAATTCCTGCTGAATATAGTTCCATAGCCGCCTCGTAGTTGCTTGCAGCAACAGCCTCATCTCCCTTTGCGAGACAGCGCGCAGTACAGTTTTTCTTGAAGGCTAAACAGCCACAGAGTAAGTGTCGATATTCAAGGTGTATATAACACCAAAGTACCCACCCGTGGACCATGCGAGGTAGCTCTCTTTCACATCCTCGTCAATCATGCTCATCATGTATCGGTGACATTCAACCGCTTCGATCACTCGATCAGCGCAGAGGAAAGCATCACACCGCCTTTGATTGATTGATTGCCATAACGAGTCCAAGTCCCAGCCGAAGAGCTGTCCAACATTAGCTTGAATCAGTGGAAGTATATTCTGCGGCTTCATAATGACTCACCACTGTAAATATCTTCCATCTAGGTTTAACAAGGACTTTGCTAGAGAATAAGTCGGGTATACTGAGATGATCGGCGGCTTCGTTGTACCGCCCGTTCTCAAAAGCAATCATTGCAAGCTGCAGGCGTAGATATGACTGGAGAGTGTGTTCGAAAGTGAGAAAACTCATGAAGTATGACGTAAAGCTCACGTTGACAACGCTGCACGGAAGTGTATCCAAGTGATGACAAGCGGTGGCGAGGTCTTGAACTCGCCGCATTGCATCATCGTGGCGACTGGCATTGAAGAGTGCAACAGCCTGGAAAAAATGACATCAAAGTCTTAGTATGACAGACTGACTACAAACACAGCGATGAGAGCACCTTGATCAATAGTAAGAGATCGATTGTCATCGAAACTCGATTTAGAAATACGAAAGCGAGATCGAAAGCTTCCATTGCGTCGCAGATCTGGTCGTTGCCGCAGAGCGCGATGCCCTTGGAAATGTAGCCCCATAACGAGGGCTGGATAGCGATGGACTATGTCGCCAAGTAACATTAACGTCGAACGTGTCATGATAGGCAGAGCATCTGACCTTGGCTGAATCTTGAAGCGCCTGGTCCCACTCGGAGTTTCGCGCCCTTACAATCGAGCGAATGGCATACGAGTCGTGGTTGTTGCCATGTGCGTCGATCTCTTTGGTCAGCAGGTCTTCAGCAATGTGCGGGTTGCTGATGCATGCTTTGCGGACCGTCTTGTTTATACCAAGGATCTGCATGAAAAAAGCTCGCGTTGCGTGATAAGTAGATGCATCAAAGGCAAAAGCTCACGTCAAACAATGAGAGATTGTCGTCACTGCCAGATGCTTGTTCAGTATCCGAGGGATGATTGCTTGGACTGTCGTGATCGCCGGTGGGCTTGTGTTCGTTCTCGTGACAGTGCACCGGTAGCTGTTTGTCGTGTAAATAAATAGAAAAGCGGAACAAGAATGGGAAAGAGCATACGTGCATTTCACTACGAGGAAGGAGTTGCTGTACTTCCTCGACATCTTTAATCGATTCGTCTGCATCGTCTTCCTCGTTGGCATATGAGTCGTGATTGTTGTCATCTGCGTCGGTCTCCTGGGACAGGAGTTCTTCAGCGGTATGCGGGTCCTCAGCAATGCATGCATTGGGTAGCATCGTCTTTATAACAGGGATCTGCATGAAGCAAGCTCATGTTCCGTGATAAGGATACAAATTGAAGGCAGCTCACGTCAAATAATGAAGGGTTGCCGTCACTACCAGACGCTTGTTGCGAAGAATGGTGACTTGCACCATCGTTATTGCCAGAGAGCTCATCGTCGGCGTCATGACAGCGCGGCTGTGTGCCGCCGCCGAAAGCAGTATGAATGGACAGACAGACTAAAAATAATGGGTGATAGCATACCTGCGTGTCACTGAGACCAAGGAGTTGCTGTCGACATGCTCCTTCATCGAAATTTGTCCTTTCTCCCGCCTTGTGTTGCTCAAGTATCTGCTTAATAGACCAGAGCAACACCGTTCCGGTGTCATCTCCACTGACGAGCAGTTCTCCATTGGGAGAAATCGCGACAGACCGAAAGATCGTGGTGTGTTTGAATGGCTGACCTATGTGTTGGTGTGTCTTTGTGCTCCACAGCCGCACAGTCTCATCGTACGAGGCAGTGGCAATGAAGGAGCCGTCATGCGAGATGGCGAGCGAGCGGATGTAGAAAGTATGACCGGTGCAAGGTTGACCGATCTGGTCTCCATTGGACGAGTTCCAGAACTTGACTGTTTTGTCGTTTGATGCAGAGACAAGTTGCTGACCGTCAGGCGACCACACAACACTTTGAACATAACTTTGGTGAGCGTTGAACTTGAGAAGAAGCTCGGCGTTATCGGTGCGCCACACCCGGATGTTTCCCTTATGATCCAGAGGCTAATTTTAGCCCATCTGGGCTGAATGCCACGCTGTAACACCAATATCATCACCACTCTGGAGTGTTGCGAGGACAGCGCCGGTCTCCGCATTCCATAAAACAACCGTGGAATTATTCGACCCGCTTGCAAGTTTCTTGCCATCGGGTGAGAAGCACACCGAATTCACCCAGCCTGTATGCTTCACCAGCGGTTCGAATACTTTCTGCTTGCTCTCGACGTCCCAGATGATGATGGTTCTATCATATCCACCGCTCGCAATTCGCCTGTCGTCTGGTGATACGGCCACGGAATTCACCTCGTCCCGGTGTCCCTTGAATGGCATTCCTACCAATGCTCCTGTCTCCAAGTCCCAGATGCGCAGGGTTCCATCCCATGAACCAGTGACGACCCGTCGACCATTTTTGAAGAACGCGACTGCTTCCACGCCTTTCGTATGTCCTTTTATCATCCACGCTGGTGTCAGTTGTCCTTCCGTTGTCCGCGCTGGCTTCGGCTGCCGTCTCAGAGTGAGAATCTGCATCTCTTGCTGCGTCAGGTACCCCTGACATCTCGCGTTGACCTGGACAGAGATATAGACGGTCAGCAGCATTTGAAGTTGACGAGGGCCGTACGTTTAAGATATCCTTGCGTTGGGGGTCTGGTGGTAGTGAGTAGCGTTGGACTTCTGCCCATGACCCAACTCATGTAGGCGCTTATCCAGGGTTCTTCTATATCACGCTACTGCGGCGTGGATTTCATTTGGCTTCTTCAATCATCACTGCCCCCTTTATAAACGCCCGTCACGTATCAGTGGCCCCTCCATTCTGTGCACGAACCTACATGCATTTAGTACCACCATATACCACAGTCTACCGTTCTGCAACCATATATTTCCTCCACTGATCATCTTTCATCATCCTTTGTAAGTTATAACGCACCCTACTTCGCCATAGGGCCTATATAGAATGATCCCTCGGCGCTCATGTCCGATCACTTCCGGTTATCGATGGAATGTTACAGATTTGCTGATGGGCATGCGTGGTGTGTACTGATTTACTTGCTTCTCCGCACGATAACGATCCGTACCTCCCTAGTCACATCAATATCGTCTACGCTACTAGCGCCAGACTTCATGTGGACAGTTTCCCCCTCTTTGTCAATGCTTCTCTCGACGAGATGCTTGATCGACACCCGGAACTGTCATCAGCAACCGCATTCAACGAAAATGCGCATCGCAAGCGACTCATAGTGAATGTCGTTGTTGCTCTTGATCCTTCTATTGCAGTCCTAAGCAGAGTTTTAAATTATCTGTCTCAGGTGATGTTTCATAGATTGTATACCTCTTCCGTTATCTTGGGATTCTCTTGCCGTCTGGGTACCCTTGCCTTGTGCGTATTCTTTCGCTTTTCTTGCCCTTATGTTTCTCACCGCCGTTGCATTGTCGTATTTGTTGTGCGGTGGGTATACCTATCGGTGTGTTGTCTGTGCCGCTAACTGGTGGTATTTTACCAGCGTTCTTCATCGCTCTTCTTGGGGATACTTTCTTTGCCTACTCTGCAATGTCTGGCACGATCGTCCTGCTCTTATTCGCGTTTGACAGGATATTGCGCAGACCTGACTCGCTGTAGCCCTGTATATGCCACGCATAAGTCATACGTCACTTTTCGAGTCTTGGGTTGTTCCATTCGTCACCCATCATCCGGGCTTTGAGTATAAAATGATTGGCATTCAGATCATACACGAGTATCTATTGTAAGTCCGAAGCTCGTTTTCACCTACCTCATTAGATACGCAACAGTTCACAGCAGGGCCTCAAACCTTTGGTTTGAATTCAGGGATAACCAAATACACACAGATGTATCCAAAGACAAGCACGCCGAAGAGACCGACTCCAGATGGACTATGCTTCAGACTAAGTATGAACAAAACCCCTTGGGAGAAGAACGAAAGCATGGAGTTCCTGAACCAGTCTTGGATAATAAACATGAGCAACGACAACGATATTATCTCACAGATACCATTGGATCAGCCAGATCTCCACACGAGAGAGAAGAAAGCAACACGGGTGATGGGATATGATGGTGATGGTGATGATGATGATAATGATTAGGGTAGTTAAGTACTACTGTAGTGACGTGAGACTTCGAACACTGAATATTCATAGCTGCTCGCCCTGCCTGAACGTTGAACCAACTACTGGTGGCAGCAGCAGGCTTGAGCAAGGGACTCCCTACGAAGAAAGTGAGACCGCCACCCGAGGCCATATAAATCATTTGCCAGTATCAAGGGATCGCTAATGATATACAAATATCCGACTACATGGCGTGCTTGATTAGTACAACAAAATGTGATGTCCGTAAGTCCAAACGAATCCTTGAATCAAACCTCTAGCCCAGTAACCACTATGATATATGCATATGTGCTTCACTGAAGTATCGCCAGTAACCAGGAAGAAGGTATGCGACAGAAAACCAAACCTTTCGAGAGTTGATCAGGTCAAATTTACACGGATGAGGGGATGACTTACACTATATAATTTACACGATAGGCGGTCCGCCCGAGTTGTCTTACACACCATGAATCGCAATCCGACAAGGCCCGCATAAAGTACGAATGCAACGCTGCAAAATACGTCCACCCCCCAGACCTGAGTAAGACAAATCGACCACATCGGAAGTCCTATAAACATGGACACGCGAGCTCGGGAAGGATATGCGATCGGCAGTGTCCGTCTGCCTATGGAGCGGTCTCCTTCCTGGTCTTTGAAGTCCTGTGCTTGGAGCGTGGTGGCGAACATCGCGATGCTGAGCAGCACAGCTAAGAGAGCAGCAGGCTCCAGCCGTGACATATCCCGACCTGGTTGTGATAGTCAGTGGATGTTTTCTTGTCCGATATCAGTTACATACCTGCAATGAGGGTGGCCCCAACCTGGAAACAAGCATATCCTACGCCAGTCATCAAGTTTTTCGAAAACCAATGACTATGGGCTCTGAACTCATTGTACCAAAGAGTGAGAAAGGCTATCGCTAGGCTCGCGCTAAGCACTTGGATGCTATAAAACGCTGACGATATCAAGCATATGGGGACCAGTGCCCAGCGCAGATAGATCGCATCTTGTAAACTGATGTACCCCGCCGGTATTGGTCGGCTAGCTTTGTTCCTGCCATCTTCTGCCTGGATCGATTACTTGATTGGCGACGTTGAAATGAAGGAGGTGTAGCCAAATCCACCAGACCACATGAAGACAACGGTAAGAGCTGCAGAGGGGGGCTGCGACCAGCGCGAAAAGTGTCTGCGTTTGCGAGCTCAGACCAGAAGTTACTTGGAACGCCAGCATGCCTACCGTTGGAATGATCGTTGTCATAATGTCATTCTGCGTGAAGAGGTGGAGAGTAAACAGGGATTGTGAAATGGCTCGTCCTCTAACGAAGGCACCCATGATTTGGGAGATTGGAGCGAACATCCCATGTCCATCTGAACGCAATATATGTTGTCGGCAATTGACAGAACCAAAATTGGATACTTGAGCAGCGTTAGTGACACTGTGCGAAAGGTACGGAAGGAGTCCAAGAAGCTCGGTTGGGAATCCTGAAAAGGACGGCAAGACGATGGGGTTCTGTGCCAACCGTTCGACAGTGTGGATTTTCCGGAGGACCTAGAAAATAACTGTCAGCTCGGAGAATTGATTCCCGCAGAATAGTGAGAAATGAATCGGTGCGGATGGCGGTCCGAGGGGTGAACAATAAATGTGATTGAAGATGACCGTACATACCAGCTCAGATGTTCTCCGAGTCTTGTAGCCTCATGGTCAGTTTAGGACTACCTAACAACTTGGGAAGATACGTTAGCAACTGCCGAAGGGCGTTGTGAACAGGCAGAACGTTGGATTCTGTACGGGAAGCAGCTTCCACACTTCTCGCCAAAGATCTAATGATGCATGGGATGCGCAGCCGGGTGGCATCAGAAGATGTGGATATGGTCCTTGTACAACGTACTATACAAACTAGTATAGTATACGGTTGCACATTTGTTCCGTTTTGAAAATCTGCCAACTGTCGTCAACTTGACCGCGGCCCTCATACACGACAACACGCACCATCTCTAAGTACTCACGTTCGTGCGCCGGTGATACGGATCGCTCCGACGAGATGTCCTGACGACGAAACAGCATCAGCAACAGACAGTCAACTGGGGTGAGGTGAAGGTTCCGCAAACATACCCCTTTCAACTGACATCAGCGGAGGACTTAAGTGGCTCCACCGATAACAGCAAGGAGATGCGGCGCAAGCGCCCTTCAATCGCTGTCAAATCTGACATCATGGCGGCGTGCCTATTTTCTAGTGATTCAAAGATCTTCCCGTCGCTTTGCAAATTGCTCAAGAGTTCTTCGTGCGATCTGCTTGCCGTAAATGTAGTAGAGGGGAGGTTTAACAGACGAGCGGAATAAGATCCAGATATCGTAGGTGTGACACTTCTTCGGCTGAGTATAGACATTGCAGAACCGGGGCGTGGACTGGGACTGGGACTTGGTGGTCCATCCGACTCCGTTTCGTCGGCTCCATCGAACGTCGAAGCAACTACGACGGGTGGGAAGTCATCGGAGTCGTAAGTTTTGTTGGTGATAATGGGTTGGAGACCAAAACGCAGCTCTTTCCGGACAGTGTTTGAGAGGCTTCGGCCAGAAGACTGCAGCAAGCGCGGCTTGCGACCACTTGCGAGGACTTTTTTCCTGGCACTCATTCCGATGCATTCCACCAGCTGCTTCATGGCTTCTCGATCAGAAACGGCGCGCCGCTGAGCTGTACGCCGAACAGCGCTCGTGCGGGGAAGAGTGTGAAATGCTGATAAACCGTGGGGACGAATGGGTGTCGCGAAGTGCGTGGGTGCGACGATGGAGGGCTTGAGCGATGGATAGGGGCTGGACTTCACGGAAGTGGCTTGTAGGGGCTGAGGGGTGGCTAGACTATCGGTCTCGCCTTTTCGAAATGAATTTGAAAAAGGGAATGCATCATTGGTTGGACCCCACGAAAATCCGATGAAGGCCGATTCGGCTCGTGGGGATATGCGATCAGGCGTATCTCGCAAAATCGATATTCCAGGCGAAGTGTTAGGGGAGGATTGGAATAAAGCCGAAAATGCGAACGGCTGTGAATTTCCGTCATCCGTGGGATCTGGGCGCTCTATGGGTGAGCCAGGCGCTGCTGCCACAGAATATGTGAATCGCGGCACATGGATGTCAGACGGTGCAGGACCTGAGCAAGGAACAATGAATATAAGGAGAGCTATTCATACTTAAAACTCACGCGAATCTACACAAGACCAGTCGGTGTTTCCAAAGAACTGGTGCTCCGTAATTTCCAACACACTACATCTACCAATACGGCGATGTCGATCAGTGAGAAGTCTACCTCAATGTGTTTGAGTTATGGCAGTCACGAATAATGCACAACAGACCTGCGGAGTAAATCCTGTAGCTTTTCAGAAACGACAACCGCCGCATTGAAGCGCAAGCTCGTCTGTTGAATGATGGGTTAATGCGTTCGCAAGCGAGTACAGTGACACTGCAGCACCTCATAGTCCAAAATCCTCAGATAAGTAGTTCGGATATCTTTGGCGAAGAAAGGAGCCACTCCGTAAACCAACTCATACAACATTGCCCCGAGGCTCCACCAATCGACCTCCAAGCCATACGAACCAATCTCTGTGGAGATCGAAGGAGAAACATTATCGTCTGACAACTCCATTGCAAGGAGGGCATCTTCGTGTGCTTGCAAAACTTCGGGAGAGATGTAATCACAAGTACCACAGGGAACAAGGGTATACCGTTTCGGGATTAGCTGGCTCCCGTCATGCTCTGGTGGGGAAAGAGGCGCAGCAGACCCGAAATCTATCAGAAGCATATGATTGCTTGCTGTGAGAACGAAGTTCTGGGGTTTGATGTCACTGCATTGCATTCATATGAGTGGGGAATGCTGGATGGTGGCTCTCACCGATGTACAAAGCCTTGGGAATGACACCAGTTGATGGCGCAGACTGCCTGAGGAGCCCACCAAAGTATGTCTGCCTCAGGAACTCTGCCTTCATAAGGGCTTGACTCAAGTATATCCCATAATGTGCCTCCTTCGGCATAATCCATAACAATGTTAAGATGACTGGAGGTTTGGAATGCACAAAGTAAGTGCGGAGCCCACGAAGAGCGCTCACGAAGAGCGCGCAGAAGAATATCCCGTTCTAATTGTGGAGAGCATTGCTGCAGAATTTTCTCAGTATGGAGAACGCATGATGCAAAACAAGTGTTACTTCACGAGTCCGCGAGGCAAAATGTTTCTCAATAGATTTGCGAACATATACGCGACCGTTTAGCTGGCACGTCACCACGTCGATCTGAACAGCGGAATCAGTGTACACATTGACACATACTCTTTCACGCACTTACAACCCCGAATTGGCCATGGTCCAGCGTGCCCAGGACGACAAGATCTCCGTCTGAGAAACGGAGGGATTCGATCTCTGCAGTTCTCGCTATTTCATCACAGGTTGTGAGTAAAAGAAAGCCAGAATGCATGTGGCTCTTACCAGTCTTTCCTATGACCTGCTGACCATGCAAAATGCGATCCAATGCAAGGCCTTCTTCATCGTCGTCAGAGCTATTGAGTAACGAACTCAACAATGTTTTCCGTCTTGTCCAGGATAGAGACATGCATTAGGTCGAGAACGAAAGATATGACGCTTCCGGCTCTCAAAAGAGTGTGAAAGAGAAGCCGTTATCCTTTACAATTGGTTATATGTTCACTAAGTTACACTGGCTTGAGTTGTTTCCTTCAACTCGGCTTTTTGCGTGGCTTGGCCGCCCGAGGGATTCGGCCTAATGCAGCCCAATGACAACGTCCACAATCGGTCCAGGTACCATTATGTAACTAATTGGTTGGAGATATTCACCATGAAGCTTGTAAGGTGAATATCGCACTTATTTCATCGTACTCCACTAATCTCAAAAGTTTTCTCTATTCGAGCATTGCAAGGGTTGGGCGCTGACCCTAAGTTATTTTCATCAGATTCTTGATGAAACTCAATAATGAGACTGTGACCGTCGAGCTCAAGAATGGCTCAGTAGTACATGGAACAATCACCGGTTCGTCGAATTGGTTCGTTTTCGCAAGTCTTATACCACTCTAATTATTTGTAGGTGTCGATATGCAGATGAATACCTACCTTAAAACTGTCAAGATGACAGCCCGTAATAGGGACCCAACATCCCTCGACTCCCTATCAATTCGTGGCAACAACATCCGCTATTTTGTGCTCCCTGATGCCCTTCCTCTAGATACCCTCTTGGTGGACGACGCACCGAAGCCGAAAGGCAGGAAGAAGGATGATGCGCGCGAAAGGGGAAGGGGACGAGGGATGGACCATGGACGTGGTCGGGGAAGAGGAAGGGGACGAGGAAGGGGTTTCTGATGGTATGGTCAGAAAATCGTGATTATTTCACTGTCAGTTGCGTTTGCTCTTTGTTATTACCTGAAATAGTATGCCGAGCTTGTCTCGCTATTCAAGGACAGTGCTACTTTCAGTCAGCCATCCCAAACTCAAATGATCCACGCTTATCTGGTCTCTGAGTACTGATCTTATAGGCTTCAATCTCCCTGACGTCCTTACACACAGGGAAGTACCGGTGGTGTGGTGGGAGAGCACGTCAATCAGGGAGGTTCTTCTATTCCTACCTCACTTATAGCAACTCATCTCAAGGTCGCATCATCCACAGAATTCCAAAGCTCCTTCGCAAGACCTTCTATGTCGATCATTGATCATCGCTGCCTCTCCGTCGGCTCCGATACCTGCCTACCGGCGTTATATTTTCAATACGCACACTGGGCTGTACTTCCCGCACCGATGGCCACTTCTCCAGACACGGTTGCAAACACTGAGGCGCATATAACGCCACTGTCTAGATGGGAAAATGGGGGCTTGATAATGAACTTCGGAAAAAAATACTCGGCATTGTGAATTAGGATAAGCCAAAAAGACTTTTGATAGGTGGGTTGACCTTGGCACAACCTAATCTCCAATGTGCTGTAATCTTTCAATTGAGCATTTGAGCCACTCAGCAAGATTTTACTGCAATGCCGAAAAGTTGTGTAGATGGGAGGTCTATGTACCCCAAGCTGCTGTGGATGAAGTCCATATCGAGACTTCACCATGCCACAATGGCTGAATCAATTTCCACTCTACTGGCTTCTGTACTAACGATTGCAATTGATGACGAGCAACATTAATATTGAAGGTACGTGGAACAAACTTTCACGAGCTTCCGTGAATTTTCAGTACCTGCACAGTAAGCCATTCTCGAATCAGCATTCGCCGTTCACCAGCACTGACATTAATTATCAAGTGATTGGGCCGGCTATCCCGTCATAGAGGTCCATGATTGGTTTTTGAACATCGACTCTGAATTGACTCGTGTGGTCTCGCCGTTGAGGTGTAATGGAGTGGTTGTGCTTGTCCTCGCGGTACATGATGTTCGCCGATACAATGATCATGCCGCTGTACCGTGCGCATTCAAATTGCTATCACATTTTTGATTTAAGCTGAAGCATTGTCGCAATCCAGATATTTTCTTGGTGGATCTGAGCACTGAATCATGTCACGCCGCTCTTCACGCAAACTTGTGAGTGACTGGACTACGACCCAGTTTCCACCAGAAGTTACTTACATGTTGCAGGAATGTATGGCATTGGAGTGGCCCTATCTCAGAGTAAGTGTTTTATCCTAGCAATGCCATGAAGATGTCGTTAAAGCTTGTTTTGTCTAACCAGAAATATTGATAGTTCGGACGTGGGCACTTTGAGGAAGAATCAAAGCCCTCGGGATTTCTCTCTTCGTTGAGTCGGCTCTTGCATCTGTTGTGTCACCGTATAGCGCAGGCAGTAATGCCAACATTTTGACATGTGAGTCTGCGAGATCGAGCTTGCACCTTGAGTAAAATATTCTAACACGTTCTAGACTATCAAGGCTATACCTCAGGGGGCTGTTTCACCTCTACTTCAAGTAGTCTTCCCTCACGTATGGAATGTTTCTAATATGAGAGGTCAGTGCGTCATGGTTATCTTCTTCATTTCTGACGTGACATGGCCGTCGGATCGATGCTGCTGAAAGCCTACCGCCTGGGTAACGCGAATCAATTTCTCAACCCTCGACACACCCTCTGATTACTATTCCAGCTAGGGACGCACACGGTTTCCCATTTTTGTCAAAAGTCATCTTACAAGATGGTGAGGTTCGATTGGCATCGTCATTTGTGGCACGTCGACGCTAGCAGGAATTGTGTTCTATATTATGTTCGGTAAGGATTCTCTTCTACATACCTACAACACGCCGAGTAAATGAATCGCGCAGTTCTACTCCCCTTCAATGGAACAGTTGCTCCTCTACTACCGGTGAGCAGTATCTCGAAAGCCTCAGTGTGTCATACATACTCATATGCACCAGGCGAGCATCTCAAGTGTTTTTGTGATGTATGGTCTACACAACATAAAGTTCAATTCTCGCTCTACAGCCCCACCCGGATTTGTCATTCCATTTTCGCATCTCGTGTGATACCGCATGTACGGGCCGCCGACAAATGAAGAACTGAAGATCATGCATTAGCATCAGGTCTCGCGTTTGCCACCCTTCCAAGACGCGATGAGATGGGGACTGGATGATCGCCGCAAGACCAAACCTAACCGTTCAACCAAGATAAGCTGAGTGTGGTGGCGATTCAGCTCCAATTACTAGTGACCCAGTCATACTTATCTTCGAATTTATGCCTCATCATTGGTCGAGAGTTCACTCGGGTGTTCAACATAGAGTTTGGTCATTCCAGAGTCATTGTTAAGCAATGCCAACTATCAAACTGGGACAAGGGCGGTTTTACCCCCAGTACTTACTGGCACCCCGGGCACACTTACTGATCTTTTGTACTACTATGAAACCAAAAACAGGTGAATTTCACCGACCTGATCACCTGCTGAATTGGTGAGGATCACGAGCTTACAAAGTGCCAATCACCACCATCCGGTTGAGGTCATCATGTAAATAGGTACATAATAGTGGGTGATTAAAATCGGCGAGTTCATCGTCTCGTCAAAAGGTCTTTCGGGTGACGAATATCACCACATTTCCTGGTACTTGACTATTCACCAGTAGCTACTTGATAACCCGCATTTTATACCATAGTCGATAGCACTCGATATAGAACTCGGTTATTCTAGGATTATTGCAATGCCGTTAACGCCATTAGGTGGAGTCGATAACATGTATCATCCAGACTACGACAGGTTAGTGATGTCCAAAAACATATCCAGAAGCTTTAAAAGGGCTTTCTATACACAACCATCGCTGATGGATGGACGTCTGAGTTAGTGGGTCACAGATTTAGGGGAACTTAGAATGTCAACACACATACGTAGGCATCTGTCGTCCGTATCCTCGGCATCGTCCTCCGTAGCCAGAACAGCTCTGAGATCATATCGCAAGATCTAATTGTGGGCCTACAACACAATAATCGGTACAGTCCGGCGAAGTCATTCTATCACTGGTGCATACTGGGAGGAGTGCGAGGGATGTACTGGTGAACAATTGAGATCTGTCACGACCATTTCTTGATTTTCACCACCTCCATTTTCAGGCTTGAGTAATGAATACATATAACATACAGCAGATATACAGCGGATATACAGCGGAGCATGGAGCTGCCAAGTATGAAGTACATAACAAGTATCACAAGTAAGAACTACAAGTGCGGCAACAAATAAGCCCACGACACCGTCTCGAATGCGCCAGGACGAAGATTGCGTAAAGTGGTGAGCATAAGTGTGAAGATGATGACACGTGCTGTTACATACAGTAGGATTCCAGGAAACATTACGATAAACGAAAGCCTCAGTGTTTTCTTTTTTTCAGTTTTCGGAATAAACAGGAGGTATACCAGCAAATGAAACCATTGTGTGAAAGTTATATAGATAGCGCTCACGCGCCATAAGACCTGTTCTTGATATGTGGGGAACGGATAAAACCAAGCGGTACAGTGGATGCCGCCAAAGATGGTTCCCATAAAAAGGCCAACCAACGTGAGAACATTGCTTTCCTGACGTTCTAGTTTGACGTTGCCACTGTCGCACGTTGGGACTTGTAGCTTTCGAGGGGACATGACATTTATGCCAATGAGTCGCACAACTGAGTCGACGAGTGAAACAGCAACGATCTCTATAGATATTTCGAGGTCATCGTTTTCAGAGGCGCTGAGGGGGACATAATCGGCAGGGGTAGAATTGATTGGGGTGTACACGTACTTATCAAAACAGACCTCTGCCAGCTTGGCCTTGGTCGACTTCCAGTAGACTGGATGAGAGCATTGTACACCGAGAGGCTTATTCCACCACACAGCATATGTAATGAAATTGAGAACCGCAAAAGCGAGTGTCCCTACCTCGAGCTGTGTGGTCTCAAGGTGATAAATGGCGCGGGAAATGAGTTGCAGGATAAACCAGGCCACTTGAAGGATGATCAATCCTTTTGATATCGCATTGCCTTTGCTCCGATCGCGGATCTGCTTTGCTGTCAGGGTGGGGACATCAATAGATCCAGCACGTATCAGATCGAGAAGGTGGTCAGGCAACAGTATATGGTAAGGTTCTCCGTCCACATAGAGCATGAAACCGCCCATCAGCGCAAAGAAGCTGTGAGTCTGAGTCCATGCGTAATCTAAGGATGCACACGAGTCAAATTTCACGTACGATTCAAGAAATAATGAGTCAAACTTACCTTCAGATTGCTCTGAAGTATAAGCCCTAAACCATTCCTTGAATCGCTTCGTAAGAGTACATGTTCCTTCATGTCCTAAGTTGGAATACAATGAATTACCAAAGAAACACTAGTTCAGATGATTTACCTTTAGCGTGCGCTGGTGCAGATGATTCACTTTTAGCATGTGCTATGAGAGCCTGGGTGCCGTCATGATCTTAAGGCACAGGCAAGAGATAAGGAAACACATTCAGGATGCAAGATGGAATGTGGAGTTCACCTTCGTATTGAAGTACTTCAGTACACTCATTCTCTAAGGAAATACATGCTGAGTCCCCCAATGAACGTATCCAGAGTGTTAAACAGTAGGACTCACCTTCAAACCGCTCTTGTGGATGACGAACGCTGAAATGCTTCCTAAACTCTGTTGAAATATGACGAGCCCAGAGCCACTGGCGCAATGCCCAAACAGCGAGCAGCTCAGGAACAAGCAGGGCAGCTACCATGATGCCCAAGTGTAGCAATAAAACACGAACGGGACTGTCCTTAGGACTCGGAATATTGGGGTGGATGGCACTGTATGTGCATGCAAAGACGGTCAGAGCGCAAGTAAGGACGATGCTCCACAGGGTTCTATAGTTCGCGCATGACGAGGCTGCAGAGCCGTCACTGGTAAAATTTGGATTAGTAGTAGGCGCGGCTTGCATCCCTCGAACAAGGTAGAAAACGCAGAGAAGTAGGCGCATTGCTGGATGCTTCGGGAAGGAGGTTTTGACATTGCATGTCAAATGCTCGCTATTAGTATTTCCCTGATTGATTGGCAGGCGTCATATCTTAATGGGACCTGACAGGAGTGAGAATGTTTGCCTGGTGTTGCGGTGAAGCAAGCAGTGTCCAATGACCTAAAAACCTGATTCGGTTAACAAAGACTCCTCGTTGATGGAACACTTTTCGTAAGGCTCTGGACTTGTTCTCGTAGGTACTTGTTTTTGGTTAACTCCCACCTTGTTCGCCAATCACATGCTGTCCCTAGCCATAGAGACTGTAGAGAAGCAGTCATTAATCGTTCGAGTGCTCTTGCTGATGGGAATACTGAAAGTCAGGGTTTGTATCTTGGGACCGAAGTAGACATCGGAACTTCCCTGAGGACATCTACTTATCTACCGAGATAAGCGTGCTGCATGAGATTGTATCTGACGTACAAACCTTGCGAAAGAGTTCAGTGGTGCCAGGCACATTTTCTCTTGGAGATTGGGCTTTCCTATAGTTTTTCAGCACATAATTATGGGCCGGGATGAGTAACTCGTAAAGAAATACATATCATGCACTCGGCAGATGCAGCCAGCGCCTCAGTTTTGCTTCGTGTCCATTGTCTCGCAGGTGACTGAGCGAATCAAGATGGTAAGAAAGTCCTAGTGGCGCGGGAGTCCGGTTCCGAAAATCTTGTTCAACAAGAAATATGGGAAGATAGCATGAAGGAAAACTACAGTTGAATAAGAATACTGCAGGGGCTTCCGAGTATAAACGACAAACAACGGTTAGAACTTGGCACGCGCTTCGACTCGTCATGTGAATGCCAGCATGGCATGTATATGTCCATAGGAGGTAGTGGCCGGGCCTGGCTTAAAATTGTATTAAGGAGGCCAGTTATAAGGATGAGCCCCGAGAATTGCAATGTCACGCAAGCACTTCAACTCTCCAGGTGATTGAAAGGAGGTTTCTGGTGCTGTAGAGTATACAACCTGTCGTAATCAGGAATGTCGGCCTCGGCAAGGACGTGCTCGAGATCCTCGATGAACTTGTTGGACGACTAGGACTCGTGGGTTGAGTCAGACGTCACCATCGAGCTTCGGTATTTTAGGGGGTGAGAGTCTCCATCGATGGAAGTGTCGAGCGAGCTGGATCCGAGGGACGGTCAACGCGAAGGCAGGTACCTGACCAAGGAGAAAAAGAGGCAACTTGAGCTCAGAAAACAACGAACATTCATTTTACTGTGAATCAACGTTAACCTTAAAAAAAAGTTCCTCTCTCTCGACTTTCTGTCGATACATGGACGAAGAGAGGAGACAACAACGCAAGTGAAGTTCACGAGTGTTTACCTAGCTTGTACGTACCTCTCTCAGCCAGCCCGAAGAAGCTCAGACGATGTCGTTCCGGATCTGTTTCCCAATATTCACCGGATCTCCCCGGACTCGCGTGCGGGGGAGGTGTGACTAATACAAACTAGCCCACACCCGTTGTGCCTTCGGCACATGTCTACATATTACATTTACAAAATACTATATACTTTTATTTTAGTTCTGAGGACAGAGGACACGGGAGAATTTTTTGGGAAGGGCAAGAGTCAACAGCAAGACACAAACAGTGAGACTGAAGTTTACCTGGGACACTGGCTTGCAATCCCGTGGCCTCGTACCTCGGTCAGCGGGATGCAAGCCAGTGTCCCAGGTAAACTTCAGTCTCACTGTTTGTGTCTTGCTGTTGACTCTTGCCCTTCCCAAAAAATTCTCCCATGTCTCTGTCCTATTTTCTGCTTTCCCATTTCTCATTTCTCATTTCCTATCTCCCTCCTGTCTCCTGTCTCCCATCTCCCATGTCCCATCTCCCCATTCACCCCATTTCTCCATTCTCCACCTTCCCATTCCCATGTTTACCCATTGCCCATTTTTCCTATCTTTATATTTTCGCATTTTTATGTATACAGAATTACAGTACATATATACATCATTGTTGTTTTCACATTTTTCTATTTGCTTAGTGTTCCTCCCCTTGTTGTGGCTTAACCAATTTTGGACAGTGAGGTCGTATAGTAAGGCAGACCCTTCAGTCATTTTTCATGTAGAACCCCTGCCCTGGATGTGCCAAAAGGTTGTAGAATCATGGCTAGCCAGTCCCCGGCCGGTGCATGTAGAATAAGTGCTGGCCGGTGTACTATCTTATTATCACTTCAGTATCATTATTTCATGTAGGATAGGTACTGGCAGGTGTACAGTATGCCAATGTCTTTCATGTAGGATTAGTGCTGGCCGAGGTATAATAGGCCAATGTCTTTCATGTAGGATTGGTGCTGGCCGATATATCATATGACATATACTAGCCATAAGATCAAGCTGGCTGGTATATGTAGAATATATCTACTGCAGTCTGATTTCATTAGTAGACTGGCCAGCTTGTATCTACGTGGGTAGGAGCATGGCTGGCCAGTTCATAGTCCTTAAGTTAATATACTGGCCATTGAGTGTACTAACCATAGGATCAGGCTGGCTAGTATATGTAGTCATTGGTGAACTGGCCAGTCTGTATATACATATGTAGGAACATGGCTGGCCGATTGGCTTATATTTGACTAGCAAACCGGCCAGCATGGTTCCACATGTGTAAGACCATGGCTGGCCAGTTTGCTTATATTTGACTAGCAAACCTGCCAGTTTGCTAATATTTCACTAGCAAATCGGCCAGCATGGTTCCACATGTGTAAGACCATGGCTGGCCAGTTTGCTTATATTTCAATAGCAAACCGGCCAGCATGGTTCCACATGTGTATGACCATGGCTGGCCAGTTTGCTTATATTTGACTAGCAAACCTGCCAGTTTGCTAATATTTCACTAGCAAACCGGCCAGCATGGTTCCATGTGTGTAAGACCATGGCTGGCCAGTTTGCTTATATTTGACTAGCACACCGGCCAGCCTGGTTCTACATGTGTAGGAACATGGCTGGCCAGTGTAGAGCTTTTAAATTATCACTTTTCATTAGTATACTGGCCTTTTTTCGTCTATGTATGTAGGAGCTAATGGTTCAATTCTTGTCCAAGTCTTGACAAGTAGATATATTTGTTGTACAAAATTGATCAGCAATGAAGACAAAGGAGTATATAAGATCAGTTCTGGGCTCTCTTAGAAGGTTTCCTTGGCCTGCCTGATCTGCGGACTTCAGGCTCAATCCTAGGCTTCTTAGACTCACTGGTCGAAGCTTGGGGCATTCTTCTCTTCCTCCCTTTCTGCTCCTGCTCCTGCTCCTGCTGCTGCTCCTGCTGCTCCTGCTGCTCCTGCTGCTCCTGCTGCTCCTGCTGCTCCTGCTGCTGCTCCTCATGCTCCTCCTCCTGCTCCTCCTCCTCCTGTGTCTCCTTCACCTTCTCCTTCCCCTTTGTCAAAACAACTTCCTCCCCTGGCACCTCACCAAGTCCCCCTTTTGCCAGCTTCTCTATGTGCTCAACAACTGTGGCCAAGACCTGCCGAACAACTTGATCAAGAGAAACCAAGACTTCTAGATCAAAAGCAGAACCAGGTAGGTAGAAAGGTGTATTGGGGTCAGCCTCATCTTCTTCATACTCTATGACGCGTTTAGACTCTCTATAGAGGAGCCCAATTCCTAGAATCACTGGCATGGCAGATGCTGCCCCTGAGATTGGAGATGTTCGTAGCTTATCCAAGCTAGCCTTCAAAGTGTCATAAGACACATGCATGTCCTCAGGAAGATAAGATTCTCCCCAAGACCAGTTAGCCCAGATAGGCAAATCTGGATTCTCCTCTGAAGTTGGCTATTGGACGAACTATGAGCTATGAGATTAAGATACACTCAAAGTTATACTGACCTTCTGCTTGGCCAACTTTGCCAGATCCCTAATGGCATCTATAAGCTCCAGGTAGTCGTCATTCTTGCTTAGAGATTCGAGGAATGCATATCGATCATCGATTGAAACATCATCTGGGGTTGTGTCGGCCGGCTGGGTTCTACGTTCTGTGAAATCAGAGCTGTTCAAGGAAGGAAGCCGGTCGCTGTCTTCTTCGTCTGAGTCAAGTAAGCTTACTCTTTTCTCCTTAGACTTCTTCTTTCTTTCTTCATTCCTTACATTTGCCCGCACATCACCATCCTTGGCTTTGACAAAAACAACTAGCTTCTTGTTTGCAGCCGAATTTCGTTCCCAATGGTTCCATAGATGATTTACCTCCTCAGTCTTCATATGAGAAGGGTCTTTGACCACAAATGCAGTGGGAACAGAACCATGTTCCAAATAATTGGACGAGGCAGCAGTTATCACACCCCAAGGCACAGGTCTAGAGCCCCCAGTGCAGACTTCTACAAACCAAAGCATCAATCAAATGCTAACAAATATGAAGACATAAGAACTTACTATACGCAGTATGAAATATACCCCTAATAAATTCATGTTGGCCCCTAAGGCTAATACCAACACGACTAGGAAGTTTGGCATATCCATCGTCATCTAGGATAATTTCGGGTATAGCATCCTCATTGTCTGAACCCTCGAGGTCCTGATCATCTGAAGGATCTATTAGTTTGAGTGAATAATTAGTGTTAGTACGCGCAAGATTCAAATTCCAATTAGCCACATACAAAACTCGGTCTTTGACCATTCTGCAAAGGATTCAAATCCAGTTGCAGTCCACTCCTTAATCCCATTGGAGCTGACAGAAAACCTCTTCTTGACATTTTGAGGGTCGGTTTCATGTCTACATAGTGATTAGTTAGTCTAGTTAGCCTTGAGAATTACGAAAGTTCAATCACTTACAGACTGACAGACAATGTCTGACTAGCTTTTTTCTTGTGGCTAATGAACATCACCACTCGACAACCCATAGTACGTCGTATTTGCTCTGAAAAGTCTTCAAGTGTTTTCTTGAGGTTGTTCTTCCTATACCTTAAGGAAGATCTTAGACGAGATCAATAGTAAATCTTAAGTCAAACTTACACTACTTGACTTTCTTCTGGTGCCCCCTCCCTATTCCATTTTGTCATGGCGAACTTGACCTCCTCCTGTTGCAAAGGGGACATATTGTCAAACCATTGCCTCGCATGGCCAGTCCGATACTTGATTGAATGTTGGACTCCTTTCCTTCTCTGCTCATCCTTGTCAAACTTATCTATTTCTTCCTTGAACAACCTCTGTGCAACATCCCATTCGGTAAGTGATTTCTTGTAGAAGGACGCTTCTCTTGGACGACTTGTGGCCTCTCGTTCCTCGGCCTCTTCCTTGTAGGCGATGATTTGGGAACAGTATTGTTTTATCTCCTATATGTAGCATTCACCCATCAATCAAATGTATCTACATACACAATTAAAATTTTGTTACCTTTTCAAAGAAGTAGGCAATTGGGGCGCATCTTCATCTTCAAGTTCCTTTTGGGCTTCAAGTATAGCCTTACGAATTTTCTTCACCATTCGTTTGAGAGCCTGTGGTGAATCTGCAGTCACAATACCTTGATGATAATGATCAAGAATATATTTATAGCAAGTTGTCCAGTCAGAAGCCATTGTAGTTCAGTCAAAAAAAAAGGCTGAAAATTTTGATAGAGCTGACGAGTACTTGCGGTAGGAGGGCGGCTGGCCGACAAACTGATTTGAATCCCATATTTAGGCACTGTAACATTATTCATATGACCATATTAAGATTCAAGATTAGCATTAAGATCCTCAATCACATGATACAACTACATAACCTTGGCTCAAATACAAATACATGTGCGGACTTACTTAGACGGTATAAAAAAATAGAAATCCGTCAATCAAAGTAGTTAAATTCAAGATTTAACTACACATGTAAAATGAGCTACAAAACCTGGCTGAAAAGTAACATAGGTGACAAAACAAACATGTGCAACAACTCCAGACAAATCTATTCAAAGTCGTCCTCAGCAGGAGTACTGGGTGTGGGTTCCAAGGGAATGGAAATCCAACAAGAACCAGGCCGCTTACCAGGAAGAAGCACCCTTGAATTAGCTGGTTGGGAGAATGAGAACCCTTTCCTGCAAGCATCATTCTTGCATTCAAAGTGGTACACCTTGCCCACATTGACAGAACGCCAAGCATTGATCCAGCCACACTGGGGGCACTGAACTGGCAAGTATTGCCCCCATGGGCGGAGTTCAGTATGAGTCCAGGCGTACTGGGTAACGGTTAACGAGCCACTGCTATTCGGCATCATCAAGAACACGTTGCTATGACGCCCCAATTTGTAGGATTGTCCCAACATATCGGGGAATGCGACCTGAATGGCAAAGCACCCAATCAGAACAAGTTCTGCGAAGGCCAGAAGAAGGTGAGTTGCGAAGGTGGGTTGGAAGCGAACGGCGTTGAAGCCAATAGTGGCAGTCATGCGATGACTAGCATCTAAAGTTAGTTTTCAGAACCTAAGACAACAAAAACACTTACTTGATAACCGCCGCTTGCAGGCATGCAAACGAAGTTGGTTTGTTGATCAGCGCGCCACAAGACAACAGCCAAAGGTAAGATTCTGCGGCGCCACGAATCAATGGGTCCCAAGGTGAAAGGAGAATGTCCAAAACCTGTTGTAGACATGAGCAAGAACAAGGTCAGCCAAGAGTGACCACTTACTGTGTGAACACGCGCAGAAACATAACTCTTCTTCTTAGTTTCGTACCCCACGAACGGATCACCTTCATCGTTATCTGTATGGTTGGTGATAGCGATAACTACACGAGTCCAGGTGGACTTCAACAGCGACTGGACGGTGCGAGCTGCATCTGACTGATACTTCGCGATCTTCGTATCATTGCCAATGTCGAAGGTAACAGCTTGGAACTCGAGTCCACCGCTGGGAAAGTAAGGACGAAGGAAGTCGGCAGTAAGTTCAAAGGAACCGCCGGTCATGTCATGGTCGACGAGGACGAGATGGAGCATCAGTACCGGCGTAGAAGATAGTTGCGAGTGAAGAGAGACCTCCAGTGTGGCACGGATGGGGAGGAAGGAGGGGAACAACGGCTTGTCATTGCGGTAAAAACCCTGTAAGTCAAGTTAGGGTTAGTAAGAATGAAAGACAAATGCAACTCACAAAGTAAGGTGAGTATCCTCTGCGTCCATGCCGCTCCTTTCCTACATGGCAATAGACGCATAGGAAGGTGACGTCGTCAGCCTCTAGCTGGTGCGCGGCGCCTGAGGGGATATCTATGCAATGAGAGCACATAACCCTCGGGCACGCGTTGCACAGGAAGAGGCGATCTTCATCGACAGAACCGTCACGGCACACGATACAGAACTGTGAAAGAAGAAGCATTAGTGTTAATCAGTAAGTTAAAATTTACATACCTCATTGTGCCGGAAGGGATCACACACTTCCATCTCCTGCATTGCAGGAGCCTCTAGTGTTGAGCGTGGTAGCTTCAACATGATGCGAGGAGCAGTACCGCCGGTGGACTTCTTGCATGTTTGAAGTGTTTTGACCATTGGGCGTCTAGAACAAGAATCTATTAATGGACAGATTTTAAATCAGTAACTTACAGACTCAAAATAACACTTACAGTACTAGTAAGCAGCGCAAACAATGATAAAGTCAAGGTACTTAGAAGGAAGCGCCAGAGTTCCAAGCGTTGGTTGATTGTACAAATAAATACAAACTGACACGTTGACAATGTCGCTTGTTGTATCAACAAACAATAAGCAAACAACGCGTCACGTACCGTGTGACTTTGGACTTGGGCGAATTCAACACGTTCAACATATCACGTGAGTTTACCGTGTGACTTTGGACTTGTGCGAATTCAACACATTCAACATATCACGTGAGTTGTCAACAAACAACGACAAACGAACACGTTTATGAACTTCAACTTTACTTCTCACGGTTCATTTCTCTCTTCTTCAACGTCCCAACAATTCTTATTCCCATCACTCTTATTCTCTTATGCGTCCAGTCCTTTTAGGGCGCCTTATAGATAATCCTTTGAGTTCTTGCAGACTGCAGCTGCAAGGACTCAAAGGTACTACTCTATAGTCGCCCTTCAAAAAAAGAGTAAGTCCGCATTGTCTTTGTGCGCTGCCAACTAGCTAACTTTGTTCATCTCCATGCGCCATCCTCTCAAAGGATTTCATATAGGTAAGTAATCATTTTCTCTCACCACCATGCTGATTTTTTTCTACTTAGCGTCATTTTTATTTCCATGTACTACCCTTGACAAGTAAGTTGTTATTGTCTTGTGCCGTCATACTGATTTTCTACATAGCGTCATTTTTTCTTGACTTTATGTTTGTGCGCGCTATGTTTATAAGGTAAGTAATTACTTTCTCGCAACGCCTTGCTGATTTTCGACTTAGCGTTATGTTTTTTTACTTAGCGTTATGGGACTGGGGGTTCGCGGTGAATGCCACTTGTCAGTGGCTCCCGCTATTTGATACTGGGGGCTAGTTATGTGTTTTGTTTGATGCTGGCGGTGCATACCACTTGTCAGTGGTTCCCACTAGTTGTTTGTTCGCGGTGCATACCACTTGTCAGTGGTTCCCGCTATTTGATACTGGGGGCTAGTTTTTGACTGGTTTGTGTATTCATTCCGGTAAGTACTTTAACCTGTTGTCTTCTTGACTAAGCTTATTCCCTTTATCAAGCACTCTCACCACCCCCATTGGACTTGACTCAAGCACTTTTATTCTGCAAGTGTCATGAGAATTTTTTTCTTTCTTTACTCCGGTAAGCGCTCTCCTTTCATATGACATCAGCTTAAGCACTTGGCACAGGACTTTGAGTTTCACTTAATCAGCTTTGCTTAGTTAAGTGTCCAATCTCCTTTCAAAGTCTTATCTAACATTCACACAGGACATAGTAGCGCAATTAGTTTATTTTACTACTTACTATTTCACTTGGAGCGCAAGGCTTTGGTGAGGTTGGCCACCTCATCAAGGTCTTGCAGCTCCCCATTATCTTTCTTAATTTACCGGTTTTGAAACTTGTATTAAATGTAGTGCAAATTGTGCTTAAAATTGAAATCTGTCATGCTCTAACATCCAATTTGTTGCCGGTTGAAAAAGTCACGTGATCTTAAGAAGAGCTCAACATGAAAATTTCGCAACAAAACATCATATTGCACAGTCGTTCAAGGTCTTTCGTACCTATCAACGCTGCTAATACATAGTTATGCATGTAACTTAATGATAGAACAAAAATGTTACACAGATAGTATCAAATTCATGCGTCATACAAGGTAAACACAAATGATGTTGAAAACTCTTAGGAGTCAATGACTGTAATGAGTACTGGATCAAATACAAGGTGCATCCAAGGCAGTAATCCTTTACCACCGGCCAAGACAGCCAAGGTGAAGGCGACCGAGCCACCAATATGTCCAATACCAAATGGCAGGTGGTGATTTTATATTGGACATATTGGTGACTCGGTTATGCAACCCCCTACACCAGGCGCGATCGCTGGCACAACTCAGTTAACTCCCTCGCCATGAAGGACCCAATACAAAGTCACCATCTACCATTTTCCAACCCCTTACCCACACTCGGCGCTGGACTACCAGAACTCACCGTTCTTAACCCATGTTCCTTCACCTATTAAGGTGCCCCCTTTTTTAACCGACACTGGATTACCAGAACTCACCGTTCTTAACCTATGTTCCTTCACTTATTAGGATACCCTATTTTTTAACCGACACTGGATTACCAGAACTCACCGTTCTTAACCCATGTTCCTTCACCTATTAGAATACCCTATTTTTTAACCGACACTGGATTACCAGAACTCACCGTTCTTAACCCATGTTCCTTCACCTATTAGGATACCCTATTTTTTTAATGACGTTGGACTACCAGAACTCACCATTCTTACCCCCTGTTCCTTCACCTATTAAGGCGCCCCCTTTTTTAACCGACACTGGACTACCAGAACTCACCGTTCTTAACCTATGTTCCTTCACCTATTGAGGCGCCCCTTGTTTAACAGACCTGGACTACCAGAACTCACCGGAATTCTTAACCCATGTTCCTTCACCTATTAGGATACCCTATTTTTTTAACGACATTGGACTACCGGAACTCACCATTCTTATCCCCTGTTCCTTCACCTATTAAGGCACCCCTTTTTTAAGAGCTAGACTATCAGAACTCACCATTCTTACCCCCTGTTCCTTCACCTATTAGGATACCCCTTTTTTTTAGACTACCAGAACTCACCGTTCTTATCTGAACTATCTGAACTCACCATTTTTACCCCTCATTCCTTCTCTTATTAAGGATGGCCAACCAACCCCCTACCTACGCCAGGCATGGTTAACCCAGTGGTGCTGCAGTCACATACTGCTGCATTATAAGACTTATGATGTCACTGGGTGCCAATTGCCAATTTAGCTAAACTTCCATTATGTAAATTGCATAAGCACATTGATGCAGTCACATCATTGTTCTTATCAGTATTCTTTGATCAGAATCATGTCATATATCACTAATTTACATAAAATGATACTGGGGCTTTTAGTGCTGTGGGAGCCGGTTGAAAAATTTGCCTCGTTGAAAATTTTGCCTCTCTCACCAACATGAACCAGCTAACCAGTGAATCAACCAAGCTAAGAGTGGCTCTGACCACAAGGATCAAGGCAATCATGAGGGATTCAGCAGCAACAAGTGTCATCAAAGGGAAGATAGTACAAAGTCACCTTCTGAACAAAGCAAGGTACATTCTATATTTATCACTCCGCTGGTTAGGTGGAAACTCACTTATTCTTATCAAGGCAGCGGATTGGATTGGAGCTAAATCATTGCTTAGCAACAGCTGATGTCCGCTCAGACAAGAATTCTTCAATCTCCAATTATGAGATCAATCGGGCTGCACTCACAATTGCGCATGCAGTAGTAAATCCTTGTGAGTTATCTTGTTTTCAATAATATATCCAGATTTAAATTCAGGGGGCAGATTATGTAGACTGGGACGCCTCAAGATTTGCTGACATGGTCAAGGCATCCACACCTAGTGCTGGTGGTTCACTCTCTGAAACTGAACGGCTACAAAAGTACTTTGCAGCAGCTAAGATTGGAAAAATTTCAGCCCCAGCTACCATTGTGGACAGGGAGGGTAATATTGTGACAATTTACTTGCCCAATATTCTGTCACCTTTTCGAGTTGTATGTAAATTCTTCAACAGGGGATTCTCCTCATTAATAATTATTTTAGGATTGTGTCAACTCAGCCACCAAGGCTTTACGAAATTTGCTTCTTCGATCAATTCCGTCCTCCTCGGACAAATCGTCTTGGAGATCTCAAGGCTTTGTTATGCCAGAGGAGGGTGGAGAATTTGGGGCAGGCCGAATTACAGTATCACCAGCATATTTTATGCAAAGGCATGAGGTACTGGTCAAATCAACTTGTTTAGCTGCTTTTGACACATTCTGGCAACAGAGACTTCAAGACCCAATGGTGACCTCAGCTTCTTACAAGTCTGTTGAAGTCCAAGAGTGGCTAGCTGCCTTGTCAACCACAGAATTCTTCTGGAATGCCATTACTGCTGCCTCGGCTCCAGATCTATTCAAAGCAGGCGCCACTGCGATCAGCCGAGTTGTCCAGGAACTTCAAGAATCTGTTAAACCAGTGTCAGCGCCCATCTCTCATTGGCCCTCAATCTTCTCAGGATTAGAAATAATTGCAAATTGTACTACCTTATCACACAGGGACATTGGTGGCGCGCCTTCCCTTTTTGATCTTCTGATCAGTTTGGGTAGTGGCCATAAGGCTAAGTTGGTGTTGGCTGATGTAGGGGCAGAGCTGGATTATTACCCTGGGACAATGAACTTTATTTCCGGGAAGGTTCTACAACACTCTATTGGTCCCTGGGGTGAAGGAGAAAGGCTCGTTATCGCCCATTTTATGAAGGATAAAATACACTCCAGAGTTGCAGTATCAAGACCAGCCTTTCCAACACAAGCCTTTTTTTTAAAGATGGTGGGGCAAGGGGATAAGGGCAGATGACAGTAAAGGAGTAGATATTCTAGGAGGGGGGTGGGGGGGGGGGGGGTTGTGAAGGGATAAGTCAGGTGTTAGAGCATACGTACTAGATCTAATCAGGTAGTAGTTTAGCCATTTCTATGAATGATTTTGTCAACTACAACCAAAATATTAAGGACACCCTCTTTTGCCTTAGTAACAGTATGTCTCCCCACAAAAAAACTCGCCTCAAGGCAGCTACATTTTCCTTCAAAGGAAGAGGTCGATTATCCAAAGGCAAGGACCTAGATGTTGATTTTGTGTCTCACAAACAAGTCATTGGAAAGAAAAGGAAGATGACCTGGGTGGAATCATGTGCTGATGCCCTCTACGACACTGCCCCAACACCATCTCCTTCCTCTAGCCCTCGTAAACGGGTCAGAGAGGAAACTCAAGGGTTGCCAAGGATTCAGGAGGAATTTGATGGAGAAGTCCTCGGTGACTTTAATTCATATACGGAGATCCAATCAAGAAAAACCAAGGTGACCAGATTGATGCATAGCAATTTAATTCTATACTCAATCGAGATCAAATGAACTAGACTCAGAACGACTTTATCCAAGAATATCTGCCTTTCTGAGACTCATATCTCGATATCCTCCTTGACTTGGAGAAGCCCTCTGATATCTTGGAGTGCCAGTCTTGTCAGATTGGTGAAGGGAAATTCCATTGTTTGACATGCAGTGGGGATCAGACATTGTGTCATCCTTGCATTGTCAAAACCCACCAGTGTTTGCCCTTTCACAAGGTTCAAGAGTGGACTGGAAAATGCTTTGAAGACAAGTCACTCGAAGAATTGGGTATTGTCTGGTATATGGGCCATGGGGGGCAACCATGTCCATTTTCTGAAGACCCACAGGCATGGGAGGATGTGCCACTGGATGCAGAGGCTGGGTCTGTGCCAATGGAGACATTTTCCAGTTCAACTACAACATCCACCTTGACCATCAGTACATTCAACTGGAGTGTTTTTGCACAATGTTGTTTGGTGTGGTTGTCCTGGGTCTAAGCATCAGCAGCATCTGCAGTTGCTGAAGGCCAGGTTATTTCCTGCAAGCATCACCCGACCTCGAACTGCCTTCACTTTTGAAGTCTTAGATCATTTTCTAATTGATGCACTGGAGTGCAAGACTTCGGCATCAAGCTTCTTTGAGAAAATTCGCCGTATGACCAATCACTCATTCCCGGGTACTGTTCCTGTGAGAGCATATAGTTATTCTTTTCAACAGTTGGATTGACCATATCAAATGTCTTTGCTGGCTAGAATCGATATCGAGAACTCATGAGGGTGTCACGTTTATGGAGAGACTTGATGAGCCGAAAATTCTTTGGATTTGGCCATGACACTAGGGAGAAACCTGGCAAGGGTGATCTGGCTTGGTTTTGCCCTTCATGTCCTCAGCCTGGCATCAACATACCTGATAACTGGCAAGACAAGTACGAAAGGCAAGTCATTAATTTTTGGTTCAGATTATAAGGAGGCTGGCTTTCTCTTCTATGCAACAAAGAACATCATACTGACCGGCCGGCTGTGTGCTACGTGTTGTACACAAACTCTGGCCTTGCTGGCTTAGTTTCTGACAAAGCTGGCCAGTACTATATAGACAGGCTGTATACCTGGGCCGGCCGGCCAAACTCTGATATTTTATTTGGCTGGCCAGGACTGTATAGACAGCAAGCAGAACCATGCCGGCCGGCTAAACTCAGATAATACATTGTCGGTCAATTCATTGAACTTATACTTATTCTTTACACAGTTGGCTCATTTCGCAAAGATTTGTTGTGGATGGAAACTTTACCGCTCAACATATGACTATGAAAAAGCCACAGTTAGACATCAGTCTTTCAGATGGTCTTGGTTATATGGTGAAAGATAGAGAATATCAGACTCATCTCTCATTGGCTGTCGAAAGTAAGGAGGTGAGTTGACTTGCAGCAAGGGTATTCGGCTTTGCTTGACAGCCTATATAGCGCTCTTCTTGTAGCAATCATCGAGCAATCAACACCGCCAATATCAGCAGGAGTAATCTTCGAGTAACAGGGGTAGGAGCAACTGCCTGTGCTCGACATGGATGCTTTGTTCCACACAGCATAGTTGATTTCCAGAAGGGCGAAAGGTCTGTACATCCTCCTAAATAGTGCATTAAGCGAGCTCATAGGATGTTTAGACACATGAACATTGACTATTCAATATGCAATGCTTTAAATTATCATTCGTCTGGTATAGACTCCTCTCTCATTATTTATGATGTGGGGTGTCAGTGGAGTATTAATTTTTTACTAGAGAGTTGCTGAGAGCCAAAGCTTATCAATACCAGAAAATATGCAGATCATCCCTGCAGTTGGAAAATTCCATCTCAGCGCTCACAAATTGGCTTGCTTTGCAAGGTACAGCCTCAACTTTGTTCAAGGCGCTGGACATGTTGATGGGGAGATTTTGGAGACCCTATGGGCACCATTCAATAAGATTTCCCCAACTGCTCGGTCAATGAGTCATGCTCATCGCCAAGAAGTTCTTGACGATCATATGAGAGACTCAAACTGGAAAAAATTAGTTGGAATAAGTAAGTACTTCAATCATACAGTATATCAAAAACTGTGCTTGACACTTAAAATTCTAGCGAGGACTCTCTTGACAAAGTATAAACGTGCTCTCAAAGGCATTGATGAGACAAAATCTCCTTTTGATGAACTGGCTCGGTCTCTGAATCCTGGGAAGATTTTGATGTGGGAAATTGATGAGAAAAAAGCTGTGGAAGAACGTGGGGAGTATCTTGACATCTACCAGTTGCAAATCAACAAAGGTAAGTGCTCACAGCTCTGTCTGAGGCTTATAAGACATCTAATCTGGAACTGAGTTCAGCCCCAACTATGGCAGAGATTCGGCTCAAATTAACCGAGTCTGAGAACAATGACGACAGACTTCCTGGAACAGTATCTTGGCTCATCACTGGTATCAATCTGGAGGATTTACAGTACGTAATTGATTGGAACAAGCAGAATGATTTGACAAAGTGCTATTTTAGGGATGCATTGAGAGCAAATATACGACAACTTCCCAACGATGCAACCTCTGCTCAGAAAGCTTCTATAGAAGAAAAGCGGCAGAGATTGGCAGCTAGGATTGCCAAATTTCATGAAACTGCCGATGCTATGACTGCTGGCATGGATCTTGATATTGGAACAGTGCATTCTGATGATCCTAGATTCTGTCGCACAGATAACGATGGTAATGAGTGGGTGGAGGTTTCAGATGAAGAGATCTCAGAGGATATAGATGAAGAAATCCTCACAGAAGAGATGGGTATCTGGATGCCATCTTCAGCATCTCGAACACAACAGATTGACTCTTGGGCTGGGCCCCCTCCAAGCTGAAGAGTTGGAGCTTCGAAAAGGCCAAGCCAATGACTGCCTAGAAAACCTTCGTATGGCTCTCGGTCACAAGGCCCTGATTTATCGTCAGTATTTTCGAAGTGCCAATTCTACATGGGCTGGCACCAGATCGAAGCAAGAAGCCCGCAGATGTCAGCTCAAAATTGACAAATATGTAAGAAGCTATCAGAGGGCAAGGTCAGCAATGCAACATCTAGGCATGGACGAAGCTACCTTGGGCAGTATTTATCGAGAAATATTGCCCACCGAACTCAGTATAGACAAAGAGGTGACAGAAGAAAATAGATTTGGTCAAGGGTCAGACAGACTAGCTTGGTTTTGGAGGGTGAATAATGCCAACGAAGGTCAAGAAGATGCTTGGATGGATGAATGTAAGAACAAATTTCATCTCAAGTGCAGGTCACTTCAACTCACTCTGATTTAGTCTATAGGGTCAACTGGTTGAAGGCAAAGGCTAGATGGAGTAGATGGCAGGAGGAGTTGAGTCTGGTAAGACATGAAATGGGTTGGACCATAAACTGGTTCAAGTATCACCAGAAAGAATGGAACAGAAGGTGGCAGCAAGCGACTAGACCTGGTCATCAAGCCTATGCTTATCAACAGGTCTTGATGTGGGGAAGGTTTGCTCAGGATGCTAAGAAGGCTTTCAATGGGTGTGGATTTGTACCTTGATATATTATACCCACACTCCTGCAAATTGCACGTTGAATGAGATGCCACAAGTCTACCTACTGGGCAGTATTGACTTAAGGACTGCAAACAGGCCAGCCATGCTCTTACACATGTAAGACCAAGCTGGCCGGTTTGTTAGTGAAATATTACAAACTGGCCAGCCATGCTCTTATGCACATAGAACCAGGCTGGCCGGTTTACTAATCAAATATAAGCAAACTGGCCAGCCATGCTCTTACATATGTAGCACCAAGCCGGCCAGCTTGCTATTGAAATATTAGCAAACTGGCCAGCCATGTTCTTACACATGTAGGACCAAGCTGGCCAGTTTGCTAGTGAAATATAAGCAAATTGGCTAGCCATGCTAGTGACATATTAGCAAACTGGCCAGCCATGTTCTTACATACATAGAACCATGCTGGCCGGTTTGCTATTGAAATATAAGCAAACTGGCCAGCCATGCTCTTACACATGTAGAACCAAGCTGGCCAGTTTGCTAGTGAAATATAAGCAAATTGGCAGGTTTGCTAGTGAATTATAAGCAAACTTGCCAGCCATGCTAGTGAAATATTAGCAAATTGGCCAGCCATATTCTTAAGCGTGTAGGACCATGCTGGCCGGTCTGCTAGTGAAAAATAAGCAAACTAGCCAGCCATGTTCTTACATATGTATATACAGGCTGGCCAGTTCACCAATGACTACATATACTAGCCAGCCTGATCCTATAGTTAGTACACTCAATGGCCAGTATATTAATTTAAGGACTATGAACTGGCCAGCCATGCTCCTACCCACTTAGATACAAGCTGGCCAGTCTACTAATGAAATCAGACTGCAGTAGATATATTCTACATATACCAGCCAGCTTGATCTTATGGCTAGTATATGTCATATGATATATCGGCCAGCACTCATTCTACATACAAGACACAAGAGATGGTTATAGTATTATAGACTGGCCGGCACTGATACTACATACAAGAGATTGGCCTATAATACCTCGGCCAGCACCAATCCTACATGAAAGACATTGGCCTATTATACCTCGGCCAGCACCAATCCTACATGAAAGACATTGGCATACTGTACACCTGCCAGTACCTATCCTACATGAAATAATGATACTGAAGTGATAATAAGATAGTACACCGGCCAGCACTTATTCTACATGCACCGGCCGGGGACTGGCTAGCCATGATTCTACAACCTTTTGGCACATCTGGGGCAGGGGTTCTATGTAAGGAAATGACTGAAGTATGTGAGTAAGGGAGAACGGTTTTTTGAAATTGAAACTCCGATTGACAGAACCACGCGAAATTTCTAAATCGAGGTTTAAGCGAGCTAAGCGTTCCCATGTGGCCTTTAGCGAGCTACGCGTCTCCCACACACAGCCACAAAACAGGTCTCCCATTCTTTTATGACGAGTCCAAGCCCGTTGTGCCTTCGGCACAGGAAGCAAGCAGAGCACTTCGTGCTCTGCTGGAGGGGCCGTTGGCCCCTCCAGTCTTTATCATTTCAACACAATTTCAATAAATAAATCTTTGTCATATACAAATACACATTTATACAATCTGTTGTACATCAATCTTCAATCAGTCTTCTAACCACCTCTGTGTACACTATATTGCTTGTCTTTCTCTCTTCTTCATCTTCAGGGAAAATCACAAATACTCTTGATGGGTGAGTGCACCGAGACAAACCCACATACAGCTGTCCATGACTGAACACAGGTGTCCTCAAATTTAGACCAACCCACTTGACACTCTGACCTTGAGCCTTGTTGATAGTCATGGCAAATGCAAGTCGCACAGGGAATTGTCGACGCTTCAGAGGAATGGGGTTCTCTTCATCACTGGCCTCCATGTTCATCCGAGGAATCAGCACAGTGGCTTCATCTTGACCATCCACTTGATTGTTGCCCTCTTTGAGAATTCGACACTTGAGAATCCTTGTGTTCCAATCCACCAGGATCATCCGAGTCCCATTATACAGTCCCTGTGTGGGGTCCAAGTTGCGCAGGAGCATCAAAGGCACTCCTTTCTTCACCTCCAGTTTGTGCAGAGGGAACCCTGATGGGTTGAGAGTGTGAAGGAACTCTTGAGGGATGTATTCGTATTCCCTGTATGTCACTGAGTCTGCACTTGTGAACAATTTCTTGTCTCCAGCAAATGAGTCGAGAATTGAGGTGTTGATCTCGTCCACATCAGTGTTTTTTGCAGAGAGGATAGTGTGGTCCAGGAAGTAGGAGTCAGGCAAGGGAGGATGATTGGGTTGGAGGACATCAGAGTAAAGTTTGTTGATCAGGGATGGGATGTCATTGTTGGGACATTGCATTCCTTCTGGCAGAGTCACTGGGCCATCTCCATCTGTGCCCATACCACCCCCAATCTCAAGGAGCCATGCAGCGAATCGATCAGATGCAGGATCTTGACCAAGACGCATGTTTGTCTTGAGGTGGAAGATGCGAAGTCTTGGCCAGAGGCGAGATCTGCAAAAGGTGGCACTGACAATCTGCTCCCTGGATCCATGAGGCACCACTGGCAGGGTCTGTCTGAAGTCTCCTCCAAACAGCACAGTAATTCCTCCAAAGTCGGCATCAACACCAAGAAGATCGCGCAAGGTACGGTCCAAGGCTTCCAGGTTGTGACGGTGGAGCATTGGTATCTCATCACAGATGATCAGAGAGGTGCGCTTCAGAAGCTCATGGACAGGATCGCCCTTCTTGATGTTGCAGGTGCTGTCCTCATGGATGGGGATGGGGAGCTTGAAATGGGAATGAGCTGTTCGTCCACCTGGCAGAAGGAGAGAAGCAATTCCAGAGGAAGCCACACAGAGAACAATCTTTCCCTCAGCATGCAGTTTGGAAGCAATGAGGTTGCAGAGATATGTCTTGCCACATCCACCTGCACTGTGCACAAAGTGAGGATGTCCAGGTGTTTGATCATCACGATTCATGGCATCTTCAACCACTGCATCAAAGACTTGTCTCTGCTCCTGGTTGAGGGTGGGCACTCCTTTATCCACAGCTTCCTGGAGAACGTCCTGGTCATAGTCCAGTTGCTCGACTATCAGCTGGTTTCCCTCCCTGTCCCCCCAGTTCATATGAGAGTGAGGTATGTCAGGGAAGTTCACCTCGAGGGACTTGGCATTCTTGTGAAGAAGACCATCAATGAGATAGAGACCATAGTCATGGACCTGCTCTGGAGTGGGATCCTGTATGTGCAGTCGATGAATGAGACGGTGACGCAGATCATCGCAAAGATTGTCCTTGAAGTCGTTCCAAAGCAGATGAGGGTTGGTAGGGAGGCAGTGGAGGAGTATGATGACAAAAAGACTTCGCAGGCCATGTCCAGTGCACATGTGAGAGGCCTCTCTCAAGCATTGCTTCCATTCCCCATCATCATCAAGGAGACCTCTGAGCTGACATGCTTCCTTGAAAGTAGCACAGACATGATCGTCAACAGTGCAAAGGTTTTCATAGGAGGTAGCCCCTTCAAAAAAACAATAGTAAGCAAATGGCAAACATGAGAGAGATTAAATGATACACACCTGGAACAACAGTCAGAAGCAATCTCAGATAGAAGCGCTCTCCAGAGTTGGGTCCAGCAGCATACATCCTTCCAATTGCTTTTCCCCGTTGGCGTTCCTTCCATGCCTTCCTGTCAACCCAGACAAAGCGGGAGGGAAAGTCTTGGTAGAGATAGTCGTGGGCTCCAGCTGCCACCAGGTCTTCATCAGAATTGGCTATGAACCATCCAGTAAGGCAAGTCTCCTTGGCTGCAGCACGGTCCAGAACATCTTGGGCATCATCCTCAGGATCATAGACAACCATCTGCTCATCAGGGAGGTGGACTGGCAAGCGGTAGACAGAGGGCCATTCCTCATGCATCTGAAATTCAAAGATGCGCCACATAGACTCGACAGAGCTGATGTATCTGGAGTCAAGGTATGATTTGACCTCATCCACTGCTCCTCCCATCTCCAAGGTAGCGCGGTCATGTCCTTTGTAGATGTACTTGTGGATGTACTTGACAGACTTGATGGACGCACAGACCTCCATGTTGATATGACAGTCGAACTCTGCCAACAGCCTTGGAGGATATGTGTTATGACCAGCGTCCCTTAACCTAACTAGTAGGTGTCTGGAGTATGGATCACACCACAGGACTCAGTCTGAAGAGGATAAGGCAAGGGTAATATTGAGAGGGAACGTCTAGGCCCTACGATAACGTAGAAACGAGGAGGTTAAGTCTAAGGAGTACTACTGACTACTACCTAGACTATATACTACTATTGGGGCGGAGCTATCTGAGTATGAAAGGTATGTGATATAACTATATACGGTCATAACATTGCACCTAGGGTATAGGGCGTCTTATCAACCAATCAACTACAAGGAGAGAAGGGTAAAGGGTTCATAGGGCCAAGGGTATCGGTGATTAAGCAGGGTTCTCAGGGACTACTTCTATTCAGGGTGAACGGAGATTAAGAAGGGTGTGAGAGAGTTCTGTGACTAGAAGTCTCGAGCGGTAATTAAGGATCTCGATAAGAGATGTGATCGAGATAGGATCTGAGGATCTAGATCTAAGGATCTAGATAGAATCTGGATCTGGAGATGTATCGGGTACGATCGGATCTAAGGGTTCTCCAGGGTCTTCGGTAATGAACATGCTTCTCTATGAGCGATGCTTCTGTGATAGGGATCTAGGGTTTAGCTGTGACTGTGCAACAGGTTCTAATGTAAGGGGTTCGATAAATGACAGAGGTAACTCTTAACGTGTCATGAGAAGTGAAGGTGTGCGATGTGAAGGGATGACTTCTTCGAGAGATAACTCGTAGAGGGCTCTTGGTTATGGTTCGATCATAGAGGCGTATAGACGCTTATGATATAACCCGTTGCCTAATCGTAGGACTTCTAAGGATGTGATGAGTTCATATGTTTTAGGGTTACGGATAAGATGGATGACATTGATATAGTATAGATATGATGTAAAGATAGTGATCGTTAATCGGTTATCCATCTTATCTTATCAGGGATCTATCTAATCTAATCTTATCGGATAAGGTGACTTAGGGTTCGATAATCGAATTTTAGATGCAGTTGGTAACATTCATGACAATATGGAACAACATCTTTGTTGGTGAAGACATTGCCATTAGGCTTCTGGACTGTGCGGCCATTGTCAGGTCGTGCATACTCTGGATAGCCATCCTCCTTCATGAATGTTTGAGGACAGAAGGTCTTTGGATAATGCTTCTTGCAACGACCATTCTCCAAGCAACGTTCTGGAGTGCAGGGACCATGAAGCATGAATTTGCTGACAGCTTCATAGAGTTGTGGATGGAGGTTCTGGTCAGGAATCTGAGCAGAGATGAGGGAGTCGACCTGCTCTGCAGTGCGTATCTTGTACTCTGGCTCGAGGAAGATGAGGAGATGCATGTGAGGGAGACCACGCTTCTGATATTCAATGGTGTACACCAATCCAGCGACCTTTCCATAGAAGCCATCGTGAACCTTCTTCAAGAGGGCCCGCTGCTTGAGATAAAACACGCGAGCCACCAAGTCTGGACGATCAACAGCAGTCTGACCTTTATGACTGATCAGCAATGAAAACATCAATAAGGCAAAAAATGCGAACTGACCTGGAAGAATATTGTCAGCAATCTCAGGCCAACTCCCATTTGCAGTCATGGTGAGGAACAGGTCTGGTTTTTGGCATGCACGACATATGGCCAAGGAGTCTTGGAGAAGTTGATACATATAGCGAGGACCCCCACTATGAGAGGAAGGAAGGATGAAGGAATGCCCTGTCTCAGCCAGATCACCAATGCCTTCATTGAGAACATTATCTGTCAAGCCTCTATAGCAGTCTGCCCTGAGCCTCTTCTGGTTGTTTCTGATCCAGTTCAAATTGCCTTGCTCGATAGTAGCCCAAGCATCAACCACATACTGCTGGAAGAGTCGTCCTGCACGAAAGATGTTGTCAGGCTCGATTGCAGGTGGACAGATGTGAAGGCAATAGCCATAATACAGCAGCTGTGTGACTTTTTCTGCATGACCACGACCACCCTCAGGGGGACGGAGAGGAATGTCAAGATGCCATCCCTCCTCACCAGAAGGAAAGAGAAGGACATAGTGAAGGGTGGAATAGGCATGACTGAGCTGGCTGATGCGGTGGAGCTGACCACCTTGGAGTCGCAATACAATGTCGCATTTGTCAGAAACATCCTCAGATCCATCTCCAGGAATGATGGCAGCAATCTCATTGGAAGTAGGAAGATTGTATCTTCGACCATCACTGCCTGGCTTGAAGTGAATGCGTACTTGAACATCTTTGTGCTGCTCTGGAGGCTTCTCTATCATGACTTGATAGGCTGCCTTGTAAAGTTGAGCATAGGGATGATGTCTGTAAAGCATATCATGGAGCTGTCTGAGGGTTTGAGGATCGAGATTGCGATTTCTGTCAACACGAACATTGGTGGCATGCTCTGCATCAAAGACATAAAGCTGAGCATAGGCAGGCTGTTGAGCTTCTCCAGGCATAAGACTTCCCATGAGGTGATGGAGAGATCCATGGATGCGAAAGGAGCTTGGGCCAGAGCCTCGAAGAGCAAGGTCATCAACTTTAATGCCAACAGAGGTGAATGCCACAGTACTGTTGTACTGACGAATGTTGGTGAGAAATGCATGCTGTTGATACAACTGCTGGAGCTCAGGAGGCCATGGTAGGAGAGGTGGGAGATCAACTTGGCCCTGCAAGCAACACATGCCAAATTTTGGATTACGTGCAGAGGAGTTGGTGAGTCTTTCAGTTGCAAAGTGGCGGGCATGACAGTTGGGACATTCTACAGTGAGAGGACCAAGAGTGTGATGATTGACAGGCTCTGCATATGGTTGACCTCCAGGAGGAACAGGAGCATTCTGAGGTGGTTGTTGAATAGGAATAGGAATGTTCTGTGGTGGTGCTGGTGGTGGTTGCTCATCCTCTGGATTATCCTGTTGACGATGTTCACGCTCCTGAGCTCTCCTTCTCTCCTCATCCTGGTCATGCTGCTCCTGTGATCCTGGATTGTGATAGTCCTGCCAAGCATCCTCCATACATGCCTCATATGCAAGCCTGCGTTGCTCTGCCTGAAGATGACGCTCATGCTCCTGCTGAGCTATCTCATAACGACGTGCTTCCTCTTCCTGTGCATGCAAGAGTGCTTGTTGTTGGGCTTGCAAAATCTCTGCTTGCCTATGCATCTCTTGAGCCTGACGATCCTGCAACTGTTGCTGAACCTGCTGCCTCTGGTGAGCCTCCTGTGCTTGTCGCTGCATTATTTCCTCCCTAAGCTGGCGAAGACGTGGATCTTCCATGTCTTCAACCTGATTTTGCAAGTTTTGCAAATGGTGATGAAACTGGATGTTAAATTGAGCATAATGAGGTTCAGGAGCAGGAGCAGGAGGGTGAGGAGGGTGAGGAGGGTGAGGAGGGTGAGGAGGGTGAGGAGGATTAAAGGGAGCAGGAGGCAGATCAGGAGGTGGTGGATTGGGAGCAGGACCCTGTCTGTTACGTCTTTGCCTTTGACGATCCTCCTGAGCACAATTGAAATTTTCCATTAGATTGAAGTTATGGTCAACTCCAACTCGTACTCCCTGAACACCAGGCTGATGGAGAAAGGGATGGGCATTCTGCATGTTTTGAGGGTGAGCTGCGCCCTCATAATACACAGCACCATGCATTGGCATTTGAGCAGCAGGATAGACAGGAGCTGGGGGAGGGACAGGGGCAGGAGGAGGGTGATAGCCACCAAATCCTGGAGGATAGACAGGGGCAGGGGCAGGAGCAGGAGCAGGAAAATAGCCAAAGCCTGGAGGATAGACAGGGGCAGGAGCAGGAGCAGGAGGAAAACAGCCAAAGCCTGGAGCAGGTGGGGGTGGTGGTGGGTGATGAGCACGCCACTGACAGTGCACCTCATGACGCTCAATTGCATTTCGTGGAATTCCAGGAAATCTCTGCACAGGGATCTGAGCATGATTTAAATTTCCCAGCATATGAGGAATATTCTGAATAAGATATGTCAGCAACGGTCGAAGTTTTCAATCAAAATACACATACCATATGGGGAGCATCTGGTGCTACAGGGGCAGGATCATTTTGCGGTAGACATTGTGCAGGAGGCGAGCCAAGGTTACGTTGATTTCTCTCAGCACGACGTGCAGCAGACTGAGCTCGTTGAGGGGAAGTAGGTGGAGTGGAAGGAAGCCTAAGGAGAAATTAATTAGCAGGACTCGATAAACGTATATAAATGATGTACGAACATGGCAGTATGTAGCAACAAAATCGAAAAAATGAGGCAAAATATAGCAATGGACAGGATAGAAACACCACTGCAGCAAAATTAGTCGATGAAGACATGAGAGATGCGTTATACGCACATAGGTCGGAATCCAAGAAAGTGGGTGTGTGTGAGTGGTCGAAGAAGTCTGCACCTCCCGAGAACAGGATCGCATCAGGAAATCGACGTATGACAGTGCTGAAGACAACAAAAATGCTGTCCGAGATATTATCCCAGGGGATAGGAAGGCAACTGTGAGCAACTGCCAGATAGAACACCCAGCAGTCAGACTCAACGCAAAAAAGTGTCCCGCCAACCAAATCTCTGCACTGTAGTGCTATCAGAGGTCCCAGCAAAAGCTGATAGCAACCGGCAAACACCTGTAAAAACAGGCAGCCAGGGAGGTAGGACTTGACATGGAGATGTCACAGGACAGTCTTTGACAACTGCATAAGACGCCCGCAAGACTCCTCGCACGTTCGTCTTGTATACCCAATTTCCCCAGTTCTCCGTGGGATTCGGGCACAGAAACAAACAACAAACACACCACACGAACCTGCTCTCCAAAAGGGTCCAGGGGAGGTCCAAAGGGTCCAGGAGGGTCCAGGGGTCCAAGGGAGGTCCAAATGCGGTCCAAACGATCCAAAATGCGGTCCAAAAACAGCAGAAAAGCGAAAATCACTATATTTATTTGAATTTTTCAAGTTATTATCATATTTTTGTATTTAAATAAGTAAAGCTTACCCCAGGAGGGGAATTTCACTACAAATTTACAAATAATCACTGGGGAGAGGATTTTAACAATGTAGTATGCAAGGAAACAGATGATGGGGGAAAAGAGGTGTTTAGATTGCGAGGGTTTCGAACCTCGTAGGGAAATGGAACTCCGAAAATGAAAAGCACGCGAAATTTCCAAAATCGTCGTTAAGCGTCACTGCCGACACCATGTGTGCTACACGGAAATGCCCAAATCCTCCCACATTGCCCCCCTCCCTTCTCCCTTACTTTTTAAGACGAGTCCAAGCCCGTTGTGCCTTTGGCACAGGAAGCAAGCAGAGCACTTTGTGCTCTGCTGGAGGCACCTTCAGTGCTTTGACTCACTGTGTCTGCATATTATTTACTTGTGAGAAATAAATAAATTCTTACATCTTACATTATATAGTTTTGTTTTAGTTATGGGATGTTGCACAAACAGTTTGACTGAAGGTTACCTGGGACACTGGCTTGCAATCCCGTGGCCTCGTGCCTCGGCCAGCAGGATGCAAGCCAGTGTCCCAGGTAACCTTCAGTCAAACTGTTTGTGTCATGCTATTGACTCATACACTTCCTCCCAATTATCTGATTTCCTATCTCCCATGTCCTGTGTCCCGTGTCCCATGTCCCATGTCCCATGGTTCTGTGTCCCACTGTCCCACTGTCCTGTTGTCCTGTTGTTTGTCCTGTTGTCCCGTGTCCCATTGTCCCGTTGTCCTGTTGTCCTGTTGTCCTGTTGTCCTGTTGTCCCATGTCCCGTTGTCCCGTGTCCCACTGTCCCATTGTCCCATGTCCTATTGTCCCATGTCCCATGTCCCATGTCCCGTGTCCCATGTCCCGTGTCCTGTGTCCCGTGTCCCGTGTCCCGTGTCCCGTGTCCCGTGTCCCGTGTCCCGTGTCCCGTGTCCCGTGTCCCGTGTCCCGTGTCCCGTGTCCCGTGTCCCGTGTCCCGTGTCCCGTGTCCCGTGTCCCGTGTCCCATGTCCCATTGTCCCATGTCCCATTGTCCCATTGTCCTGTGTCCCATTGTCATGTCCTCCCATCTCCCATCCTCCTATTGTCCTCCCATTATCCTCCCATCATCTTGTCCTCCTGTAGTCCTGTCCTCTTATCCTCTCATCCTCTCATTGTCCTCCCGTCCCCCTGTCATCCTCCCATCCTCCCATCTCCCTATTCACCCCATTTCTCCATTCTCTATCTTCCCATTCCCATGTTTACCCATTGCCCATTTTTCCCATCTTTATATTTTTGCATTTTTACACTTTCACATTTTCGCATTTTTCATATTTTTCTATTTGCTTGGTGTTCTTTTTCTATCCTATTGTGGCTACATTTATATGTATACACAATTACAGTACATATACATCATTGTTGTTGGAGCCACCTGCCAAATCAGTCAACCCTTACATACTAACGGACGAAGGTTTGCGCAAAATTCAAACTCCGCTTGACAGAACCACATGGCATTCCCTTTTTCAGCGCTCCAAGGGAGAAGGGATTCAAACAACCGACGCAACCGACGCAACCGAAACAACCGAAAATGCCCAAATCCTCCCACATTCCCCCCCTCCCTTCTCCCTTACTTTTTAAGATTTTTAAGATACAATATACAATATTGATGTCGTACGAATTTACATAAATACTGTTGCCTAAATGCGACACAAACACAAGTACAACGAGCAAGGGCTATAGTAACTACAGGTGCGGCACCAAATTAGCCCACGACACCGCCTTGAATATGTCAGCATGAAGACTGCGTAAAGTGGTGAACATGAGTATGAAGAGGATGGAACGTGCTGCTATGTACGACACGATCCCAGGAAAAAATGCGATAAACACAAGCCTCAGGGTTTTCTTTTTGTCAGTCTTCGGTATAAACAAGAGGTATACCAGCAAATGAAACCATTGCGCGAAAGTAATATAGATGGCACTTGCGCGCCATAAGACCTGCTCTGGGTATGTGGGGAAGGGATAAAGCCAAGCGGCACAGTGGATGGCGCCAAACGTGGTTCCCATCACAAATCCAGCGAAAGTAAGAACATCACTTTCCCGGGGATCTAGTTTGATGTCGCCATCTAACGCTGCGACTCGTAGCCGTTGAGGGGATGTTGTATCAAAGCCAGCAAGTCGCACAGTTGAGTCAAGGAGCGAAACAGCGATGATCTCCAAAGATAGTGGAAGGTCTCTTTCAGAGACACTAAGGAGAACATAATCAGCAGCGGTAGAATTGATTGAGGCGTAGATGTACCCATCAAAGCTGACCTCTGCCAGCTTGGCCTTGGTGGACTTCCAGTAGACTGGATGGGAACATTGTACATCGAGAGGCTTATTCCACCACACAGCATAGGTAATGAAATTGAGAACCGCAAAAGCAAGTGTCCCCACCTCAAAAAGCGTGATCTCCAGGTGATAAATGCCGCGGGAAATGAGCTGCAGGATAAACGAAGCCACCTGAAGGACAATCAGTCCTTTTGATATTGCATTGCCTTTGCTCCGGTCGTGGATCTGTTTTGCCGTCAGACGAGGGAGATCAATAGATCCATCCTCCACCAGACTAAGAAGTTGATTAGGCAATAGTATATGGTAGGGTTCATCGTCCACATAGAGCATGAAACCACCCATCAGCGCAAAGAAGCTGTGAGTCTGAGTCCATGCATAATCTAAGGATGCATATGAGCCAAAATTCACGTACGGTTTGAGGGGTACACAAGTCAAACTTACCTTCAAATTGATCTGAAGTATAAGCCTTAAACCACTCTTTAAATCGCTTCGCAAGTGTACGAGTTCCCTTACATCCTGATTGGAGTGCCATGAGCTTGCCGAAGAGACACTAGTGCAATTGGTTCACCTTCGTTATCACCACACGCCTGGGTGTTGTCATGATCTTAAGGTGCAGGCAAGGCATAAGGAACTATAATCAAGATGCAAGATAGAATGTCGAGTTCACCTTTGTAGGACTCAGGTACTTCGATACGCTCATCACCTAAGGAAGTACATGCTGAGCAATATATCAAGGGTGATGAAGAGCAGAACTCACTTTCAGGCCGCTCTTGTGGATGACGAGCACTGAGGTGCTTAAACTGTGCTGAAATATGACGAGCCCAGAGCCACTGGCGCATCGCCCATGCAACGAGCAGCTCAGGAACGAATAGGGCAAATAATATCAAGTAAGCGCGTCGCAATAATACACGAACGGGGCTGTCCTTGGGACTCGGAATATTGACGTGCATGGCACTGTATGTGCACGCAAAGATGGTTAGAGCGCAAGTCGAGACGATGTTCCACAAGGTTCTGTGATTCGCGCATGACGGAGTTTCAGAACCATCACTAGTAGAAGCTGAATCAGGAGTATCTGAGGCTTGGATCACTCGAACAAGGTAAAGAATGCAAAGAACTAGGCGCATTGCTGGATGCTTTGGGGAGGAGGTTTTGACGTTGTATATCAAATGCTCGCCATAAGTATTTTGCTGATTGAATGGCGGGCATCACCTCTTAATGGGGCCCTGACAACAGTGAGAATGTTCGCCTGGTCTTGCGGTGCAGTAAGCGGTGTCCAATGACCTAAAATCCTGGTTCGGTTAACAAGCGCTCAAATTTACAAGGATTGCTCATTGAGGGAACGCTTTTCGTAAGGCTCAGGGTAAGCGCAAGATACCCCTATCGATGATATGAGTTGCACGAGGCGGCATGGATGGATCCAGGATTCAAATATTCTGCTGAACTGTGCAGGGCTTTGTATCTTACTAGGACCGCAGTTGACTCATCGATACTAGAATACGTATTGATCAGGACATGTCCTGGAGAGCGTTTATCCGCCGAGATAAGAACCCCGCGCGAGATTAAGTCTGACGTACACACCTTGCGAAAAGACTTCAGTGGTGCCAGGCGCGTTTTCTTCTGAATCCTATAGATTTTGAGCTAACATTGATGGGTCAGAATGGGTAAAGACATACATACCATACACTAATCCCCAGCAGAATACGGCCAGCGCCTTAGTGAGCTTTGCGTCCGTTGCCTTGTAGGCGACTGAGGGAATTGAAATCAGAAACGGAAGTCCAGTTCGGACTGGTACAACAGTAAATTTGGTGAACACCTGAACACCCAACGTGACCACACGTTCGGTTCAGTTACTTAGCTGAACGCTGGACTGGACATCCTTGAACATGCTCGGGACGTCCTATTCGCACGTTTGAACGCGAAAAGCGTTGGTTATTCGTCAACAATAAACAAGGCTCGGTTGTATAACCAAACTGGGTGTTATTGCACGAGTGACGATAACCAGCATGATACTGTGGAGTAACTGAATAAGGCAAGGATGTGCTGCAGGGTCTTCGAGAAAGGCGGTCGGCGCGCTTCGACTGGTCATATGAATGGTATGCCCATATGCCCATAAGCGGTAGTGTGGTAAGGCGGCGAGTTGCAAGGATGAGAGTGAAATTAAATGTCAGAGCGTAACGTACCAAGGCCAGTCATGTCACAGTATACCACTGCCCAGATAGTACAGTCTCCCATCGAAGCACGCGCTCAAGAAACTTCGAAAGCCCAAGACAGGTGTGCCCCGAGAATTGCAACATGCAGCCAGTTTAACTCATTGTGCCAATTGTCCCAGGTGATTGGAGGAAGAGGTTTTTGGTGCCTGAGAGTTTACCACGCGTCGTGATCGAGAATGTCGGCGTCGACAAGGGCATAGTCGGGATCATCATTGGACAGCTCCGGGCCGTGGGTTGGCGTCGCCATTGAGCTTTGGGGAGTGAGAGTCTCCATCGGCGAGGGCGTCAAAGCGAGCTGGATCGATCGACAACGTGAGGGGAGATGGTTAATCTAGAGAAGAAGAATGCAACGAACATTCATTTTATCGTGAAAACCTTATAGAGCTACAACATCTTTCTCGGCTTTCTGATGCGTAGACGAATAATTGAGAGGAGACAGCAATCTAAACGAGTGACCGTCCAGTCAGATACGGCCACATAAATAGTGACCGAGCCGTGACCTGGTAAGTCTCGAATCTGAAAGCAGGCGACGTATGACGTCGACGCTGTTAACGTTCGCACCTTCCGAGTCGCGCAGTCCTCTTTGGAAGGCCAGCAGGGGCCAAATTAACGTAAGTACGCGATGAACCTCCGTCATGGGCGTCTGAACGTACGCGAAGTCCACGAACTTAAAATTACTTGCGCATTACGTTTTGACTTTGACTCTCCACAGTGCATGGATAGAAGATCCCGTGATCCGTGGACCGTGGGGCAATTATTTTCACGCCTTCTCCACACAACTAGCCGATTTGATACGCGCAAGCTATGTGATAACATTGTTCACTGCCATCCTACAATCGTCTCCCTCGCATCTGTAGCAGCTGCAGCCTCGTTCTTTCGTAAAAGCGCCAAGATGTAAGTGTATGACACGGATATACGGAAGGACTTGTCCTGTCCGTCAGCCGTCCAGCAGGTCGCTCCACAAGGGGACCACTCCGCTCACGGATAGTACTTCCAGTGCGAGCCTTCTAGTAGAATCCTTGAGCTGCGACTTTACTGAGGGAGTCTATGCTCTTAAGTGTTGGGAAGGATATCAATGGATAGTCATTCGCAAAAAGGTACTATCAAAGATACTTCGTGATGGTCTAGGTTAAGCTGACCCGAAACAAATCCATTACCAAGATGCGCTTGCCTAAATACGACACAGATACAAGTATGAAGTGCACAAGTACCACGAGCAAGAACTACAAATGCGGTACCAAATTCGCCCACGATACCGTCTCGAATGCGTCAGGACGAAGACTGCGTAAAGTAGTAACCATAACTGTGAAGATGATGACACGTGCTGCTATGTACAGTACGATCCCAGGAAACATTACTATAAACGAAAGCCTCAGCGTTTTCTTTTGTTCAGTCTTCGGTATGAACAGGAGGTATGCCAGTAAATGAAACCACTGTGTGAAAGTGATGTAGATGGAGCTCACGCGCCATAGGACCCGTTCTTGATATGTGGGGAAGGTATAAAACCAAGCAGTACAGTGTATGCCACCAAATATGGTTCCCATAAAAAGGCCAGCCAACGTAAGTAATGTCGCTTTCCTGGCGTTCTAGTTTGACGTTGCCATCGCACGTTGGGACTCGTAGCTTTCGAGGGGACATGATATCAACGCCAATGAGTCGCACAACTGAGTCAAGGAGTGAAACAGCAACGATCTCTATAGATATTCCGAGGTCATCGTTTTCAGAGACGCTAAGGGGACATAATCGGCAGCGGTAGCATTAATCGAGGGGCAGACGTACCCATCAAAGCAGACCTCTGCCAACTTGGCCTTGGTTGACTTCCAGTAGACTGGATGAGGACATTGTACCCCGAGAGGCTTATTCCACCACACAGCATATGTAATGAAATTGAGAACCGCAAAAGCGAGTGTCCCCACCTCAAGCTGTGTGGTCTCGAGGTGATAAATGGCGCGGGAAATGAGTTGCAGGATAAACCAAGACACTTGAAGGATGATCAATCCTTTTGATATCGCATTACCTTTGCTCCGGTCGTGGATCTGCTTTTCCGTCAGGGTAGGGGCATCAATGGATCCAGCACGGATTAGATCGAGAAGGGGGTCAGGCAACAGTATATGGTAAGGTTCTCCGTCCACATAGAGCATGAAACCGCCCATCAGCGCAAAGAAGCTGTGAGTCTGAGTCCATGCGTAATCTAAGGATGCATAGGAGTCAAATTTCACGTATGATTCAAGAAATAGTGAGTCAAACTTACCTTCAGATTGCTCTGAAGTGTAAGCCTTAAACCACTCCTTGAATCCCTTCGCAATAGTACGGGTTCCATCATATCCTAAATTGGAGTACTATGAGCTGCCGAAGACACACTGGTGCAGATGCTTCACCTTTAGCGTGCGCTAGTGCATATGGTTTACTTTTAGCATGCGCTACGAGAGCCCGGGTGCCGTCGTGATCTTAAGGCGCAGGCAAGCCATAAGGAACAACATTCAAGATGAAAGATAGAACGTCAAGTTCACCTTCATATTGCTCTTCAGGTGCTTCGGTACACTCGTCATCTAAGAAAATACATACTGAGCCGTCCAGTGAACACATTTCAGAGCAGGACTCACTTTCAGACCGCTCTTGTGGGTGACGCATACTGACATACTTAAACTCTGTTGAAATATGACGAGCCCAAAGCCACTGGCGCAACGCCCATACAGCGAGCAGCTCAGGAACGAGTAGGGCAGCTACCATAATGCCCAAGTGTAGCAATAAAATATGAACGGGGCTGTCCTTAGGACTCGGAATATTGGGGTGGATGGCACTGTATGTGCATGCAAAGACGGTCAGAGCGCAAGTAAGGACGATGCTCCACAGGGTTCTATGGTTCGCACACGACGAAGCTTCGGAACCATCGCTGATAAAAGTTGAATTAATGGTAGGTGCGGCGTAGATCACTCGAATGAGGTAGAGAATACAGAGGAGTAGGCGCATTGTTGGATGCTTTGGGGAGGAGGTTTGACGTTGTATATCAAATGCGCGCTATTTATTATTCCGATGATTGAATTGGGGGGCGTCACCTCTTAATGGGACCATGACAGCAGTGAGAGCATATTTACCTAGTGTTTGCGGTGTGGCAAGCACAAGGAAAGCCTATCAATGATATGAGTTGCATGAGGCTGCATGGATGGATCCAGCATTTGACCACTTTGGCACTGCCGAACTGCAGGAAGTAAAAATGTTTAAGGTCGGTATCCAGAATACTGAAGGTTAAGGTTCAAGACACTGCCTTTCAGGGTTCTGTACCTTGGGACCGTAGTAGACATCAGAACTAGGGATATGTCCCTGAGCGTATCTAGATTGGTTTTATCTTCCGAGATGAGCGCGCCACATGAGATTGTCTGACGTACATAGCTTGCGAAGAGTTCAGTGGTCCCAGGCGCATTTTCTTCTAAAAATTGGGCCTTCCTATAGGTTATGAGCATATGTTTATGGGCAAGGATGGGTACCTCATGAAGGGATACATATCATGCATTCGTCTCCAGCAGACACAGCCAGCATCTTATTTTTGCTTCGCGCTCGTTGTTTCGCAGGTAGCTGAGGGAATTGAGATGGTAAGAAAGTCCTAGTGATGCGCAAGTCCGGTCCAGTATTGTTCGACAGGCCATTGAGTCGATGCCGGACGTGACCGCGCGTTCGGTTCAGCCACTTAGAAAGACACGCCTCGATTGTATAGCCAAACTAGGCGTTATTGTATGACAACCTGCAGGATACAGTGAAGCAAGACTACAGCTGAATAAGGCAAGAATGTACTGCAGGGGCTTAAGCGAGAAACGCGGAAGTTGGCGCGCGCTTTGAGTCATTACATGAATGATGTGCCCATATGCCCATAGGCGGTAGTGATGCTTTAGAACTGTAGTAAGGTGGCGAGTCGCAATGATGAGAGTGACTATCAGAGCTTACCTTACCAAGCCAGTCATGTAATAGTATATCACTACCCAAATGGCGCAGTCTCCCATTGAAGGCGGGTACAGCACACGCCCAAGAAACCTCAAGACAAGTGTGCCCCGAGAATTGCAATGTGTAGCTAGTTCAATTCCTTGTACCAGTTGTCTCATGGATTGGAGGAAGAGGTTTTTGGTGCTTGAGAGTATGCAACACGTCGTATCGGGAATGTTGGCGTCGGCAAGAACGTATCCGGGATCCTCATTGGGCGGCTCCAGGCTTTGTGTTGGTGTCACCATTGAGCTTTGGTGCTATGGAGTGTGAGAGGCATCAACGGACCCGTCGAGCGAGCTGGAGGGATAGACTCAGAGGTGAAAAAGACGGGCGACTTGACAATACAACGTACGTTCATTCACCGTGAATCAACATTAGTACTGTAAGGAGCTACAACATTTTTCTCAACCTTCTGGTGAGTCCTGCAGTACTGAGCATTGAGCACTGAGTCCTGACGACACCACAGATGAGATGACTCCGATTTCAATGACGGTCACATAGGTCACATAGGTAGTGACCGAGCCGTGACTTGTCGATGTAAGTGATGATAAATCTTGTTTAATTTTGATCGATCGCGCTGGAGGACATGCTTGGATCTAGATCTCATATTCTCTGAAAACGAGGCGGGGGCACGACGCCCCCCTCGCGTGACTGGATCACCGAGCTAAGGAACGAAGAATCGAAGGCCAGCAGGCGCCAAATTCACGTACACGATCATGGACCCCACATCATGGGCGTCTGCGCACAAGAACATTCACGAACTTACTTGCGAAGAGCGATCTTGTCCTGCTAGGTACATGTATCTCCCCGCATCATTCTGTGCATTATATTTTGACTTTGACTCTAGAGCATATTCTGATGGAGGATGCCATGATCCGTGGGACAATTATTTTTCACGCCTCATCACCACCTGGGCTTACTGGTGGACCCGCAGAAGGACCACGTAATTGACGTCGGTGACGAACAGAAAGTCACAACATTCAGGCGTTACACTCAGTTCGTCAGGATGTTTAAGGCATACTTTCCATCACTAACAGCACGGAGAGGCTTACTATCGAGCCGATAGCCATGTCTCCTCCACCCGTTCGCATATACTGAAAGGTTCCTCAGTGATTTCTTATACCCTTTCCCAGGATTTGACACTTTATTATATGGTCATCGTCGAATCGGTGCTGAAGCTGTGGAATACATTGAAGATGGACCACCCGATAGACATTATGGCCGCCTGATATGCTCGTGAAATTGAGGCACTTTCTATCAGAATGTCATAACACCCATCACACTGCCGGCTGTATGAAGCCTTCGAAAGTCGTTCAAATCGGAAGGAGCGCTACTGCCCGTCAGCTGCCCGGCGGTTCACTCCACAAGGAGACTATTCTGCTCACGGATAGTACTTCTGTACCGTGCTGGGAGCGGGCGTTCTTGAGCCGCGACAGTACTGAGAGAGTCCACGCTCTCGTTGATAAGGACGTATTCGTTTCGACCGGTACCACAAAGCTTTCAGGTACGGACGAGGATGGCTGTTTGTAATTGGAAGAACTTGTCTTTGTGTCGGAGCAGTTCTAGATGCTGCTTGGGTGAGTGGCTCTCTACGACTAGGCAATGTTAGAAACCTCAACTCCATGCTTCGTGCTCCAGATGTTGTCGTGGGTTCCAACGTGTACTGCTGCAAAGGTTCTTGCAGAAGAGTGCACAACTCGTCGTCTCCGATACTCCATATCGCGCCCGAATCCAACCTTGAGGGGGCTGTCTTTGCAGGACGCCTTTGTCTATTACTCACCTCTTGAGATGCGACTGGCTCTCTAAATTCTACAACTTCACTTCCAGATATTCTGGTTATTAAATCTTATAGAGATGTTTCGCAGGGAATTCGCGTTTGGGTATGTTCCCGCGTTTCAAGATATCAGTAGATACCTTCACACCATGTTTCTAGAGAATAAAAAGATGGGCAGGTATATCGCTAGGCACTTCAAGAGCTGAAACTCAAGCATCCCGTTGAACTACCCCCCTAGCTCAGCTCCAAGGTCGTGTGTAACAACCGCACTTTCTGGTCCATAAGTCGCGGTTTCTGTCCGCGAGCAGCGGCAGCCTGGTCTGCTAACTTTTGAACCTGGCAGCACTTCTCCAAAGATGAAAATGTGAACGGTAGATCCAATCGACTCGGTGGCAACAAGTAGGCCATGGTTCTACCAGAAGGGCATGATAAGCAGGTAAGAACGTGCAACCGAAATCTAAAATATACCTAGAGGATAGCAGCTTGGAATATTGTGAGTATCGACATATGTGAATCAGTGCACCTGCAAACCTTCTTTGAACCCAGAGCAGCCGATATAGCCAAACCTTCCTTGCCGTCATCGACGACGCCGCGAGTTTCGCCGAATATCATATGATCCTAAGTATTCATCGACTAAGATCTCTTTTAAGAACGATGGAGGCGAAATACTTCATAAAAAGCACAGTTGTCCTGAGTGATGGGATCAAGCGGCACCCTAAGGGTGCCGAACGCCATGCCATACGTAGTGTGCGAATGTGCAACACAGATGACATCTGGGCGAGCTTCACAAGCCGGTGAATTAGTGAAGCATGCAGTCTTGTTGAAAAACCGAATGGGTGCAGATTCCTCATCCTGTATTCTACCTTCATGGCCTACGAGAGGGAGGAGTAATATGTCCAGCAACACCTGCGTCGAGGTCATACATTGCTGCGTTGCATGATGAAGACACTTCCTGTTACGAGGAACCAATCTGCTCACCAAAGATACGGTACGCTTGAGCCAGGCGAAATTTCAAGAACACTCAATGTTCGAATGCATCAGAGAACGCCGGACAAGGAGGTACGTTCTTCGCAGAATCCCTCGAAAATTTCACTGTCTTCGTAGGACTGTTGCTGGCGTCCCCCATAGTACGGTCATAGCAACTGGTTTGCGGTCGAATGTGGGATGAACTAGAGCGTGTTAGTCCAGCGAGATTCAGAACGTACGAGGCGAGTAGCTATAAGTATGCATAATCTGGTGGCTGAGTGACGAAGCTGAATCACCAAAAGGCAAGAAAGAAGCGAAGTAGCGAATAATAAGGTGACTGACACGAGCGTTTTATACCACTTGCAATGAGAACTTGATCATGGTCACCAAATCCGGCTTGAGTCTGGCCACACCAGCATGACGAAGCAGATGTCATATCAATATCATGTCACTTAGTATCTCCACTCTGCCAACGATGCTGTAAGCGTTGCTCACAGCGCAGTGCAAGTGCTACATCGATCCGATTCGGGAGTCTATCACATGAAAACACAAAATCGAAGTAAAAAATACAGGTAAAAGGGCGTACAAAAGTAAAAAGAACAGAACACATCAAAGAGCCATCGTAACGCCCAACAAGGCAGGCCACAGAATAAACACCACACGGAACTTGAGTTTCTCAATATCGATGCGGCCAGCCGCGCTGCTCTTGCTATTACCAGAGGGTTGATCGATGTTCCCGATGTCGCCTGGACGGAGGGGCGGGATCACGATGCTCGTCGAGGATGGCATTGAACCTCCGGATACCACGGAAGATGTCGATGAGGAAGGAGATAGTGACAGTGGTTGGGAGGTAGTCGCCTGAAAGAAAAGATTTCCGCTGGTAGAGGTTGAGATAGAACCCTGAGATGACAGAAAAGAGTCGCCTGGAACCACGATGGTGAAGTCGGCGCTGTAGATGGTTGTGTTGTAGGGGGTATCCGTGATGTAACGAAAAGTGCTATGAATCGTGATGTGAAAGGGGGGACTATTGAGAGTCCGCGCCGTCATCTGTTAATTATCCACGTACAAATTGGAGCTATCATGTACAAGCTTCCTAGGTATATCCAACTGGCAGTATTTGGCCGCAGGGCTCACGTTCGTAGCGAGCGTCGCAAGGTACGTCTGCACAAATAAGATAACCCGTCAGGTTTTTGTGCATCTCCACAACCAAGAAAGAAAAGTCGATGAAAACGCACGTCGTCGTCGCAATACAGCTGTATAGTGATACCGCCCATATCGCTGAGCAGCGGGAAACTTCCATCTTCTATCCACCTCGTCAAGGCAGTCTCCCCAGCGTAGTACACGGTGTTCTGGATAGGCTGAATTGGGTACAAGGACGCGGAGACAAGAGTAAGAATGGCGAGTGTCAGCGTCGCGAGAAATACTCCGTGGAACATGGTTCTGCTGGACTCCGAGTCTGGTGATGGGAGAAGTGTACTGAATCTGAATTCCTACGACGCTATTGATGTGATATGACAGACCAGCTGCGTTCAAGAAAATCGCTACTGAAATTTGGCAGGTAAAAGATCACGGTGTAAGGATTGAGGTTTCTCCGAGATGAGATGAACAAGTGAACACAACAGTAATGATATGATATGGACGTATCACATCACGTGCTTTGATTTTCTTTTCCATAATTACATAACTATATGAATGTGCAACATACAACCTTTACTTATCTATGCTTATCTCAATAGAATGTGTTGAATTGATTAAGGTACTACGAGAACGTAAACACGTTAAGCTTCGAGTCAAGGAGATAGTTAAGTAACGAAAGTTTGAGAGAGTTTAACAAAGGAATTTAACGAGAGTTTGGGCAAAACCCGCAGGGTTTCCAGCCGAAACAAGTCTTGGGGCTTCTCTTAAACGGGGCAAGAGCGAGCTGAGATACCCTGAATATAAGGAGCGTGATGACACATCTAGTGTGAGCTCAACCCCAAAAATAAAGGAGGTATGCAAGAACTTATGATGTAGTTGCTTTAGGGAAGTGCGTAGTGCATGAAAGGTTCCAGTACTGGTCGATCCTGCAGGTACAGCACTAAAATTACAGCGTGATGTCGAAGGTAGATCAGAAAGGCATCGCTGCTCCAACGACCCATAGTCTTGACAGACTTGAAGGGTACACCTCATAGCAGATACTTGAGAGTCCTGCCAATCCTAATCCCATGTCCCTTTAGTGAGTCGCTGATCACTCGCTGATTGTAAGCATTTGAGAAACTGGCTCCTCATCAATGGCCTCATTCCCGTGTGGTGCTTCCAGCTGAAGAGTGCGTCAGATGTGGCTGGCTCATTGACGGTGAGATGATTCACGAGTGCTGCTTGAGGGTCGACGACACCCAACTGTGCAGCCCAAAAAACCTCTTCTCCAGCAATCACAACTTTAGTATGTGGCAGACGGAACACTGTCACCTCAAAACCGTTCCTATCTGTCTCATTTCTCATGTCACCCACCTTTACGTGTGCCGATGGGTCAAAACCCTGCAGTGATGGTACCATGAACTCTCCAGTTCTTGCAATGGTGAAGAATGAGGTGGTGAGGCACGCATAGACTGCTGCATGAAGCGGAGTGGTGAGATCCAGCATGGAATGAAGATCCTTGATGAGGTCCACTGAGGTTGCCGGGGTGAGTTGTTTGCTGCCTTCCAGCGCTAACGAGACTTGGTCATGGTTGACGAGCCAAGGTTGGCCATGCAACAGATGCCAAGCATGGATAGAATAAAGGTAGTTCTCAAGCGTTTTTCCCGAATACATTCCTGCGCACAAGGCAATGAACGTGAGGATAAGGAGTGATGGAGCCAGGCACCGCTGAATCTCAGAGATGTTGCGTGTATCACAGAACATGTGAAAAACTAACAGACCTGATCCGTATGTCTCCCGTGTGCTGAGAGCATGCAAATGAGCGATTATGATGAGTATGTGGTCCAGATCCTCGTCGGAGATTGCTACTACCGCTCCGGTGTGGTCCAAACGTGAACATGAAACCGCGGGCACCCACAAACGTAGTCGATCACGAGCCAGGCAGTGTGGTCTCAGAGATGAAGCTATGGGAGTTAGTGTAGGTTTGTAGGGACGAGGCTGTGCTGTCGTGCTCAGTGGGACAATTGGAGGAATGTCGAGGAAACGCGAGGTTCTAATCATGCCAGGTATCATGGAATTCATGGAGCCGATCTCCCCAGTTCCAGTTGTCCTCCTCATCAGCCAACTTATCAGTGCTTGGGTTCTGATTGATGGTGTGATGGTCAAGGGGTGCGACTGATAAGTCTGCCTCAGCAAGAAACTTTGTGAGGTCGCCGGGGAGGGCAATGGGTGGTAGGAGGAAGTGACGAGGGGGGAAAATACCCCTGGAGGGTCCATCCGCAGGGTTGTTGGTGCTGGCGACATATGACAAGTGGAATGAAATTCCCTTGCCACTGGAGTTGAGGAGCTGGTGGATCCAGCGAAATACGAGGTTGGTGGCCCAGTTTCTGCTGCGCCTGTTTTTCCAGCTGTTGACAATTCCTTGGTTGTTGCAGAAAACGCGGAAATGGTTGAAGGGATGGGCTTTGCAGCCCATGAGGATGGCATGGACAAGGAGCTCAAATCCAACACCCTCGGCCCATCTGATGTCCTGCTGACCATCAAGCATTGACCATCCTGGGCGAAGGGTCCAGGCATGCCAATACTCATTAATAGTAATTGCAATCCCGACAGATGTGCTGGCGTCAGAGAATGCACGAATGTCGATGAGGGAGGAGGGCTGTGCAATTGAGTGATTGACACGGGGTTGTGCGAGCTTGGCCTGCCACCAGTCGAGTTCGTTGTTGAGATGGCGAACTGAATGGTGTGGCATGAAAGGATGACTGGTGCAAATTCCGAGCATGGTCTCCAATGAGGTGAGGTAAGTGCATCCCACTGGGACGACCAGGCAAGAGTGTAGGAGTTTGCCATATAGCCTCTGGACCTTGAGGAGAACGTGCGTGGGCTTCAAGTGCCATTCTGTGTTGGCTGTGGAGTACTTATCCTTCTTCGCCAGCGATAATTGCACTGAGAGTTCGATGAGGTTCCAGACCAGGCCCAGGTGTAACACCACGAAGGCAAAGGCTGTGTCCTTGGTTGGTTCCCAAGGAATCCCCAATGGTAGTGAGGTGCGATCAATGTCTGCAAAGGTGAAAGCGAATTCAGCGTCAACATCAGACCACAGAGAGGATTGTGATAGGTCATGAAGTGGGAACCTACAATCTTTGGCATGGACCTCGAAACTGTCATCATCAAACACCCAACCTTTATGCCACAACCGCCCTCTGGATTGTGTTCGCCCTCCAATAGCCAGGAGATTATGCACAGCATTCCTGTGTACGTTATAGTTGAGGAGGTGCTCTCGTCAAACGTGAAAGAAAAGGTGATCATCCACCCATTTTGCAAGTGGGCCAAGACCTGCGGCTCATAATAAGTCAGCCCCGGAATCTGTGACATGGCCATAGGCACCTGCAGAGGGTCCCATGCCAAAGGCAACACACATGTCCATGTGTTATGACCAACGTCCCTTAACCTAACTAGTAGGTGTCTGGAGATTGAATCACACCACAGGACTCATCTGAAGAGGATAAAGCAAGGATAGATTTTGAGAGGGAACGTCTAGGCCTACGATGACGTAAGAACGAAGAGGTTAAGTCTAAGGAGTACTACTGACTACTACTTAGACTATATACTATACTTGGGTCGGAGATATCTGAGTATGAAAGGTTGTGATATATCTATATACGGTCATAACATTGCGCCTGGGCATAGGGCGTCTTATCAACCAATCAACTACAAGGAAGGAGAAAGGGTTCATAGGGGTATCGGGAATTAAGCAGGGTTCTCAGGGTACTGCTTCTATTCAGGGTAAGCGGAGATGAAGAAGGGTGAGAGAGTTCTGTGACAAGAAGTCTCGAGCGGTAATTAAGGATCTTGATAAGAGATGGGATCTGGAGATGTATCGGGTACGATCATATCTAGGGTTTCTCCAGGGTCTTCAGTAATGAGCATGCTTCTCTATGAGCGGTGCTTCTGTGATAGGGGTTCAGGGTTTAGCTGTGACTGTGCAACAGGTTCTTATGTAAGGAGTTCGGTGAATGACAGAGGTAACTCTTAACATGTCATGTGTGGGAAGTGAAGGTCTGCGATGTGAAGGGATGATGACTCTTCGAGAGGTAGCTCGTAAAGGACTCTCGGATATGGTTCGATTATAGAGGCGTGTAGATGCTTATGATGTAACCCGTTGCCTAATCGTAGGACTTCTAAGGATGTGACGACTTTGGATGTCTAGGGTTATGGATATAGATGGATGACATCAACTTAGTATAGATGTGATATAAAGATAGTGATCATTAATCGGTTATCCATCTTATCTTATCAGGGATCTTATCTAATCTAATCTTATCGGATAGGGTGACTTAGGTTTGATAATCGAAATTTAGATGCAGTTTGTAACATTCATGACACCATGCAAAAGTCTCCATCTGGGAGATGAACCACTGCAGCCGCCCATTGCGAGAAATGTAAGGGGATGGTGCGATATGCTTCTGCAACATCACGAGTGGCCACTTGAGACCCTGGTGGGAGGGATCGGATGATGGTGCAGATGGTGTCGAAAGTACCCCATGTACAAGGGAAATCGTCAGAATTAATGCTCAAGTTGATTGATGCGTTGAGATAAGCCAACGAAGGAACCAAGGGAAAGGAGAAGTTCTGTATGACCCGGAACATGCCCGATTTCCCTGGTTTGGGTATGATGGAGATGGGAGAGGACTGAAAGGGACCCAGTAGTTATAATAAACTGTCGTGCATGAATGGACCGATATAATGGCCTGTGGTAAGTTCGCGGGCCAGAATAGTCTCAAAGGCAAACTGAAAGGTGATAAGGGAAGGGCTATTAGGTGGTGATTGAGTATGACAAATGCTAGGAATATTGATGTTGAAACCCAACTGGAGTCCCGCAGGCAAAGTTGGATAAGTTTTGAGAAGATTATATGTATGTAGTTGGCTCTCCCAGACTGCATGATTATAAGGGGTGACTGGTTGTTGTCACCTGCACTCAAGAGCAAGCCTGGGCTCCATGAGATGTGGCCAGGCAGCCTGAGCACACATGACGTTCATTGTGCTGACGATTGGGGCAGCTTCGTGCCTGCTGCCAGTTGACACACAGTGGTTTGTCCGAGCCTCGCAATAGGAGAGACTTGTTGGAGCAGGTTGCAACTGCTGGGAAGTTGTTGTCCCATAGGCATTTGGTGGTGCATTCGATGAAACTGTGTCCGTTGTGGGTACAACAAGTGCAGCTGCGATAAATTGATCTACTACACAGTTGGGTCTTTGCTACCTGCTGCCTCACTTGAGAACAAGCATGTTTGACCCTTAAGGGGATTGCTACTGGGGATTACTAGTCTCCGTCTAAACGACCCTAATCAACCCTACCACAGGTAGGATGAGGATCCGCAAAAATGTGGAACAAGCGGAACAAGCGGAACTCAAGCGGAACAAGTGGAACAAGCGGAACCCAAGCGGAATGGAAAGGAATGAAACAGAACTCA